TGGGGTTTTTGCGGGTTTTTGTGGGTTTTTGTGGGTTTTTCCGGGGTTTTTGTGGGTTTTTCCGGGGTTTTTGTAAGATTTTGAGGCAGATTGAAACAAAATCCCTTAAACTACAACGTAGATCATTGCTAATTAACTTTTCTGCCTCATCTTGAAATTTTGAGAATTTTCATTTGCGACTTGAATTTCCAAGTATCATTGCATATTTCCAGGTTTACATGTCAAACATGAATTTTCGATGTAATAGTCCAAATCAATGATAACGGTTAAAATTGCATGTTAAAATCGTATATTAAATTAGTTTTTCTCTAATAAATAATTTTAGGAATTCTGGTTCAACCTGCCCCAAAATCTACAAAAACCCACAAAAACCCACAAAAACCCAAAAACCCACAAAAACCCCAAAAACCCCGGAAAAACCCACGGGGTTGGGTTTTTCTACAAAAACCCCGGGGTTTTCCGAACCCTGTTTGTGGTAGGTTTCAGCACATGGTTCAATTTATTGGTACATATTTTGTTGCTCTATCTCTACATTAAATTTAGTAAATAACTCGTGTTGTATTTGTAAAACACTCCATTTTTGGTCGTAGGATTTAATCGGTTGAATTTCTTGTAACTCTAGAAAAAAAAATCTAGCTGTGTCTGATTTAGCTTTTATTGTGCAATTGGAACTGATATGCATCGGTCGGTTGGAATGACTTGCACTTGCACCATGTAAATGCTTTCTTCTTCTAATGCCTTATTATGCACGTCTTTTTAGACGCCCTCAACTTTTAAAATCTCCAAATGGCATCAAACAGAAGAGATTGGAGAGAATTTACGAAAATAAAACTTTGTGTTAAAAAGCTTATAGAATGAATCGACGTATAGAAATTCGGTCGTCGTTGTACTGCCTGCTGCTACCTTTCCGTCTTGTAATTCGTCAGGAGACGAACACAATTACGGGCACATTGATTTCGACGCTCTTCAATCCCACATCCATTGATTATTCCTGTTCCTTTCATTTCAATCTGATTTGGCAGACGGATTACCAGCTTTTCGATGCAATCTCTCTCGCTTAAGATTGATTCGCTCTTTCTTGCATGATGACTTACTATTCTGCTTTGTCCTTTGACTGGAAGAAGTACAACAAATAAAGGAGTAAAAAAGAGATTAATCTGAGAAGTTCTCAGATTACAGATCACATAATGAGAAGAAAATGAAGACAGAGTTGAGAGTGTCATAAAATGTGAAGCAAACAAACTCATGATGATGGCTGGTTTAGTCGATGGCAAAAAAGTTGTCGGGAGAAGAAGAATTTTAGACGTCCATGTCGTCCACTTACATACCATCCACGTCTAGTATTACTTAACCGTATTACATAATTCCTGCTCTTCAATTTATCACTGATCAAAGTTTCTTGTTATACGTATGCATATGTAATAGTTTATAATTTAATTGCAACATTTATCTCAATAACTCACTTATCCACCAATGATTGTGGCGTGATGGGACTTGGTGCATAAAAATCTGAACAAGAAGAAACACTTCTTGTATCTTCTGGTCCGGAGTGTGTGCGTTTTCATTAAATGATCAATCACTATTTATAATTGCTTCGCCAGTGGTGTTAACGAATAATAGGACTAAAACTTGATATCGTGATTCGGAAAATGTTGACGTTTATAAACTTTGTTTCGTGATGAACCTTTAAAGCATTTAAACGGCAAAAATATGCTTTGGAGCTCCTCACCGCAATATAATGACGACAGAGAGGAATTGAATGATCCGTGCTCTGATAAAGCTATAATTACTTTTTTTAAAGATTCCCGCCCGGAGCAGCTCCATCCGTCTAATTACAATTTTGTTGATGATGAAAATTGGGCGGTGGGCACATTTCTATTCACATCATCTCCATACGACCTGACACCCTATAGCTATTTATGTATTGTCCCAATCTTCGCTTTGTACACTATCCAGGCACATAATACGTATTGATGTATGTACATGTCTTCTCATCCATATCAAACATTATTACGCTATTTAGCTTACATATCATGCATTTAATTATTAATCTATTTTATACCAGTTGCAGTTATCGGAGATACACAGAATATACGTAGGATTGCTTGGGGTTGGTTTTGTATTCTTCATTTGTTACGCGTTGTCAGTTCTATTGCACATTGTCTTTGATAAATGTAATCTGCCAAGCATCCTCAATTTTCCCCTTCATTAAGTAAGAATGATAAGCATTTTTTTTACTGCGTCAGATATCGAACAAGAGTTTGAAATTGTGGGTCTGTAGACGCCGATTGCTGTTTAGGTAAACTATAAAAATGCATTGGCTGTTTCAAATGCGTTCTTCGTCATCGTAGCCTCGACTGAAGTGCGTTCATGTGTTTTCCTGTATTTTGATTATTAGTTTTAAGCTCAGGATATTTTTTACTCTGCGTTTATCAGCAATTAAGTAAAAACAGAGATAACTGAGGAGTAGTTTGAGACGGGGAAACCTGACCTAATCTAAGGCCTTTTTTAAAGAAATGGAAAGTTTATCGCGTGGACCTGCGATTTAATGGATTTCCTTTGATCCCGATTTTCCTATCGTATACACTTATTCTTTTATCAAAACGTACAGGGCTCATGCATTACGATCACGATAATAAAACCCCTGCAGCCTGCCAGCTTTTTAAGACATATCTAAATCGTTGTTCTACCGTCGCATTACAAGCTTTAGAAAATTGAGAGCATTTTCAATCAAATTCCAACCAACCAAAAAAGAACTCCCGCAGAAAATGAAATCATTACTCGTTTCTAAAAGCATAATATTGTGTAGTTTCCGGCACCTGTGATTATCCTCGAAGCAATAATGAGCTCAAAGAATCAAAGGCAGGCAATAAGTGAGAGTACCTTTGCGAGATGCGTGGAGAAAAACCTTTCAGATTTGGGTTGATTAGTGCCCATTCTGGACCAAGTTCTCGTTAAGCTCCTAATAACATTGTTTAGTTATGCTGTGTCAAGTTTCAGACTGATTGTTGCTGGAGAGAGAGTACATCATTCAGGTGCACGCCCCTCCTCAGCCGAATTGTTGCTCGTCGTAGCTTATAAATATATTTTCTGTCTGGGACTCTGAGATCATGATTGTTACAATCATATATTGTACAACAGTGCATGTACGCTCTTATTGTTAGCTTGGGTTGTAACAAGCTCAATTGTGAATGTAATCTTTGGAGCACCTTCACGAATTCCAGGGTGAAGAATAGAGGATCACTTGAAAAATGAAATAATAATAATAATACCTCCCTCGTTTCCAATCGCACTGATGAGGATCCAAAACCGCCCACATGTAGAAAATTCTTTCCAATTTAAGAATTATTAAGCCCAATGTGATGATGTTAGTAATGGCCGATGATGCTGAGAATTAGTGAAAGCGTACATACGTGCACACGTTTTACGAATCAGATTCTCAATTTCAACAGATTTGAATTTTGAGCAGTATGTCCTTTCACCACGAGAAATCTAAAATATAGAATATTTATTCGACAAAATAGGACAAACAATAAAATCAAGTAAACCACAAGGTCGCCTGTCGTGGCTTTGGTTCGTGCACTCGTTCTTCATTATATGCTTTTTTGTGTTGGGAAAAGGTTCCCAACGGGGACAAAAAACGGAGACACGTTCACAATCTGACATGATTTTTACGCTTTCGTCCCAGATTGTGATGCGAGTCAACATTGAATTAATGTACAATCAACACAATGGTCGCTCCCTCCGACCCTTAAATGCTTCGACCACGACCACAAATGATACGGACACAGTGACAGAAAAGTCTTGCACACCACAATGCATTTCTTTAGAGCCCCCTAGCTCCGCAAAAAATGGAATCACGTTCTCCAGAGATTAGACGACAACATCATTGTGGAGCCTCAAGTGGAGTGGATTCCAAATGAGATCACATAAAAGTGGGTTCCACAAGCGTCAGAGAAAAATAAACGCGTGTGATTGAGGAGATGCCGTGACTTTTGGCTTTGGCCGGTTATGTAACGTCGACGTTCGTGAGTTATACACAGGTTGTAGGAATCAGTTTCATATTTTTATGTTCCTTTCACATACTTCGTGTCTGAAACCATATTCAATTACCAATGTATGTGGTTTCAATTTCTATTCGTGTAAGACCTAATTTTATTAATCTAGGAAACGAGAATAAATAATGGGTCTTGTTTATTACAAATTCTCGCTGGTTATCATTCGTATTTTAGTGATTCATATTCTTATTTGATATTTTACTGCTTATAGAAGATTGAAAACTTTATCATTTCTGGCAAGAACTAAATTGGCTTTCGACTCTGAAGGGACAATCCAGATATTATAACTTTTGTTTAGGATCAAGCGCACAATAATTGCTGTTAAACCGGCATTTAAAACGTAATGGCAAAAAGTTTGAATCCGACTTGGAGTTGTTTGCAAGGAGGACCATTATGTTTAAGGTATATTTATCTCAAGATAATTTGTTGGGGAGGTTGGGAGCAGATTTTCTACTTCCAAAGAAGCCAGTAGCATTATGGCGGTTCGTTTTTCCAATGATAATTTTACCTCAGACCATGATCATCCATCCCATCGCTCTCCATGCACGTACTTTTCTTTTTGTTCCAAGAATATTTTTTGTCAATAAAACAAGTCAGTAATTGTGGTGTCTGTCTCTGTGGCTGAGGCCCCGGCCCCAACGTAATGATTGTTACCTTCGAACGCTTAGGAATGAATCCAGAGAGACAGAAAAACTTGGATTTGAAATGGTTCCGCTTTTTGTGGAGAAAGTATAATTATGAGGTTGGGTGTATAAATGAGAAGTGTGATCAGACCATTTTTTGACCCATTTTTGAATGCCACACAAGAGCCATGCAAAATTTTCAGTTCCGTGTTCTCTAGACGTAAATGTTTGCTTAAATATATACATACGTTATTCCCTATTTTACATAGGTTATCAAAATTGAAAATCTAATTGTAATTTATTTGTTTGCTATTTCCAGGATGACGTTTCCTTCTCGTTTGGTACTGGTGGTGCTGGTTTCTGTCTTTCAAGATCCCTTGCCCTCAGAATGAGTCCTTTGGCCAGGTAATGACTCCTTTTAACATTTCACCAGAAATCTCTCTTCCTCAGAACTTCCGCCTTCTTCATCTGACTTTACTTCTGAAAACCTATGATCAAATATGTTTCGGTAACTAACTGCAACTTTCGGTATAAAAACTTCAAGTCAGACTCATATCTCACATCGTTTCCCTTATACAATGCCGACTTGCAACAATTTGATGAAGATGATTTCTGTAACCTTTCTTCAAACTGGAGCAAAAAACAACGCAGCTTGAGTCGTCCCTTGGCCTGGTGCCTGCCAAGTAATGCACATTGTTGTATGAATTGTACATCATCCTTCTAAATAGTTCCATGTACAATAGTACATGTTTTACACGTATGTGAGAGAGGCAACAATGCCGAAACAGAATTCATTTTACTGACGTACTATTATATGAGCAACTATTATGAGACAACCTGTTGCATCATCTCTTGCTCTCTCTCTTGGCTTTCTACATTGCATTGGCTTATGCTCACCCTCCTCTCGCACTTCAAAATTCGGTCTTTTTACTTTTTTCCGGCAGAGCTTGACAAGACAATGAAACAATGGATTTTGTATCCACCTCAGAGCTCTTGACTATGAAAGATGAGTTTCAACCTTGTGAACATTATTCTTCTTCCACCTCGTGAAATCAAGGAAGACTTTATGATTCCTGCCTTCGAGGAAGATACCAAGATACGATGGTGCATATGCACATACGTATAAGGCTTTCGCCCTCCGCATCTTGGAAAATAAATCATGTTGCTTTAGGCGCTTCAACGAAGTTTTTTTGTGTCTGATTGTTGATGCCGAATCAACGCTCGTAAATTGTAATTTACATTGTTTCTTACTTTTAATTTCATTCTGCTGTGAATATTCTTTGGTGCGTTATGCATTGTGCGACGACTAATTATTCGCTTTATTATTCATGATTTTTTTTATGTATTTTCAGTGGTGGCAAGTTTATGAAACTTTGTGATCGCATCCAACTTCCAGACGGTAAGTTTGTTTATGTTTTAATGATAATCAAACGGAAACAAATTGATTACTTTCAATATATAGCTATTTAAAACTAAAAACGAGACTAGTTAATCAAGATAATATGAAATCTATATAATAATATTGTTTTTTTTTCAGACGTCACTATTGGCTATGTTGCAGGTGAGTCGGTTGGTTTCAGAAATGTATTTGTGGCACCTAATCAAGAATTATTCAGCCGTGTGATTATTGCCCATTGTTTATCGCTGTATTATTGCCACGTTGGATGAGTTGGAGGGAGAGAAATAGTTGTCTCGGAGGGGTGTCCCTATTCTCACACTCGGCATGGAAGACGATCCTCTAACCACGCCCTACTAATTACAATGACGGTTTTCATACCTGCCAATTATGAAAGGGGATATGGAATAGGCACAGCAGTGTAATTTTCTAGGATGATTTGCATCATGGAATTGCCTTGTAAATAAGAGCGGAATTTTCGCCGTATAAGCATACACAAATCTTACATGATAATAAAGATCATAATATGTACGAAAATACCGTCATACATATTTTTAAAAAACTTAGATTTTACATGTCGTGTCAATTTCAATTTACAATCGTAAAGAAACGCAAGCCAAGGCTCAACACCAATCTACACGAAATAAAACTGGAATATAAATGTAGTATTTTCCAAGAGGGGCCTGAGGATGAGAAGTAAATAAAAATGAGCTAGTTTAGTTGATGGGAGTAGTACGATCGAAATACATTTTTTACTCGAGTGAAATTTAAATTAAAGAGGAGATTCGTTTTGAATTTGACTGATTGGCCCCGTTGTTAGTGAGGAGGAGGTGGTGGTGGTGTTGGGCAGCTAATTATTACCTTCGACTGAAATTAGAATTCCGAAATTCCATCCAAGATGCAGTTGCTCATTATCTTGTCTCTTTTTGTGGTTCGCAGGGCACCTTCTTGCACAAAAGTTGACTGTCATCCCGCAATTTCATTCACATTTCGAAACCATGAAGTTCATCACTACCAAGAACCCGGAGTCTGAAGTAAGTACAGATACATATATTTAATTAATTGCGCTTATAATTTCTTACACGCCATGCCAGTACCTTGAGCGTCCCCTCGTTCAGGATTCCAGTTTTAATGAAAAATACAAAATCAACAAAAATGCGTTGATTCGTCATAAAAATAAATAAAATTAACCAAGAACCTGGATTATGATTGAGAGAGAAAAGTCGAGTTAAATATTTATCCACTTTCAACAATCAAATTGTTGATGTCCTATCGGACTGTAGATTTTAATATAAAAGTTGTTATGCTTATATAAACCTCCGTTTAGAAAATAAACTAAAATCTCGTAGTTATTTGTATGTAAAAATTTATCGTGGGAATAAAAATGTTCAGTCCTTCGGGATTATTAATTCAAGAGGGTGTTGATTGGTATCAACATTTATTTTGTGATCAATAGATAACCGACACATTGTTTATTTTAACAATTGGACTACCTAATTTGAATAATAGCATGATCTGTATTTTTCGCTGTGTTTTGGAGCAAAAAAAACTTGCTTTTGACAAGGCGTTCCTGCTTTTCAATGTATATTACAAAAAGACATAGATATGTAATATCTCTATGCATCACTGAATGATGAAGCTCATAAATTGGATTGCAAAATACTAGGAGTAATATTCTAAACATGTTTATTTCTACTTTTTCAGATAACATTCAGCTACCTGAGAATGGGAAACAACGTAAACATTCTCGACGTTCAAGGGTACTTCACGGAGGAAGAGGACCCCACAAGATTTCTGTCTCTGCATTGCCTCCTCTTCCCAAATTTTTCATTTTGTCCGAAAGGGGAAAGGAGAAGATGATCAGAGATTATTACATCGTTCTCAACAAAATAAATAAAGTTCAAGTCACTCGCGTGTAACAAATGTCTTTTTCGCTGAAAGACAATCCAAAAACTGAATTGTTTGCTGCAATTTTATTTCTCCGCTATTTGTTGGGTTTGTTATAACCTTTCAATGGTTTTGATAAAGAATTCTGTGATATTAAAATATTAGATACTTACAAATAAATATATTCAATAGTGTTAGGTAAATATTAAAAATTATATATAAATTTTGAGTCACAATTATGGCATAAGTTGATATTAAAGTATAACATACATACAATCAAGCGCAAAACAAATGCAATTTTTCGTTTTAATCTGTGCCAAAATCTTGACTTATATTATGTATTTCAAATCAATAAAACCTACTTGAATTCATGATAATCAAAAAATTGACTACATTCTGTCAGTGATTTTCTCATCATGCAAATCATTTGGTTCACGATTCGTACATAGCAATAAAAATCGGGTTAATTACTGCACTTACCGGTCAAGTTTCAAATGGAAGGTCTCTATTAATTTATACGTGTCCTGAGACTGATGATGGACCAAACTGATCATTAGAATAAAATGTTAAACACCGGTAGCCAGATCGAACTTTGTATGTATGTAGCTTTTTTATTACGCTATTACACTCGGGAACAACCATCAAGACTACTGATTACTTCTCCCAATCCAGAATCTGGCTACATGCAATAGCTTAAAATGAATCCCGTGCTTTGTATTTTGATCATGACTGACAATGAGAGTAATGCCTCTGAGGATGCCTTATTACGACCCATCTTATTAAATTGGAAGAATTTGTACAATTGCATATGCACATGTACATGCATATCACTGGAATAAACTTGTGGTTAGAGAGTGTGCATGGATTATTATTTATAGACTGAAAAAGCTATGATGAACTCAAAAGAAATGTTATCCGGAACATCAATCATTTGCTTCATCTTCGATCAATCCTCGTTGATTTGATGGATGTACATTATTCCACACTCATTTCAATTCATAGCGTTACGTGGCTGGAAGGATATATTTGGACGGCGGATGGATTCTGATGATGAACGACGGCTCTCTCCATGATTACCATCTTTCTCCTTCGCATTTAATATTTTGATTCTTGACCGCCGGCTATGATGAATAATGCAGTTGGATCCAAAGATCCGTCAAAGATTTTAACTTTGAGTGATGCCAAGAAGCCTAGAACAAAGCAGTTCCCTCTCATATTCTGTGTTATTTTGTATCTTAATGACACTTCTGCCCATGAGTCGTTATTGTGGTTACGTGATGGCGATGCACATACATACTTTACTTACATAAGTTGCTGGGTGTAGTTAAAGTAAGCAAATAATCCTTGTTGTACATATACTTATTAAGGTGGTAATGAAAAGTTGATCATTCGCCTCCAGCTCTGTCAGCTTTCGAGATCGGACAAGAGACACATACTGAATTTTAATTCGCACCCAATCTCTGTACACACACGCTTAGAATCGGATCGGATATTGCCTTGTGCATCCTTATAAGGGAGTTGCTGCTCGAGTATTAAATTATCAGGATAAAGGAAATGTGAACCAGGAAAAACAGGGACGCCGTATAAAATGTGTATACTTTGCACATGGCGTATTAGTTGTCTAAAAACTTATCCTGTCTACTTCACACTTTTACATTTCAAAAACATTTCTATTGGCCAATGTCATTTGCATATCTTAAAACAATTATGAAAACCAGAAGCTATGCAGCTTGTAAATTTGATCTTGTCCAGTTTACATATCAACTTTTCAAATGCATAAGAGTCAGCTAAAAGTGTAACTCGAGAAGGTGATTGCACTACTGCAGACTCAAGTGAGATCTGGCAGATTGCCTACTTCATACTACTAGTTATATATCTTAAGAAAATATGCATGTGCATAAGAGTAATGTCGAGTGAAGGTTTGGATAATGTTTCAGCGGTATCAGAATTCCTCTATAATTGCTAAATTGTCATTGCAAATAAATTCAATAATAATGATGAGTAATCTGATACAATGTGAGTCATGTTGTAATCTCACATAAATTCATATGAATTCTTTCGCATAATAGCTCATGTAATACCGTTTCTTTTCTGAACCATGTACAGTATTCCTTGACTCACTGATATTGAATAGAAGACACCTGCCGTAAAATGGTCAAAACACCTGAACTGCCATCCTTCGTGTTTTTTACTGGACGAATTTCTCTTCAACAACCAGTCGTTGTCGACAAGCTAAAGCGTTGCTTAAAGAAATGTGTTGTATGTATTGTAGCAACCATTGGAGTTGGTGGGTCGAATTTCCATTGCTAGTAGGAGTTTACTAATAGCGTTACTGGTATAGCATATTGCATAAAACCACCTGCCCAAAGTAATACAAGTTGGTGCTGAAAGGGGTAAGTGTACATATACGTAAAGCCGACTTCATATTACAAAACAATGGTATTTTACTGGTGTATTACCAATCCGATGTAAGCATTTTTCCAAACAAAAGCAACATAAAATAGGTGTGCCGCACTGGTTGTAAAAAAAATTGCTAAAAAATAAAATGATGTGAAGAGTACAAAAGTTTCTCGAGTCTAAATTTCTAAGTGCCTGAATAAAATGTCGTCATATCGTAGCCACAATGAAAAGTGTGAGATTCAAATACCCAAGGCCTCCAGTAAGTACATAAATAAATAGGATATTACAGTATACATGCACTGAATCAAACATGATCCCGTCTATTTTTTTTTGGAAAACAGGCAGCTTGGTTTATGGAGGAGCTCTCACGTTTTTGGCAGGAGTAGTTTTGTTAACAGCGTTTGCAAGGTAAATGTCACAGTATTCCGTAAAAATTGTTAGAGAATATCATGTTGCGAATTAGATAAGAAATTATGCTTTTCCATACAGTCCATATTGGTTGGTATCATGGGAATACACTTTCAGCCCATTCAAGAAAATGGGCTTATGGGAGTTTTGTTTCGACGGGTATCGGCATCCCAATTATCAATTTGACTACTTGTTCAACGGGTGTCACTGGGTGTTTTCTTACGAATTCTTGATCATCCGAGAATGGCTTCTGCCCGGCTGGCTGATGGCCGTCCAAGCATTCATGACGTTGGCTCTTATCGTATCTCTGGGCACTCAACTGATTTTAGCCCTCCTGGTGACAAGATGGCCTTTACAAATTGTGCTGGATTATGAATGGATCCTAACGATGGGTTCCTGCATCGGGAATGCTATTTGTGGTCAGTGAAAGACATCATTTTCATTACAAGATTTTGGATAGCTAAATTTTTGCTTCATTAATGTACTTTTTTCTTTTCAGCCGCCTGCATTCTTCTTTCCATTTCTATTTTTGGAGGTCAATACGACCGAAGGGATTGGCTACAGTACCCCCAGTACAATTACCCGTCTTGGGCATACGCCTTTGCAATTTTTTCCCTCTTGGTGCACGGAGTTGCAGCTTTGATTTTGTACAAGGAGGGTCAGGAAGCCAAGGAGAGGTCAATCGAGGGAGACGGTGCTTTGGGATTGCCCATGCATCCCACCGGAAGGAGCGGTCCGAGCAGTCGTGGTTTTGGTGGGGGAATGTCCAACACCGGATCTGTCTAACTTTCACAATCACAAATTCACTTTTACTGCCCTTGATACCGATGTTAGGATAAAAAAGTAAATCTCTCTATAAATTATAAGGTTTGCATGTATCTCTCTTCACACAACCCATAGTACTCTTATACCCAACTAATCCTAAATAACTACTTATTCTAGTTTTAACAGAACAATAATTTTAGATTTTAGTGGATTTGGTAATACATTTTTACATACAGCTTTATTACATTTACAAATTAACGACATATTTATTAAGTATTGCTTATACAAAAGGGAAAAATTTTTGATTATTCCTCGAGGTTTTCCCACTTCGCATACATTCCACTTGTGTACATATCATATCAAATATTTAAAGAAATTGCATACGCATAATTGTTGTCTATGTTGCTATATCCTGTTATATAAGACGTATAATAAAGTAAAGGCGTTTTCTTTGTTAAAAAAAATTGTGTTGATTTGAGAATTAATTTACCATTTCAAGCAGAAACAAAAGCAGGGTGCAAAGGTGAGACTGGTGAAAGTCTTGGCGAGAGATGCAGAGCCAGAGGCCGATTGCCATTGAGCAGAAAGCCTGCAGAAAGTTGTGGGATATTTCCTTCCCTCCTTCTCAACTTCACTTACACTTTCTCCAGAGTGCCAAAATTGTTATAGTTTCGTACTGCTAAAATATCCAATTTAATTATAATTTATACAATGCAGTAGATTTAGATTGATAGTTATGTGATGGACAATAACGCAGCAGAACAATGTACCGACGACAACCAATGGCAGCAGCACGAAGTTTTAACGGTAAACTTTCACCGATAATCGAGTAAAATTTAGAACTTATTAGTCTGAATTAAACTAATTTAATATGACGATATTTCAGAGGTCTGGAAAAGATGCATGCAATTTGTGTAATGCTCCAGCAAATAAATCTTGTTCCGCGTGTCAAGTGAAATATTGTTCGGCCCAGCATCAGAGGGAGGACTGGCCCACCCACAAGAACGACTGCTGCCCTTTCAAGTTGAAAACCAACCAAAAATTTGGTAGACATTTTGTCGCAGCGAGAAGACTAAAAGCTGGCACTCTAGTTATCCAAGAGGATCCAACGTTATGCGCCCCTCGAGGTCTACCGGATGGGTCACCAATTTGCCTCAGTTGTTGCGTCCTAATGGAATCACAGGGAAAATCTTCATATCGATGTTCAAAATGCGCTTGGCCAATATGTTCTCCAGAGTGTGAGCAGGTTAATTAATTAATCAACATGTCGTATTAAGGGAGGAATTTTGTTTTTTATGAAAGAGAAAGCTTATATTTCCACTAATATGTTAATAGCACGAGCTGCATGCACAGAATGAATGCAAGATATTCTCCGAGAGACATATCAAGTACCCACCATCAGAATGTGAATATCCAACATATATTGTGTACAAAGTAGTTGAAATTCTACGTGGAGTACTTATCAAAGAAAATGATCCTGAGCTGTGGGCCAAGATTACAAATCTCCAGTGCGTAACGGAGCTTGGAAATAAGACTGATTTGTTTCAAGACTTGGGAAAGTTAAGAAACACTTTCGGCGTTGAAGATATTGGACTAGAGGAGGACTGGAAAAGAATTTTAGGCATCTTAAATGTTAATAATTTTTCTATGAAGGGTCGACGCAATGGTCACGGACCATGGTTAGTTTGTTTGACATTTATCGTTTCTTAAAATTTATTATGGCAATGTAGGCAGATGAGATACGCGCTTGAGTTAATTTGACTTGGAAATTACAGGTTTACTGGATACGTATTCTTACAAAGTAGTATGTTGGCTCATTCCTGTTTACCTAACTGTTGGTGGGGCGTGTCAATGTTCCCAGACCACAAAATTCAAGTTCGCACCACCGTTGACGTTCAGAAGGGGGATGTATTAACTGTTCCTTATAGTTATATTTATAATGCGTTTGGAACAAGCAAACGACAGGAATTGATCCAAGATGATGGGGAATTTATATGTAAATGCGAGCGCTGTGAAGATCCGACGGAATTAAATTCTTTTACATCGGCCCTGATTTGTAGAAAGTGCAGAAACGGAAGCGTTTTGCCACTACACCCTCTTGTCATCGATTCTGAATGGCAGTGCAATATTTGTCACAAGAAATATTTCTGGGATGACATTAACAATACCATTCAAGAATTAATGACGAAGCTGGAACAGTGTGAAACCGTAACGGATATGGAAAATTTTATTAAAGAAGCTCAAGGCACTGTCCACTTAAATCACTGGTTGATAACTGAAGCTGAGGATGCCGTTTGTCAACAAAGAATGCAGACGCTTTACGAAAATGATGAAGTAACTCTGGAAGAGAGAGATGTACACATTTCAATGTGCGAGCATTTATTGAAAGTAAAAAATCTCACTGCTCCAGGATTTTCTTTGGAACGAGGTATGTACATATGTGACAATGTCAATTTGGAAGACCAAGAAACTTCATAAAAACTACAAATTAGAATAATAACAGCTATGGTGTTTTGTAGGTCGGCTTTTAAATCGCTTGGCTCGTGCAAGATTTGAAAGACTGGATGATATTGTGAAGAATAACACGGTGGAAGATGCAGATGAAATTTTGGCTGAAGCAGAGTTTATTTATGTCTTGTACGACGAAGCTTTATGTTTTTATAAAAATGACATAACGGAAGTGCTTATTGGTGAACATTATGGTTTAAAATGTCGTATGATTATGAGTGACATGCAACTAGTCAAAGAAAAATTTGCCATTACAACTGATACTATTTAATTTATTTTTAATGTAGATTTTTAATGTAGACTTTTTATATTTGAATTGCTCAATCGAGCCCACAATTAAATAAATTAAATTAAAATCGTAAAAAGAGGAGAAATTAGTGCTACAATTATTTTTACAGAGCTATATATATACAATGCTTATGAACTTTTCCTTAGATGCACATTTCATTGAAAACCTTGTGGAAAGCAAAATTATGAAATAACTCATGAGAATCTATTGAAGTTTATTAAACACAAACACATTATTAAAAATAAAATAAGGGCTCTTTATAAATACCTTAATAGTTAATAGTTGATCGTGGAAATCAAGGGACGTTTAAGAACAGAAGCGACAGCGCCATAAGTGACTGGAAAAAGCATGTGATCGATTTGAGGGAGTTAAGGGTTAAGGCACCCTACCATCCCATGTTAATTATAACATGCGGCATATAGGTCACACCAGGGGGTAGGGGTCAAACTTCTCCGAAAATCTATCACATGCTTTATGTGCAGTCCATAACTACAATAGAAATAAATAATGCGATTCATTTCAAATGCAATTCATTTCGAAATTATGATATGAAATTAACCAACGTATGTAGAAATAAACTAAAATGCAACCGACAAATAGAATTGGCTCCACCGCCAGGAACGTAATTTTAGGAATTATTTTCATAGGCATCGTATTACGGGTTTTACTAAATTTGCAGCAAGACTCAAGAGAAATTGTTCTAAGGGACCCATTTTTGCTGGCTCACAGCTTGGACCCAAATTACGGTAAATAAACTAACAATAGTTTATAGCTTAGCATTTGCTATGCGAATAAACGTTAATAGAATAGTGGGTGGGTGGCAGGTGGGAACAAGTTAAAATTCCAGTTTGACTAATTCCCCTAAACGTGCATCTATTTAGGACCTGATGCTGGATATCGGAGTTGGAGAAGGTCACAGTGGGAGGAATGGCTAACCCAACGTGAACCTCTGCATAGATCTGCAGCAAATGCAGTCAACCGACGGAGAAAGCATCCATTGAATAGAAAACCTGTGAACACGGTTATTATTGGAACGCCGGATGAAATTCAAGCTGCTTTTACAGGAACACTTGACCCTGTATTTTTTATGTAAACTTCAAATCAAAAATGAAGCTAATTTTGAGTTTAATTTTTACAGCAGGGGAGTTATTACTTTTGGAGCAACAGAATGTTCGAAATTTTCGACATCCGCAGAACGAGTGGTGGACATTTGATAATTTTCCGCTGCCCTCCCACCTACATCTCTGTGGGGATGCTTGCAGGAAAACCAGTTCACCTTAATGGTTACAGCGATGTAAAAACTGCGTCTGGAGGAAATCTCAACTACGAACGAAAGAAAAAGTGTGTTCAACTAAACTAGTAAGTTCTAATAATTGCTGAATAATGCTCAAAATAAAAATAAAACTTCGCATTATCTGTAATGCTGCTTAACACTATATCTGTTATTGAAGTCGCTGAAAAAAATACTACCATGAATTATCTGTCAAGGGATATGGCATGATGTCTAGATCAGATTCACTGGATTCCGATCCTAGGTCTGTCTTGAAGTTTACGTTGTTGGCAAATTTGAGGTCACACTTTTTGCATCCTTTGCGCCATTTTGCTACGTTCTGGTTCACCTGAATAGAAGAGATTATTGTGATTAGCAAAGATTTTATTTATTTGCAATAACTATTTCATGAAGTTTGCTTTACTTTAGTGAGAAAGTAGTCGAATCTAAATGTCTTTGCAAAGTAGCCATCACCTTTTGCATTTTGTTGGAAATTGTCCTGAAATCAAACGGATACTTATAATTTATGAAAAACAGTATGTGTACAGAAATGGAAGTCATATGCAATTTCGTACCACAAATGAGTGGCTTCCTTCAAAGTCCAATATACCATATACATTTTGAATGTATTGACGGAACCTTGACAAGTTGAAACACATGAGTTCTCGAGCAGGCTGGATCAATTTTGCAAAGACTTCAGTGTCACGATGTCTGGAAACCTGAGCATTGCTGTTGACTCTGATAATGTTTTCACAAGAGGTAAAATGCTCTAAAAAACCAATCGCAATTTTCCCAAAGTTGCAGTCAGAATGATTTATAGCCCAAGAGTTAGCAAAGGCTGAAAATTTTTTCATCATGAGAATTTCTTGATCCCACAGTAAAAGTGAAAATATTGCATTCTTCATCTTAATCTCAGTATTATCCCAATCTCCGCTGGACGTTTCCAGCTTCCAGGGCAAGTGCCGCACCTCGAAAACATAAAACTTGCAAACCCTTCGCTTCAGATTGAGCAGATATCCAGAAATGTTGTAGGAATTGGCTTCAGTACAAATAATCAAGGGTGCATGCATCTCTTTCTCCCCAAAGTAACGATTTTGTTGAAGAAGCATCGCTACCTGTTGCTGTTGAATTCTTCGAATTGCAGACAAATCACAAAGTTGTTCTTTGACGGCAGGGGAGCGAGTATTCCATCTCCAAGAGTTTTGATAACATTTCGTAGCCTCATTATTCACAAGAACCAAACTTGAAGTATCTTCAGTTTGTAATCCAATCGTTCGCATTCTTCTTTTACTGCTGCCCTGCTTTGCACATGAACACAATTTTTCTCCCGTAGGAATATTATCAATAATGTCGCTTTCCAAGTCACTGTCGGTGTTTTGATCGGTATCATCATCACTTGTGGTATCTTCATACCAGGACTGCATCCTCTGAGAATAGGCGTTCAAGCGCTGGACAAATTTCCAGGATTCTTGATGAGCAACGACCTTTTTAGAATTATCCAACACATTGGCAAAATAATTTCTCAAATTAACTAAACGGCGTACGATTTGCAATTTTGCGTTAATAAACTTGTACAAAAATAATGCTAACAAAATCCCACACGTAATTAAGCAGTAACAATTTGATTGGGACATTTTAATTGTGAATAAGATGACGACTCTAAATCCGAGTGAAAACTACGAGTCTTTTGATGCGAGGAAATGTCGCGAGCCTCCGTGAAAAAAATGAGACGAAGAAGAAATCATTATCTTGAGCATCCAATGAAACAACCAAAGTCATGGGCATAGAAAAGTGTCGTTATTATTTATGAACTTTGAGAAATATAAAACTTTATGCTAATGCATACAAAGACGACTTGAAGCAATAAACAATTAGCTGTCATCTAGAATGGTACGTATACACTTAGGATAATCTAAGTTGATAACCAAAAGCTCCTCTTTCAACTAAATATGATCAGCGATTTACTACTCGGCAGATTCAGCACGAAATTCACGTCTCGAGTACATATTAAAGTCGGAACCAAGAAAATAATTTGAGTCAAAGAGTGAAATCTCAGTTTCACGAATTGAGACAAGAAAGAATATGTGTCCAATTACTGAAGATTTGACTGGAGTTTAGTATATGTATGGCATTGAATTTGACATATGTAACAATGATAAGTAGACAACTGCAATGTATATAATACGGCATGACCCTGTGGAACGAATGTGCTGAAATAAACTGTAAATGGTCATAATCCCAAGAACTCGAAACAAAAGTCTTATCTAAGAAAATAAATGCGTACAAAAAATAGTGACATCCTTGATTTTTCTGATTTTATTACTTACGCTGTAGAAAAAGATGAGATTTAAGCTGCACGAATGAGCTGATAGATTGTTGGAGATTTAACGGAGTTGTTTGCCATCTCTGTTTATCAGCTTTCTCACGTTGCATGGACGGGACGTGTCCCATAAACTATTTGTATTTGAGGGTCAAAGTTTATTTGCTTACTCAATTGTTTTTTTTTCTGCGAAACAGAAATATCTATCCTATCACCTATCTATCGTACATAATTGTAGATTGGAATCTCTACATAAAAAAAATCAGCTTATCAAATTCATATATTTCTCAATACTAATCCTAATTTAAGAATTTTTTTGCATGGTACAGAGTCGAGGCTTGACTATCATGACATATGTATGTACACATAAGTATGTGATTGTCCATGAGACATTTTTGTGACTGATTTTGAGTAGCTCATGCTAGTCTAAACTCGCTACGAGAATCTCGTAAAGAGATACACTTATTTACATAAATATGTCTTTCGGAATAAAATTATTACTGGCTTTGATTATTGTGATTTATTGACACTTTTTCTGAAAGTTTATTCAAGTACTGTAATTGGTAAACTACATGAACACCGATGAGCAATAATTAATGAGTTAAATGATTGGCTTATTCTGATACTCTAGCGCCTGGGGATTACAAAATGATTATGAAAACATTGGGGACGTCATAAATTATGCTTATATTGTTGCAAATACCTCGTAGAGCTCCGTGTATACGTTGCTGAGAATAGAAGGTTGAAACATTAAAAGAGAAGGGCTTATTGGTTGGTAAATAAATAAAAATAATAGTTTTTTTGTACTCACATTCTCCAATTCCTCTTGTACTTGAAGTTCGATATTGCGAATATCTTCCAGTGTTAGCTCGTACCAGTTGTCCTGTTAATTGTGCATTCAAATGATCAGCCATGCTTTTTCTTCCGTTAAATTAAACGTTAACTCATACCAGCCAACAATAGACCTGCCTATGGAACTTTGTGAATAGTCGCATCTCATATTTTTGAATCAATTTCTCGACTCTGGTTTGTAATCCGAACCAATTGAAATGGCAGGTGACTAGTTTATAACAGGTCATTACGGGCTTAACCTAGCGTAATAAATTCGACTCGAGACTCGAAGCAAGAATGTTTTTTTTCGGATTATGATAATGATTTTACCGTATTGATCCATCCTGGGGTCAGGGGGCCCCTATCGCACTTTAGTGATTTGTGCAATCTAGGATCTTCGTCCTTATCGTAATCCGCAGGGTCCTTATTAAGTAATTGGGTTATGCAAGGTCATAGATAAATGCTTTAAATTATTTATGAACTAAATCAATCAAATTTACTAGTAACTCCCCGGCAATGTCAATAATGACAACTTCCCTTTGAGCTAGTTTCTCATTTGTTAGCTGATGAACATTTTCATGTTCACCTTTTCCAGGTAAATGATATGTCTCGATCGAGATCCCAAAATCTGAGCCCATGTACTCGTTCTAACAAGATGGACCAGATCAGAGATGAGGATGTGCTCACGAAATTAACATACAATTTTATAATTTTATAAATATGTGTATTACCGTCAATATGGTGCGGCAATATGGATATGCGTTCCAGGCGTTTTCCTAATTTTATATATTTTATTAAGTTCTTTATCATCTTTATCCATATAATTACGTAGACGCCATTAATGAATCATAGTTACCTCCAAGACGAGGGCAGATTTTGGTAACAGAGTTTTAACCAAACCACCTACTTTACTACCATATTATGAGTAAAACATTTATTAATCATAGTCCATGGCATCTATTTATATTTATTTATAACGTAATAATTACACTAACTTGGCAAGGTAATATTTTTTCTTGGTATACTGTCCTGAAGGAAACTGGTGTCCGAGAAGTGGTTGGTTTTCAAAGGACTCGTTTGTTATCACCTGGATCCCGTCCCCTCCTCCTGTTTCATTCCGACTGGCCTGAGCTATCGAGTAGAGCTGACCAATCTGGTACTACAAAATGTGACATTCTTACAAATTATTTATTTAGATTTATCTCTAGTGAGTGGACAGACATACCTCCTCGACTGTTAGAGGTAGAATAATCCTACTATGTTAAACACAAAAAAATGGATTTGTAAATTAAAGTGATCAAAGAAATCATGAAATTTGGTATGAATTTGGCTTACTATTCTTTAACCAACATTTCTTACTGCTGCGAATTGGACGGGCACAGTTGAAGTTGTCCCCTTTGTGTGCTTTCTGAGGTTGAAATCCAAACTGAAACCCAAAATCGAATTGGCAATGTGAAAACTGGATTAATGCTGGCTCACTCTGAAAAAGTCAATAGCTCGGGTTTGCAAATTAAATATTTCATTATTTAATCCAGCTACCCAACGAGGGGTTTGGTAGAAGGTAAATACACAGGTAAATCCATATCCGTTCACGGAAGCGCAACTAAATATGACAAAACCCTATGACAACTTTTTTTTAGGAAACAATACGTACTTCCCTATTTAAACTATAATACTGCAAGCAATTCCAATCACCTATTATTCAACTCTACAATTTAAGTAATATGTGTACTACAAAATTTTATTCAACCAAACACATTCATAAAATGTAAAAGAAAAGTATTGTATTATTTTTAACTCTTGCAATTCCGTTCATTTGGTTATTTGCTATTCTTCTATGCATATTTTATATAAACATTCCTTCGGAATTATTATCTTGTGAAAGAATATAAAATTTTATTTATTAGTAAATCATCTGAGAATATTGGAATTTGGGTGGCATATAAATAGAACGTTGTTTTATTATTATCTCCCTTAGTCCCGAATCGTGTGACCCCGGACTGCCCCTTGTCCTCGTGTCTGGAATTATATAAACCAATTAATTATGTAGACAATGCTGCCCAACTAAATATGACCATGGCATGGAATTGGGTGAAGCTTACTTTTTCCAGTTCTGCCTGAATCGATTCCTCAAAGCGACGAATATCGTCCAAAGTGAGTCCATACCACCGATCAATCCAAACAAATACTTGCCTGTGAAACGCATTTATGAGAAAGAAATGAAGTGTTTAATTTTAAACATACATAATAATACAAAAGATTACGAATATTTAGGACAGGAGTGGGTGTACATATCTTTATTTATTTTTATATGTGTACTTGCCTGTGAAATTTTGCGAATAAGCGTTCTTCGTAACTCATGACTTTGCCTTCTACCAGGCTTTGAAATCCAAATTTTTTAAAGTGAAAATTGACCAATTTGTACGCTGTCATTATTGGCTCTGTCTACAACAAATGATCGTAAATTGCTTCATGACACGCAATACTTAAATATGCTTTAAATATGTTATTGGCTAATGCTAGGCTTGCAATGCTTACTTTGTCCATCCACCCAGGCGTTAAGGGTCCTCGCTTAGTTTTGCGAGATTGGAACTTGGAAGGATCTTCTGATTCTGAGTAATCCTGGCTTGGGATACTCCCAGCAATGTCGATAATAATGACTTCCCTTTCCTTTAACAAATTGGGGGGCAATTCATGAACATTTTCTTGGTCAGGTTTTCCAGGCAAATGATGCGTGTGGACAGTTAGGAGGAAGCTGTCGCCGAGGTATTCGTTCTATTGTATTAAAACCACAAGTACAACAGGTAAATTAAGACCCTTACATATCCAAAAAGAGAATTCAACTGAAATTTGCAGCCAAATTGACTCACAGTAACGACGGTTTTGCAGTACGGGTAAGCGTTCCAGGCTTCTTCGTCTAGTATTAAAGCACTCTTGGGAGCAACGGTTCTTATAAAACCGTTCACTTTATTTCGGAAAAAGTACTTCTTTTTGGTATACTGGCCACTAGAAAACCTATCTCCCAGTAATGGAGTATCTGCAAAAGGTTGATTTTTTAGCATCTGCACTCCATCCCCGCCCCCCGTTTCATTTCTACTGGACTCGCCAACGGACCACAATTGACCAATTTGATACTGCAATAAATTTATCGGATCATGTTGTGATTCTCACTGTGCTAGAAATAATTTAATTCATCTGGCTGATTACCTCATCAACGGTCATAGGCAGAACAATACGGCTATAAGAATGTGACAATTAAGACATCTCGTTGAATTGAAAATGAAATGAAATATAATTGAACTATTTAGACGACGTACAATTCTTTGATGACCATTCTCACTAGGGGCAGCGTATGACTTCACCAATCCGTATTATTTGGATTCAAGAGAATGAAAACTAATTGGATAAGAATTTATAAATCTTTGACAAAATTGCCCTCGAAATAACTCTTGACTATAAATTCGTTCTTAGCAACCCTTTCACAGGGTACATTTACAGTGGTAAAAAGAATGCAGTTGACTATGGGTCTTTTTTATTCCCACAATTAAATTGATTTATTGGTCAGAGTCATACTATTATTACAAAATATATTTACTAGACTTTATTGCACCACTCCAAATCCATCTCCCCCCAAAGTAATATCCCAAAACTGAGATAAATTATTGGAAATAAGCGAAGTTTTTAAGGCTTCCACGGCTTCATTTTTGGTGTCAGGTGGGAGTAAAACAAATACGCATCCTCCACCGCCAGCCCCAGTTAGTTTAGCGCTGAATTTATGGTTTTTGGCAATGTCGACGATTAAGTCAATTTTGGGGTGGGATACAGTTAGCTGAAAAAAGACAGCTTGTTTAAATATCAGTACATTCCATAATACTAATTAACAATTTATCCTTGCGTTTATAATAGAGATACAAATAATATGGGTAGAGAATAGAGAGATTGATGTTAGAAATACTTCGAAGTTGAACTCATGCGGCAAACTTGTAACCGAACCCCATCAATGGCGTCGCCATTCTTAAAGATACGGGCTATATATATAGCCCGTATCTTTAAGAATAATATCCAAATCAATCTCACTCTATTCACCAATATCATTTCCTTCACTCGACCTCTTTCAGAAGCTCTTGATTTCTTGAGACATTTTGGGGCGTAGTTTGTCCAGAACTGCTTAATTGTTCAATTACTGACTCTACAATCCCATTAATTTCTTTCATTATTTCTTCGTGGCGAGTGGAATTTGTTTCCTGCAATGCAGCAACCTGGAAAAATAAAATGAAAATTATTTTGGCAATTCATGCTCAGTATTAAAATATCTGATTTGAATGCATAAAATTGTACTCACTCTGCCCACCAACTCTTTAGTGGATCTAGAAACTTGAGTATTTACGAGAAGAACTCGAATTCCTGTGCAGCTTAAATGAACTAACGATTGACCCTTTTGAAACATGACTGCACCTCCAAACGTCCCCACGCTATTATCAATTCCACTGGGATTTCCATGTACAAAGCATTCACTTGTAAATGCCCACCGATTTACCTAAGTATATAAACAAGGTCCCAAAAAATGGGAAATCTTAGTGAGGCAGTGCAATCTCAACTCAGAAATAAAATTAAATTGCAGAATTTTTGAATCACCGCTCTCAGAAATACACCCCATTAATAGTAGGGTGTGTATTTCTAAAACATAATGGTCCATTATATTTGATCTCAGTTAATTTAGCACATTTCTTTTTCACTAGTAAAAACGCATTAAATTCGCAAATTAAGATTGGAGAATTCATTCTTATAAGCAAAATTTAGTGCATCCAGTGAAAATGATATTCAGAGCGGTGATGCAAAAATTCTGCAATCTAATTTTATTTCTGAGTTGAGATTGCACTGCCTCACTAAGATTTCCCATTTTTTGGGACCTTGTTTATTTAAAACTTGTAAGTCGGTTGTCAACGACATTATTGCACCGCATTATACTTGCATCCACAGTAATTTTACTAAATTTTTAATTTTCAAAATTGAATAGCGTCGTGATTTCTTAACCGATTTCGGTCAACTTGGTCTTAAAATGATTAGAAGGAATCAGCGTAACTTTTTCCAATAATTTAGGACAATGTGATGCTCTGAAATGGAACAATGGATGGAAAGGTGACTCCGAGTGCAAATTTTTGCTCTATTTCGCCCATAACTCGGGTAAAAATCAAAAATTCGCCAAGTCAACTAGTACATCGTTTCTAAATCCTGTAACAATGATCTGTGCAAAATTTCATCAAAATCGGTTGAGAAATGGCCGAGAAATCGACTTATGTCACTTTTTTTGGGTGGGGTAAATGCATACTTAGTAAATTTTTTCGTTGTTAGGTATTTGCCTCACTAAGAAAAATAAGCCAAGGTTAGAACTAATATAATTACAATAAATTCACTTGTTTCAAGTTTGTTTGAATTCTCTCTATGCATACCATATCTCGATCAATGGCGTCCTTTTTCATTCTCCCCGAAGAGATCAAGAGGGCACCAGCCAAGGCTACTCCAAATGAAGCCGAAGAACTACGCATACATACATATATACTTACATAAATATGTAAATAGTTTTGACTATTATTAGAATTCGAAACTTACCCGAGCCCAGCTCCCACTGGAAGTTCTGTCGTCACAAGAATTTCGAGAGGGACAGATTTTTCGAACATTACAAGGTAGAGAAACATGACAGCTTCGAAAGCGGATTTACTTGCTGTCAACAATTCTTCCTTGCAGTGAATCAAAGCACGTTTTGCTACAAATTCCTCCAAAGATTTAACCATTTCTGGGTCAAGTACAATTGGATTATTGCCATTCATTGTGTCGAAGCTACAAAGAGGATAATATTTTCATTATCAAAAAAATCCATTACACACATAATTTTATGCATGCACAACGGATTGTGATTATTATTTAAAATAAAGGTTTGAATATTTTCTTACGAAAAGTCAGCTTTTGTTTTCAATAGACTTCGCAAATCATCAAGTTCCTTTATACTGAATGCTGAAATTTCATCAAGAATGCATTTTAAATATAATTCAGATCAATTTTGAATATAGTTGCATTCCTCAAATGAACTGAACAAAGTATATTTATTTTTTTGTTCCACTCAAAAGTTATTATCTACAGAACAAATAAGACCCACGCCACTAAACCGACGTTTTTTTTATTATATTTCTAAAAAAAGATGTTGTATTCAGTTTCATTCGTATGAGACGTTATGACCACTTTGTCCTTCTTTCTGTTCATATTTGTCAAGTTTTCGTGAATTACTGAATCAACTTAAAGCATTTTTCCATTATTTTGATATAAGCATGTACATATGTCGACGTAGTTCATAAATGACACGATAGTATAGAAAATTAATTACTGGTCAATTATTTAATATACTTACCAGCGTCAATACCAACTTCGTTAAAATTTAATTTGACCATATCATTGATTGGATGGATTATAACATTTGTATTAAGCCCAACGCTGACGGCTATAGCTTTGGTCCCATAGACAACTGAATGCTCTCCTGTTAACAATGAGAAGGGACGTGATAATGAGAACTCTTTCGAACTTACCATCAAAGATAACCATTAAGATAAGGCTTACCATGTAAGATCACTTTTCCGGGTGCAAATGCTTTTACCTCCATTTTGAATTGTGTGTGGGGTTCCTATATGCATAAATAGAACACCCAAAATGAAAATGAGTTTTTTGCAACTAATTTTATCCAGCTTGAATATCTCTAATATCAAATAGGTTAAAAAGAGTCAGTAAACTCAGGATATGTACATATGCATACGTATGCATGTATTTATTGGTGAAAATGTAAAGCTTGTGCATCCAGGCCAAGGTCACTTTAATTGAAACAGACTATTTTATTTGCTTTGGTCAATAAATTAATATTTTAATAAATATTAATAATAAAATTGCTTACAAAAATAATTAGTGATTGCACTTGTGAATATTTTTAACACTATTATAGTTTTTTCTTTGCAGATCCAGAACCTACTGATTTTCTTGTTGGTTTCTGTTCATCTGTAGAATATTTCAGACTAAATTGCAAGTAGTGGCAGTACAAGGCAAACAGTGAGAAATGAAGGAATGAGTAAATGGCAATTCCGGCTTGGAATAGATGAGGCAGATTCTGAGGAGGTGTGACGAAATGGAGTCCAAGTATTAAAGCAATGTATCCCCCAATCGAACCGATGAACGCCAACCTAGATATACACGCAATAATATAGATATATTCGCTCGCTACAAGTTATCGTCAGAAGATCTGTACACGTTGCATGGGAATTGTTGTAAGAACGGAAATTCCTCCTTGGACTTACTTTAACAAAGCTGATTTTGACGAGTCAAAGATTTTTCCTTGTTGAGCAACCAATATGAAGAAGGCAGTAGTCAGAAGTAGAGCAGCATGAGAACCTTCTTCCAGAAAGAGGGGATATAAAGATAGTGATGACACTACCACAAACCAGGCTGAGGCGAATGGGTAGAAAGGCAAAAGTAGTACCGCAGCCAAACCAGGCAACATAATTGTCTTCTCATGAACATGGTATGAAAACAAGAAACAGACGATCGAGCTGTTGAACAAGTGAAGCAAGAATGTCTTGCGCAACACTGTCACTTGTTGACCTTTCTGGAAGGAAATTATAAAAAAATGATTTAACTGAAACAGCATGGGCTTACTAGTATTAAGTATGTAAACTACTAGATTTAGATAGAAATACTCTTACGTACCTCTACTGTTGAGGCTTTCATGAAAAGATTTAATGTAGCAGGAATTAACAAAACGATTGTACTGATTCCACAAAATTCTGCCACAATTTGATCCGGGTAAACGCCCTTTACTGGTACAAAACGGTCGAAGACGTACCAAAATGTGCCCACCTTATCTTCAAACACTCCACGTTTCAAGGGGAAAATTCTCTTTAGTACAAAAGTCCAATAGTCTCCAAATGGCAGCCACATCAGCCCCACGGTGGACATAATTACTGTCCCAACTCGAAATGTAGTAAGTACATCAATCCTCTTCATAACCAGAGTTCCTACCATGTACGCAAAGAAGGTCAGCGAGTGATAGAGGGACATTTGCTTATGATGAATGGCCAGAGTGAACAAGATTGCAGATAATGAAAACTGATTCGAAAGAAGTGTCACAATTGCCAAGACAGTGAGCCCCAGTGAAACGCAGTTGTATTGAAAATGCCCATAGTCCACCATTATGAAGGGTGGAGCAGCCAGCGAGCACATTACTAAAAAATGACGGAAAAACAATTGTTTCTCAAGCTGAATGATATTATGATTTGTATATAATTAAAGTTCTGAATAGGATAAAAATTATACTCACTGCAAACCCACGGGGCCAACTTCTTTTCAGGGTTGAAGAACATGACATGAAACAAGATCAAGGCTGGGACGAGTAGATCACTTAAGGAGACGCTCATTCTCATCAAGAAAGTTAGCAGTGAACTCTCGTACCCCCGACTTGTTTTTATTTTGACAGCTTCTGGGAGAATTATTTTGAAGGCGCGTCCCAAACCGTAACTGTGCCATGCGGACAATGGGGGGTAATCTATTCCCCAGTAGTCGAGATCATTAAGGCTTGAGTTGTAGTACCACCGACTGAAATAAATCATAACAAAGTCTTGTTGAGTTCTTGTCCCTCATTCTACTATTTTTCTTGAAGGAGTTACCTCATGGGAATATTGGTGGTAATTTCCATCCAGTGTCGATGTGCTTCAAAGTCACCGTAGCGGGGTGGCTTGCCCTGTCCAGAGTACGGGAACGTGGACACACCCCATCTCAGAACTATGGCCAGGGCCGCACAGCACACGATGGTGCTCAATTCTGACGCCATAATTCTGTTTTTATAGACACCCTAATTTCCTAAAGACTCGTCTCACTCCAATAAAAATCTTCCTATTGAAACAAAAAAGCTGAATTGAGCGAAACTCCCAGTTTTAGCACCCAAATGTCAACTAGGTGCTAGGTGAAAGCTGGCAGTGAAATTCTCCTTCACCAGTATTAAACGCATGACAAATTTTGTTTTGTACCAATATGTGGGACAATGGATCGATACATACATTTCAAAAGGTTGAGTAGATTGAGACTCATTAAATATTTACAGCAAAAAAGTGTGTCGATGATAGCAAACTGTATCGAGTAGATGTCGACGAGACACGAAAAGTAAAAAGTGCCGATAATATTGATTTTATAAATCAACAATATCTCGATTATTGCTGTTCATCTCTTGTCAGAAGAACAATAATATGCAGCCAAATTCAATAATTGGTCCAATTTTAGTCTAAATTTATTATGATGTGTAGATTTTTTTAACTTATGTAAGTTAACCAAGTTATGGAAGGAAACTACCTATAGGATATTATTATTTAAGTCTCACCTGTAACTTATGCCTCCACGTTTAGGCAAATTAATTTTATGAAAAGAAGGCACAATAAATGAAGAAGGAAACTGAATAGATTCGCCGGTTTGCATGTTTCGCTGTCACTTGCTTTCTTTCTTGTTTACTCCAATCAGCAGCTCAACTGTTCATCTTGCATGGTCTCGTTTTTAGCGTCTCATGATGTATGTCTCGTGGTTTTTTGATCTGATCTGTATGCACTATTTCATAACTATGTATTTTTGTCAGATATAAAAATACAGAAGACAATAAATGATATAAATTTATAGTGTTTTAAATACACCGGCATAAATATTGTCAGTTGTAGGTTTTTTATCCATGTTGGTTGAACGGGTTGAACCTAATGCTCCCGTAATTATCTAAATTGCTTCATAAATGATGTGCACGTATATCGCATCGCATATTGTCGAATGACGTCTTTCCAAGAAAGAACGAAATGTAACTTTTTCTCACGCATTGTGACCGATTAATACACCATTAGCCAAGAGGAACATGTTGTTTTTGTGTGGTATCATTTAGCACACAATCTAATGCAGTACGTTTCAGTATGTTGAAGACATTATTAAATCAGTTTGTGATTTTAAAAATAAATTAGTAAATATTGAATATGACGCCACATGCAAAATACCTTACACTGTGCACTCTTCTTATGTGGTCGGCCATTCAATTTCTAGCATCTGCAGGTAATGAATACAAAGAGAGAACGTATAGTAACCCGTGTTATTCAGATTTTTCGTGCACTAAATTAGAAATAGTAACAGAAATAATATATTTTACGGTAGATGTCCCATCAACTGAAGAGATTGTAAAATACTGCAACTCCACATTCAACAACCGCCGAGGAATATGCATCAGTTTCGAAAAGAAGTTAAAGAACTGCCACCCATTGCTGAAACTTCTCCGAGAGAGAAAATTTGCAGAGCTGCAACAAACGTTTTGTGACGAACCGGAACAAGGAGATTCGTTTGAGCTGTCCTGGGTTATTAATTATGAAATATACAACACTTAAAAACAGCGTTTGTACTGACCGTGACATATGATTCTGCAATAGGTTTGCTGTCCCGAAGATGAATTGGTTGACATATCTCATGAGGATTTTGGATCTCATCCGAATTTCAACCTTTTGCCACATCCAGAGAATTCAGTCTGCGGACAAAGTGGAAATTCTGACAGGATTGTGGGTGGAGAGGATGCTGGGGCGGGGGATTTTCCGTGGATGGCACGCCTTGCCGTTAAAAGTAATATAATTATGTGACAATTAAAAACTCGTACGTTGTTTAAGACATTCAAACATTTTCCATTTTTAAGGGGATGACGAAGACACGGAGGAATTTGTGTGTGGTGGATCAATTATAAACGAACGTTATGTCCTGGGGGCTGCGCACTGCTTTAAAGACAACGTTAAACTGTATGAACCATTTATTTTTATACGTGTCTGAAAGTCATTATAAAACAGTTTGATTTAATCTAGAACAAAAATTCGAGTAGGAGATACTCATGATGACGTAGAGAAGGAGTGCATTGAATATGGCGACAGCACAATTTGTGAAATGGAAGAAGATTATGGAGTAGAGGACATAATAATTCACCGAGATTATTCAGGAATCACTGGATCACAGCACGACATTGCTCTCATAAGATTAAATCGAGACATACGGAATATTTCTTCATGTAAGTAAACTGGCCATTTCATTTCAAGTCATATTATAAATGCGACTCGATCCACTTTAAGTATTTTTGGACTCGTGTGTAAACCCCTGGAAAGCCTGGTTCTGAGCATCTAATTCCTATTTTAATACGCATTGCATATAGAATAAAATTAAAACAGCAATATTTAAATTAACCATATTACCCCACGAAACGATTCCCACGACACGCCAATATCTGTCATTGCTCTGCAGTTGTAAAGGTCCCCCTGAATTTATGTATGATATTCACGGAGTGAATTTATACTCTATTTTGTCAACGACACGCCAGTACAAATTAGTTTGTTACCCGAGTCTCCTAAATTAACAAAACAATGTGATAAATATGAAAGATTAACAGTAATTCATGACTCGACCCTGACCTTGACAGCTATCCCTAGAACCTGATCTTACTCCGGCACAGAGATTAGTATCCTAAACACAGGTTTATTATTTTACACAGAAAAAGTATGTATTCTGTGCCATTAAGGTGATATTTTAAGGTACTTCAATTGGCTGAGTGTAGGCTGCTTTACAGTCGTCTTGTTTCCAGATTGGAACAGAGACTTCCATCAAAGTGTTTGAAGTTGGACCCCCGTAATAAATGGCTACATAATTATATTACGATAAGACCTTTAGACCGTAAGCTCTCAAGAATAGAACGGTAAAGGGAGAAAAATAACTTTTTTCCTTACTTCCCCATCCGGTGACTATTCCAATTTCATTTTCATACGTCTTATCTTCAAAGGGAGGAGGCAAACATATTGGTCGAATCTTATTGTTGAAATAAGCAGACCGAGCTAATCGAAGCAGGGCAATGTCATTTTGATACGAATATCTGCGTAAAGCTATTACTGTTACTACTTTGTGGAATGACAAAACAATTTCTGACTTGTGAGTCATGTTTCAAGGCGCACAGACCTGTTGAATTCTTCGTGTACCGTGATTGATAAAACTTCAAAATCTTCTGGACTCGATTGAATTCGAGTGTTACTAAAGTCATACTCTCCAAGTCTGATTTTGATATCCTTAGCTTGGAATCTAAAATCACAGGAATTCGGAATAACTATTTTTTTGTAATTGATTTTGCCCCGATGGAAATATTAAGAGTACCACATTACTGATCGACACAGTGACTTGCGGTTAATACATGGAATTCGGAAACTAGTACACCACCACAAAATTGACCGACACGGATATCACTACATGTCATGTTTAGAACAAAAGTCTCATAAATTACTTTATAAAGAACTGTGTTTGTACACTAATTCTTACCCTGACTCTGGTTTTGATCGAATTAGTGCTGCCATCCAAGTCCAAGCTTTGGGATCCGCAATTCTGCCCCCCACTATTAATCCCATTAAATAAAAATAAGAATTTGTTACAACTGCCCCCGTAATTCTTAAAATTCTGATAAATCCGCAACCCTCTATTTTTAACAAAACCCATGCTAAAATTATGGACCTATTCTCGATGTCTTTTGTTCTGAATATCCACACAATCGTGTACCGTGAGCTACAGGTTTCGGAGAAACACGTGGTGGGGGGAAAGTGAAGGGGAATGGAGTGGTAGTTTTAGACGGAGGTCGGCCCGTATTGGGAGGGAGAGGTCGAGGAATTGGGTCATCAATTTCTTCTGGACAGCAAACTCCTACATAGTTTCCGTATGGAATAGAACACGTATATTCCAAAAATCTCAAAAAGTCTCCTCGAAATTCTTCAAGGATGCAGTGCTCAAGGTGTCTGCAATAGCCAAACTCTCCAGACGGAGTATTGCAGCTACCAAAACTGTCGTTTGGCTAAAAATGCATTAAACTATATTTTCAGCTTGCACAATTAATATGAGGATAATTTTGTACGTCTATTAAAGAAAGACTCATACACACTGACCTCCTGGAACCCAATAGGGACATATCTTCTACCTCCGTCATTCCCCCGAACAAAAAATCCTGTCCCATTTTGTACACGAGTACTCCAGTCCAAACCAATTTGGTCAATATAATTTGCTTGGGAGCAAAACTGACCGTGTGGACCGCACGGATTGTGACCTTTCTTCTTCCCTTGATTCTTATTCCCACCAGCGTTTTGTCGGCCATTCCCGTTTCCCCGTCCTGGAGGAGGTCCTTTGCCTTTACCGTTTCCTTTCCCACGATTTCCCTGACCACCTCCCTCCACTCTAAATCTTAACTGAAAAGTATTTGGATCCTCTTCTAAACCAGCGTTGTCTTCTTCATTTGAAAAATTAGGATGGGTATCAGGAAGCTTCCTTGACACTCCAATACCGAATGCACCGAGCGAGTCCAATCTTGCAGTAACTATACGAAGAAAAATAAAAAATTCAGACCCTCAAGTAAATTGTGCACCGTTTATGCCTTACCATTCGCACTTCCTCTTGTACTCCCAACTCTGGTATCGAACACGAATTGAGCTGCGTTAAAGTATGTAGATTAAGTGTTTATCGTTTCAAATAACAAGGAATTTAAGCACTTGAACCATTTACCATTGATTAAGACATAAAAATCTGTCAACAATAAAGTACTGCGTAAAACAACCTGCCATCGCATGATGCACAACTGAAACAGTTAAATTACCGTCGTCCTTTTTATTTCATATTTGTAAATTCTAAAAAGAAGCTCTGGTTTGAAACTGCCTTTTCAAGTTGATAACTTTGTGAAATACATACCACGTGTATATAATAAATATATATTTGCCAGTAGCAAATATATTCAACCTGTATTTCCAAGTAAGTGAATGTGAATATCAATGAAAATCCAGCATAGTAGTTGCAGAAAATTCGCTAAAAAAGTTGTTCAAGGGTGAAGGTTTGGTTTCATGATTTCATGCATGTTTTACGTACTGCAGCTCGAACAAGCCAACCATAACTTTGACATTGATCAGGCAGTGCAAATTTTATTGTACTTTTCTTTTCCTGGGTCTTCTTAACTTTATCATACTTGATTTTATTACAAGTACAGTACTATCATAATCAACCCAATGTACAGGACCTATGTAATCAACCTACATACATATAGTAGAAAATAAATGCTAAGGATTTCATGCTCGCTCGTGATAACAGAAATATTGCTTATAAATTTGTACATAAGTATCTTGATTCCTTAATTTTTTTTAGTATTCGTGCGTCCTATTTGCTTGCCCTTCACAAAGGAATTCAACATACCACCCCTGCAAATTACGACACCCGGTCAAACCGGGAGTAATGTACAAGCTATTGTTGCAGGATGGGGAAAATTGTATAATTCTGGTACAATACAATTTTGGGATTTACCCAACTTAAAATGGGCAATTAAATGATTATAAATTCTGCAGATTCGATTGGAAGTCCCGACCTTCAGTTCCTGTCCGTCCCAGTAACCGATACTGTTCAGTGTGGAAAGTCATTCAAGGCCAACAACGTCACCGTTACTGAGCTACAGGTGTGTACTCAAAAGACATACCACATGTACTTACATGAGATTGATAATGATGCTCATTAACATGTAAATATGCAGGTATGTGCTGGAGGTGAGAAAGGGAAAGGGTCGTGTGCTGGCGATTCTGGCTCACCGTTATTTTATCCAGCAAAAACCAAGGGAAAGGCGACGATTCGAAATTTTCAAATTGGAATCGTCTCATTTGGAAAACACCAGTGTGCAGCAGGCAATGCTCCTGTTGTGTACACGAGAGTAAAGCGGTATCTTACCTGGATATTAGACCACATAAAATGAATGAGCATTAACAAATGTCATATATAATCAAAGATATTTTATTTGTAAAATTTGTATGTATTGTACAATAGCATTTACTATTGGATCGAATCCAAGTGGATTGGTCGGAATGCACAATTTGGTGAGAGTATACCTAATAATAAATTTCAGATGGGTAAAAAATATCGTGCGGTGGTGAATAATCTTTCTTGGAGAGTGTCAGGCTATATTATGTATTGCACGCATATATATTATCTAGCATAATAGCATAAAGGCTTAATTATAACAATGGTGGTCAAATGAAACAATTTCGGTTCTATCCGAATTGTTGTGAGCTCTATCGTTATGTAAAGTAACTCGTTTGGACAGCAATTCAGCTTATTTCACAATTGGGTTGACTTCTGCGCCCTCGATTCGTTGCAGAAACATCACCAACAACTCCGGCTTCACTTTCTGCAATCGCTTTTGCTAGTAAAAAGTCTTCCTGTTCTTGAGTAATGGTATGATTGGGAACAGGTAGAACAGTGGCGTTGGGATTGAGAGATGCTTGCAAAGCCAGTTGAAATGCTTCTTCGTCAGACTAGTAAAGAAACACTTCAGTTATAGTGAAAGTCAACCGAATTGAAATACAATATATTTATAGAAATTATTACCAAATTTCCTTGTACAGCTGCAGGTCGGAAACCCATAGCTCTACTTAAACCGTTTGCAGCGGATGATGTAGCATTAGAAACACGGGTGACAATTGATTGTTGATTTCTTGATGACGATGATGAGGCAGCAGCCGTTCTTGCTAAAGCAGCTTGTCCAGCTTTTCCTAGAGATTTTCCACAATTTTTTGTACATTCATGATCTTGAGGATGGCGATGTTTTAGGCAAAAATTTAAATTGCAGGTATCGCATAAAATTGGAATCATTTCTTTTTTCTTGCAAGTTTTAAATGTGCATCTATTCGTGTACACTTTCTGTAAATAGAAACCCAAAGGCATCAGAAAAGGTTCACTCATAAATATTTACAATTACAGTTAACGGGTCTTTAAATTAATAGATAATTAATTACCTGACGTCTACCAATAGCTGCATCTGATTTGCAGTCGTTGTCAATATGTTGACTAACTCTAATGTCTGGCAGTTCGTTAAGGTTTCCAGGCACAGGGGCATTACATAAAGGACATACTGGAACCTGGACGTTTTTCTTATAAGCGACAGGACAATTGTGTCCAGTATACGAGTAGTGGTCACCGCTAATACAATACAAGAAAAATATTAGAATAATTGTTTATTTGCAATCAATTGATATAAAGTAATTTGCGTAACTTACCAAAATACTTTTGAACATCCGTCACATTTTACAGGTAAGAAGTCTAATAATATGAGAAATATAATAGAATGCTGCTATGTAATACTAAATTACAATCTAAATTTGAACAACCATACCAAGTCGTCGGCAGTTGTCTTCGCTGCAGTGTGTTCCTAAATGTGGAAGTTCCATCTTGTGTCTTGCTCACCGTCACCGTCAAAAATTTGTGAAATTTCTTGACACTTAGTAAAAAAAATAATAATTTAGTCACTTCGTGGGTCTTCGTAAGTCAAAGGACAATCAAACACTAAACCAAAGAATAGGGCCAGCAACAACTTTATTAAAAGTCTCGTCAATGACTTGCATATCTGGTCTGATGACCCACGAATGAATTTAGACGTCACTACATTAAACTAAACCTTATTATGACGAAATATGAACCCACTGACTCAGCAACTACAACGTATTGTAGTTGCTGCTGGGAAGATCTCGAAGTATTTTTTACTAACTCCCGCAGTACAAATCATCACAAACTTTCAATGTCTATAGACATTCCAAGCAAAGTATGATGTCATGAGTTGTTGCAACTTGCATTTCAAAATTGCAACTATATTCTTTTATATTGCATCCCATTTCCCAAGTAGATTGCATCTCAAATTGAAATTATCGATTCATTCAGTCAGGTTTATGACTGGAATTTACGATAGGTTTTGATGAAAAACCTACACTTTGTGTGTCGTTTCCGATATTTGCAAAAAATTTAGGTACAAGTGGCTGATTTTACCAGTCGTGCAGTTGAAGCAACCCGTATTTAAACTTATGCAAACTGCCAATCACGTCTTGTAAAGTATTGTTGATTATTTTAACGATTTTTAAGCACTCATAAATGGCCTGTTGGCTAAAAAATTTCTTTTTAAAGATTTTTGCATGGAACAAAACTCCATACAGATTCCATGAGTTTGGTGGGTAATGAATGAGGGCAAAGGGTTGGGCTCATTTTAACACTGTCAGTGTGGCCGAGTGGTCTAAGGCGCCAGACTCAAGAAAAATCTTGCCATACACAGTATGGTCTTGTAGAATTCTGGTCCTCACTGAGGGCGCGAGTTCGAATCTCGCCGCTGACAAAATTTTTTGCTACCAAGATTTTGCATGCAAATTGCAATGCAATAATTCATTTAAGCAGCAATCCACTGAACCATTTTTGCATGCAATTTACGGAGAAGATTTTCATGATGGATGAAACCAATAGCTAGATGAATATAGCCAAATTATTTGTGCTAATCACCTAATTGCATATTTTGACGAATTCGTAGTTTATTTAACGTGGAAAGTCCGTAAAAATGGCCACAGTGAGATTTATGCAAATTAGGTGACACGCCTAATAGGATAGCAGTCCGTTCTGTGTTCAAAAATTTTTGTTACGTCGGTATATCCACATCATATTCCACATATTCCACAATTTTCAAACAATATATTTTATTCAGCTTTTCAAAGTGGTTAATTTTATCTTTATTTAAGGCTAAATAGATTCATAAGAATGCACATACAATTAGTACGCCAGGCTTATTCGTTCTAGATTTTTTGCAAGATCAACACATCATGACCCAAGCCATTCATGTGTTTGGCTTCATCCATCATGAAAATCTTCATGAAAATCTTCTCCGTAAATTGCATGCAAAAATGGTTCAGTGGATTGCTGCTTAAATGAATTATTGCATTGCAATTTGCATGCAAAATCTTGGTAGCAAAAAATTTTGTCAGCGGCGAGATTCGAACTCGCGCCCTCAGTGAGGACCAGAATTCTACAAGACCATACTGTGTATGGCAAGATTTTTCTTGAGTCTGGCGCCTTAGACCACTCGGCCACACTGACAGTGTTAAAATGAATCCAACCCTTTGCTCTCATTCATTACCCACCAAACTCATGGAATCTGTATGGAGTTTTGTTCCATGCAAAAATCTTTAACAAAAAGTTATTTTTGGACTACCTACTTGCAATAAGAATTACAGATTTTAATGATTACTAATGGTTTTTTATATTGTAACCCATCTTTGTCTGCAAAAGTTTACTGAAGTAATAAAGTGAATTTAAAGTTTACAACCTTTTTATCCTGGGATTATCATGCGATAACTATTACAACCGATTAAATCATTACGAATAAATGATCCATTTTTTTTACATATATCCCGAGGTTAGTTTATTTACCTCAAACTTTCGTGAGCATCAATAAAAATTCTAATAGTTTATAAAATTCAGAGAGGACAGAAGAAAATTTATCTTCCCATTTTTTGTTAGGTCGGATTCAAAATAGTTTTTTTAGAACAGACACGGTCGTTACATATGTTCCACATCTTCTGGCTTGACTCCGGTTGCGTTGAGGACAAAGACTTTGAAGTCATCAGGAAGCTCCTCGTCTCCGTACAACCGCTCGCAAAAGTAGACCTGATGAATTCGCGATTAATTATTAAGAGCCATTACATTTAATATTTAATCAGTAACATGTATTTCACAAACACGACGCAATCGACAGTTTGCATGGATTTGAATACGGGTTGCTTCAACGAAACTGGTTCCATATGCACGACGGGTAAAATCTGCCAGGTTCACTTGTACCTATAATTATTTTAGGAAATATCGTGAAATGTATTTGGATCAATTAGTTGTAAAATTAACTTGATTCCATCCATCATCAAGGCGCAAAGGCATGGTGCAGTTGAAGGGACGGATTCGAGTGCATGACTGAAAGTTGCTTGACCGGAAGCGACGCCGAAAGTTCTTGTCATCCAAAACCTATCATACAAAGTAGAAAATCAATGATAAATCTGGCTAAATTGAAAACCTTAACATATTTAAACTCATGTGTCGTTGATTTAATTAAATCTTATTTGCATATGCAATTCTGTAGTATTCTTACCTCCACCTCGAATGTAAAGTATCGTTTCAAATTCTTGACGATGAGAACCAGAAATGGAAGGCGAATTCCGAGACTTTTCCAAGGACAAATTGGTGTGGAGATGTACGTCGTTGTAACATTGTTCCCAACAATTTCCAGCGTCACTGAGCGAATGCAAGGATCCGTAATGCGTTTGATGTGACCGTTTATAACCTAAATGAAATTATTATGTGAAAAATGCGACACAAAAGATTTACTCAAAATAAATATGTAAATGCACCTTGGAGCACCAAATGCTCAAAGGTTTGCACCCGATTGCGTAAAATACGGAGAGAAATCCGGACTGGTAAGTATTTCGAAACATTGCACAGTTGTCAGGAATGACACCTTATACGAATCCTTTTTGTTCCTTTGTGCCGTATAGTTGATTCGATTCTGTGCACAGACACCAACGAAAGTCAAAAACTACAAACTTTTGAGTTGAATTGACTTTCAATTTTTCGTGTCCTCAATTGAATTGACTAGGCAACGGAACAGATCCACTGGAAATTCATGAAAAAATGTGAAAGGCATCAGAATTTTATATTTTTCATGCAAGGCTTGGCGCTGAGGTAGGCAATACGGAGCATTTTTAATTTTTTAAACCCGAAGCAAGGGTTATGTAAATAATCGTCATGTCTGTCCGACCGTCTGTCAGCCGATAACTCTCGAATGTGTTACCTCTTTTTAACCAAATTTGTTGAAAACAATTATCTGGGTAATGCATCATCCGAAGATAGCTTTATCAAAAAAGATTTGGACCGGTGGGGGTCATAAAAGTCGTGGATCGTTGGGTGCAGATGTTATAAGCGATCCTGTGATAATTTTAATCTGTACATAATTTACACAATTCAAGATAAGCGAATTTGAGTGGATAATCCTGATCCTTAAATAATTTAAGGTGGAATAATTCGGTCATAAATTTTTCTATTATTCAACTTTTTTAATACACATTTCTAAAATATAGCATCAATTTCATGAGTTTTGAGATAAATTCAACTTTTTTGATACTTTAAAATGTAAGTTAATATTTCTGTACTTCAAAACCCTGAACTTGAAAAAATTAGTTTATTTATTTTCTTTGAGGAAATTTATTTTGAAAAATGCAAGTAAATAAACTAAGTTCGAGGTTTTGTCGTATCAAAAATTAACTTTATATTAAAGTATCAAAAGTTGAATTCATCATAAAACTCATGAAATTGATGGCATTTTAGAAATTTGCATTTAAAGATATTGAATAGGGTAGAGTGGTAAAATAGGGTAGTAAAATATATGGTACATCAAACTGTGAGTAAATGTACCCCTAAGGTACCGCAGCCAATAGTAAAGCCTTCAGAATGTCAGAAATTGCATATTACCTTTGGGTTGTTGCGTTGTGTTCAATCAGTAATGCGATTATTTGATCAGTGATAAATTTGGAATGCGATCTAATTCCAATCAAAAAAATGATTGATCATCCACAAATTAAGTACATACGTTCATGAACGACTTACATTTACCTTCCGGGAATGCGATTACAAAAACACTTTTATGACACTATGGATTATAGTATTTTATAACTTATCGACTTGGTTTTGTTTGTGAAATCGTTGTGTATAAATATGCACATGTACACGACGAAATTCCATGAACAGTGCTTCAGGAATATAATTAATCCTAGATAATGGATTGGATGTATAAACATTTACATAATTTTATGCTTAATCTGACCCTACACAATTTACAACGTATTAAAATGATATTGAACTACATATATAAACATAGTCCTGCGAGTTTGAAGTTTCATCCATCAATTGGGTTCCTCCGGCGTTGACGTTGCAATTTATAAAAATGCTTAAATATATCATTATTACAATATGTGTAGTCGGTTTTGTGGAAAGCTTTTTCTGGGAATTGTGGAGTAATCCAATAATTCCTGTGCGTGAGTTTAATGGGTAACTTCTTGTTAATTTTAAGATCGCATTTCTTTTATATTTCTATATATCTCATCCCTGATCCATTTTCCTAGGCACAAAGTGTACAGAGTTGTTCCAGAGACATTGGAACAGTTGGATGTTCTGAAATGGTTAGAGGCAGACAATGACCTAGATTTTTGGACCGACGCTGCAATATATCAGAATGTGGACATAATGATTCAAAAGGATAAGGTGAACGAAATCCTCAATACATTCAAGGAATACGAAATTCAATACCAAGTCATGATTGAAGATGTTGAAACGTTAGTTAGTTTTATTTACCCTTCATTCAAATGAATGTTTAAAATTGGTCAATATTGGATGCATTCAGATTGGTTGCAGCAGAGCGTCATGCCATTGAGAATCACAAACCTTCTCGACGATTTGACGAAATTGACTGGTATTCATATTACAGCTATGACGAAGTTGGTCTAAAATTTTATATTCATAATTAATACATCATTACAAATGTTTATTTAAATAACCAAAAATTAACCATTTAAAAATAGATCATTGCATGGGCAGATTCTCTCGATTGTGGAGAAAATGTTGATATTTCGTCTCAAGTTTACGGCAGTAGTTCAGAAGGTCGTGACTTGAAGGTTTACAAATTCACAAATGGTTCTTCTGATCCCAACCCGAGACCATCCATGTGGGTCGACGGTACATTTCACGCACGGGAATGGATCTCACCTGCAACGGTGACCTATTTTATGAATGATTTGTGCAGAAATCCTTCAAACACGTTTCTTAATGACGTGGATATTTATGTCGTGCCAATCGTTAATCCTGATTACGAATTTTCTACGAATTTTCTCGTAACGTGGACAGAATGTGGCGAAAAACAAGAAAGAATCACAATTCACCCGTTGGATGCATCGGTGTTGGTATGTCATAAATATGCTTATGTATATTACACATGACACACGATGAGTATACTGTTTTCCAATGATATGCTTATGATTTATAGATCCAAACAGAAATTTCGAGTTTAAGTTTGGTGGTAATGGAACCTCGAATGACAAGTGTTCCAACAATTACAGAGGACCAAATGCATGGTCAGAACCAGAAGTTCGGTCACTTGCAGAATACTTGATAAGCACTACAAATAGTGCTGATTGGAGGGCTTATATTACTGTACATAGCTACGGACAATACATTTTGATTCCGTACAGTTTTGACAATGAAACGTTCCCTGCCGATTTTCCCGAGATGGTATTCATGCAATTTCATACTTTAATTAATAGTTATAAATGCATTTGTACGTAATTTCGCTGAGAAAGTGCTTAGTGCTTAGTGCATAAATGGCACATTTTGCCTTTACGCCACATCTCAGTTGTAAGGTTTTACATGCGAATTCTGTTACTCTAGGAGAACTTGGCTACAGACATGGAATCTGCTATGAAAGCTATTCATGGAACGCCGTTCACAGTTGGCCATAGTGGATCAATTCTAGGTAAATTTAGTTTAACATATAAGTTAAATTATTTGTCAGAGTGGGCGATTACTATATATTGAAAATTTTAAACGATTCAAATCGCAAATTACTTATAGGGCCCACGTCTGGATGTGCAGATGACTGGGCGTACGAAGTTGCAAACATTACATATTCGTACACTTATGAGCTCCGAGATACAGGAAGATTTGGCTTTTTGTTGCCTGCACAATACATTATTCCAACGGCGGAAGAGACTTTAGAAGGTTTAAAATATGCGGCTCGTTTCATTACGCTCTGATTTTTGGTCTATGAATGTAAAAAACTCAAGAAAATTTAACAAATGTGTGAGTATATATTATATCAATTAACATTTTATAAATGTTTATTCAGAAAATAAACAGTTGGTTGAAACAATTTGAATTTTGCAAAATGAACTCTTGATATTTCACTCTTGATAGCAGTAAACTTTCATGATTCTTAAAACACTAACCCGTGTGAATCACGTGTTCAGACCAGAATATAAAATGAATAATTGAAAGTTGTATAGTAAAAATAAGAAAAAGAACAACACTTAATACAAAGACGCCAATACACCAAACAACTAAAGTACATAAATGCTGTTGTTGTTTTTAATTCATTTCCGTCTTGAATCACGTAATTCTTGAAACCAACAGCAAACTGTAAATAATAATTACCAATTATTATATAATTTCTTACTTATTTGTGCATAATGTGTAATATATCATTCTTTCGTTCTCACCTCTTAACGACGAGAATCATTGGATCGAGATCGTGAACGACTCTCACGATCAGCAGAACCCCTTGAACGCTTTGGAGCAGGGGAATAACTGCGGCTCCGGCTTCGAGGTGATCGAGAGCGGGATCCCGATTCAGAATCCTTTCGAACTCGAATATACGCCACCTCCCCCTGCAATTAATAGTTTTCATTGAATTAAAAGAAAGATTCATTTATTATATAAACTCGTAATCTAAACAAAATATAAAAATCTAACCTCGTGTGATCGGAATCGCGAGTCGTCGAGTTTCTTGATAGCATACTTCATGTCATCATATCGAGCGAATTCGACAATTCCTGTTCCATCCTTGGACACGTTAGCATAACAAACTTCTCCAGCCTCTCGCATATGATCCTTGAGATCTTGCCAAGACCCAGATGGAGGAATTCCTGAAGATTACATGAAGAATTTGAAAATTATCGATGTGCTACAACGCATCAAATGACCACGTCTTCTTATAAATAGACGAATGTTTGTTTCCGAATAGCAGATGAACCGGAGAAATCCTATACATACATATATAAATATGCCGAAACATAGTAATTATATCGAGCAGCCATATTTTAACAATAATTTCATATACGGTCGATGTTTCCAAAATGGTATAATAATAGTTAGTTCGCAATAGTAAAGATTTAAAAAGCAGAATATTCCTCATGCATGCATTCAGTCAGTCCCACTCACTATGGTATAACGCTATAAAAACACTAGAACTAGTAGGTATACTTTGAGGTCAATAATGTAGGGAAAGAGAAGCAAATAATAAATAGTTAGTTAGCATTAAAAACAATATTACGTAAAATGTATGCATTAAAAAGAAATACATTGACAACATATTACACACAGAGTGCTCGCAATAATAAATAATTGTCGATTATACAACTTTAACTGAACCCTGATGTGTTGTTATCGTTCATGTTTAGTATATAATAAACGCATGCTCATGCACAACATTTCTACTCAACACTTTGATAATAAAAAACCAAAGAGAAAAACTAATAGCTCAAAACAGATTCAAGAACGGATCAACTATAAAATTCCAATCGTATTATTAGTAACTAATAATGAAGCTCTCGAGAATGGAATGAAATAAAACTTGAAAAATTCAATAATAATCAATCACCTAAAATATTGATGATCGGGCGCAAGACAAGAATAATGACGAATTGCAGAAAGTTTTGTAAGAAAAATTACCATATTTGAATATCAAAGCGTGCTCCTGACATGTGCCATGAATTTCCAACATGAGGATGATGTGAAGTACGACAACATCATTCATGTTGCAACAATTCAAGAAACCACACAATGGGCGCAATTCCTAATGAGTTGGCTCCAGTTTTTTGTCTCCAATCCAACTTTACCAAGCATGATTTGATCAATTGACGGTCATTAATTCGTCACGAGAGTCCGCGATACCCTGAGTGAGCGAGTGTGTGAAACGTATCGATCGATATCCACAATATTCGCATTGACAGCTTTCTCCACATTTTCATGAGGCCTCTCCAACTCGATATGACAAAATGCTCCTCTCCTCCCACGACCAGACTAGTAGAAGAGGGTGCACCCGTGCAAGAGGAACATCAAAATAGTGCACACGACCCATCGCCGCCAATTCGCTGCAGATTCCGCAGATTCAGGACAGAAGAACCGCCGCCGCCCAAATGAGACCTAAGCATTTCTTTGTGCTTTCTTTCTCTCACTCCCTTCTTAGTTAGTTTCTAGTCATTGTGTCTCCTGCTCCCTTCATCCGACATGTTTGTCTGTCTGTCTGTCCACTTTTCATTTTCTTTCCATTTATACCAGAAATTCACTCTGCCAACTGAGCCCATTAACGATTGAAATAGTGACTTGAGAATTTCCAAAGAGTCTAAACACATATAAATTTGGTGGTCAATCATCAACTCATTCTCTCATCATCGCTAAAAGATCGATTAATCAATATGATAGGAGGAAATAAAACACAATGTGTACGACGATACATAAAGCAAGGTAAACATGGAATACATAATTAATTTGCTGTAATGTTTATACAAGTATGTCAAGGCTGAATCGTTCCTTTTTAAACTATTGATATTGGTTGCCTCTGGCTGGCTGGCTGGGGAAATCAATAATTTGGATTATTCAAATAAAAATCATTTAAAAAAATTTGATATTGAACCGCAAGGTTGCCCTTCGTCTGTAGGCAAAGTTATTGAATAAAAACTTGAGCATCTAGTTAATAATTTTAATATTATGACGTTCATATCTACTTGTACTTAAGACGACGAAGTCATTTACGTTTAAGGAAGGGGAAATTCAAAATTGTAACTTTTGTTTGATAATTATTTAGGGACAAAGATGAATCAGAAAATATAAATATTAAAAAAACTGTTCTTGATTTAATGTGTAATGCTCAGATAATATCATTCTTCAACATCACACATCACTTGAATGAAAAATAGTATATTATAAACTATAGCATGTATTATGTATTATAACCCTATCTGTAATTTATGTGAACAAACCTTCAACTTTAACCCGAAATTCACTTCGGCTGAACGCAGCACCTCCAGGTCTCCTCCCACCATCTCGTCCTCCATCTCGCCCACCTCGTCCACCACCACCTCGACCACCGCCACCCCCACCAGTCCTAAAATTTTATTAAATTAAATTGTAGGGTTCGTAATAAAATGTTACATCTGCTGTCGGTGTACAACTGCTTATATAATTGGTTGTTTATAAAGTGTAACTACCTTGGACCACTTCCTGTAGGATACTCGACTCTAATTCGATAACCATCCAATTTGTACCCATTTCGTCGTCGCAGCGCGTCCTCAGCATCCTTTGAGGACTCAAACTCCAAAAACGCAAAGGGCAACCCACCCCGAGGGAGCCTGCAATAATAGATAAAAATAATACTTGCATTAATTTTTCTCGCTACACTACTGGCGAGTAGACCGTGCACTGCATTCTACGTTTTTGTGACGTTACTTACTTGAGGTTAACATCCATCACCTTAAACTTGCGGAAAAGGTCTTCGATATCCTTTGATCGGACATCATTTGGTAGATTTCCGACGTATAGGCGACGATCTTTGGCAGACATTATGATGACGACAAAAATTACTTTTTCAAAAACAAGAAAATCGGGGTTGTCAAAATTTAAACTTTTATTTGCTAGTGGGACTAGAAGACGAGCAACTAACTATATAATATTTCCTTGACGAAGCACAACTGGAAAACACGTCAGCAAAATAGCGTCTTCTTCCTTCTTCCTTGTATACGAGGAATTTACAAATGTATTTAACTGCCCAGTTAAATAAATATAAATGGAGGATCTGCTGAGGTGGATTTGTTGTATTGTGCAAGCGGAGTGAGAGAAAATGCGCTCTGGTCTGCGCACGAAAACTCTGCCCTCTTCACCACCACCGGCCAATGCAGCCAGCCTTTGTCTCATACACAGTCGCATTCCGCGTCGTCATTTCATAGCTCCATTTACTCCATACAGGTTTGACTGGTGAATTTTGTCTCGAGCTAATTAAATAGATGACATGATGGTTTGATTGAGATTTTATTGGTGACAATTATTATAACCAGATTCTACTTGAAAAAATGTACGAAAAATTCTGACAACTGGGTCTGATGTTTTAAATTATTAATTCGGTTAAATGTCTATTCATTCTTAACCAAAATGATGCGTGGATAAGATATTATAATACTTTTTGCAATCGTATAGAGACGTAGGGCTGAGCCTCCGTTGCGGCTTTCGCCAATAGTTCCTTATTTTAATAGAAAGCTAATAACTCTAGTGCCAATATTGAAATGTGCATCGTTAAATTTAGCAATCTTAAGTGATCCTGAAGATGAGAGGCTTGATTGACAATGGAAAGTATCAAAATAGAATATTAATAATTTTTATGCAATTAAAAATTGTTAGCAATAATAAAGTAAACGATGAATGACGACTAAAGTTCGACGTTGAAAATCGAAAAGTAAACAATAAAATTGTAAATAAATAATGAATGCAATAAAATCTACAATAAAACTAAAACTGGTTGTAAAAGATTGTCTTAATTGAGCAAAATGGATCAATCGATCGAAAACTAACCAAATGTAATCAGACTGTTCCATTGAATTGATCGATTCACGAAGACACGATACGAAATTGTGAGAGTTGGCATATTCGGAGGTGCTCAGAAGGAAAGTTGAGAGGATGCCGATCATGATATTTAACTTGAAAATGACATACTTTTTTGCCAGTTGATCTTCAACGCTTAGTAATAATCCATGTACCTTTAATCTATCGTAATACTTATTTAGATATGTGAGTGAGTGAAAGTGTGTGTTCTTCAGGAAACTAATTGCAAGGGACAAAAATGCACCGTGCATACAATTTTATTATCTGTTAGCATTAGAAAACACAAGTGTCATCCTAGCATTAATACCTGACTAGTAAGTTGTATTAGTAATATTTTGCATGCAGGAGGAAGTACATATCTTTGGTAGATGTGATTAGCATTTAACATTTAATTTTCACTAGGGTATAGATATGAGTATTAAGCAAGTAACCATCATTTTGTAACTGGCGACTCCTTAGATTAGAGCCAATTATATAATCATGGTTTACATGGGCTGTCAAAGTGCACTTTTTGTGCTGATGTTATATATCCAGTTTTGGACAAATGTTGGTGCAAGCGGTCCGTGTGCATTGCTGTAAGAAATCATACAAATATATAGATTATATACATTTATCTACATATATTCATATTTGTATGCACATCATTTTTTAAAATTTCGTTAGAGAACCTCGTGCAGATGCCTTGTGCATACCGTTGGCATCAATTAATCGAGCGTTTCGAGATGCCAGGCAGTATTTTGGTCTCAAGTACCCTATCTCATTTCCGCCCCATAAAACACAACATCATTTGGATGAAGTGGATCGACTAGGAATGGTATTAACTCAGACGACAAAGTACATTGCTAAAGAATTTGAAATCAGTCAGGAACATATCGAAAAACTGCTTCCTGAACTGGACCTTGAATTAACGGACGTTTGGAGTTTTTGTCCGCTACAATTTCGAAATAGAAAAGATTGCAAAGTACGGTAAAAAATATAAACGAGCATACAAATCATAATGTATAAGTGACTAAAATTAATAATTCCTGCAGCTCAGCATATATCGTGAGCTAAATGGTCGGTGTAATAATCTCAATTTCCCCGAGTGGGGAAGCACATTCACTCCATTTAGATATCTCATTCCTGCAGATCGGTAAATTTTGTTAATTCGTTTTAACGAATGTAAGGTCAATAACGACCTTATTAATACATAATTTCAAAATAATGTAATGCACAATTCTAGTCCGGATGGCATAGAATACCCCAAAGACCCAGACGCCACATATTTGCCCCCTGCTAGAATTGTCAGCAGCAAAATGCACCGAGATAATGTTGTCCATGATCACACAGTGACGGTTATGCTAATTGCCTGCAAGTGACATTATAATTAATTTACTACATATATGACATGGATTTATATAACTACGATTCTACTGATTGACTAAAGGGGGGCAGCTAGTTGACCATGACATAACGTTAACCGCAGAGACAAAAGGTACACTTGAGTTGTTCATGCATTTCAGGAAATTGTCAACACTAAATATGACAGGTTGTTAAAGAGCTAGTATTCCCTTTACATAGATCCATACACGAAGAGGGACCCTGATTGTTGCAAGTATTTACAAGATGGACCTGATGCAAAACTGCATCATAACTGCTTCCCAATTCAGATCGCCAACCATGACGAATTTTATTATGGACACCACCAACATTGCATGAATTTTGCTAGATCAGTTTCAGGAGTAAGACCAAACTGTAGGCTGGGTGAGAATCATCATGATAATCTACTAAACGTAGCACATGCTGATAATAAATTGCATTCTAAGGTCCAAGAACTGCATTAAACTCGATTAGTTCATTTCTGGACGCAAATTTCGTTTACGGTTCTGAGGAATATTTGAGTACAAAATTAAGAACAGGAAAATACGGAATGCTTGACTCATTGCCTGAATTTCACAAAATCGGTCTAAAAAATCTTCTCCCCTTGAAGCTGGACCACCCTGATGAAGGATGCATACGGCCAAACGAGCATGTTTATTGCTTTCTTGCAGGTGTCATAATAATAACTCAAAATTGTGTATGTAATTTGCTCTAACATCGTCGTTTTTATGAAACAATAGGGGATCACCGAGTAAATGAGCAACTCGTCCTTACCGTCCTTCATACAGTTTTTATGCGTGAACATAACCGAATTGCTTGGCAGCTAGCAAAGATTAATTTACATTGGGATGACGAAAGATTGTTTCAAGTGAGATTACTACCTACAGATACAAATTGATTATTACTCAAGTAATAATTAATACTCATGTAATAATTAATTTTCTGATACAGGAAACCAGGCGCATTGTCATTGCAATTACTCAACACATCACATATGAAGAATTTTTGCCAATGGTGTTGGGGAAACGATTATTGAATGAGTTTCAAATCTCTGTCGATAAAGAGGTAGCATAATTTCGTAGCTCTAGCATTTAATAATATTACATTCAAACGATTATATTGATATATATGAATGAACGATTGTATGCCCAACTCTTCAGGGGAAATTTTGGAATGGATATGACCCCAACTTGGACCCTTCGGCAACGGAAGGATTCATCACAGCCGCGTTTAGATTTGGTCACTCATTGCTACCACACAGAATTGAAAGATGGTCTGTAGCTCATAAATTTATAGGTAACATAAGGTTTCCTCATATTTTTGATGCTATATGTGACTTAAAATCAGCTAAGAATGGTGTATGACCGTAATTCTGCATAGACAGTAAAGAATTAAGTCGCTTAATTCGCCAGCCATTTGACATCTTAAAACCAGGGTATGTAGACACGTATCTGCTAGGAATGGTTAACCAATTGGCTCAAGCAATGGATGAAGGTGTCACGGAACAGGTGAATTTCAAAGATTTAGTTCGGTGATGCTTCATTAACCAATTGATGGCTGCTGCCTTTCATTAGGTTACAACATTGCTGTTTAAGAAACCGCATAAGCATTTTGGAATGGACTTGGCTGCTATAAACATTCAGCGCGGAAGGGACCATGCAATTAGAGGCTACACGGAATATCGAAAAATGTGTGGACTCTCTACGGTGCAACATTGGGAAGACCTTGTTGGAATCATGAGGAATGACACGGTTGCAATGTACAAAACTATTTACAGGCAAGTCTTGAATGATAATGTGTAATCATAAAGAACACATCGAACTTCTAATTGCTGTAAATTGAAATATTGATTTCGGTGGTGATAGGGCCCCCCAAGATATCGATTTGTGGTCCGGAGGAGTGTCAGAAATTCCAATTCATGGTTCCTTGGTTGGTCCTACATTCGGCTGCATCATTGCAAAACAATTTCAAGCTCTGCGGTATGGAGACCGACATTGGTATGAAGTGCCGAATCTGCCATCAAGCTTCACTTCGGGTTAGGCATATTTTTAGAGGGCCTCCTCAGACACACGAAAAAATCGTCGTTTCTAATTTCGCTAAGTTTTTCGCTTGCTTCCTGATAAGCGAGCTCTGGGATAAGCGAACAGAAACTCAACTCAGAAGTGGGGTTAAGGTCGGTTAGCTGAAGTCGAAACAAAATTTTACAATTTTCATAATTCTTGCCATGTTATCGATAAGCGAAAAACAAAGCAAACTTCGAAGCGACGATTTTTTCGTGTGTCTGAGGAGGCCCAGAATTTTAATATTCGTGGCAAACTTACATGGATTTTTCTGCTTATCCTTTTCAATTGATTTGATAGAACAACTTGAGGAGATCAAAAAGATCAAATTGTCTCGACTTTTATGTGACAACGGCGATTATATAAAAACTATTCAAGTGTATGCCATGGTTCTTGCGGATCCTCACCGGTAAGTTTTTAAACTTGCATTTGCATTTTCCAAGAGTTGCCAATTCTAAAATTGTAATTCATTCTAAAAGTAACCCACGCGTCCCATGTCAAGGACACGTGTTACCAAGAATAGATCTTAGCAAATGGCACGAATCAAATCCCCACCAAGTAATAGTTTACCCTTATTGAATTTGTATTGCATGAAACTTACAATATAGCACTAAAAGTCATCTAAATTCAATTTTAGAAGGAACCCCACCAAAAGCATAATTCAATCTACAAGCATAGTGAGGGTTATACCACGTTGCATGCACCAAAGTTTGATCCAAATTACTTACAAGGACCTCACGGGGAATATCAGCAGCCGCCTCTGAATTCTGCCTACAACTTATCGCATGAAACGACAAATTATGCTGAAAATACCCCAAGTTATCCTGAAGTCGAAGCAAATAATGACATAGAGGACGATCCAAAAAATGCATATCTTGTTCTGCTTGATAGTAGTAACCGTGGACGAGACATTCCCCTTAACGATGTTATCAGACAGGAACATATTTATGACAATGATCATCAAACAAGATTTGAAGAACAAAATTATCAAACCACTTTCGAACCAAACCATCCACCACCTGGATCAGGCCAGAATGGACCAGAAATCTTGGAAAATTTGGAAGCTCCACCGGTTGACGACTATATCGAGGGCGAGGAAGAAGAATATGACCATGAAAACCAACAATCACCTCCTCAATTTCCTCAGCCTCTTTCCAACACATATCGTCAACCAGAACCAGAACCTTATTTGCCCCCACCATCACGCATGCCTCAACATTTCAACAGGCCTGTTTTGCCAAAACAAAGACGTGTGAACCCGTTTCCAGATTCGCCATTTCCAGGAATGGGTGGAATCTTTAGTCCTAATCCAGGATATCTTGTGAAACAAAGGTTTTCAATACCAAGATTTCCATTTATAGGATAAAATATTTTATGACAATATTTAGAAAATTTATTAATTGTATACATATTTATCAGGGTGTAAAACAAATAAATAACATTGACAAATGAATGTCATAATTAATACTTGGCACAAAGAATAAGAAGAGAGAATACATAAATCAATACAAAACATATCAATCAATGTAATTTGTATACTTGTTAAAAACGGAGAGACTAGACTTAACGACTACTAGAAGATGATGTTGTTCCTCGTAAATCAGTTTTTTCTGAATTATTATCCACTTCTACACCTACATCTTCTTTTGAAACTCCTCTAGTTTTCTTCCATATCTTTCTCCAAAATATTTTCAATTTGTCAGCTTTGCCAGTAATTTCTTTGAGTTGAAGACGTTTTGTAGTTATGTTGTGAATAGGTCCAAATGCCAAAGCAACCACAGTACAGGTTAAGCATATCACATTGTACGGCATCGAGAAATCAGGAGTGGAGAGGTTGATGAGCAATACCCGTGAGTAGTAGTGACGCGTTTTGGGGGTATCATTTTTTGTATAATTTACTTCAAAATGAGCAGCCTCCAAATAAAATCCATGATTTGCATCTGGAGGATATTCGTCCCATTTGAGGTGTCCCTTTTCAACCATGAAACTCAAGGTGACCTTTGATGCTGGTGGAATCTGGACATCCATTTCTAATTTGTGCAGTGTCTTACGATCAATTCCAGGTGTGTAGTGAAAGTAAGCCCCTATTATTTAGAAACATCAATATCCTTTGCACCTAGTAAGAATGCTTTTTGAGTGCACTAACCTGGCGGGACTGGAAGCTTTTGTTGACCACGAACAACTTGAATGGACATTGTATGGAGATACGGTCGGATATACCAAGGTAAAACTTCAACATATAGCACAGACAGAAACTCGTCCTTTAAATGATTGGTCATTTCGACAACCATTTTTCCGTATTCTTGACCATACCCTATATACACAAGAATTTTCAACAAAATATTAGCCATACATTATTACAAATAAATTTGTAGTCCTTGTTGGCATCATCACATTCACAATAGTTATAGCAAGATAATATGCCTACCTCCCATGTACTTCATTGGCGTAAACACTAGATTCTTGTTATCTGATGTATCTTCTACCACGTCTTTTATTTTCAGATTATTTAAGTCTTCTTGATTAATAGACTTCCATTTATTATTTTCCCAAAGCTTGATCGTTGTTTTCTTGGAAGCATGACATGGGAAAATTGCCATTGATCCAATTACATTCTTCACAAAATTATCATTCTGTCCCAAGGACGATGGACTATCAAAGACTAGGGACAAACTTAATTTCAATTGCTTGGACAATTCAGTTTGGACGTATCCAATATGGGCAGAGTGATAATGGGTGTTGAACACCTGCTTTGTTCTCAACAAGGAGGCAACCCCTCTCTAGATATAATTAAAGATAATTTTAAAATCACTCATAAGCATTAACTTCAAAGTGAACCACTATTACTATTACCATAATGCCGCACGGGAGAAGCTTTGTCCAAGGTGTTAGATTCTCTGTACAAATGAACTCTCTTGGTAATGAGCCAACACGAACATGAACCTGTTTCGGTGTTAATTTTCCCAATGGCCGGTACGCATATTTTGGCTCGGTTGACGTTGTCTCGTCCAAGAAATTCAATGAAGCACAAGTTAATCCACTCAGTCTGTTAGTCAAACCTCGCCAATTTGCATCTACATCCCTTTATTAAAAAATGACGTAATTTTTAAATCACTTGGACATACAAATATCAAGATTTTTGTGTTTACTTTGACTCTGAAGAACTACTGGAAAACCAAGCGATGACATGAGCCCCTGTTGGGGCTACTTGGGCTGGATGAGGATCCCCCCACGATTCTAGTTGCCAATGGCCCTGAGTCAGACTCACATGGAGCTCTTCGACACTGTGAGCTGTCAAAATTTCTGAGAGTGCTCGAGGAAACACGGAGGTGTGATTAATATTAGAGGAGGGGCTTCTTCCGATAACAAATTCCATCCAAACGTGAACGTGACCGCTTGACAATCTACGAATCCGAAGCGACTCTTCATATTCTTCGTCACAGGAACTTATCCCAAAGACGTTGACGATCAGGACAAAGCACACAAATGATGCCGCATTGATTCGACACATTTTGGCTGCACCTGGAAGTTAAAGGTTCCAGTACTGTCAAAGGCAGCTGAAAATAAAATGCAGCATCAAAATCTGTGGTTTTTGTTCACTGAATTCGCTGTTCTCTAAAATTATATTAATGCAAATGACAAACAACTTACCAAAAATAACTCCCAAATGGATCTCGGTACCTATGCCTGTAGTCTGCTAGTAAATTATAGTTTGACTAAATTTTCAATTAAAAAAAACTTGTTTCAGCAATTAAATTAAACTCTTTTTATGTTTTATTTGTATCAGTTGTCGGGAAAAGTGTGAAGTGCGAAGTGAGTTTCATTACCGGGCAGGAAGTCTTCAACTTGAAGAGGAGAGGAGAGATTCGTCTTGTTCTTGTTCGTCTTGTTCGTGTTGTGATTGTCGCGGGACCCAGCTGCAAGATCGTTTATTTTTTAAATTGAATATCAAAGTTTCAAATTGAAACTTTTAATTCAGTTAATTTTAGAAAAAGCTTTTAATATTGCACAAACGTTTGAGTTCTAATTATAGCTCACAATTGCAATTATGCAGATAAGACGTCCCCTTGTTTTGTAAGTCGGTTTTTGTTGTTCACACTTTAAACTAAACATTTAATTGTGAATTGTGCAAGTAATGATGCCATCTAAATTACTAAATAATAATATTACTAAAATACTAAATTTAAATTACTATTATTAGTAGTTGAACTAATACTGAATATTATTATTTTTCAGTACGAATCAGAGTGACAATAAATTACTAAAATAGGTGATCAATTTAATCATGAATTAATTAGCTACGTATGATCCGATTGATAATCAATCATTGATTGTCCAAGTGCTGAACCGAGACACATGCTGTGTCTCAGTAAGTTGAGTTCAACACTTGGACAAATGATGATGCTGCCAATATTACAAATGGTTTAAATAATTTTCAGATTCCACGCGTCTGCAAAGCAGACAGAAAATGCCGAGACCAAGAAACCCAACGTCCGCAACAACCAAGAGGAAAATACTGAAACCTGTGACAAAAAAGTATTTTGAAGAAACATGCGTGATACTTGATTCAGATGACGATTTCGTGACACCTAATCCTTCGATAAAAACAAGGTTCTCCGAGAAAAGCTACAATAGATTTCAGTCCAGCTTAGCAGTACCGTCGCCATACCCCGTGAATATTAGTGGTTGTCGAGTGATTGACACTTCTGACAGTGAGATCGAACCTGACATAAATGGAGATTCAGCTACTCATGCAACTAATGCCGATCTAGATTCTGAGTTTGGACGGGAATTTAGGACGACTTTAGGAACAACCCCTCAGTCATTTACATTCAAGTTGAAAGAGAAGGCGAAGGATGTTCAATGCCCTAGCACTCCTTCTGAATTGATAGAAAATGAATCTAACAACATATCATTTCAAACTACACATGAAATTATTATTCCACAACCAATATATTTAAATAATTGCAAAGTGTCTACAACTTCATCGATATCATCATCCCATTCTTGGTCCGGATTGATGCAACGAATGCAAAGCAACCAGAAAACAATCCACAATAAACTCACTGATGCTGTATCAAAAAAGTCTTTCAAATCTTCGAAATTAACGAATAAAACGTCAGCGCAAGTTGCCAAACGAAGCGTAATTAGGAAGCCGGCTGTTTTGAACTTTTTGAGCTATACTGCACGTAAGTTTTTGAACCTAATTAATTTTTTACCTGGATTCTTGAAATTACAAATATACCTTTTTTGGTAAATGCAATGGATTTAGAAGAAGCAAGCCCTCATAAGAAACCTAAATTGGAATCGTTTAACAATTACACTATGGATGAGGCGGATACATTAGAAAGCGAGCCCGTGTTATCATCGTTAGAAACCAAAAGAGACGAGGAGATAACATCATCGGATTTGACTACCGTCACTTCCAAAGAAACGACATCAGTTTCGATCCAACATTCGCATGCTAAGATTCCTGACATATTTTTGAAACCATCCGAGAGGGCAGCAATATTTAAAAATAGAAAACAGGAACGTTTGTTTGTGCAGCAAGATTTATGTGATGCTTTGAAGGAATTATCAATTGAACCAGATACATATGATTCAGTCGTGATGGATAGTGATGATTTCGAGGGCAATATTGTCAAATTGAATCAAGTCGAAACAGAAAATCCATTCGGAAACAAAATCAAAGCTTGTCCGTTTTACAAGAAGCTGCCGGGTATAAATTATCTTTGTTACACAACAAATGGTTAACTTTGTTATTAAATTAGTGTGCTTATTCATGCGACTTTCTACAGGAACAAGGTTTTCAGTTGATGCTTTCAACTACGGCTTAATTCCTGGAGTTGAGGTTTATTTTTTGAGCCACTTTCACTCGGACCATTACATAGGCTTATCCAAAAAGTTTTGCAAAACGTTAGTATGCAGTCCTCCCACGGGTAGAAATATTTTAGTGTTTATAAAATCATACCTGTTATATTATATGTTATGCTACAAGTTGTTTCTTAACTTTTAGCAACACTTGTGCGAATGAAGTTCAATGTTGACCAACATTGTATTAGGCGACTGCAGATTAATAGACCCTATGTCATTGATTCTGTAGAAGTAACTTTGATCCATGCAAATCAGTAAGTGAATTTTGTTCATGTACTCAAACACTCCCAACTGGGGTTTCGGATTCTTAACTTGAAATTATTTCCAACTATAGCTGCCCTGGATCTGTGATGTTCGTTTTTAGACTTTTAAATGGAACGACGTACTTTCATACCGGTGATTTTAGATTTACAGAAAGGATGCTTGACAATAAGATTTTTCGCGGCCTGAAAATAGATTGTTTGTACTTGGACACGACGTAAGTACTAACGTACAGTGTAACGTTTAGTATAATGATCATTTGTTTCAAAAATAAACATGCGATATTTGCATATATTTTTCAAGGTACTGCGACCCGCAATACAATTTTCCAACTCAAACAGAAGCTATAACCGAACTCATTACAGTTGTTAAGCGTAAATTACAATGTCGACCAAACACACTGATTGTATGTGGCTCATATGTAATCGGTAATTAATAATATCAACGTTTTATTTTATAATAATAATTATTATAAAATAAAACATAATATATAATTATTATATATTATGCGGGACTTAATATTTACTATTTCACAAGGTAAAGAACGTGTATACTTCAGTCTAGCGGAGGCGATTGGAGAGAAGGTTTTCATGAATGCTGATAAGCGACGTATTATCCATGCTTTGGAAAATCCCAAATTCATATCGTATTTGTCTGATAGAGAAGAATCTGCTTCTATTCATGTTCATCAAATGTTTAGCATAAATCCAAAGGTGCGCTTATTTTATTTTATTGATGTTTAATTTTTAATTATTTTAATATCTTGCATTTTGCTTATTATTACAGTTCCTCTTGGACTATTTGAATTCGAGAAATGGTAAATACACGCAAATTATTGGTGTGAAACCAACAGGATGGCAATTTTCTTCTTCTGGGGATCAGTCTACCGTCCGAAGCTTTTACAATGATACCGTAACAATCATAGGTAACTTAATACATTAATTTTAAGACAATTCAAAATACATACTTCATATCCTACATTATGTTTCTACTATTATTCAGGAGTACCTTATTCCGAGCATTCTAGCTATTCAGAGTTGGAACATTTTGTGCGAGCGACTAGACCAACCAAAGTTCAGCCAACTGTCAATGTTGGTAATGCTGCTAAAAGAGAAAGTATGATGTGTCATATCAACAAGTGGTCAAGGAATGAAAACATTCATTAGCTTTAGTTGCTTCTAGATTTATCTCGGTGTATTTTATTTACTTTCTATGGACCATGTACAGTCAATAAAATGAAATTATAAAAATTACTTGCTTGGCCGTTTAACTTGATTTCGGAAATAAATAGTCCACCACGATTCTGAGATTGGATTATTTTATATTACTATTAGCTATTTACAATAGACCAAGACATTTGTTGAATACTTCTATGTACATAATGATTGAATCATTCATCAAACATATCACATTGGACGTCTCATTTCTTAGACATTCCGACTAAAATTATATCAGTCAAATTACCTAAATAAATGTTATCAAAAACTTTCCCTTCCAGTATTACAGTAAAAATAATTGAGCATTGAATTTCGTCCAGTGATTAAAAAAAGAGACCACATTTGTTTAGCGAAGTGCATTAAAACCAGAAATAATTTGAGACGTAACTTTTTTCTTTTTCGAGTCGGCTGAACTTTTCGTGGGTGGGAATATTCTCCAAAAACGAAGCGTCTCATCGGCACCAACTGTTGCAACCGTGGTTTTGTCTGGGGACAACGCCATATGAAGAATACGAGATTGATGACCAAGCATTTCTCCTACCTTTAGTTAGATTACAAAAATTATTGCATTACAAGTTAAGACAATAGCAAGAGTTAAAACACAGTAAGTAGAGAACGGTGCATAAATACGTACCTGAGTCATTTCTGGGTATTTCCAAAGTGCTAACTGATTCTTGGTAAACCCATGAGAACTGAGTATCTCTCTATAATTTTCACTCCAAATTAAGCCGGAGACTTGACTCTCTGCATTTATGCTTTTCAGCAACATTCCACTTGAAATATTCCACAATTTAATGCATCGATCATTCGTACCACCTCCGGTGGCTAAAACACTTGAGTGAGAAGGAGACCAGCAAATTGCTATGTAAATAGACACACACATTAGCATTGTTTGTTATATACCTAACTATCGCATCGCCGCTGATCATAATAAAGTTTAACTGGCAAGTACCCTTAATAGCTGCTTGATGTTCCGAAAATGAGCAAACAGGTTGGCACGTATTATTCATGTTCATCGAATCCCAAATATTGACGATATTGTCGTTTCCACCTGTAGCACAGAAACGACCGTCCAAAGACCATCGAACTCCACACACCTTAACGAAGAACAATTAATGTAAATCTTAATGCAATCTATGTGGTAACAAGGGTGCAAATTTTAATACAGGTACGGACCTCCTGAGAGTGTGCTCCTCTTCGTGTCATCACTTCGTGCTCAGCAATACGTAAATCATGATTTCTAAGAGTCCCCAAACGATTTCCTTGTGTTAGTAAATGTGCATTCAGATTCAGAGCAGCTATCCTTTCATTTTCATCATCAGTTCGTAAAGTTCTGAGTAGTTTTGTCCTCTCCACATCCCAAATTTGGATTCGACCAGTGTCTAAAGCACACACTAAGTGGGCACCATCTTGCATCCATCCGACTGATGTCACCATTTGCATATTGCTGCAAGGTTAGCAAGAATAAAATTGTAAAGGCCTAAAATAAAACTTTATTGAGTAAACTAAATGAATAGGTGTAATATACCTCTCAGCCACATCACATGGAATGCGGACAATTTCAGCCGTATGAGCTGTCCAGAGATATACTTGGTCCTTCAACGCAATCGCAACCACGTTCGAATCAGACCAATCCAGTAAATTAAGATAAAAATCGTCAACAATGTCCGGAGCATCTAGTACACGATCAGGTGATTTGGGATATACACGATATTTCACGACAGGATTAGATGAGACAACGGACGATCCTTGGTACACTACTTTCAAAGCATTTTGATATCCCTGTGAATAAATGCATGAGTTATTCGAATGGATCTAATTAGAGTCTTTAAATATGATTCATGAGAGATTAGATAAATAAATACGGTAAGTAAACTAGTGTTGTAATATAAATTATATTACAGCACTAGTCTTATATTATATTATATAATATGTATCTACCTCTGGAGGGGCTTTAGGTTTCTGAGTATAGCTTAGAATACGAACGCTCGATAAATCTGCCACCCCCAACATGCTTTCAGTTAGTGAACGAGAATACAGACTAGCTTCCTTTTTCTGCTTTCCCTTTTTGTCGCCTTGATTCTGATTCTCTTCATCTGCAGCCTTTTTCAGAAGGTAGTGAGCCATCTCAAAGTTTCCTCGATCGGGAACAAATCTATCCGCAACAGGAGTCTTCGTACTTCGAGATGCAGACTTGTTGAGACGAGACTTATCCACAACCGGAGTCTTTGCAGTTTTTGAGCTTTCATGCGAATTCTTAATCGAGCGATTCAAACTGAGATTCGCAAAAGATCCATTTATACTTTGTAAGCTGAAACAATGTAAAATAAACCCATCATCAGTATTCCGCATAATACACTACACATGCCCATTTTATATATTTACTACTACATATTTATACACTGCATTATATCATCTGTACATTTTTTACTTTACCTACAACTAGACGAGTCCAAAGGATTTCTATGCCTCTTAGACGATTTAGATGAAGTGGCTTTGCCATTTGGAAGATCCATCGATCAGTAATTTTTAAATATAGCCTTTTTATACGGCTTATAATTGTCAATCTCTTACTTTCACCGACTCAAGAAAAATACAAACTGAACTAATAAGTCTAAGTTCAAAAATCATGTACCGCGTGGAAAGAGTAATTTCCTACGTCAATAAGTCAAATATAAAATTGAACGAGATTGTGGACTTCGGAAACGGGATAAATCACTTTTATGATGATGTCAATACTAAAAAATTGGGAATGCTAAAAATTTGACAAAACTGAAAAAATCCGGACAAAAGTAAAGGGCAAAAGTGAATGGTAGAAGCTGACGAGAAATTGGAATAACCGACAACAGAAAGTTGTGTTCTCTTGGGTTTTTAAAAACGTGGACTTGGCCCAATCGCTGAACTCACTCCGCCTCTCGCGAAGAGACAAAGAGATACTTGCAACAAAGAGAATTTAAGGGGTTTAAATTTATTTATTTTTTGGTTGTATGCCAAATTGCACGATATGTTTGTCTATTTAAAGGAAATAGACTAACGATAGTTTACTAATCACTCAAAAGTGTACGACTATTTCAAGGATAGTTTTATGTCAGGTGGGGACTTATTGAACCCAAACATTTCTGCTCTATACTGTAAAACCTCTGTTTATGGCCCACTGTAAAAATACGTATATCCATTTGGATGCTGACCCGGTCAGTAGAACCCGGTTATAAATTACATTTGACAGTAACCTCCTCGACTCAGAGATACATCTTTTTCTTTACTATTGACACGACTACATTATGAGAGCGAGCTACTATTTTTACATGCATAATACACATTTTAAATGAATATTTATCATGGTATACATTCACAAACCTTGCAGAACTGCAGTTTAAACTATTTGCAACGTCTTGTAAAATTTTGGGATGTCCGAGTCTTTTGGGCGTTGAAGCAAACATCGTGGTGGATGCTCCTGCTGCTGTCGTTCTGAGAACCGGTGGGGTCAGGGGTACAGCAAATACCATCGATCTCGTAGAGGATGGGTGGGCTTGCTCCGAACCGTTTATACGGGCATCAATGTTTATTCAATTAAAAATGTCTGTTCTTACCTAAATACACTGAAAAATAAATATGTCATTTACAGAATTTGACTTTGTGAAATTGAATTTCAATTGGACATTTAACTTTCTTATAACATAACGTAGCGACAATTCCTTCGATACTTCAAAAATTTCTATTTTCCAAAATGGAGTCCGTATTCATCTTACTGATCTGAGCTAAATCAAATCATGTAACACTCAAGGTTATTTTATGTCACGTCGCAGAAATGTCATGCCAAAGTTTAGGTAGAAAGGGAGGCCAACGAGTTGGGTATGCAATAATAAAATCGTTGCTTAAATATCTTTAACCTGTTACATTAAATGTTTAACCAAACAAGTGGTAATAAGTTCTTTCCTAATAATAAATGGTTGTTTGCATATATGCATGGCGTCGCTTAAACAGAGACTAGGATCATCATCGACCTTTATTTAATTATATGAAAGTCTTCAATCCTAAAATGTCTGTATGTCGGATAAACATTCAATATTACGAACAGATTATATACTACTTTCCTTTAAGATAAGATAACTATGATTTTTTTTCTCTAAACCTGCTCTTGCTCCGGACAGGAGAATCGAAGCAAAATGGTATCTTTCTACCAGGAAAGTCGTGTTGTTCAAGGATATCATCTTCCTTTTAATGTCATTGCAAAAACAAGATTATGATATTCTTATACTTCCAGACAACATATTTAGGCACCTCTAGACACGTAGGCAGTATACTACATATACTGATTATAGTTGAAATATTTGTTTTTTGAGAATTTTTATAATGGTCAGATATATCTAATTTCATGCAACGATAACCAGACATAGCCATGAACGCTACACTCATACTTACAATCCTTTTTATTTAATAGGATGAATGCCTAAGTTTTTAGTTCAGTCAAATAAGTTACTTCTTGTCTACCGCACATAATACAAATATATTTAGCTGAAAATGAAATTTTCATTTGCAGGTAAAAAGGTCCTTGTGACTGGGGCAGCTCAAGGTAAAAAATGATAAGATCCTAAGAATTCATGGACAGCATTATCCAAATGAAGTTTGCATGAAACTTTATTACTTAGGTCTTGGTCGAGTAATTGTGGAAAAATTTGTGGAAAGTGGTGCCACGGTATTTGCGCTCGATGTCAACGCTGGACTCCTCAACGACCTGCATAAATTGCTGCCGACCATCGTCCCAGTCCCCGTCGATCTTGCCAACTGGGAGGAGGCTCGTCGAGCAGTGGAGGCTCTCGGCCCCTTCGACCATTTGGTAAACAACGCTGGCATTATCTCGTTCGAACCCCTTTTGGAATCATCCGACAAAGCTATCAACAAGTAAGAATTAAGTCAATGTACATACATAAGATGACCCCATTTTAACATGTACTATTCTTGTTTAGAATTTTCGATGTGAATTTTAAAGCTGTTCTGAATTTGTCCATCACATTTGCGAAAAGTGTAATTCAAAACTCAACCACTGGCACATCCATTGTCAATATATCATCTTTGGTAATGATTTTCTGCTCCTTCATACATATTTTGCATGACTATCCTTCTTGCTGCCCATTTTTGCAATGAAGATAATAAGTTCGCCCACGGATACAGATTACAGACATGCATAACAGATATTTTAGTTTTCTATTTTAATTTATTATAGGCTGGCCAACGACCATTTCCTGTGGCTGCGGTCTACTGTTGCAGTAAAGCTGCAGTGGATAATCTGACGAAAAGTCTTGCCATCGAATTTGCGACCCATGGCATTCGGGTCAATGCAATTGCTCCCGGAGCAATGCCCACGGCTTTGATGGCCAGTCTGCCTGAAGAAATGCTAAAACACGTGACACCGATAATGGATCGCCAATTGGTGAAAGGGACAGCGGACTTGGAGGACGTTGCTTTCCATGTTTTATACCTGTCCAGCCCCTTTGCGAAATTCATTACTGGTAACATTAGCACCATAGATGGTGGACTGCAAGTTGCATAGACGATTTCAGGAAGGGATACATGCACATGTACACATGTAATTCAAAATAAATAAATAAGGACATTTCTATAGTGTTTTGTCTGCAATAATTATTCATTTAAAACTCTCCTCTCATGAAACCTCAATTAATTTCATATTTCATATTTCATACTTCAAAATTTTCCGTGATGCCTTATTTCTAAATTCTAAATTCATATAATGGCAAACAGTTGCAACCGGTGTGGAAGACAAATTGTGACCGCATGGATAACTGCGAAAGGAAATTTCTACCACCCCCACTGCTTCACGTGCGGTATGGATAAATAAATCCACTAATGAAATGAAACCACCATAATAAATAAGTAGACCTTTTATACAATTTCTATAATTCATCCAAATTACAGCAATCTGCGATGTAGTCATTGAATCGGAGGAACATGAATACGTAGAGAGCAGTGACTTGAAAGAAATCTACTGTAGAAAATGTTACACCGAGTTTTTTGGGCCACTTGAAGAAAATGAAGAAGAATCATCTCCACAAGTAAACGCCAAATTACCTCAAGACGATGACTTTGCTTCAAGTACTTGCCCGGAACAACAAATGTCAACTCTGACCCACTATAACTCTCAACCTCCAAAGTTTTGTACGAAAGAAGCCAAGTTTCAATGCCCTGCTGAATATCTCTGTATCTCTCAGGAATATTTTGCAAAGCATGGTTCTGTTTCTGATGACTTTTCATCGCTAACGAATGACAACCAAAGAAACAATGGGGACAGATTAATAGAACCATTCGACTTTAAGCTTTCGGCAGTTATAGAAAGTACAAAACCACCGGCTTTCATGAAAGAAAAATTGTCTAATTCCTCCTCCCAAGCATCCAAAATTCCAAAATGGAAAAGTCATGTGAGACTTTCACAGCGACCAGAATCAGACGCCTCTTGTCCTAATATTCAAAATTCTGGGTTTAATTGCTTTCTACCAAAACCACCCCAAAATCTAATCAGGGCAAAAAGTTTTCATGTTCCACAACAAATAAGGAGCAAAATAAATGACTATATAAACAGCAAAGGGTCAAAATTCAATATGAAAAGGTCCAAAACACCTGTACCTCCGAACCCAGACGAAGAATTAAAATCACGGACTCCACGAAAACCTATCTACAATCAAAATCATGTCAACGAAGATAAAATAATGTCAAATGCTCGATTGACAAAATCAGTTAATTCAACGACAAACTTCAAAGCAAATCCCAATTCACTCTCGTCAATGTTTATCCCGAACAGAAACAAGTCCTTCACAGTTAAACCGGAAACTAAACAGAGCACCTTCAAAATGCCAAGTTTTACTGTCCCAAAATTCGCGACGGGAGTGTCCTGGAATGCAAATTTCCAGCAGCCTTCCAAACCAGCATCCCCCTCAACCCCACGCTTGAAAAAATCTCGAGTCTCCACCCCACCGCGTATACAAGCCCAGCAGACAACGTTCAATCATTACCTCCTCCCACAAGAAATCATGAAGGGAAAGCGTATTTCCCCCACTGCTGAGAAATGCAATAACATGGATGGAAAACCACAATGTGGGGGCAACGCATTAAGAAATTATCCACCATTTCCCTCTGTCTCATCCTATTTTGGGAACTCGACGACATCCACGACGTCGTCTCCTAACAGCAAAAAGAGGACTATAAGTGCCAAGCAGCAACAAAGAAAAGTGTCAAAAAAGGTGTCAGAAGTTGATAATCAGGACTCTGATGTATCGGCTGGTGGTGGTACTCATGGGGCATTGGATTGTCCAATCTGTTTGGACAAGCTTGTAAACCTTCATAGTCATAAACCCCAAGAAAGTAAAGAAAACGTCGTCACATGTTGCGGACACATTTTTCGTATGCATTTTTCCATACAATTAGTGTGTTATTTTATTATCCTTTATTTGTCATGTCGTTCACCATTACTTTTGTGGTATTTTAGATAAGACATGCATACACAATTGGCTAAGTGCAAATGGGTAAGTTTTATTTGTAATATGACTCAATCTAATAAGACTAATAAGACTTAATCAAAGCTCAGTAACGATATATTTCATAGAAATAGCCGATGTCCAACCTGTTCAAAAATGTGCTTGAAAGAAAGTTTGATTCCGGTTTACATTGAAGCAAATATTGCGGACAACGTGAACATAAGAAATGCGGATACTGGTACATTCATTTACTTGACAAACTTATTGTGTAACGTAAATAACGTATACAAACATGCATACATAAGTACGAAATTGTCCCATTTTCCCTTTCAATTTTCAGAAGAGTTGAAACAACTGTTGTTCACGTTAAGGTTTGCATATACAGATATACCTTCTTCTTGTATTTAAAAATGCATGAAAACTGATACAATAATTTATTTCATGGATATAAATTTTACCTCAGATCGGATTACAAGCAACTCAGGGAGAAATATCAAGCGTTATTAAAGGAACACAACGAGTCAAGATTTGCGATCAATGACAGCTTGAGATCTGCATACGAAATGGAGAGCAGAACAAGGGGGCAACTTCAATGGTAATTCATGCAAAAATAGGGCAATGGATGTATGTCATTATATAGAGCAATCAAACTTTTGTAACTTTTGTAGGGAGAATAAAATTCTTCATCAAAAGCTGGACGAAATGAGATCAATGATTGGAATTGAGCAAGGTGATAATTTCCATAATGAATCAACAACGTCCTCTCCCGATATGTTTACCTTTACCCAAAATTTTGATCGTAATCATAATCAACCCAATTCTGATACCGAGAATGAGTAATAATTAAAATAAAGTCGATGTCTTTTCTGTCACATTTTTATTTTTTGATTCCTCAAATATTTCAAAACTATCACAATTAAATAATAATGCATTCTGAAATAGAAAATTACAATACAAATTTTGATAATGAACAAAAATCAGATTTCTAGTTAAATATAAAACTACAATTACGAGTATATAATTAATGCGATTGTTTAAAACAGACAAAATCAAGAAGATCAACATGTTTCCCACAAATCTATGTAGAAGCATTTAAATGTTACCTATATCAGTAGCACAAAAAATCCAATAAGTTTGCATATATTAAAAGAAGTGTTAGCAGAAACACAGCAACAGCGAGCAAAACATGAGCTTGTGTTGGTTTTGTTTAGTTCTTCTTAAGCAAACATGATATTTCAAAGAAATTAAATAATATTATAATTTTACATATACAACCGCGTATCACATAGTGACTTTCTTGTTAGTGTATTTGTATAACTGTAAACTTGCATAGAATTTGTAGGCATATTACTGTTTTTGTGTTCCATGTTACGCGAGGGAACGATCAATTATTCAAGTAGTTAATATTACTGTTTTTTAAATATATATGAGGGGCAATTTCTAAGATCTAAGTGAAATCAAAATCTATCACATACCTAAATTCATCGAGGCATGAATGATCATATAGTATTGCCTAAATTCTGAAGAAAAACAAGTATTACAATCCGCACATCAAGGAAAACAATCAGGGAACTTTTTTTGAAATTTTACATAGATTTGTGTTTGTGGTAATAATAAAATATGCATAATGTTCTTACAAAGAAAATTAAAATCATACCTGAAGAGTAATGACTAGCTAAATTCCAATTTAAACAATGCATAAACCGAATTATCATAATACACTAAATTCATTAATACAGAAACCGTATTTTACGACGTTTCCAAATTCTTTACTTTAATTTTCAAACAATTTTAAAATTCCAAAATACTATCAACAAAAATCGAAACCCAGAAAAGAACCTAGCCCCATCCACGCTTGTATTAAGGTTAACGTTTATTGATCACAAAGGAATTGAAATAAGTTTGAATTTGGAATAAGTGGAGGTATTTTCGGCATACAAACACATACCACAGATTTTTTTTAAATGGTTGAAATCATCTAGAAACGGGCGTCAGGCTGTTCGGCAAATGTTATTCAATTGAGAGTGGATATATATATATAAGCAACATAGACACGACGTCATGTCTATATCGTGTCGTGTTTATGGCTTACGAGAACGAGAAGTGGTATTAATTTTGACGGACAAAGGCTAAGTTATAAGATGGTAGTATTGTAGGCCCATAAATCCTTCTCATATCCTTCGTGGACGTGATCTAAAAGAACTTGTCGACGACTTTCGCAGTAGCGATATTTGTCTTGAACCTGAGAAATTGGAATCAAACGAGTCACATTGGTTAGAATAAATCTTGGTTAAATATTTGATTACAAACTAAAAATTAGGTAATTTACTCGCAGTCCAAGTTACCTTTTGTTTGATATCTGCGAGATTTTCGGAAGTGATATCTCTTTCGAGGTACTCTGAGAGTTTTTCGGTAGCAGATTCCAAATCTTTCTGGTTGTCTTCAAATATTGCAGAGTCGTTAGTCTTTCCAAGATAGAAGGCAAATACGTATGTGTACATAAGTGTCTGACGACATAGGCATAAAATATCCACTGCCTAGTAAATTAAATCATAATCAGGCTAAATCAGGTGTACGTTGATAATTAATTAATCCATCAAGTTCTTATCCTATACCTTCTTCAGAAATTGCACTTCAATCCAAGACATGTTATGCTGTTGCATTTCTTCCATCTTGTCCTTTACGGAAGCATATAGTTTGTGCTCAAACTTTAAACTTTGCATATGATTCATGTATCGATTGCAGTAAAACAAGTAGCGCTGGAGAGCTGCACGAGATCGTTCTTGAATTGGATAAAAAGATATTCCAATTAAAATCATGATCAACTTTGAAACCAATAAGATGTATAAAATTCAAATCCTAAAGATGGATTCTAAAATGCAACGAATGAGGTAATAATCAAATCAGTAGTGTAAACATATTTACCTTGGGCATCACGAGCAGATCTAAAAATAATATAAAAATAAACTTGTGTAAATATTAATGTAAAAAAAGTTTAATCAAATCCTGAAACAAATTAATAAGTAAATATTTCACCAACCTTGCCTCAAGTTCGTCAAATCGGTTACAGTTATACCTAATTTTTTTAAGAGACAATTTTTGACGTATGGTATGAATTAAAATGCTTATATTATATGTATTCCCGTACCAAGATGATCCATGCGGATCCCACGGCCCCAAACAAACCCAACAGAAATCTGCTTTGCAGTTCTGATTTTTACAAACCATATGATTGCATCCACCGTCTTTCTCAATCGTGGCTCCACATTTCGGGCACTCCTAATTCATAGACCAAAATCAAATCACAAACATTGATACTGTTGGTTAAAAAGGTTATTTTAAATCACACAGATGTTGGAAAACTTACTTTTGTATTAGCGGCGATCCAATTGGAAGTTTCCGAATCATCATCGCATTTTTTGAGCTGTAAGAAACAAATAAGTTTAGTTATTCAATGGATGCAATGAATGAAGACGTCGACTTTGGTAGGGAATTATATTATTAGTTGGATTTTTAAGATCAACGAATTTAAACTCCGGTTATCTCACATTTGAAGATGAGTCTTTGTATACTTACCCACTTTTTGAGCCACTGGCATTTTACAGGATCGTGCCACCCATGTCCACATTGGAAACAGAACGTAAATCCGCAAGCGCAAGTGACTGGTCGCCAATCGACCCACTAAAACACAATAATTGATAATATACAAAAAAGGAATTTCATTGCATATTTCCCAATGAATTAAGACACCACTCACCTGTACTCGAATAGCGTTCGTGCAATCCGCAGAAGGACACCATCGCATCAGCCGATTGCACTAAAACATTATAATGTAAATAAATATTTACATTCACAGATCGGGAATAATTTGCCTCCTGGGTGTGCATACCTGTACAAAGCTGTTGGTTATTAAATGCTGATATTTCAGTTTAACTTTTGGATCAGTGACCAGTTCAGTGACTGTTTTATCATCAACCAAGATGGGGCAGTTATGGGCAGCGCATGCAATCGTTTGACCCATTCCTTCTTCGATGATCTTGGTTGTCAAATATTCGGACCAACATTGTTTACAAAATCGATGTCCACACTCCATCCCATACATCATCTACATCAATTATAATGCACAATTAATACTGTGCGCATATTTCTCTTTTAAAAATGTAAAAAGAAAATGGTCAGATTTCACTTACTTCCGATCGCTTTGTCAGATAACAAATTTCACACTCTTCCACTCCACTTGCAGGTATGATAACGGGAGCCCGAGTAACAGTTGGATTTACGATCCGTGCGTCCCGAAATAATTGCTCTTGATCTCCGTCATAGTAAGCTGAAGCAAAACAATAGTTTAGATTAAAACAGAATCCATGATTAAATAGTTGTAATAAAACGCGACATTTCTATCTTTTTACTACTAACCTTCAAGCAATTTCTCTCTATCCCAGCCGAAATGGTTTAGCAGAATGCGCATAGTCGTAGGTGGAAGTTGTAGAACGGTATTTGCCTACAAGAGTTAGTTTTATTATTAGTTATATTCTGAATGAATGATCCTTTATATGTATAATTAATTATATCATGTATTATAAAATGTACTCACTTCTCTAATGCTATCGACCATATGCTCCACTATATCCTTGGTTGAAAGAACACTAAATGGGTAATCATCTTCGGGATTTCGTTCATTTGCAGCCCGATCATCTCGTTCCATGGCGAATTCCACATCCTCGCCACTCGACTCATTTCCGCTATCTTCATATTCTTCAGAAGAATCCATGTCGACGTCGTCGTCCTCGTCGTTAGACAGGTTTGCTGCAGGAACTTGGACGACAGCCTTGTCGTCTTCTTCTGCACAATGCTCGCTCAACTTTGGTTTCTTTGTGGGAAATTTGAGGGTGGCAGCGGCAGCAACAACAACAGTGTCGTCATGTGTAGTGGAATTTCTGGTTGGATGCGAGTTATTGTGACTTCGTCTTGTCGGGGGAGGAGAAATGTGATGACGATGACCAGATGAAGGGCCTGGCTGAGGCTCCTTACTTTCTTTACGCCCTCGCCCACTGAATCATGAGACAAATATAATAATTAATTCTTGATAACCCATCCTGTCATTTTATCAACAACACAATAACAATGTGAATTCAATGCTAGCTGAGGAAAATATGACTCTTTTTCCCAAGTAATTCGTTGTGAAAATAAGTCATAACTACTCAATTACTAACCTCATTATTGTTGTTTATTAAATGAATACAAAAGAAATCTGGCCAAGTCATCACAAGAAGGACACTAGATGACCCATTCCTTTATGATATGGCAAGAAAATTCTAACTGTGGTGGTGCCTCTTAAATCGCCCTCCACCAACAAGAAGACGACTGGACCACAACTTTTTTTTCGAATACTGTGCTTATTAAATTGCTGAAATTTGAAAAATTATTGCTACGAGAAACGAGCTGACCACTTAAAAATTGTTTGCTCGACCTGACTCGAGGGACAGAGGAAATAGGACGGATGCGCAATAAAAATAATAATTATTTTATTAAAAGAAGACAAGAAGTTTGCTCACCCAATTTCGACTTTGAAGTCCCACTGCTGCCACACTACTGGTCCCACCTGGGCTCCTTCCTAGGAATTCAAGTTTCGTACAGGTCTCGTCCTGTAAAACCAAAATCAACCACGACACGACTATTATTATAACTTGAGATACTAGACAACCTTCCTGCTTAATTCAGCCCATAAAAGTACTACGTACACTTTTACATCTTTTTCTCCTCAAAGTACTAAATAATTAGGACGTCGTAATTCGTATTCAAAGAAAGTAGCTACTCGTTTGGTCGTAGTAGATTACATATATTGATTTCATTCCATTAGTTAATTCTAGCAAATTCACCTTTTTGTCGTGTCAAAGTTGGTGTTGGGGAAATTGACCAGTCGGATAAAACCTAAACAAATTTTATTCTCTAAGCTGATGTCATAAGAAATGTCGTGGTGCAGTAACAATGGATTTCTGTTTGATGCAGCAAAAGTACAAAGAAAGAGTAAATGGGACTAAAACGAAGGGAAGGTTGCTGAATCAGATGAGAGATATTTGTTTGTGGTGGTGGTGGCAGCAGTCAGTGCAGGATGGTGGTGGTCGCAATATAGAGCATAGGAACAGCTAAAAGTGATACGCAGAGTGGACGACGACGGGATGCTACTGCGCCAGCCATAAGACCTCATTCGACAACCCACCACTCAAATCACTCGCCGGGAACAATCTCTTTGTTGCATCCACAAATCCACATTTGCATGAAACTTTTACTCGTCTAGTGGTGGACCACTTCCGAGGGGACTTCGAAGGGAAAGCTGCTGCTGCTTTCACTCACAAATTGCATGCTACACATTACGGCTTTTTCGACAACTTTATTTCGCTCTATGAGATTATTTATTACTCGAGGTTCACAGGTACACAGTCTTTCACGCAGTCAGTCACATTGTCATATAACAAGCAAAATAAATAAGTAGAAAATAGGAAAATTATGGGAATATAAGAATAAGTTACTACACACGAACAAAACAGAACACATGCACAATAAATAAGTTTCAATCAATAAATATTTTTACGTATTATGAGATATACTTTGATGGCTTGTCATCTTCGTCGTCGTCCTTTTCGACCATGTCAAAATATTTAGAGACGACATCTATAGACTCGTCCATCCCCTTTGCTGCGAGTTGTTCTTTCCTCCGCTTTTTGGCATCCACTCTTTCATGTTCTTTCTTCATTTTGTCGTAATTCTTTTTGAGTTCGGTTTGAATTTCGGTGAAAATTTGAGTCTTTCTCCTCATTTCTTGATCTGCAATCCCATCGCCATCTTCGTCATCCAACTCATCGGCAACAAGATCAGAAACGTTTGATTCTTCATCCTCTTCCTTTTTGGGGAGGAAACTCGTCAGTTCCGCAACGGGCTTGAGCACATTAACCTCACCGCTTTCAATGTCGATGAAAATGCCTTTGAGACCATCGTCAGTATCATATTCGGGATCCTGTTGTTCTTCTACATGGTTTGATTTAGCCAAGTTGTCATCGGCATCAACCTTCTCGGCTGCTTTTGCTCCAACATGCACGTCGTCCTCGTCATCATAGTCAACTTTTCTATGTTGGTCTGGTTCAGGCGTGGTTGTTGTTTTCACCTTCAACTTGAGCTTCTTTTTCTGATTCTTTTTCACCTGGCTCAAAACTTGGGTTAATTCTTCAAAGGACATGTCATCTCCAATATGAACAACGGGGGATTCAGTAGTGGTCGTCGTGGTGGGAATAACAGTGACATTCACGATTTGAAGCTTTCCACCGATGACTGCCAATTTATGTCGGACTTGGGGTTTCTTATTATTGGGAGTTGGAGGAGTTGATGTGGGTGGGCGAACTCGATTTCTTCGGATGGGCAGAATTTTCAGAGGATTGAGAGCAGAGGGGTTTGAGATTAGTTTTGCTAATGTGCTAATTGACTTGGGTTTATTAGACCCGTTATTATTACTCCCACCGTTGGTTTTATGTTCAGGGTCTGTAACTCTTTGTTTTGGAGTGGTTTTTGAAGCAAAGTAATTTTTAACAAACGACATTACAGAATTAGTGGGGGAAGGTGAAGGATGGCCATCTTCATATTCTGAGAAGGAAGAATCAGTTTGAGGTTGAGACTGGGCTTCTAATAGTTTTTGTCTTTCAATTTCCTTCAATCTGTTATTCACCGCGACTTGATTGCGTCTCAGGAAGGAATCATTTGCTTCCGGATTAATTTGGGGAGAGTATATTTGATGAAAGTTCTTGTATGGGATACCACCAGCACTACCACCAATGGCACCTCCCCACACTTGGGAAAGACTTGTTTTTCTATTGAAACTGCTCTGCGGACGGGGGCGACGAGGTCTCAATGTGTTTCTCGAGTGGAAACGATCATCAGATCTCGACTTTGGTAAATCGGGTTGTCTGTAAGTGAACCGTTCATATGCTTCGTCAGCCGAGTTCTCATCTTCAGAAAGATGATGGCTGCGATCAGTTGGAGGTTTTTTGCTGGGTTTCCCTTTATTACTTTGTCGTCGGCCTTTCCTAACCCAGTAGTGAAATATCTTGGCAAGACTGAATTTAGATGAAGGAGACTTTTTATGGTCTCGAGAACTTGATGGAGGTGGCCTTATTGGCTTCGGTTTGCTTACGGGACGGTGTTCCCTTTTCGCATGGTAATCATCGTCTTTGAAACTGTCTTTCTGCTTGGGGCGCTTGATGTGTCTGGGACCATCGTCATCAGAGAAACCGTCGTCGTATGGTCTTTCACTTGGTCCATGTTGAGAATTATGATATGGCCTTTCTTTGGAAAATGTATTATAATTTTCTTTAGATTCATGGCGGAAGTCAACCTGTGGTTTATCTTTTGGCCAGTAGTACGGATCCTCGTTGGGCATTTTCTTTGGTTTACCACGCGTTCGTTCATCACTGCGTGGTCTTTCCTTTGATCCATGGCGTACCTCATCAGCATGATCGTCATCATCATCTCTTGATCGCTCTGGTGGATCAAAGTCGTCCATCATTTCTGTATTCTCAGCCTCATCATTATAATCATTTATCCCGTCATCAAATTGAGGCCGTGATTCTGAGTGAGCCTGCTTGGGCTCGACTTGCCGGAAGTTGAAGTCATCTCTTGAGGGTGGTGGTCGGTCATCAGGTCTCTGGTCGTCCTCCTCGCCAACGTCTTTGTCGTATCTCTCCCGACTTTTGTTTTCCTTTGACCGCGATCTGGAGGATTCCTTTGAGGTGCGATCTCGAGTCCTTTCCCTGCTCCCAGGTCCATCTCGAGTAGGTTTATGATCCGGATGCACGTCTTCTTCTTTAGTAACATCTTCAAGATTATCGTTTCCGCGTGGTTTCCACTTGTGCTTGTCATTTGGTGGGCGAGGTCGCATTTTGGATGGTCGTTTCTTCTTTGTTCGAGATGAGCCTTTCCGTGTTGGCTTTTTATTTTTTGATGGAGATTCATCCAGCCCATTATCACTGCCATACTCAGTTTCTGGCAAAATGTCATCAATCTTTTCTTCTTCTTCTAAAATTATTGGTTGTCGTTGTCGAAATTTTCTTCGACGTTTGGGTCGCCTTGTAGGGATTGGTTCTTCATCTTCTCCTCCGGAAAACTTTGCTCCCAAGTCTCTGCCCTGAGTTATCAGCATTTGTTCATCTGAAAGGTAACACAAAAAGTTATTAGGATTGATTTACTAATTAAAAATTACTAATGTCAATTGCCACTATTGACTATTATAAACGAACAATACTCACATGCAGTCAAGGTGCTATGTCCAGCCAGAGGGTCATCGAGAGGCTTGGAGTAGTAATTCTTGAGAGATGTGGAAGATCGTTTTCGAAAGTTTTTGTTCCTTTTCATTTGCATCATGTCTGCCTCATTGAGCGGAGGTGTCAAAAGTTGATCTGGAATTTGAAGTCTGGGAGCCGCAACGTTGAATTCTTTGCCCGCATTCCAAATATCCAAGAGTGAAAGTGGTTTCTTTGGAGTGATAGCCGTTGGAGAGAATTGTTTCTGATTTAGATGATGATTTCTCATTTCTCGGTGCAGCTGGAGTTGAAGAACTCGTTTGGCAGCGGAAACGTCCTCTTGGTGCTTACCACCCCCTGACAGCGAACGGATGAGCTCTTCGTTGGGGTCGACGGTATGACTTTTCTTGCCCATGGTTGGAGATCTTAATTCATTTTTAACAGTTTCGGTGAAGAGTTGAGGGCCAACATCGAACATTATTTGAGCGTCTGCAGCGTCTCCAAACCGGTATCCCAAACCCATTCGTGTGTCAACTCCTGGAAAGTGAGCAATGCCATTCGATAAAGGTTAATTGTTGAGAGTATTTTTATGCGATATTTCACTACAATATTTTCATAGATTGAAGGGCATTTAAAGAAAATCTCAATCTGCCTCCAAATCATTATCATTTCCTTTTCTTTTAGAAATGTAAAGTTACCTCGAACTCTTGGCTTCCCACCGAATCCACTCCCACTAAAAATGTTCGAAACTGTGGTAAACATTGAGGATCCCAATGAGGTCAGTCCAGCGCCAACCGACGACAAAATTCCCCCAGCTCCTTGAGAGGTCAGCAATTTTCCAAAAGGTGAATGAGATTGAACCTGGCCAAGTATATCTGCCAATGAGTTTGGTTGTGCGGTCGGATTTTGACGCTGTTGTTGCTCATGAATTGCTTCAAATGCAGATAACAGTTGTTGCGGGTCTAATTGTTGTGATTGTTGAATATTTTGACTAGAACTGAAGCCATTATTATTATTAAACTGATCTTGTTCATTTGGCTGTTGTGCAAATGAATTCAATGTCCCCAATAGTGAGACAAGACTAGAAAACTGGTTACTAGCTGCTGACGCTGTGTTAAGATTTGTGCTGGGATGCGAACTATGACCATTATTGCTTTTTTGTGCATCTATCGCTGCTGCTTGAACAAGAAACTCTGAAAGAGCTTTAGCAGCTTCTGTTTCCGCTCCAGAAGAAATTTGGCGTGGGACCACATTTGAATTTAACAAAGCCGCTGTGGCATCCGAACCCCCGAAAATAGCGCTTAACGCTGCCAGTGCTTGTTGATCTTCGCGAGTCGGATTATCAATTGCAACATTTTTGCTTGATGATTCTGTGGCACTTGTTGGTGTTGAAGTTGTCGATTTAGAAGTAGTCGTAGGACTCTCAGTGGTTGTGGAATTGTCACCAAGACTGGTAAGCAAGGAATTAAGTAGAGAAAGTTGATTCACCAAATCCTGTTGAGAGGGTGGAGCAATTTCTTGCAGCGTGTCAATATGAGAATCAATGCGTCTATCGGCATTGCTATTATTTTTCACTGGGAAATTGGAGTTTTTCATACTTGGAAGAAGAGTCGTGGTGTTAAATGAAACAGTTGATGTCGTACTTGACACGATCGGTGGTTTGGAGGTCGTTGTCGACGTTGACATCCTCGTGGTACTACTAGTGATGGATGGTGGTGGGGCATTTGTTGGTGTCACTTGCGGCCCCACGGTGGAACTCTCCGCATACTTTTTTACTTTGACTTTCCTTTTAATAAGCACAGTTTTAGGTGATGAGCTAGCCTTTGTCGACTGGTCAGCAACATTCCTGTTATGATCAGTGTTTTGACTTGTGGTCCCACCACTTGTTCCATTCGAGTCCAAAATAGAAATTAAATGCCGCAAATCTACATTTGAGCGGTGGTCATCTGCAGTTGACACCGCCGTTGAAGGTTTTGCATGTAGTACCGCAATCAACAAGACTGCAAGAATCATTTAAATCTGTGACTTAGATATGCATGCTAAAAACGTTTGGTAGATTTGAGTAACAAAAATTTAGGAATATTTACCTGCAATGATCGGAAATAACGAATGATGAGTCACTTTGGACAACTTCATGACTTTGTAATCACAAAGTCCAATCACATAGCGTTATTTGTAAAGAACCCACCACTCAAAAACGCACCTTATCAGTACAACAATAAATGGATGATTTTTTCAAAACATATGTCAAGCCTCGCCAGGGTTTAACGGATTTTGAATTTATTAATTCCACCGGAGCTGTGATGATGCGACTGAGCCACGTTAATGTCACTGACTACGAGGTAATAGAAAATGAAAGCTAACACACTCTGATATCATCTCAACGAATCTGGTTCACTCATGTTTTTCTTCTTAGACTCGGACTTAACTCCATCTTTATGGTGACGCCAATAATGCAATGATCGCAAACAGGGTCACGAGAGTGGTCAAGTCACTTTCCCCCATTCTCGAGGTCGTCAAGCAGGTTTTTACTGCTCCCTGTTAAGTATTTCTTAATATGCGTATAATCCATGCAAGCACTATCGCTTTCTATAATACCGTGTTACCGTTTTTAAGTAAGGAAGTGACCACGCCACTCTACTAAATATGCTAATTGAAGAGTTATATATGTATATCGTGCAAGTTTTTACAATTAATTAGCCTGTCTCAATATGTATCATATTGTTTTGCAATTGTTGGAATTTTTGTATCTCTCTAAACTCAATTAAACGGGAGATTATAGTGGCAGACATGTGCTCAGAATATTCATCTAAGAAATAAGTGCATTTACTGATATTAGTGCTTCAGATAATCGACTTACATTATGTGTGACTTTTAAAAGTAAAATTTGCTGTTGTTTGTCATTATTTCTACATATGATGTTTGACATGATTTCCATCTGGAGTACTTTCGCTGTATTGATTGCTACAATTACATTTCTAATTTACATAGAGAAAAAAGCCGCTTGCCAATTTTTTATATGAATCGAGAATCTTGTGTGGTTTACTAACGAGTGAATTTATTTATTTATTGTCGCACCTCGTGTGTTTATGTATTCGTATTTTAGTTTCAACCTACATATTTAAGCAGTTATAAGTACTGCATAATGCATATACATATGCACTATGTATAGAAATACGCATCTTCTGTACATACTTACGTAGCCCACCTTTTAATTTTTTATACAAACTATGACCATATACAAAATATTATTCGCTGTTGATGATACAAAACGGCATACACACAAGGTCAACATTTTATACTTTTGTAAAACTCATCGGAGCTGAATGAGAGTGGTCCTGCAACAACTTTAAGTTTAGCATTCAATTCTTAAAAATGCATGCATGATACATAATACCGAGGTTAAACAATTGAGAGGATTTGTATAAAGCTTCTTTAGTCTAGATTTTCATAAACAAAAAATATATGAAATTTGTTTCTCATGCTTAAAATGTAATGTTGGTAAAAACTAAAAAAAATCCTTCCTCATCTCCTCGTGTTTATTTATTTGTAATGTTGCTAAATACGTTGTGGTGTGATGTGGCAGATATGAACCTGTATCAATACGTACTTAAGTACGAACTGTATAATAGCTACGCACAATGATTGCATAAAAACGACTTAACCCGCATTTTTTACACACCTAACCCAACCTCACAACAGGTAGAAGTGAGCTACCTGTAATTGGACTGTGTGAAATTATGTCGGTGTTGTGTTGCAGAACGCGTGCTGCATGGGAAACACTTTGCTGAGCCATAAGTTTTTCAATTACAAAATATTATGTTATTATTACGGTGAGAAGCGCGTTTAATCTAATTTATTTGACCTTTGAGGTGCTTAACTCCCTCGCTTATTGAGAACTTCAATATTTCTTCGGTGAATGCACGAGGCTCTGAACAAACTCAGACAGGTTCACCCAAGTTCAGTGTGTGATAAACCGAATCGAGTTTTTAATATTAGTTCAGTAGGTGCTAAGGCCATCTCTCATACGGATTATTTTCATTCCTTGATGTGAATCATTGTGGTGAAGGACTGAAGGCTTCAATCGTGCCTTTGAAGGTGATCCACCAAATTGGTTCAATCAATTTGTAATATCTATAATTCATACGAGTGGCAATAAAACCAGCAAGCGACGCAATCATCATCATCAAACAAAATCTCATTTGTGTGACTTTGTCAGAAAGGAGGATCGCCGAGTTATCGACGACCACATGTGTGTATTTTGTCGAAATTATGGCACATTGATAATTAGGACACACATTTGTTTTCATATTATGGCCACTCTCTCAGTCAATATGTGCAAGCTCTCGAACAAAGCCAGCTAAATAACTAACTACTAGCTAAATATTCAGTGATACATGTGTACAAGTGTGAATGCTGGTTGTGAAGCATGAAATAATCAGGTAATTGTTTGACGAGTGTAAAAAATGAGCTTTCACATTCCACCTTTACTCAAACACCAGCATAACCTCACATGAAATAGGCAGCCTTTGTCACCAACAAAAACATGTAAAAGCCTGCATCACTTTCTCCGATCAGAAAAAAGCTATATAATTCAATCTCGTAATCATTAACATGTTCCTGAATATAAAAAGGTAGTAAAGTAAATTATGCATTAAAACAGTTGCCGGATTCTAGAATGAATAAATAATTTAATACTTACTAACGGAACTCATTAACATCAGTTTGTCGTCATAATTCATTGACCACATCGGTGTGTGCGAATCATTATTATTCAACGTCAGCGTACTACATATGCCTCTATCGCCATCAATTCTATATAGAATCTCTCCCAGTGTGAAGTTGTTGGTGGCTACAGGTCGCAGAGCAATTCCGCTGGTGTAAACAGTACGGAATATTATACCAAATTCGGATTAACCTTATCTGAAAATTTACTATAGAATTTTCGTGATTGCGAAAAAATAATAACTAATTGGCGAACTGAAACGTCGAGACGGAACCAGTTTCTTGGCCGGATTTAAGTTGGAGTGTCCTATTGTGGAAATAAATTGCGTAGTCGTGCGCTTCAGTCTCAGCGTGAAAGTGGGCCGTTCGACTGAGGAAGAGAGAACGTGCTGGAAGTAGGAGAAAGTCAGAGCTGAGTTCTTTCACTCTGCAGACTTTGAGGGAAAGCACTCCACGCCAGTCGCATTTCTCTGCAAAAACTACACCATCACATTCTCACTGGACATTTCCAACCTGTGACTTAAATTCACATGGAGTAAGTGATTAGTAATTTGTTCCAGTTAAAATTAAGTCAGTTGGAGAAAACATGTGATAAATTGGAAATATTCAGCCCAAACCGAAGGTAAATATTTTTTTAGTCAATTCAATAGTTTGAATTTAAAGTTTCCTATATTTGCATATTACTGGAGAATGCATTAATAATTCTTTTGTAACATTCCGTTCACAATAAATCTATTGTGTTGATTTGCTCTCACCGCATTACCTTAATGACTTCAACACTTGCGTAAATATCCCAAATATTGCAGTTTCGCTGAAAGGCTGACATGCATTCGCTATATAGTCCATAAGTAAAATATTTGGTCGAGTCTTATGAGTAATTGTCTGTCAATGGTGCCATGGGTGTATAATTTAGCGTAATAGTGACTTTTAAACTGATAAAGTGAAAAACGTCAATTGCATTAAACGATGAAAGGTGTTTATTGGATCTAATTGTGTGTGGGTCAGGGTGACGATAATTCACAACGTCTCATATTCCTCAACGATGAGTACAGACTGATTGTACTTCTGGCATCCAGAAATGTCTGTGCGTTCCATTCTAGTTGAGAATATTAGCAAATATAAAAATCCCATTGTGAGATAAAAGTGCCTTACATAAATACTGGAGTATATATAATGCACTTATACAATTGGTAGAAAACAAAATGAAGAGCGGAATCGTCTAGACCGAATCCAAAAACAAGAGTAATTAATTAGGGATTAAAGCCTTCGAAAGCTTCCCAGAATTTGTGAATTCTGAAAGCAAAAATCTTAGGATTAGTTCAGGCTATCGTTAATTAATTCCAAGTATTGTGTACACTTTGTTTCAAAGGTATGGTAATTAGATTATTCTGGCACAGATACATCTAACGTGTATCTGTAGCTTCTTGGAAAATTTAATCAGATATCCAAGTTTTATGCTTTTCTATGTATTACGAACATACACGTGAGCCGAGTTTAATTAAATTAGATTGGATAAATAGTTAGTAAAGGAATGGATATTATTTTTCTTAGGACTGGTATCACCGAGATAATTTTGGAACAAATGATTCATATAAGAGGTGGGTTTGCTTATAATGTCGCCCTTTAGGTCAGTAAAGGAGTGGATTTTTCCACCATTTTTACTTGTTATTCGGGCATCACGTCGTCTTCATCCCATTGTCGAGGGCGTCCAAGGTCTCGGGAACATGCATAAGGTTTCATAAGTATACGATTACAGTAAACAACGTACATGCATGTCACGTTTACTTACACTACTTGCGGTACAAATAAAAGCAATAATCCATACCGAATATCGCATAGCAAAATTATAGTGCTGATAAAGTTACGTTATATTAAATAGGATGTCGGATATTAAATTACTTCATGGGTAACAATTATTCCTGATAACATTTCAGAGGTTTCTTCAAAAGGAAGTGAGTTCTTGACGTACATCTCAATTAGATAGCAATAAATATTGTCTTCGTAAAGGTGTACTGTTTCATTAATACCGAAAAACAGCGAAATTGGGTTAACAGATATACAGAAAATGCACATGGAATTAATAGCCGAGCCATTATTATTTGCAATCTATGAAATGAGAGAACTATGGACTATGCACTTGCGACATGTTGTTAAAAAACAATGCATGTACATATGTAGGCTTGAAAAGTATGCTAGACCTGAGTCATGCCTTTTCTTTGCGTCTTCATCAAAATGACTCAAGGATCCCCAAGGACTGGTCAACCAATCTGAAATCTTCTGATGCATGAAATTTGAGCTAAATATTGGACTCCAGAGACATTCTCATTTCCATGCTTAATTGGAACAAAACGAGTACAAAACTTAGGGTGGAAAGTTATGCAAACCTCTTTAGATTTTTCTGCGAAGCCTGTCTTGACCCTTTACCCTTTTGAAATAATAGTTTGTAAAGTCGTTCATTCGTGCATATACTCATAACTGAACTGAACTGAACTGAACTGAGGGTCGCAATTATCTACTATTTCTCTTCCTGGATGCCCAAACCTTTAACCGAGATGAACTGGCCCGTCAAATTTGTAGAAAGCATTTTCTGTATATAAGACTTTTCGTGATGGATAGCGCATAATTAATTAATTGCCCAGACACCACAATCTCTAAACTTCTACATGTACATTAATTCCCTTGTCAGTAACTTTCGTTCATTATACATCCCACTCTGACATTTTGTAAATACACGTCAATTATATACTCGACAGGTGACGTTTTTCCCAAAAGAAAGGTTTTCACCATTGTCACCATTGCTCTATTCTCTTTTATTTCATAAAGGACAATAAAAAATTGTGAGAATCTTTAAGTAAATCTGACCTTCAGCTTCTGCACCTAAATACAACTTATGCCGTTTTCGTGATTTGTTAGCAATAAATGTCAAAAAATGGGATAGTTATGGTACACTGATCCTAAGTATTAATATGATTAGAATCATAAGAATAAGTTCTTTCTTTGAAAGAAAGTCATAAAAGTCATATTTCTTCTTTATAGATTTTGCGAAAATTCAATAATTTCCTTCTTTATGCAACTTCACTTTCTAGTACTATTTCCTATATTACCTGTAATAAATAAATATAGTCTCACATAAAAAACTGCAACAAATCAAGTGGTTACATAGCTTATCCTTAGCTAAAGAAATAAAACTTAATTGTTTTATATGATGCGTGAGCGTATAAACTTAATAAAACTTAGACAATTCAAGCAAAATGTTGTTTTAGATTGTACGAAAATCTATTTAAAATTAAAAGAATTTCGAATACACATGTACATGTTTATTTATGTATTAAACAATATAACTAATCCTTGCATGTGTATTGCTAATCAAATTTTAATTCGTATATTACAGGCATGGAAATGCCATCCGCATCTCTTTGGACCAATGACCTAAGAAAGTTGAGACTTTAGAGATAGTTTAAGTGAAAAACTGTCATCTACAGAAAAATTACTGGGAAATTTTAAGGATTACGGATGCGGATCCAGTAGCAGGTCCAAATCCCTACTTGACTCAACATCACCGCAAAATTGGAGTTGCTGCATCCTTGTCTGCTCAGGCTCTCCCTTCGGAGAAGTGAGAAAGGAAAGATGCAGGTTCTCACAAATTCCGAGAAGTTGCTATTATCATCCGTGGGAGTTTTTGCAATATCACTTACTGCCATTGTGATATTCTGCGTCGTTCGAAAAAGCTGCTTGCTTCACAAAGCTATTTGGGAAGATGGTATGTGCCTACGTTGTGGGCCTTGCTTAAATATAGACATTGCGGTGCAGATCGTGGCGGATAAATTCATATTACGACGTTGCAGATAAGAAGAAGAAGCAAAGGATGGATGATATCATCTGTATTAGATACCCACCGGATATTTATCCCACCTCCCTCGGCGTCTATCGCGAGAGTGAGTTATAAAATACTTTACTCAATTTATGGTCCTAAACACCTTTTGAAGTTCTAGCTTTGGTAACTAGTAGTACGTACATAGAACGCAACTGGAGGGTTTTCAGGACCTGAATTTAATTATAATTTCAATGCATCTTCCATACATGCATTTTCTACCGTGATTTTTATATTTGTTTCAATGCGTACTCTTTTTGACAAAATGAATTACATGTTTTATATCGATGAATAAGAAGCATTGATAGGAAAGTATTACGAAAACTATGTGGTGTAGTGGACCTATTCTGAAATTGGACATTGACGAGAATGATACCGGGAAGTAAATAAAATAAGCTGCTGGGTTTGGTCGGACCTTCTAAATCAATACAGCCAAACACAATGCCAAAGCTAGAATGTTTATTTGATGTATTGAAACCTCCTTCGAGTAAATAAACCAACCGAATCACAATTGGGCAAAATAGGACATGAAAATGAATTCTAGTAGGCCGTATGTTAGATGGATGGGTGCACAGTAAAAATAGAGCAGACAACTTTCTCCAGTAGTCGTTTCCTTATCCAGAGGGGCATCTAGAGACCATAGGAACAATTGCTCTTTCTCTTGGATTGGGTTGGAAAAAATAAACTGAGAAAGCTAAATAAGCAGAGAACACTTGGACCGCTTTAAAACACGCTCAGCGTAGGTCAGGTCTTCTCTAAAATGTATGTCCTTAATTTTATGAAGCTCTGACATGCAACTTGCCCGCTTACTGCACAACTTATTCCAAAGACCAATTCCCTCTACTCTTTGTTGTAATGGCTTTGGCCTCGGTCTCAATCTCCTCCCAAGTAATACGTGGAACAATGTGGTACAATTGAGTTCCTTGTTTTCTCTAAAATTCCCATCTACACGATCCTTCACATTCAGCGAACTCCAAAAGAATTAATTGTGTGCAAATTGTCTCAAATTTAGATATTCAAATTATGTTGAGCTATAATATTATGTAAAGGAATGCGGATGGATGAAGACATTGGGGAAAAGGAAAAATCATTAATCTGTGTTGCTATTATCCTATTATTATCCAATTTAGCACCTCTAGCTCTACTTGACTCTTTTGCAAGGACACTTTTACATGCATATGTTTATTCTTACGAAGAAGGGTGAATGATCGCGTACTTTCTCTCTCCGAGCAACAATCCACCCACGCGCACCTCTCCAGTGAGAGTGACAAAGGTCGAGATGAGGTCGAGTTGCTCCAGCTAATTTAATTTTCAACTGAATTTTTATATTCCCAGTAGAAAACTGCACGAAACCCCAACTAAGTAACTCCCGTCCTCTTCTTTTCATCATCATAATTCAATTATCGAGCAAACAAAATTTTGATTCGACGAAAATAACAAAAATAATTTATTGTGTGTGATAACCACTCGTTGCATTTAATTTTTCCTGTTTACATGTAAAGATGCTTTCCGAAGCCCAGAGGAAGAGTTGGCCCGACTTTTCTACTCGCCAATAAAGCGAGACTCGACTTACAGGTACATACACACGTACAGTTTTAGATATGGATTTTTATTTATTTACTTAATTGAAGTCCACTATAACGTCAAATCTTTCAGCTCCATGTCGGACAGGAGCAGTAACTCAAGTGTTGGTTTAGAAATGTCATCCCCTCACACTTCAAGTGGGTCTAATACAACCACCATGGGTTCCCCGGTTACGGCAGTCGCTGGAACGCCAGAAGAACAGTCCCCTCGTCATTCTTCTGCCCCTCGACAAGGCAACAATGCTGCTGTCAATGTCAAGTCGTTGTCCAATGTCAAGTCTTCTTCTCCAATGGTTCCAGTCCCCGTCGTCCCCATTCCCATTGCAGGACACGTCGACCAACGATTTTCCATGCCACATTTTTCCAACAGCACTGGATTCTACCGATCTACGGTGGCTGCATTGGCGGAAGAAGCGGCCGTTGCGGCGAACCGTCGGTTCAGCTTGCAGCCGGGCATGTCATTGAGCCATCCGAATGCTCGACAACCCTTCTTCACATTCATTTTGAAATATGAGGAGGACAACGGCCTCATTAATATCGAGTTCATTGTAAGTTTACTTCTCATATTTGCATTTGATCTCATTAAATACCGTGCATAAACCACGCTAGGCTGTGTAATTAGATTTGTTTGTGTGAAACACTTTCAAAAGGGGAAAGTGTGAGTAGGTTGAAGTATGTAACGAGTAATTTGTGAAGTGAAAAGTACGGAGATTTCACTTCCTGGTTATATATTTGCTTTGTTCGTGGGTTAAGGATTTTGTGTGGAAGGAAGGAAATTGTAAATTAATGAGATTTCCAGCACAGCGAAAACTTTCACATGTACTTAATTCAAACGTGCAACTCAAACAGTGGGATCATCTCTTATTTGCTGAAAATTTGTACAATGGTGTAATAGTTATTTCGATGTCTGAATTGCACCCATTGAAAGATTTCCACACAGAGACGTTAATCGATATGAAATCTGGAAATAGTTTGCAAGACATCAGTCAAACTCGGTATAAACGACATGTTTTTTTCAAACTTTTACCATCTAATATACACAAGTCGTGGAAAGTTTAATGCAAATAGTTTGCATACCAGTAATATCAACCAAGTAAAGAAATCAATCTCAATTAAGTAATGAGTTTGCACAAAGAAAAATCTTTAGAAACTTTGAAATTTTTTGCAAAAGTTAAGAACGTTGAAAGTAAATATGTATTTTTGTCTCATCCCTTGTGAATATCCACTACTTTTGGCTGGTTCAACTCAAGTTATTTGACCTTTTTATCCAAAATCATAAAGTGAGAACACAGTTAGAAGAACTTCTTTTACTGTACACATATTTGAAAAGAGAAAGTACTGGTGATACAATTTTGTAGTTGATACATCTGTCTGGCTGGAAATAGACAAGAGACATGTTTCCCACTTCTGTATTGCTGGAAATACTTGTTTGGGTCATTATAGAACATTTGTTGTTACAAATTGATCCGCAGCATCGCAATTTATTCAATTTGTGTTCCTGTAATAAACTTGAATCGAATAGAATAACATTCCCAGTATGCGTAATTTGTGGAGACGGATTACAGTGAACTATAAATATCCGACTTCACATCCGTAACAGCAAGATTTTTTTTCTCCAAGACAAGTTAGCTCATAAAATGTTGGTTGTTGATCCTGCACAATTTGGACAACAGAAGAGAAATCAATCTTTGTCCTTCCTTCTGTTGTTATACCTGATCCATTCTATTCCCGATATGATTCTCTCTTTCTCTGTGTTCCATTTTCCGCTGAACGTCCAAAAGGTGCATGCGGTGATAAACAGAATGCTTCCTTTTCGCTCAATGTGCGATTCTATTGATTCGCCTTTATTGATTCAGCCTATTAAATAAAATAAATTGGGCGCAAATTATTAGGAAGCACCTTCCTTTCAGATTGCATTATTACACACTTATATTACACGTATGTATGTATGTACAAACTTCCGCAGGGCGCTGACCTCAGAGTTGAAGTCTCACATATTATGTGCCCCACACGTTACATGGCAAGTCAGGTTTTCCCCAAAGATCGGTGTAGATTACAATTTTTAGATGGCATCCAAGTAACGGATAGCTTTACGGAAGAGAAATAAGTTGTAGCAATTTAGTTTAATGGATTGGAGAACAAGTTTGGCTCCACAAAGTAACGAATTTATAGAAATTCTGGTCGCCCATATATTTCCCATGTCCATGTTGTGGTTTATGGTTGGAGTGGATACTCAGAGTGGGTGAAATACACAACTTTCTCCTGTAATGAACTTCTTCATTTAGTCCACAGAGCCAAAAACTGCTATACAAAGTATACAAACCTTTCATTTCGACGCTGCACATATGTATATGCACCCAGTTCTGCCAGCCAACTTGAATGGGCACACATGAAAGTTAACCATTTTTGTCGTGTGTCTGTGGTGGTATTGAAATTACAGGTGGGAGAGAGAGAAAAAGAGAAGGAAGAAAGTATGGTCAATTCAAACGGAGAAAGACAAAGTAGGCCACCGCTCAGGAACAAAAAACTCCACATAATCTTTTTCCTTTTTCCCATTACATATTGAACCGCGTCAGTAATTATTACTTTTACTTTCTGGCATGAAACACATGAACTCTTTAAGCCTGACATTACCAATATTGCTTGCTATACAATGATGTGAATGTCAAAAGTCGTCATGTCTATAAAGTTTTTTATTCTGAGTTAACACATTTGAAAAAATGCGGATATATCTGTTTTTCAAAGAAGTTGAACACGACAAAAACGACAAAGTGTGAATTATGTAGCTTAGCGAAATATGCGCTGAGATGAAAGTTGTAGCGCATCAAAGGCGACAAGGGTATAATATCTACCAAGGAATTTGAAGGAATCTAAAATCTTCCACCTGGTTCTAAGAAGATGACCTAAATGTATAAATATTCACGACATAACATGTCATGTGGATAAACAAGCAAAGGCATGTTCATCCACCAGAGCAATTTGTAGTAGATTGGAAATGGAAGCAAATAACCATGCCAAATATTTGGCGAATGATGAAATGAAAGAATATTAATCAGAAAATGTATGTTTTCCAACTGGAAAGGGTAATGTATGGATGGAACGAGGTAAAAGTCAAAGTTGAGCAGTATTCCGTCTAATGTAAATGTCCTATAAATCCTGCAAAGGCAAATGAATGCTAAAGTCATGAATAAACATCGACTTTATACATAGATCTAGGTTTTGAAAACTACTCAAAGTTGTGGACTTTATTTTGCTCACTATTTCTTAAAGAATTCAATGTATCGTGGATTCGGCTTTCTAATCGCTAAATTAACTGATTGTCTCAATAATTTTCGAATTAATTTAATTTAATTTTACTCTACATCGACGGATTGTATTTAAGTACTCTGTTCTATTTAAGAAGTTATTAGTGTAGCATGCACATGTAACTACACAAGTGTATATGTACATATAGAATAATTTAAAAGAATAAATGCTTGAATACCTGGTTTAACTACATAAATTAATTTCTTACGCTTCAATGATGTTAATTTATTATTTTCAGGAAGCAAGAAATTTACCACAAAAAGAGTACCTAGCCCAACCATCGGATGCATTTTTCACGCTTGAGATTCAACCTAGAAAGCCAGCCGATCGCAAGAAAGACGTGCTGCGATACCGATTTGTGACACGAACAATCAAGAAAGCTGGAGAAATTTGCGACTTTAGTGAAACATTTCTAGCTCAATTAGCAAAGAGTCATTTGAATGTAAGACCCATACTTAAATTTTGCACTCAAGTTCCATGAATCTTGCACAGCGTCCTTAAATAATTTCCAAACTCCCTGTGCTTTCGATATTGAATTTTATTAATCTTAATCATTTCTTGATTTTGTAGGAGTACGTCATAAAATTCACCGCATTCGACCAAGATCGATTTGGCAATCCAAATGAAATTGGGACAACCACACTGTCGTTTGAAGATTTCAAAGATTTTACCAGCAACAAGCTCGTGCTCAGTTGTTCACTAAAGGAGCCGCTTTCGGTAAACTTGTCATTTTCGCCCACTCGTCCACTCTCTCCAAATAATGATCTATAGAACTTACGTTTATGGCTACATTTCCTTTATCATTGAACACAAGTTTATCATGGGTGAATTTAGAGTGCAGAATCGTCTGAAAAAACATAGGATTACTTCCTTGTGAGGAAACTGAAATGGTCGTGTGTTTATTTTGAGTATTTTTACCATAAAACTAAAGGACGAGTTTGTTCTTTTCATCTTTTCAGTAAGTTTTCGGTATATGTACGTGTGGTTTGCGTGTCTCAGTCAGACTGATTTCTTACTCGACGCACATATTGATACTTGCAGAAACGTGTATGGTAGGGCTGCTGCTGCTCATCTATGGACTTTCTCCCACAAAAGAAAGTTTTATGCAAACTTTGTTCCCATTCATTGACTGACCCACATTTCCTTTGACAGAATTCATATGTTTATGCCAGGATGAATTCTACGCGTTAGAGTGCTTATTTTTCTAGGTTTTAGATCTTTTAATAATTTTTAAAGATTATTATGGAGAACTATTATTATTTAAAATCCACCCTTATAATCGTCTTTCCTGTTGATTCTGGAGAATTTCCGGAGCCGGTAAAACACATGTTATTTATTTTCATGTGCTACCTGCCCGCATATACATACATGAATACATATCCATATAATGTAGCTTTCCTAAAGATCTATATAAAAAATATTAAATATTATATTATATTGTATTATTATTTTTGTTTGCAGAAACGTGGAGATATCATGCTTGGAATGTGCTATCTCCCTACGGCAGAAAGGATGTCTGTGACAATCGTTAAATTGAATAATCTGAACCCATTCTTTACTGACGGAATGATTAGCAAACAGAGTAAGGCTGATTTTCTCGTTTGCACTTTGCAGTTTGCAGTATTTATTTCAGATTTATATGTGAAAAACGGGTTACAATTCATTACTAGGGATCTTTCTTGTAAGTGGTTTCGTTAGATGTGTCCAAACTGATCAACGCTGATTAGAATCCTAAAAATTAAAAATCATGTTAACAGAAATATTTGACATTTACATGCACACCAAATATTACCTCCCATACCTCCCATTCCTGGGGCACCTGGCATTCCTGGAGCACCTCCCATTCCTGGGGCACCTGGCATTCCTGGAGCACCTCCCATTCCTGGGGCACCTGGCATTCCTGGAGCACCTCCCATTCCTGGGGCACCTGGCATTCCTGGAGCACCTGGCCTTCCTGGAGCACCTCCCATTCCTGGGGCACCTGGCATTCCTGGAGCCATTCCTGGAGGCATTCCTGGGGCACCCCCCATCCCTGGAGCACCTCCCATTCCTGGGGCACCTGGCATTCCTGGGGCACCTGGCATTCCTGGAGCACCTCCCATTCCTGGAGGCATTCCTGGGGCACCCCCCATCCCTGGAGCCCCTCCCATTCCTGGAGCACCCATCCCTGGAGCCCCTCCCATTCCTGGAGCCATTCCCGGCACACCCCCCATTCCTGGGGCACCTGGCATTCCTGGAGCACCTCCCATTCCTGGGGCACCTGGCATTCCTGGAGCACCTGGCATTCCTGGAGCCATTCCTGGAGGCATTCCTGGGGCACCTCCCATTCCTGGGGCACCTCCCATTCCTGGAGCACCTCCCATGCCTGGAGGCATTCCTGGGGCACCTCCCATTCCTGGAGCACCACCCATTCCTCCCATCATGGCAGCTTGGTTCCCTTGTGTAGCCATTTGAGCGCCCATTGCGTTATTCATGTTTTGAGCTTGACCGTTTTGTGCTAGCTGTTGAGCACCAAGACCTGCTGTAGATGCCCAAGACGGTTGTCCAGACATTCCAGCTTGAGCGTTGCTCATGGCACCCATGGCAGCTCCTCCTCCGCCCATTGGAGGCATTTGTGGGGCAGCGGATGTCGCGGCCAAGAAAGAGGCGATAACCAGGAAAAATTTCATTTTTCAAATTGGAAGTATACTCAAGTATAGTCTTGTTGAATTCGGTGGAAATAAATGGTCTTAAACACCGAATGCCACTATTTTATAAGCACAAAGACAATAGAACCATAAAAACCTCAATTTCAATCGCAAACCACAGTGTAACGGCATCTTTAAGATTATATAATACTCAAATAAATTTGTAACAACAATGGCGTGCAACCATTGTTCGCTAATATGTACTTAAGGCCTTTAATCCAAATATAATTATATGCACTTTTACACTATTGGTGACAAACTAAATTGCAGCAATTCTCCTTGAATTCGATTATAAGCGTACTACAAATCAAGGAAAATGACGTATGCAGCTATCTTATATACGGCATTTCATGCTGCATTTATTAATTTAATACTTCATTGCATTACCTAAAACGAATATGAATAAATAATTTAATGCTAATAAATAATTTTACACGCCTATGCTCACATACCTAAGGTAAAAAATGTTTGTTCTGTCTGCATAGGTATTTGTTACGTCCGACTTCTTCTACTGCGAGCAGATTCTGGGAAAGTGATCCGAAAAAAGAAGACGACCTTCCAAAAACTCACCGGGACTACAGCAAATCAGCCCGTTTTCAACGAGACGATTGTTTTCGACATGCCTCCGAATGAACTCGTCCAAGTTGTTCTTTTGGCCCTGGTCTGCCTCACAGACAAGCCACCCATTTCCAAAAGTCAGCGTAGAGGGGAAAGCCGAGAACATGAATCATCGTCATTTGACGGGGGTCGAAAATCTGTCCCTGAGCATCATCCAAACCTTGTAAACAAAACGTCTAATGAGTCGTCCCTATTCCATTATTCGGATAATCTCAATGCAAAAGCTAAACGATTGGATAGCAGCAGCAGCGGTCAAAGTCACCCAAGTCAAGGAAGTGGACCAGCTAAATATGTGGGAGGTTCATCATCAGATCAATCAACACGGGTCACGACCACACAAAACCTCGATACTGGAACTTTGCAAACCAATGCAGCCAGTCCGGAAAGTAATTCATCTGGCATCGGTTCCTTGGAGGGTTGTGAGGAGGAGAAGCCACTGAGGGTCAAGGATACAGTAGTTGGGAAGGTGGCTTTAGGCTATTGCATTCGAAATCCACTGGGGAAATTTCATTGGGAGAATATGATGCGAATTCCTAGAAACGTGGTTACCGAGTGGCATGGTCTTAAATAAAGGATTCAACAAAGCTCTTTTCTCCATTATTTGATGTACAGTACAGAATATAAACATGTACATATGTAAACACATACATACATATAAAGTGAGTATAACGACTTGTCTTAGGATTAGTTTATGACGTCGTTGCTTATACGTATACAACGGGAATTTGTTATTTTGTTACACTGAAATTGTAATAAAATGTCATGGGCAGGGTTACACAAATAGGATATCGTGAAAAAATGAGCATGCAGTTGTAATGAAAAGGGTTCACTACAATATGTACATATGTAAGATTGGTAATTTTGCTATAGGCTGATATTTTGATAAAGGAGCATGAACACACGACTGTCTTTATGTAGTACAGGATTTATCACAGGTTTGAAATTGCAGGAAGGAAGGATAAAAAGAACCGTCAAGTGAATACTCATAAAACTTCCGGCTGTGGACTTGTATAAATACGCATGTAAAATAAGAATTATCCATGTAGTACAACAATGTGAGTAGTTATTAGCCGTATATAGCTTTGTAACACTTTACCCCCCTAATATGTGTCAGTAGAAGGTACAGATAACTTATGTACCTGGCTGATTTAGTATTTTGTAATTTCTACCTCGTGTAGAATTATATAAATATATATTAATCAGAACAAAAAATGTAAATAAAATGTGCTTAATAAATCAGTATTGATTATCTTATATATTTATCATCCTATGTATTTATTATCAATGCCGAACAAAATTTATGTATTTGCAATCCAGAGTGATGGTGACGAGACGACGATGACCAGTAACAGGAAAGAAATAACATGATGAAAGTACATATCAAGGGAGTCACTTCAACTAAGTTCAACCGCCTACGAAATTCCACCTATCGAAACTAAGGAGGGGAGCTTGCGAGGTTGATAATAACAGATATTGGTGCCCTTTGGATATGTGGTAGGGACCCATGAGTGTACTAAAACCCTGAAGTAGTTTGACTCCATGGCCACATTTGCGCCCGCCACACCCACTCAAAAATGTCCAAAAAACGCTTTCACCCCAGTTTTCACTCACTCAAATCCACGCCAAAAATCCAATTTTACTCGGATTTTGAAATTTCTTTCACCATTATACTCCCAGATAGTTGCTTTCTTCAATCCAATATCAAACTCAATTTTTTCGAAATTTTTAGTATTTTTAAATTTAAAATTCTGAATGAGCATTGTTGTAGTCATCAACAAAACAAATTATGTTTGCGAAATAATCATCAATAAAATTGAGTTTGATCTTGGATTGAAGAAAGCAACTATCTGGGAGTATAATGGTGAAAGAAATTTAAAAATCCGAGTAAAATTTGATTTTTGGCGTGGATTTGAGTGAGTGAAAACTGGGGTGAAAGCGTTTTTTGGGCATTTTTGAGTGGGTGTGGCGGGCGCAAATGTGGCCATGGAGTCAAACTACTTCAGGGTTTTAGTACACTCATGGGTCCCTACCACATATCCAAAGGGCACCAAGATCTGTTATTATCAACCTCGCAAGCTCCCCTCCTAAGGTGAATTGTAAAGAGAGAACATACAACAATAGTATCTGATTCTCTGTATTATTGATTTTGGAGCGTATCAGTATCTACATCATTCATACTAAAATAAAATTTTAATTGCTTAACAATTTTTTGGATCGTTGTAAAAAATAATAACCGATCCTCCCAATATGTAGGTCACATATATTGGGACACACACGCGACAAATACACAGATACTATAAGTTCAGGGACTACGACTAGGTCCGTTTTGAAGTTATTAGTACGATGAGGTGTGTCTGGATCCAACATAGTTAACTATAGACCTTCCTTCCTTGTCACCTCTTCTCCACAAACAGTAAGCGGCTGAAAGGGCCAGACCAATTCCTCCCCCAATTGCACTTCTTTTTAAGCCGGCTGTAATTTTAAAAAGATCGTAGCATAAATATATTGGTCACGAGTGATTAAGTGTTTTATATTGAGTACCAGAAGATTTGTATAACAGTCCAGTAGCGGTCGCAGCTGCCAGAGTATTTGTATCATCATCCGTGTCACGATACCAGCTGAGGAAACACCCGAAACCAGAATACATTACTGCTATCACTCCTAAAGCGTTGGCTGATGAAGCGCCCGTCTTGCTCACGTAATTAATTAACCTACGAGGAGAATGTGTATATTTGTATTCTTGGTTCATATTGGTAAATAATCGCTCTTCATAAAGTGTTAATATAATATGTAACCAAAACTCACTGGGTTCTACGAACATTTCCGGTCATTCCTTGTGTCGCTTTTATTCCGGTGTATAAACCATTTATGCCACCAAAAGCACCGCCCACCATTACACCGGATCCTATGGTCCCAAAGGCAAATTCAAAGCGACCTCTCTGTCGGTTAGCCCCTTCGGAAGATCGAACAAACAAATTGAATAAGTTGTGATTTTTCATTATTAAGTGATAATTTAACTGAACATGATATTTCTAATAAATAATCCAATGTCATGTAGAATTTTCATTTGTCATTTTTTGATTAGTATGAGTGGCTAAAACTAGACGATTTCGGTGATATGATAAGACAATTTATATACACGCATGAACTTTGAATCTGATCAACTACCATTGAATTATTATAGATATCATATTCTGTTGAATAGAATTATGTTGCTTTATCATGTTCATGTCATCCTACAATTGATTCATGTTGGCTTACCTTCGGGGAGGATATATTCCGGCTCTTGATTGATATACGGGTCAACATTGAGGTATGGCGACAGTTTTGATATTCCGCTACTGTATACTGTAAATATAGTGACGTTATAGTTATTGCAATAAATAAATCTGATGACACGTGCTTAATACGCGCAATACCTGAGACATTCATGGATGGGTCATCGGGCGCATAGCTGGGGCTGTAGAAGCCGAGGAGACTTTTGAGCGAGGAACCCTCCGCTTTCTCCATCGTTCTGTCAGAAGACCCCGTCGTCGTGAACGTTACACTTGCACTTTTTAATTTATATCCCGGTTTTACAAAACTAACAATAGATGACGAAATTCAACCCTTGTTAATAATGCGGTCTATATACTCTCAGATTTATATCCACCTCTTTGTTAATGTCCAACTTTGTCAAAGGGATATTTACGTGAGTGTTTAGCCAATTTGCAAATCGACGACTCGGACAATTATGCGATTATCTCCTCTGAAATTTACAATTGCAATTTTTTTTAGCTAGCCATGCGAGTGCCCCAAGGCCAAAAGAATGAGAAGAAGAAGACTAAATTTAAAGTTGGCGGGCAGGTGGAGCTCAAACTGAGAAGATGGCGTAAGCTGTTGAATTGGAGACTTTTTGGTAGAAATTGCAATGAACAGTATAAAAATCTATCACACCATGCATGATACAGATTCATGATGAACAGAATTTGTCTCAAGTCCAACCTGAATTACATAACACTGATTCGTTAATATGATAAGATATTTGGATAAACTTACCTCATACAGAACTGTTCGATAAGTTAATGGATGCGACTGAAATAAAAATTATGAAAGTAATAAGATGATGATAATAATAAGACGAAAATAATTTTCAAAGCATTTTCATAATTATTATGAAAATGCTTTGAGAAATTGGTATTCTTACTTTTCCAAAATCTCTGTAACTATGCATAATGCGTTATATTCTAATCTATGGCATAATGAGTGCATTCTAATCTGCGTAACTCATTAATATACCTTTTCATCTTGCTATTGATTAACCGAATTTCTATATTCAAATCTGTCGGTGAGGAATGATGAGAAATATTATTGAGAATGCTTCGGACTCATCCCTCTCGTCACCCTCTCGACCCTCCATGATGGAGCTTGACGAGGCGTTGAAATTGCACCGGAAGGAGAGGAGGAGGAAATACTTGGGGTTGACGCAGTGTGGAAGGTGTTGCCCTTGCTACGCCTGCACCCACCCTCTCCGACAGCACGACTCCTTCTATCCCGACGACGAGGAGGAGGACGAGGTCACAGATAACGTCGCCCTCGCATTCGCCCACATGCGTCGTCTGGGAGGCAAACAACTTCCGGATCGTCCCCTCATTGCTAGCGTCCCAAAGTTTCAAAGGGAGTTTAGAAAAGTTATGGCAGAAACACGGGAACGGAGCATAAGAAATGAATTTCTCGACATGCAGCTCAAATTCTTCCAGTTTCTTGGAACGTGGCTTCTCAAACTTGTGCTGTTTCTAGTACATTTCTTATTAAGACCTTTTTGTATTGGTATGAAACCTAAAAATGCTGTTGCTGATGAACTTCATCAGATGAAGAGTGTGCTCGTGAACGAACGGCAAACATCAACATAATGATAATAACAAATCCAACAGTTAGTCTATGAAATAAATATGCACATACACATGTACTTCCTGACCCCACATTACCAATTAGAGTAAATTATCTCGAATTACTACATCGTCTTGCATATTTTCCGGTAATATTTATAAATGCAATAAAATTCAGACCAATAATTACTTCAGTACATTAACTTTGCTTATGGAAAATACATTGTGTACACCATTGAATTTTTTGCAGCATGGCTAATTTGCGGTTTCTCCCTTTCTTCTCTTCAGTGCAGAGTCTTTAGTAAAGACTCTTTCTGGTATTACCATCAGATTAGGCGTTGTATGGTGGTTGCACACTTGTTGCAATGTGATCAACGTACGGTTTGTAACCCCGAATCGAGCTAACAACAATTATCTCCACCTCGTTTGAAACAGGTTTCATTTGCATTGCTGTATTCGTGAGTCCGTCCAAAAAAGGAACCACGAAATTATGTACGTGGATAGACGCGCTGTAGCATCTAGCCTTGATTTTAACTTTTTTATTATCAACCAAATGATCATATGTTTCGTTAGTGTTATCATGGCCAGTCACTGCGTTGCATCCCGAGTTCCGTGATTCTAAATTTCTAATAATTTCACAATATCGTCTAGTTTTTGTGCATCTGAAAAAGTTTTATTATAGCAAGAACCGCTTGTACATACTTGTCTTATATGAATTGAGTTGCATGAAGCTGTCTGATCTGGATCCCACAACTTTACCTTGTAAATCAAGCAAGAGGAAAAATTGAAATTTCTTCCGTCTTCCTGTCAACTCTAACCTCACCATACAAATCTAGTCAACATTTAAAACCACAAAGTGACAAAAAAATGTAATGCTGGACTCATCATCAAACGTGAGTCGGAGTGGAAATGCATTTTCAGTGATATTCAGTTAAGAAACGCGTGCCTACCAAGTACTGTGGTACATACATATTGTGGATGGATACGTGCATTTATGTATTCAATGGAATTATCCCCTACAGTGCCTATCGTGTCGTATGATACAAAGTCTCTTTAAGATTTGTTTAGTCCTACAGTGACAGTGCATGTGAGCTTACGTGTCTATGAATGTGTATGTCAAGATGCGAGAACCAAGGTCAAAAGTCAACTCAGGGTTGTACATTACAAAAATATATGCATAATACCGAATGTTATTGGTTTTATTAAAGCCAATGTAACTGAATAGAATGGCATTCAGTGTAAATGAAGCACTAACAAAGTTCGCTAGTGCCGGTTGGGTCTCGTAATCAAGATTAAGTCTTAACAAGTATTGAAAAAGTGGGTTTATCGTTTGACTAAACCAATCAAAGTTTATTAGCTATTTACATAGACAAGTATGACTGCCACCGGAGTGAAGAACGTTCTTGAGGTGTTATGGGATTTCTTAGGTAAAGACATGTGCATAAACACAATGAGGGTATTCATTACGAGTTCGCATGTTCGCATCGCAACATAACTTTTTCGAAATTGCGAATTTTGCGAAGCAACGAAGTGAAGACACTTCGCAAATGAAAAAGTTCGGAAAATTTTATTCAAATGCCTTGAATTTTGCAATGGGAAAAATTCGTAAATCGCCATTAGTTACCGAAGTTTTGCGTCTGAAATTTACCAAATACAAAATTTCACAATTTCAAAATGCCAAACTTCGGTAACTAATGGAGATTTACGAATTTTTCCCATTGCAAAAATTGTGAAAATGATTTTGCGAACTAAATACTAGCCCTGGAGATGCACAAGTTCGCAAAATGATTTTCAAGCCAATTTTTTTTGCGAACTTGCGAACTTTATTTTTTTGCGAACGTTGCTAACGATGCGAACTCAAAATGAATACCCTCATTGACAAATACGTGTGTTTTGTCTTAAAACTTGTCTTTGTTTTGTTCCAGCTCTCGTGATTTTCATCATATCCTGCAATGTCGAGGCTATCTTCAGATATTTTGTTAAACCACCCTTAAAGCCCTTAGATGGGGAAGTTGTGTTGGTGAGAAAATTCAACTACAGTCTCATGAAAATCGTTTAAAATATTGCGTAACGTGTATGTATTAAATGTTTAGATAACTGGAGGGGCAAATGGGATTGGGCGAGAGATCGCGTTGCAATTGGCAAAGACCAAGGCGAAAATCGTGTGTTGGGATTTAGATGAAAATGCTAGCAGACTCCTTGAAAAGGAACTCAAGGACTGTGATGCTCATTTTTACAAAGTCGACGTATCCGACAGAATTCAAGTTGAAGCGACAGCCTTAAAAGTAATTTATGCAGCTAATTTAATATTGACAATCCCTTTATTACTCGAAAAGAACTGCTGAGTGACAGTTAAATTATTTACCCTTGGTTTTATATTTAGATGCAACAGACGATAGGGGACATTACTATTCTGGTAAATAATGCTGGGATTATGCCATGCAAAAGTTTCTTCAAGCACAGTCCTCAAGAGCTTGAAAATCTTTTCAAAGTCAACGTTTTCGGAAATTTTTGGACACTTCGTGCTTTTGTGCCAAAAATGATGGAAATGAATCGAGGCCATATTGTCACATTATGTTCAGCGGCTGGATTGATTCCAGTCAGAAACTTGGCCCCTTACTGTGGTTCCAAGCACGCCATTCATGGGGTCGTGGAAGGTCTTAAGGACGAATTCCTGAGCATGGAAGTCCCACCAAAAATAAATTTTACTACGGTGTATCCATTCTCCTGCAATACTGGTCTTTTAACCGGATTAAAAAGCCACACTCGATTTCCATGGCTGGTCCCTAAATATCTTCGTCCTCAGAATGTTGCAGCCTGTGCCATAGACGGACTCCGTAGAAATTATGTACGAAGAACAATTTTTTTATGAAAGACATATTATGAACGAATTATTATTATTCTGAACAATTATGATTTAGGAACACGTTTATATTCCTGGTTTCGTCCAGTTTGCCGGAACCACAGCCAAGTAAGTGTAATAGCAAGGACGATCATCTAACGGCCTAATATCTCATGTTTTTTTTTCAGAGGTTTATTGCCAAAAGTCCAGCGTGCTTCGACAAATTTTCTCCAATGTTATGTTGAACCGACGAAATAAAGTATTTAATTCTGCATATTTATATGTATACATGTGTACTTATTTATTTACATACAAACAATACCTATTATTGCCTTGCAATTAAAACCACAATCATAAACTTTTTATATATACAGTCAATGGAAAAAGTATTGGCAACACCCACGCAAGCTAAATAAAATTGGTTATAACTTTGGCATGCGTTATCAAATTGGCATGAAACTTTGAACACATTTGATAAATCTAATGTAGTGTTCGATTATAATCGTGTTTCCGATTTAAATCTAGTAAACATAACGCAATCCAAATTTTGACCCTAACTAGTCAGGTACGAACCTGCAAAAAGTATTGGCAACATGTGGCTAAATTAGTTACTCGACACAATTTTCTTAACCATCTTCCACATTTCGTTACGGTAAGGTAATTAAGTGACAAAATATAACGTTAGCGACATTTTAAGTCTACAGTTGTGTTGTCTGGAGCCAAAATGGCGGCACTAAACCAGCTGTATTTGGCGCGGCGAGAAATATTCATGCCTCTTCCATAAAAATGCTTTGTTATCGAAAAATCAAAGAGAAAACATACTTTTCCATATTCACTATTGAAAACGTAGCAAAGAAATATAAAATGAAGATCTCAGTTTCTACTTTTCGACGATGCGGAGGAAAAAGGTCACCTACGCCCAAAATCTACTGATGAATCAAGCAACAAATCACTCGAGATGGGAAGATTTTAGCCCCCAAATCCATGTTGAATTGCAGTACCAACTGTGGGGCAAACATATCATTCAATTTAGTGTTCACTAAAAAATTATGCCTTGGGGTTTCAGGCTCCAGTAGCCCGACCGACGAGAGAGTCCCCAAAGCGAACCACCTCAATAAATTGGAATGGGCTAAATATAAGCCTCAATTGACTTCCAATGAATGAAATAAAGTCTACTGGTCTGACATAGGCATATTTTACTTATTAGGAGCTCATTAATTGGTTCAAGTCTGGCGGATGCCATAAAAGGCTCAGAAATACGAAAACGTTCGTATGGCAGTTTAACACATAGGAGGATCGATTATGGTTTGGGGTTAAATGACTAGGTGGCGGCGTGTTTATCTGGTCATTATCGACAAAATCATGACCAGGGAGGTCTAATTAATCATTCCAAACGATAATTTGAAATTATTTGATAAAAACCTGACCTGGGGAGGAATTTTATATTCCAAAAATGCAGTGACTCAAAACAGCTACCCCAATTAACGATGCAAGTTTTTGGAGATCGAAAAGGTTACGCTTCTTTCGTTGGCTGCACAGTCTCCTGATGTCATTCTGATTGTTTGGGCTGCGAAAAGAGAGACCGGTGGGAAACCACTCGACGAAAAACGAGCTTGTCAAAAGTTCGAAACAAGTGTGACCAACCATATAAAAAAACGTTATAAAGAACCTTGTCGAATAAATTCCACGACCTATTTCTGCTCTTATTGGGTCGAGGGGAGGTGCCACGCAATACTAGAAGCATTTTGTCGCAGTAAAATTGGCGTTTCGTTGCTCTATAATTTTTTAAGTTATAGGGTGCCAATACTTTTTGCGGGTTAATTTTGCAAATTTTCCAGCAAATTATTTAAAAACTTCGTTAATATAATTTTGAGCAGTAAAACATGATTATAATCGAAAACAACATTAAATTAACTAAATGCGTACAAATTTTCATGCTAATTCGATAATGCATGCCAAAGTTATAGCCAATTTTATTTAGCTTGCGTGGGTGTTGCCAATACTTGTTCCATTGACTGTATTTGAGAACTGCAACCTGCAACGGTTGCAACTATTAATAAATTTCACGCATATGGAAAACTGCATTGCAATGCAGGAAACTGCATTCAATTACTAAAAGAAGTAGCGTACATACTAGTGGTTAAACTGCAATCTTTACTGAAGCGTAAACACTTTCTTATTTTTATTTGTATTGGTTGAATGGCACTGACTTGCAACTCTTCGACTATCATTCTATTTGCAGAATCACTGAGATATTCTGTTAAAATGTCAAAATCTATACACTTCATACTTATCCTTTTTCGCTTGTCATTTATAAAGTCATGCATGCATCACCCGTTTAAAATTGCATGATGTTTAACTGTTTTTGGTTGACTAGCCAGTCACAACATGCATACTTACTATTATATTTTTAAATTCAAAAAATGGTAACGACTGGGAACGTGGGAACTCTTTGTACAAAGATTTTAAAAGTTGAGTTGAGAAAACTCGGCAGGAAGATGAGTACAGGACTTGCGGAGGAAGCTTGCAAAAATTGTAAGGAACTTGTCTTATGGGTGGTAATAATCATCATCCCCATTACTGTGGACCATGTAATATGGAGGAATTGGTCCAGAGAAAGGAGAAAAGTCCACTTCTTCGTGGTCAACTTCGTTGGGATGAGCTCCGGACAAGAATGGATTTTGAGTTCGGAAGCTGTGATCTGGAGCAAACCCGATTAGCGGAGAATTTTGGTTGTCATCATACTCAAAGTCCGATAGACCGTCGTTGTAACCAAATCCGCCACCTTTACCGCCCCCATGACATTTGTATGCCAAATTTATCTTTTTCGCGTCCCAATGACTCATCCGTTTTCCTCGACCAATCCGAACAAATCCTTGCTGAAAATCATAACATTTCAGCATTCACAGCATACAGCACATTGCGCTTATTTATTACTGTTCTTATGCCTTACAGTGGGTCGAATTGTGTCATGTCCATTTCTCGAGAAAGCTCGATTATCATAGTGCATGATGCTTTCATAATCGTAAGGACCGTAATTGTCCGATTTGCTGTCACGTTTCTTTTCAAAATTTCTCTCTCGTCCTCTTTGGATATTTTCCCAGATAATGTGAACAAATTTATCACGATCAGCTCGCACCTGTTAAAGCATCCGTACAATTCAATGTATTTAAGGAAAATGCTTAAAGTAATTATAAACGCCTACGTGCTCATGTGAAAATCCTAGCGCATGCATCTGTATTACCCAAGAAATCAAGTTATTTATAGTTAGCAAATGACAAATTATGGTCATGTACATATGTATGCACATATGTAAGTGGTTGGTTATAAAATTAACAAATTGTTACCATCTCATGCATTACTGTACGATGGTTTACACAACCCACCGGAAGACTCAAGTCCTAAACAATATAAAGATTATAGGTCGCCTTCTCAAGGACATTTAATTCCATGCATCACACACAAATTGCGTAATATCCAGTTTAATATTTACAAACCTGAGAGCCGCCCTGCTTTCCGACATACGACCAACAACCTTTGCCCTTGGTTTTTGTAATGTAAACATGGTCCCCGTCGTGAACTAGACATACAAGTAAAGTTTAATGATCAAGATATCATACCTGTTTTGTGAACTTTGGGTTTCAATTTTCAATTTCATACACTTATTCCCTCGCTGTAATTGATCATATTTTATGGGATCGTTTTCTTTACCTTCTTCAGGATGTTTGTAGATAAGAAACTTGACACAGGTTTTTGAAGCCATTTCAGCGAGCCCTCCAAAAATAATGTCACGCTCTTTATGATCTGAAAGTGAAAGCCAAAATGCATATTCCAGTATTTTAAAGTATCTAAATTGCAATGTCATGTATAATTTAGAAATCAAGTACTATAAGCATGATCCAAGACCACAGGAATTCGGACTTTTCCCCCAGATTTTTCCCACATGTACTTCGAGTTTATACAAGAAAATCTTTGTTATACACTTTTCATATGAAATTCATAGCAAGAAACACGAACGAAAACAGGACACAATTTTACCTTGGGATTCATGTTTCCATTGCTCATCATCATATCTGCTGGCCCAAGGCCCGATTGGGTACAGAAGGGCCCATCAGCATAAACTGTGCCAGTTAATTAAAAAATGTGCTGTTGTCACTCTATTTAAAAATTTTTCTTGACAATTAGGGAATAAAATAAGTTACCCGTCAACACTAATACAAATGTAGTAAACGCAACACGGAGGGACTTCATGATTATGTCTGCATTAACAAAACTGCAAAATGCAACTAAATATTATGAAAGCTTTAGGCCTCTCAAATACCTGTTCAAATTTGAACAAACGGGTGTGCAACCAAATGCTATCTTTTGGGTACATAACAGAAAATTTAAAAATTGTAAGCCTTCGTGATGGGATGAATAAGATGTGTGTGCATATACACTAACCAACGTAAGGGATTTTAATGGCGTTCTTTTTCGATCTAGGGACAGACCTACAGATCATCAGCAGATCATCAGCATAGCATTGGCTTTATAGACATGTAAGCAATATGCTATTCCTTACACATGTTGCATATTTTATTTATCAATGCACCACATTTCTCAATAAAATTAAAAAGTTTGTGGAAAATGACAAAAGCATAGCAAAACAAGTGATTATTTCATCGTTATACATGTGTATACGCTGTAGGGGCACGAAAACGAAGTGGTATCAGGAAAGGCAAGAAATTGTGACTTGGCGTCAAGCTAATCTTACACTTAACACCATGAACCTGAACCCATTGGATACGGAGGTATATGCATAATAACGTATAGCATAATATGTAGCAGACAAAAGGGGTTTCGTGGTGTTGATGGGAGTTATGATACGAATAAGTAAATGGATATGAGTGAAAAAAATCTAATGGATTACGCAATCAGTTTTAAACATTTTGATAATTTTTAGACCAACACAAGTGTAATCATCGTGTGCAGTGATAGTCATCACCATATTTTGTAGAGCAGAGAACTGCAGTCGTGTGATGATAATCAACAACGCTATACCGACAGATTCAGATTCCTTGGTTGGCTGATTCGTTCACTAATCTGTGAGCGGACAACAATTAAATTAAATAAAGCGAGAAGCCCAAAGTTTCCTGTTTTAGCGGAAGACAGGAATAGAAATCATGAGGCTGAAATTTCACGCTGCATTATACTTGAGGTGTTGCACAATTTGCAGATTTTAAATAATTGGGAATAATTTTTAAGTAAATACAAAATTAAATAACTTTGTCCACGTTGTTTATGTTTATTTTCTCATTTCTACAAATGTGTTTCAATTTACGTATTTCGTATTAAATAAGTATTTTAAGCAATAAATCAACATCTTCTATAAACCAAGATGATTTGCAAAATTAACTTTTTTCAGCTTAGCAGCTTGCAGGTGTGTATAATACTTAAGTTGACGTATGTGGAAGGTGTCACTAAATACCTTCATAATTAATATAGTCGCACATACAAATACCACTGCAAAGCATGCATACTTACATACTGCATACTGTTTGTGTGGAATATGTACATATGTAACCACTTATTTTGGTACAATAATTAGAAATTTAGCAATGTCGCCACTTTTGCAATTTAGAACCGCCTTATTTACCACAAGATGAATATGAAATTAAGGAAATAGTTCACTGATTGCTACGTTTCATAAAATAAATTATTTCATGTTTGTGTATCCATTATAATGGCACCTAATACTTGAAACGAAATACTTGTGGTCTTTGCTACTTATTTGAGTTTTTTGTGATGTGTAGCATATGAATTCCTAAAATAATGAGGCGATAAGTAATTTTTGATTGATTTTCTTATATCTGCAACGTGCATTTCCCCAAAACTGAGTTTCATAATTTTTTTCTTCAAAGCCTATTCTTGGAACCTGAACCTATGTATTCGATTATATGCACCCTGGATCGAGAAATTTTGCATTTGTTAACTTATATGAGCAGGTATAGGCTTACGTGTACGAATACATAGAGATTGGCACGTGTAACTTTAAAGTGAATTAAAAAATATATGATTATGAGTTTCCAATTTTCATCACCATTGACTCAACTAGGTACATACTTTATTCCCGATATGTCAAACTAACGAAAACAAGGTATCCCAATTTGGTTCTATGATTCATACACACAAATTGCCTAAATTATTTACGGTTGTTGCAAGAATCTAATTAAGGGGAAGTATCACGAGAGGAGGATAACCATGAGTTTTGAGTATTTTCCCAGTCTCGTCCTTCCCCCTCGCTTTGCATAGTACATTGTATCGCCTATCTCGAAACTTCGCATCGGCCCTGTGGGGGGGGGGGGAGGAGTCAACATAAGTGTTAAGCATTCTCCAATTTTTTGCATTTTTTTCTTCGTCTGATGGTATTTTTTCAAATTTTTTGGTCGCCGCAAGGTTCTATTATGCCCCTTACCAGTCTACATAAGGTTACCTCACTTGACGGTCCTGGGGAATGTGATTGGCAATGTGTTTGCCAAGTTTGAGGTCAAAAGGTCACAAACTGCGGTCACCAGATTGCCAAAACGGGACCCTTCTTTTTTGATGGATTGTGCGGGATTCAGCCTGTCGACTCTGCGTGCGGGAATTTGAGACTGGGCGAGGTAAAGTTTCGTGATTCGTGACCGTCACTTGTATTTATCCTCCTCTCGTGACACTCGCCGTTAAGCTCGAGACATGTACTAAAATATATAGCGCGTCGCACAATCGTCACACCTGCAATAATCCAATTGATGGTTTTAATATCAGTTTTACTGATACTTACAATTCTTCCCTTCGCCTTAAATTGCGCTGAAAGTCTGTAGGTCAATACCAGATAGACTTTCGGTTCCGAGTGGCATGTCATGTCAAACCACTAGCTCGACCAAAGATGTGACAGAATGGCGACGGAATTTCAAGAAAAAATTTACCATATATTAAGTTGCATTGGCTGCACCCGAATTAGAGTCGCCAAAGACCAAAAGACTGGAAATTACACTAAATCCTACGTCTGGGGGTTTAGGGCCATAATATATTTTCTGTGCCATTTAAATTTTCTCGTCAAGGTTTGTTTCGTAATGCTTCTGTCTTTGGGATTTTTTGAGCCAGTGACAGAATTTTTTGACTGGATCGCTATTCTACTCTGGTTTTTCATTATTTTTATGATCTTAACCAGCGAGTGGCTCTTTTTCAAAATTTATCCATTCTTTGAAATATTATCTGCGGGCTGGAAAATTTACAACGATCTTTATGTCAAACTCAACAATGACCAAGATTTCAAAGACGGACTGAGGCAATCCGCAAAATCCAGAGTTTTTTTGCAAATGTATTTAGACCTAGATATTTACTTGACTATATAATGATTTCAATAAATCTTATTTACTTTCCGTCTAGATGGATAGCTTTGGTGGGATCTGCTGCCATGCTTTTCCAGTATTTGGCTGCCCCTAAATATTGTGTTTTTACATATTCCGCAATTAATATTGACACATTCTTTCTTTATATTTTGTTTGGAGCTCATGAACTGTTGTTCATTTTTCATGGGTGGCAATTCTATGGAGGAATAATTTATGTTAGCTCCAATCTCGGTGCTGAAATTCACCTCTGCCTGCGTTTTTTAAGAGAAGCATTGGTCACCTCAAGGACAACGAATCGAAGAGTAATTTATTCGGCAAGTGGATGTACACCTAATGAAATATCATTGATAAATGATGCAGAGATTTGGGATACTGATAGCTTGAGCCGCGACAGGAAGGCGTCATCGCTTCCGAAAATCAACTCAAGCCCATTGAATTCTATCATTACGGAGTATCGAAAATTGACGATATTTTCCGACCAACTTAACGACTATGCTTCCTATAATTTTCTAGTGATTCATGTTCTTGCATATTGTCAAATGATTTCCGACGTTTTCGTTATGATCCAGTTACTGCGAATGCCAGAAACAGATGTAGTTGGAATTATATTTTTCGCTGAAGATGCATTCGTAAGTAAATATGTAAATAAGCGAACAATGCGCAAAAACTGACAAATGTTTTGATTATTTTCATATTGTCAGGTTTGTATGTACATGTTGTTCAAGGTGTTCAAGTCAATGTCGTTTGTTTCTGCCGCAGCCGAAAGCTTTCTCCACGAGGTGCAAGTCAGCCTTCGAAGCAACAAGATGAACACAGTCGAACGGAAGTTGCTCAGACAGAAACTCAAGTCGTTGAGAGTCGTGTCGATGCGTATTGGACCTACGAACATAGGACCTGGAATGGTGGGTGGTGCAATGATGACCTTATTAAACTACTATGTGTGCGCAGCCATGTGGTAGTTATTAAGTGCTTATATGTATATACGTGTTACAATGTTTACTCATGATTAGAAATATACGAATGCGCAAATATTTTGGATGGAATTTTTCAATGAAAGATGCAAGCGAGTTGGGTGAGCTGCTTGTTTACTAAATAGTTCTTTAAACAGACATAAATTTTCCACTCAAGAATTGAGTTAACTGAAGCATATGCAGTTTTCTGGGTGTGGTACAATATACATAAACTGTCATGGTCAACTAAGTATGTTAGAAAGTATTATTTATTCAGAAAAATGTCAATATTGGAAATGATGTAAAATGTATGCAAAGTGGCAGTCGTAGCAAGTCAACAACTTCAAAACTGTTTTTCAATACGAAATGAAATTGAGAATCAATGTAACTCGGTGAAAAAGTATTATTTTGGTGGCCTGATCAAATATGAAACCTTCATTGTTTAATAAAAATGTGAATCACGTCATCTCAGTCAAGCCTCAATTTATTAATAATAAATCCACTATATGTCCGACATAATTTATACGAGAAGGCAAGAATGTGATGCAAGCGGGGTCTCATGAGTGGGTCAAAGGTCGCTAGATATTGTCTGATAATTAAGTTTACGCACATCCTCATAAAAGTGATGGTGAAAGAAAGTAGTGGAGTAAAGACTTTTGTAAATGTGTACAAGAAATGTGAACACGAGCCTAATAAATTTTATTATTTAGTAGACTAATCTCAATGCTCGAATGCAACCGTCCAGTTTGAGCATTGCTTGGGGGCTCCTTCCTTCGTGGTTAACTTTAATGGAGGAAGTTTCTTCCCCCTGAGAGCCCTGATATGCCATGAACCTGACTATGTATCTATGCAGCTCCGTCACTGAGTAAACTAATGGGGCATCTAATCTTCACTTCATCTACTAAATACCAAGCATATGTACATATACATATTCACATAAATTATACATTAACATTATGACTGGAATCAAGCAATAACGAATAAAATCCTAAATCAACTCATCCCAGTTTACTGATAAATGCACAATAAAAGTATAGCTTTAATGTGACTCGGGGTCTCGTCGTCTTGTGGAATCTCTGCTGGTCGGAGCATTTTTCTCTGCTGGACACATTTTCATATTTCCATTTTGCGACATGTTCACTCGAGCAGCCAAAAATTGCCTTCTCAAAGCGCATTACCAGAAGAAATTACTAGTATTAAGTCTTTCGAGACAACCACAATGTGCAGCATTTTCTACTTCTGTAGAAAAAAGGGGCAAGGGTTTGATACCCAAACGAGAAGAATTTGCTTCAAGGCATATTGGACCTCGAGAAAGCGATCGCGATCAAATGTTGGCATATTTAGGATTCAAGGTAATTATAATTGTTACTTTACCACTTGGATAAGATATTAAATTTCTGAATTTTTTTTTAATTTGTCTATTTCCGTAATTCTTCATCCAGACCTTAGATGATATGATACAACAGGCAGTTCCTGAAAATATTCGACTTAATAGAGATCTAGAATTGGAAGAATGTTACGGTAAGAGAAATAAATTGTTGATTATCCAATTGTAAATTTTATGTCGAAAATAGTGCTTAGTTTCCAAAATTAGTTTGTGCAATTCTGATTTGTTCAAAACATATTTAGTGCTTGTTTTGCCGTACATTTATAATGATAAGTTTGACCAGAAAGTTCAAGGCAAATTCATTCAGACAGATCAGACCTCACGTACATATGTCATATTTATTACTGCATAACATCCAAGTTATATGTAAGTATTGAGCAAAGATGTACGTACTACTCACTCTGCAGGAAGCCCATTAATTGCAACATACTCGTATGTATGACACCCACAACCGTCAAATGACCAAGTTCATCTGAGGTTAAAAATATAGGTAACTGATGGCACGTCTGTTTGTCCCAGATCGAGATGTCCCGTTGATAAAAATGCTAATGTACCAATGACTTTTTACTATTAAATGAAAATGAAAGTCCGAGAAATCGAATATTCTTTGATCTAAAAAAATCTTTACCAAAAATCTACAAATTAAGTAATTTTTTAAATACAGATGAACACGAATTGATTGAGAGGATTCGATCTATAGCCGAGAAAAACAAAATTTGGCGAAGTTTTCTGGGTAAGAACAACTAACGGTGTATTAGTTTTAATAGTATTAAAGAGTCCCCACTAACTGTTATTTTTTATTCTAATATTTTCTTATTGATTTTTTTAAGGAATGGGATATCACCACTGTGTTGTGCCTCATCCAATACTTCGAAATATGTTTGAGAATCCAGGATGGTAATGAGCCAGGAAAGATTTGCTATGTCAAGTTATGTGCTATGTAACATAATACATTTAATAATGCTGCATTTAGGACGACTCAATACACTCCATATCAACCAGAAATTGCCCAAGGACGATTGGAAGGCCTTTTGAATTATCAGACAATGGTGACGGACTTGACGGGACTTCCGGTAGCAAATGCATCACTTCTTGACGAAGGTACTCATTTCCGACGGCCCCTTAGTAGTAAAATAGTTAAAATTTGTAGTAATAAAATCGTGTCTACCACTACATTTTACCTTGCATGGGAATCACCCAGTCCAAATTTCGTACGAAATAAAACAAAACAATAAAAAATTTTCTTGATGAAGGAACTGCTGCTGCGGAAGCTCTAAGTTTATGCTACAGGTAAGAAAAGTGAACGAGTTATTTTGACACGATGATAAACTTATTTGAAGTATTTTCTGCGTGTGTTAGGCAAAACAAACGAAGGAAGATTTATTTGTCCGACAAACTTCACCCCCAAACTATCAGCGTGGTCGAGACTAGATGCAGTGCGTTAGGAATGGAAATATTTCTCGGAAACGTGAATAATTTTGACTTCAGTAATCGCGATGTTTCTGGTGTTCTTTTCCAGGTAAGTGCTTCAAACTAATAACTTAGCCCAATATGCAAGCAAGTTAGAGAAAGCTCGGTTTGGGTGCTAATGGCATCGTGCTCTGGCTCTGAAATGCAGATATTTTTTTTACCTTTTCCAGTATCCAGACACCGACGGCAATATCATGGATTTTACTGAGGTTGTTCACAAAGCTCATACAAATGGGGTACTACGACAAATATTAAAAATATGTGAATGAATTTACGGAATACGAAATATTCTAATTATGTACATATGTAATAGACTCTTGTTTGCTGTGCCACGGACCTGTTAGCTCTCACAATTTTACGACCACCAGGCGAATTCGATGTAGACATTGCTGTGGGCACGAGCCAGGTAGTTTAATTACATGTTAAAGGCCAAGAGATTAATAACATTGCAGATTTAATTATAAAATATTCTGTTAAGAGATTTGGAGTTCCTCTCGGATACGGTGAGACAAAACGTGTATTCCACGTTGTACAAATATTTTTTAGTAGCAACTTTTTTGCACATTTTATTTTGCAGGCGGACCTCATGCTGGATTCTTTGCCTGCAAAAGTTCTCTTATCCGTTTGATGCCAGGAAGAATGATCGGAGTGACCAGGTATGTTTCCCAAATGTGCTTGCTTAACATGGACAGGTAAAAAATTATAAATTGAAGGTAACGAGAACCTCCAAAATATTACTTGCAGAGATGCCAGCGGACAAAATGCCCTCCGTCTTGCCCTCCAAACCCGTGAACAACATGTATGTGCATAAAGATAAAATGTATTCAGGTAACTAGCTACTGACGAATATTTATTTTTTGAAATAGATTCGCCGTGACAAAGCAACAAGTAATATTTGCACTGCACAAGCGCTGTTGGCAAATATGGCTGCAATGTTCGCTGTGTATCACGGGCCAAATGGTTTAAAAAATATCGGAGTACGAGTTCACACTGCCGCATTAGTTCTGGCAAAAGGACTTCGAGATTCAGGAAATACGATAGAAAATCCATTCTTCTTTGACACCCTCCATATTAATCCCGTCATGGCCCAAACGGAAATTCGTCATCGAGCGAAACAACGTGAAATCAATCTTAGATATTTTTCGGATGGAACTGTAAGCAAAATCATGCTTATTTAATTTCTCTCTCATCAGCAGATTTAATAATCATGAATAATTAATGGATTATTAAACAGGTTGGAGTTGCTCTGGATGAAACTATTAATGAGAAAGATTTGGATGACTTACTATGGATTTTCGGAGGAAAAACCAACCTTGCTAAACTCACTAGTGAACATGATAATGCAGAAAATTTAGAAGGAAGTATTTTCAACTCGGAATTCAGACGAACGAGTCCGTATCTCACTCACCCAGTTTTCAATTCTCATCAATCAGAGACGAGGATTGTTCGCTACATGAAAACCTTGGAGAACAAAGATATTTCCCTAGTTCATTCCATGATACCTCTGGTTAGACAAACCTATACATATATTAACAACCCGAAAAAAAAATCTCATTAAAAATAATTTTTTGTTGTATTTTTTTAGGGGTAAGCGAAACAACAAACTTGCGCCTTTGACCCCATCAAATAGCTCAATTAAATTTTTGAAAATGATTATTAGTGACATATTCATGTATTATTTTTTAGATCATGTACCATGAAATTGAATAGTACAACAGAAATGATGCCCTGTTCATTCCGTCATTTTACTGATATTCACCCTTTTGTCCCATTGGACCAGGCCTTAGGATACACAGAGCTATTTGAACAATTGGAAAAAGATTTGTGTGAAATCACTGGCTATGACAAGGTAATAACAATATATAAATTAAAAGATATTAGACTAAGAGTTAATATTTTAGACTTCAGCAAGTCTCTGTCGTTTTGGTTCATCACGAATTTTTTCGTTTAGCCGTTTTGCCCTTAGCTTACTCCTGATTATAGGATGACATATTTCCAAGCACATTTTGAATTAATGTAAAGTTATGATCTTAAAATCTGGAGGTATTTATGCGACAATGAGTTTCTAAACTGCACGAAGGAAATCCCTGTGAGTGTATGTATGAACGGGATGTGCTATTTTGCAGATAAGATGCGAAAGGTCTTGTTTTATTAATTGTTAATTGAGATATGATGTAAGTAAACACGGTGGTGAGCCAAGTTTTAACACGATTATAACTATTTACCACATTTGAGTGCGAAATTAATTGAGAGAAAATGAGATTGACGAATTTAAGTATTTGGGGTTTCTTGTTTTATCTACAGATCTCATTTCAACCAAACAGGTTAGTTGTTCTTTCAGTCTTTTATGCGTTAGAAAAGTACAGATTCAGATAAATTGATAAATACATGTACGCTATGAGTTTGCCATTTAAAACAATATATATTTGATAATTTGACCAGTGGTGCTCAAGGAGAATACGGTAACTTTAATTTTAAATTTAACTATAATTGAACCAATTACAAACTTAATTAAACTGGTAAAATGGTGTTTACAGCCGGTCTCCGAGCTATAAAGGTATTATTCTTTACACATATATTACAATCCATTTGTTAGTAATGCGGTCTAAAATTATGATTTGATCAGTCGTATCTAGAAGCCAAGGGCGAAGGTCATCGAAACGTATGCTTAATTCCAGTATCAGCTCACGGTAAGGGTATAATTTGACTTTTAACGCGATAATTTGACTTGCTACTTATTAAAAAAACTCTTTTTGTTAGGAACGAATCCTGCGTCCGCACAAATGGCTGGTATGAAAGTGGAGGTTATTAATGTTAAGCGTGACGGATCTATCGACATTAAGCATCTTCAAGCCAAAGTTGAAAAATACAAGGTAAAATGACGCAATTTTGAATTTGCAATAGGATATTCACATTGACGTATGACACTCCTTTCACCCCTTGGTTACATGCGTTGTAACGGTTTATTTTTAATAAATATGTTCTTCCAAATCAGACATGGTGGACACAGAAGTCTATGAAAATCTTTTAAAAAAACTTGTATTTATCAAGTTTCATTTCAACCCCACGCAAAAAACTGATATGTATTCTAAAATAATGTTACAGGATGAACTCGCATGTCTCATGATTACGTATCCTTCTACCAATGGAGTTTTTGAAGACACTGTAAGATTTGCAATCATATTCCCTGCTCAATTATTATTACACCAATAACGTTAAACATTTTTTGAAGGTGGCCGAGGTGTGTCAAATGATCCACGATGCTGGAGGTTTGTTCGTTTAATCCAGTTTTCGGTGTTAATTTTCACGGAGTATCATAATCATGATGACATTTTCTTTTGAGCAGCACAAGTATATTTAGATGGTGCAAACATGAATGCGCAAGGTAGGTATAGACAACAAATAGATGTGGTAGCCAAGACTTGGCCACGCTCTGGAAAATACGTATTATAATTTATCAAACGTTTAAAATAAGCCGAATACTATTTGTAAATGCTTAATTTAGTGGGGATATGCAGACCTGGAGATTATGGTTCTGACGTGTCTCATTTGAACCTCCACAAAACATTTTGTAAGTTTCTTTCTGCTACTTCAGACAATAAGTTTTGACCTTAAAAACTCAACCAATATTCGACTTTCCCTAGGCATTCCTCATGGTGGAGGTGGTCCAGGAATGGGACCGATCGGAGTGAAAGTATGTATTTAGCCCTGTTTTTATGCTACTCACATTGACGGGAATAGTGACATTAATTTCTCATTAATATTTGGAATGAAGGCTCATCTTGCTCCATTTCTTCCATCGCATCCTGTCGTCAATCCCCTGGCATCCATGGGTAAACTGTCAAAGTCTTTCGGAGTCGTGAGTGCTGCGCCCTTTGGCTCATCGGCTATTTTGCCAATTTCATGGGCTTATATTAAAGTAGGTTCCTAGTTACTTTCTCATTTCATGTGTTCGTTTAACTCTCGTGCATAATGTCACTAAAAACAAAAATGATGTATGAACGTATTTAGATGATGGGAGCAAAGGGACTGAAACGTGCAACTCAAGTGGCCATCCTCAATGCGAATTACATGTCGAAACGCTTGGATAATCATTACAAAACATTGCATAAGGGAACTAATGGACTTGTTGCTCACGAATTTATCATCGATGTCAAACCATTTAAGCTAACAGCGAACATTGAACCAGTTGACATTGCTAAGCGGTAAGAAAAGATTAAATAAGATGAGGTAAAGATGAGATTGAACTATTATATAATCAATCATTCTCAAATATTGAAGCTTGATGGACTTTGGATTCCACGCTCCGGTAAATTAAGTATTCATGGGGATACTCTACTTACATATGTTGATATCTGTATCATCTGAATGTTATTTTATTTGTTAAATTTATTTGTTAAAATAGACAATGAGTTGGCCTGTCCCTGGGTCTTTGATGATTGAACCAACAGAGTCTGAGGACAAGGGAGAACTGGATAGATTTTGTGATGCTTTGATCTGTAAGACTATGAACTACATAAAAATAACTTGGGATAGTAGACTTATCAAAATGTGTCCGTCTAGATATTCGCCAAGAAATTGCTGAAATTGAGGAAGGACGCATGGACATTGGAGTCAACCCAATTCGAATGTATGTTGAAATACTTTTCTATTTTCGACTAGCATTTCCAATGCAAATCACTATTTTATAAATTACTAAAAACATGCCTAAATAGGTCACCACACACGCAAGTCCAAGTTATGGGATCTGACTGGAACCGCCCGTATAGCAGGGAAATTGCTGCATTTCCAGCCGTGGGTGAAAATTATTTTTATCCGAAAGCTAGCTGAAAGCAGATTATGTAATATTTTCTACTTGTTCTGACATTTTTAGCCATTTGTGAGACCAGACACGAAGATTTGGCCTACAGTTCAAAGATTAGACGACTCTTATGGAGATCAAAATTTGATTTGCACGTGTCCTCCGTTGGAGTCATACCAAAAATATGGAGGCTAAAACCTAGGACTAATGAAATCACTGCTACTAAAGTTGATTAATAAATACATTTCTATTATTTTTTGCTCAAGTGTTAATAATGTTTAACTCATTTCTCATTGCCTAAACCCCTAATCATTAATCCAGGATTCCACGATTTGTTCATATTTTTGCTCAATAACGAAACGAATCCAGAATTAATTAGTCATATGACCTCCATTATATTATCGGGCAATGCATACATAGATATATGTACACGCACGACGACGTAGATACGACGACCTTAAGTGACGATAGTAAAAAAGAACTTACAGTGAACTTCTGTATTAAAATAGCGCTGCTGCCAAGGCGTGACTCTAACTCCACTAGGAAAATACCGCACCCAAACCGGGTGTGGCTCGTCGAAATTTTTATGAACCTTCAAATGGCCCACCAGGCCTCGGAATATGCAAAACTTTATTCACGAAAGTGCCTCCAGAATTTTGGCCAAACCATACCCTTAGGATTTCGCTGTGCTTTGGTACGAAAAAGTAAGTTTAAGTCATTGTAACACGCAAGTTCCATTAGTGCGAGTTCGTGTGGATGGAAATTTTGATTAGTATAAGTGTTCCATTAGTACAAGCGTAATGCGACTTTTTTTTCATGCAACTTGTTTGGTTTTATGAATTTTAATTTTTAATTTTGAGGACCCCACACTTTTAGAAAAAATGTTACCCTTTTGAAAAGTGCGATTACTTTTCAAAAGGGTAACATTTTTTCTAAAAGTGCACCACCACCCGACACCTCCTGGTGCCGCCTCATTTAATATTAGGGGTACAAATTAATTGATTATGTACACACCTGAAAATTTGAAATATTGATCATTTAATTATAATAGGGGTAGAATTTAATTGATTACATAGACACCCTGAAAATTTGAAACATTGATTATTTAATTATAATAGGGGTAGAATTTAATATATTACCAACACACCCTCCTGAAATTTGAAACATTGATTACTAAAACCTTTCACATTTATCTTACTACTAAAATCAGTTCTTCTATTCATCGTCTTCATCTATTGGTCCCTCTGTGAAATCCAAAATCTCTTCTTGTGTCGACTGGTCATTTTGTGGTGTATGGGTAGCGTCATCTTCTTTATTGTCGACTTGCCCATGTTCTTCTTCTTGGGTTTGATCATCTTGGTCATTTTGCAGGGGTTGGTCTCCTTCTTGGGTTTCTTCTGGTTTATTTGGCTGGGTGTCATCTTGATCACTCTGATTTTGCTGTCCTTCGTTGCCACGATCTTGTTGGTTAGGTTCATTCATTCCTTCCTGTCCGTCTCCAGCTACGAGATATCTGTCGATGTCGACCATGATCCTGGCGTACGCTTGGGGGTACCTATCAGACAAAGACACAAACTTAAGCAGGTCAGACTCAGGTAGCTTACATTGCTGAATTTCCTCGTTGGATAACATGGACTTCCCGTATTCTTCGAAATCCAGACGAATCGCAGACAGCACTTCATACTGCTCCTTGGTCGTCACAGCTTTCTGATGAAATTCTCTGGCATGATTATCCTTTACCATCGTGTCCACTTTCGTTCGTTGCGCCACGAACGACTCCCGTTTTTTAAAGAGATTGTCAGCTTTGGATATCAGTGGATGATCGTCAACTTTTCCGGTACAGGTAGATTTCATCATCCTATCCAAACATGATTTGGCATCAAGGGCTGTCTCCTGAGCTAATGGGAACGCCATTCCTGAAATTTGTAAACTGTCAAAATCTATTAGTACGCGGTAAGATCTTTGCTGCCCTCCGTCAATCTCCCCAACAAATTTATTCGACATTTGGACAATCTTGGCATATGTTTGTCTCGCCTGTTCCACTTCAGCATAAATGTGTAAACTTTGCTGTTTAGCATTATACAAATAGTGGACAAGAAAGCAAAATAAGGGTAGAAATTCTGGGAATGTTAATGGGGCTTTATGTATTTGTGAAAAGCGAGCATATTTTTTTGCCAGGTTGCTCAAACTACGAGATCCATCAAACTTTTTACGCTGGACAAAGAAGGGAAGTTGAGAATTATACAAAGCTTCCTTCCATACACCAAGATTGTCTATTTCGAATAGATTTATGCCCTTAGATCCATCGTTCTTTTCTATGAAAACAACGATGGCCTCTAAGACGCATTGAAATTCTTGTGCACTATTAAATTTATAAAGCCAACTTCCCTTGTTGTTTTCTTTTGCAGGAGCAACAAATCGGTCCAGATGCCTAACCAACGTCTCAATTTTCAATCCGATTGATTGACGCCCTCCTGCTCCCTGGCCAACCAAAATCCGGGGTGGCAGGATTGTAGACGCCATCGACGCAGACGTTGATGGGAGGTTAACCGCTGGTGACCTCTCTGCAGCAGGGGGAGTGACCGGAATTTCTTCGGCTGATGACGAGTTGCTTTGTCCGTCGACATGAATCCTTTTCGCATCGAATTGGCTTGTGGTCCTGGTACTCGTTGTTGTCCTCTTGACTCCTCTCTTTCGAGCCATGATGATCTCGAACTATGTAACAAAACGAATAAATAAACAAGAAAAAATTAGTTCAGATTTCACACATGTATCACAAACGAACAAATGCTACGCAAATATATTAATTCTCCTCATGTCATTACCTTTTATGCTTCGAAAATCCAAGAATTTGCTGAGCAATCCGGCGTGGAAGAGAGCTCGAACTGGACTGGAAAGTGTTGCATAGCATAACAATTAGTGAAAAATTCAAACTTCTTTTCACACAGACCAAAATACACTTGAATATATATTTTAACACTCGAGACGAGAAATATACCTCCTCGGAACTTGGGGAGATTCACAATTCCTTCCGCGATCCGGCGTGGACGAGAGCTCCAAATCGACTGCTAAGAGTATCCTTTTCTCTCGTTTTATATACTAAAAGGGCCACCACCTTCGCCTACACCGTCGTGTACCAGTGGTATCCCATTGGTATACCGTGTGACGAATTTCAATTGGTGATGAAATCGAAACTACAATATCTAGCGACTTGGAAATTGAAATTCCATATTCAAGTCGACGAGACCTGTGTGAATTTTAATTTATTTTCTACTCGCCAATTGTTGGCGTTTCAATTTTATCACCAATTGAAATTCGTCACCTGGATCTACCTTTGGTATACCCGTGTTGACAAATTTCAATTGGTGATGAAATCGAAACGCCAATTCTCGGCGAGCTGAAAATTAAAATTCACATAGGGCTCGTCGACGATAACTTGGAATTTTAATTTCCAGGTCGCCAAGAATTGTAGTTTCGATTTCATTGCCAATTGAAATTCGTCACCTGGACCCGATCAACAAAAGCTATCACTTTTACGCAAAAGTCATACAGTTAAATTGCAGCAACTGATGGCCGGCAAAAATCCGTGAAAAGATACTAGATATTTAACGTAAAATAAACTGTCAATATTGCATAGAATTGACAGTCATATTCATGCAATTTAGCCTCAAGAATATTGCGTAGAAATAACCGTCAAATTAATGCAATTTATAGCATAGAATATTGCGCAAAAGAAACGAATAATTTGATGCAAAACTTGCAGTTAAACTCCATGCAATTACTGCAGTCAAATAACACGAATTATTAATTTTTATCAAAATCATTTATTTCATAACAAAAATTATATTGTTACATTATACAAGGGAATGCAAATGTTTTCATCTATTTTATCCGACGGGAGTAACCAACATTTCTTATCAATATCATTAATACCTATTATGGTTACGCTATTTGATAATTTGCTAACTTTAATTATTCCTAAAATTTTACTTTCACACGGACAAGTGAACAAGTTGTCCGAGTGTTTGAATTTTCTACAATTTATATGTTTTTTATCTTTACTTATACTACTTATAACAACTACTTTCCCATCCTTTAATATAAAACAATGATCCTTTCCGTTCGATTTTATAATACAGTGTCTATTTAAATTCACAGGGGACTGGTACTTATGATTTTCTCTCTCAGCAGTGCGATTCACAGTTTGCTCAAAAGGTATATAGTGAGCTCGTAGCGAGCGCTTTATTACTTGCATATTATTTTCGAAATCGAAAGCACTAAAAGAATCTAACGGGCCATGCTTTAAAGCGTCATCACTAATATGTATAAGAGAATGCATATTATATGATAAGAACTCTTCTTCATATAAATTGGAAACATTTTTAACAAACTTCAATAAAAGCTGTCGTGCATAATCGTTCCAATTATTTGCTTGCGCAAGAATCGTGACTGCTACGCAAAGATTTAAAAAATGTGTATACTTTTTCGGCGACAATAATCCTTTTAAAGCGACGGGTCCTGTATAAAGAAGAAAAGTTCTAAACTCTGTCGCTTTCCACATATCTAACTCTTTTACTGACCTCGGCTTACGACAAAATTCTTTAGGGCAACTATGCGAAAATAATACTAATTTACTTGATAAAGTTGAAATATCACGAGAAGATAATTTAAATGGCAATGGACCTTTTACCCAACTTCTTAATAGTTTTCTAACCACACCTAAGCAAATGAGGTGCATGTAGTCAAGAGGAACCGAAGAAATCATCAAAATTTTAAGCTCCGTAAACGGGGAAATGCCTACATGGTGGTGTTTATCTTTTTGAACATAAAAATCTTGATCTGTCCTAAGTGGACTATCGAATGTTCTGAAAATTACACGTCCCTTCCAGAAACCTGGATCTATACATTTCTCGCATCCATTGTATGCATTATGACTTTTACATTGCTTTAAAAAACTCCTGGCTGGCGCATCAGCTATTATTTTTGAAACCTTACAAAATATTTTCAAATTATTGTAACTAATCCCAACTCGCAAACTTTTTAACTCTGCTATCAAATCCATCAAGTATTCGTCAATACTTTCTGGTTTTGTCTTGCCATAAAATAAACCCACGACAAATACGCCGTACGTACTTTCTTCACACTTTGCTTGAATTGGCCAAAACTGGTTACTGTTACTCTTAGAAATGGGCAATCCATCAAAACTAAATATAAGGTTTAATTTAATTTCGCTACCAGAAGCAAGAATACAATTGGAATCTATTTGCCGTTTTATATTTTGAATAACATCAAAGTGTGCATATTGACCCTGACCGATAGTTTTCATAGAGTATTTAATTGAGTTTTTAAGCAATGTCCTACTATCCAATGGAAGAAATCTAAATTCTTGATAAAAGTTAAATATGCGTAGAAGATCGTTTAAAGCTACTCCCGTTATGTTATGTCGAAGCGACCAGTCCCTCAAGTCCCGTGTTAAATCTAAAATATTCCTATTATTTTCTACTACACCATTGTGGCTTAGTGAATCGGAAACTAATGGCTCGTCACTATTATGGATAACATTACTGCTTCTATCATTATTGCTAATATTACTACCTGAATCGCTATCCTCAACGACAGAATCACATATATCTAAATTTACAAGATTATTACTAATAGCAGGTATGTTTTTTGCACGAGTGAGATTCTCTCTAACCCGTTTTGCAATTATTCGCCTAATGTTTCTCGGTGATTTTCCATCTCGATCCATGATTATGATGCAATTCCCGAGGGAGCGTCGTCGTTGCACCTACTTTTTGAAGAACGAAACCAATTCATTGCTGCAGTTTGAATTATATCATCGGTGGGAATACGGCCGCTGGGATTTTTGGGATCGGGAACGGACTCAACTGTAAAGACGCTTCGCACGGTTTCTAAAATTTGCAATCCAATTAAACATTAAATAGAGACCAACAATTAGAAAATTTTCTTCATTTTAGAATATATTTTAGCACCTTTTACGACTTCCAATAGTTTTAGGTTTTTCATCGATGTCTTGTTTCCTTTACCCGTAAAATTAATTCGCCTGCCAAATTCATTCGTAAATAATTTTTTCAAGATTTTTCTAGTGCTCGCCTCGATCTGTGTCGCAGTTGAAAATGCCAAATATTCAACCTAGTATCAAATATAAGAAAAAACATTAAAGTTTAATTATGCATGTAAAATATCTCGATTAAATCGTACCAGTAATTCGCGATTTGAATCCACCTCGAGCCAAGATTCAAACTCCGCCAGTGCTACCTCGTTGTCGAGGGGTAATTTTGGAATGGCACTGAAATTGGGAGCCTTCCTACCATCCGGCCTTTGTTTCACATTAATCAGTAAAGCCTTAATGTCTTTAATGTCTTCAGCCTGCTTTTCCAACAAAGTTAGCACACTTTGCGTTGTCCCTGCAACGTGATTACAAAGCGTTAACATAATACATCAATTTTAATAAAATTATTTTGCTTGTACTAACTTGAAATCAACAGCCGTAAATCATTTAACTCCTGCGAATTTACAACAACAAAAGAGGTGTCTCCAGTTTCACCTTGATTTCCTACTTCTAGATTGCTTTGCTCTTCAGTTTCGGGAATTATTTCAGGAATGCTCAATGGTTGGTCTAAAAAGCATCACCATAATGATTAGTATAAAATATTTGTGGCAGTATTATAAGCCTACCCAGCTCCAAATTATCCAGAAGTGAGCCAGACGGAGGACTGTTTTTGTTCGCGTCGCTATCCTCCTCATCGGATGAAGACGTTATATCCCCTCGTGTGCTGCTGGGCTGAATATCGGGAATTATCTTCTTGCTCCTTAATCTGCTTTCTGGTTCTGTTTCACTTTCCAAGTTGGAAGTGTCCTCGGCTACTTGAAGTTTTTTTGTCGCAACTTCATAATCTTATCAAATTTCTAATACTTGGCCCAGAGTTTGGTGGCCAGAGACAAACTTTCTCTGCGGGGATAACCCAGTGACTTAGAACAAGCTCCACAGGCACTGAATTGTATTTATCAGGGGGGAATTCAATTATGTAATATTTTTTGGCAACATTGAGACAACAGATAAATTAACAGGGAATTTACGAGACTGCGAGGGTGGGAGAGAAAAGGAAATACCACGCTTCTCTTAGATTCAAACTCTCGCGCGTTGCCTGTCTCTTCGCACCCACCATTCATTGCGTATAAATTGCATGATTTTAACGCCTCATGTAATGTGGGTATTGACGAGATATTGGTGCGGTATTTTTACGCAATATCTCAGCACGTTTGGGTGCAATAATTTTTCAACCATAGGTTACAGTTTTTTAATGCAAATTTAGCGTGTCTCACGGTGCACACCAAACTTAGCACAAAATTTATGCAATAATCACGCAAGATTATTTGACACTTTATCAATCTATAAGGTTACGACAAATGGCCGAGTTACAAAATAAATTTTCATTTTTAGAAACCTACAGTGCAGACTCCATATAGCCCGAGTCAGGGACAGAGTCTCGTATTGACCGACATAATACACAAACTCCGTGTTTTGGATAGTTTAATGTATGTTAGATTTTTTATTATTTGGCATCAAATCCCTAAACAACTTGAACTTCCAAAGCTGTGTGTGCTATCCAGAAGTGGTTTTTATCCCCCATTCCAAATTTCAGATAGCACCTTTTAAAAACGGTATGGGTCAGCCTCCAGGGTCACTCTGGTTGCACTTTGCTCACTTTTTCCTTCAAATTCTTTCGTAGGAAGCCATTAAGTATCACCATGCCGGATTTCATGTTTTTAAAGCAATTTCTAAAAATCGGTATGGGTCACCCCACAGGGTCGCTCCAGATAAAAATTTTACCAATTTCATATCATATTCCTACATTAAGACCCATTTGCAACCTCTCTACCAAATTTCAGCTCGATATGATGATTTTGAAAAATCCGTATGGGTCACCCTATGGGGTCCCTCAAATTGAAAATGTTTCCAACCTGAAGTAATTTTTATCTATTAGGAACCATTAGCAACCTCTGTACCAAATTTCAGCCTTCTACGACAATTTTGAAATTTTGGTGCATAATACCCCACCCACTCCTATGACCCCCACGGGTCAACCACTGGACCGATTTCACCCATCTTCGAACTCCTTTCCTAACTTTGTCCAATATGCATATGGTAAAAATTTCAAGTCAATCGGTTCAGCCGTTTTAGCTCTATCGTGCCGGACAGACAGACAGACAGACAGACGGACGGACGGACATGACGGTTCCATAAGCCCTGACTCGGGCTAAAAACTAAAAATTGTTGAAAATATGTCATTGGTTACAGTTTTGGAAATGTAATTTTTAGTCAAAGTGCTTATGGAACCGTCATGTCCGTCTGTCTGTCCGTCCGATCATTTTACGATAACTTTCGTTAAACTCGGCCTAGCGACTTTAAATTTGGTATACATGTAGTATGTGACAAATGAGGAGTTAAGTTTGAAGATGGGCGAAATCGATTAAGTGGTTGACCGGTGGTGGTCATCTGGGTGGGTGGAGTATTTCAAAATCCTCGTTGAAAGCTGTAAATTGGCATTGAGATTGCTAATGGTGTCTAATTGAAGAATATGAATTTAAATTGGGAAAATTTTCGACTGGAGAGACCCGATACCATACCGATTTTTGTAAATTATCCATCGAGCTGAAATTAGTGCAGAGATTGTTAATGGCCCCTGATGAAAGAATATGAATTGAAATTGGTAACATTTTTATGTGGAGGGACCTTTAAGGGGGTGACCCATATCGATTTTCAAAAATTGTATTAAACAGATGAAATTCGCTCTAGACACTCGTAGAAGACTGAAATTTGGCACGAGTGGGGGTAGACCAGATTGAAAAATATGAAATATTAAGATTTTTTCCACAGAGATTTAACAAGGTGACCCACGCTGCTTTTTATACTGGTAGAATAAAAATAAAATTCGGTATCATGGGTAAGGGCACATCAGACTAAAGGATATGAATAATGTTCATATTCATTGAATATGAATATTTTTGTGGGCCCAGCCCAGAAGACTGAGACCGGTACTGGTTTTAAAATTGGTCAAGGAGCTGAAATTTTGCATGCTGGATTGTGGGAACATTTTTGCCGATTACGAATAGTAGTTGGTGCAGGTCGTCTGACTAAAATTTAGAAGCTGACACTGACCCTGACTCGGGCTAAATAAACGCTGCACACTGGGATTTCAAATTTAATTTTCGAAATAGTACCCTCGAGATTTTGATCTTAAAAAATCAAGCTAAAAATTACGATGATTTCATCTTAACGAATTAAATCTCTATGTTTGCCCATTCAAAAGTTATTAAAGGTCAAAGTCGTTGGTACACACGACCATGGGACGTGTACCAACGATTTAAAAAATAATTATTTTATTTGTAACTCCACCATTTGTCGCAACCGTTAAAAGACACAAGAGTTACCTAGATACTAAATGTCAAGCAATCGTGATAATCACGCCTTTTTTTGTTTGTTAAAAATTTTCACCATGGATGCGTTACTTTGACGCAAAAGTAATAATTTTTGTTGATCGGGGATCTACCTTTGGTATACCCGTGTTGACGAATTTCAATTGGTGATGAAATCGAAACTACAATATCTAGCGACTTGGAAATTGAAATTCCATATTCAAGTCGACGAGACCTGTGTGATTTTTAATTTTCAAGTCGTTTGATAATGCAGTTTCGATTTCGCTGCCAATTGAAATTCGTCACACGGTATACCAATGGGATACATCTGGGGACATTAACATGGTAGGATATGGGAGGAATTTATATAACATAGGGATACGATGGGGACATCGAATAACCGGGGGGACCTTGTCCCTCTGTCCCCACGCTTCCGCGCCCACTGCTTAACTCCTTCAACAGAAGCATTATTCATTTACACAAATTGAATATAAAGTCATTAAAAATCCGTGAAAATCTCATGCTAATTTTATAAATGTATTATACTATTCTCATTCTGTAAAAAGATCAGTGGTATTGGATAAACCTCTATTCATTAATCCAGGATTCCACGATTTGTTCATATTTTTGCTCAATACCGAAACGAATCCAGAATTAATTAGTCATAATAGCTTTATTCTGTAGGTTGTCAACTTGAAATTTACGTTGGATTCAATTTTCTAGCATCTTAAATAGATACGATAACATGAACAAAATAAATTCCGATTCTGCCAATTTATTAAAATAGACCCAATAACTGCACAATATTTTCCATGTGACGTTAACATGGGTGTATTTATTATATATAAAATATTGATCTCACATAAACGAAAGGAGAAACAGTAACCGATCATTGTTATCATATCGAATATATATGTAGACTCTTCTCAAAGTATTATGTTTTAGAAAATACACACCTTCACATTATATTTATGAATTACATATGTATGTATGCGCTCTTATGATGATGGAGATTACGAATAAGTCTGCAGAACTGGAATGTTGCGATACAGGTCCAAACATTTTGGGTTCGCTAGGGCGCCCACGTTCTTCACTTCTTCTCCTTCGATAATGTTTCGAACAGCAATCTCAACCTTCTTCCCACTTATCGTGTACTATATTCCAAAGGAAGTAACATTATATTGGTGTGTGTCATATATTTTTCCTTACACAGATTACATGGCAAATAAACTTAATCTTACAGGGATATCTGAAATTGGGAGTATCACGGCAGGCACATGTCGAGGACTGAGTTGTTCTCGAATGACCAGTTTAATTCTGTTCACCAGGTCATCAGAAAATGCTATGTTGGGCAATAGTCTTAAAAATAAGACAACCCTTTCGTCAGTTCCTGCCTCGTTCCTTTGAGCCACACACACGCTGTCGGAAACCTCAATAAAGTGCTCAACTAAAATGCAAATTCATATCGGGGTTGTTAGATCAAGACGAATATTAACATTCATGTCATATTTCTGACAAATGCCCTTACCAATTTGATAAATCTCAGCACTTCCGAATCGGACACCATTGGGATTCAGTGTCGCGTCACTTCGTCCTAACATGACAATTCCTTTGGTTTGTGGATTTATCATAATAAAATCCCCATGAGCCCAAATTCCAGTGTGCTTTGCGAAATATGCTTTTTTGTACAGCAATCCGTCCGTGTCATTGTGAAATTTGGTCGGCATTGAAGGGAACGGAGTCCTCACAACCAGTTCACCGCGTTCCCCTATCACACTTTCTCCTTCGTCATCCACGCAGTCTAAATCACATCCCAAGTGGTAGGATTGAATTTCTCCTCGATACACTGGCAACATTGGATTTTGTCCCATAAAGCAACCAATGCAGTCAGTTCCTCCTAAAATAATCATAGTTTAAGCTATAAAATGAGATTTCACAAAGAATTCTATTCACACTAATACATATTTATTCTACTGTCACATTTTAAAATACCTGAAATTGATCCAACTAAAACGTCATGCTTGACATATTCATAAATAAAGTCAAACGATTGAGGCTTTAAGGGTGATCCTGTGGAAAGGATCATTTTCAAGGATGTTTTGTTCTTATTCAGCTCCTTTTTTAACGCCTCCACATCTTCTCCATCAAGTTTAATACATTTTCGTGCCACTTCTTCTTGTACGGCCAACCATTTTGCACTTGTTCCAAATATTGTGATTTTGAATTCATCAATTAGACTCCAGAGAGCTTTTGAAGGTGCACCATCGTACCTAAAGGAAATCAGAGCTTGAGGTTGGATATTATTTTATTTATATCGATTAGCACTGATTCATTTTATCATTTAGTCAAACTTACAGTATGACCGTACATCCAGTTATCAACGAAGATATCAACCATTGGTACATCATCCATCCGACCTAAAATTTATCAAGACCACGTACACGTTTAATAAGTGACAAAAAAGAGGTAGATTAAAACACCGATTTTCTCATATACAAAAAATAATATGTGACAACTATTACGAGAGTCGCAAGGTTGCGACACATTTTATTACGCCGATGTTACATTACTGCTTAGAAAATACTTGTTGGGAATTTTCCTTGTGCGTTATCAACATCACAACTGGCAAAATGTTTTTCTACTATGGATTTATTGTTGCATGTATGTACATATATTATTATTGTTATGATGCAAGACAAACGAAAACCGGATCGATATTAATCGCAGTGCTGTTACGCAATCGTTGTAGAAATAAATGTGTGAAGTTTCCAGCACTTACCGTGGTGTAATAAAAGATTACGTCGGTTTTCTTGAGATTTGACTGCAGGAGGTGCTCTTCGGCATGTTTCATTAAAGTTCCCTGCGTAAAATTTCGAATAATAACAAATGATCGATATCAATTTGCGTGGAAAGATTATATATTAATTTGCATACGTACCCCAACAGAATGTACCATACATTTTGGTTTTCCTGTCGTGCCAGAGCTGTACATGATAAATAATGGATGGTTAAAAGGCACTTGTTCGTAGACAAGTCGCGTTTTCAATGAACGGAAATTGTTCAAGAATTCGGAAGCCCACGTCCTAGTGATTTGATTAAAGATTCTTAATAAACTGTATCCATTTAACCGAATATTTACCAGCTAAAGTTTTATGATGTTTGGGTACCATTTGGATTTGGGAATGTCAATCGCCCCTGCTTCCTGTCCCTGGATGAAAGGAATGACGACAATTTTCTCAAGGGAAGGTAGGTCGGATACCAGTTGGTGCAATTTCTTGGACATGGAATGCACCTTGCCATTGTAGAAAACTGCATTGACGGATATCAAAATTTTTGGCTCTGTCTGCTTAAATCGCTCAACAATCCCCTATAAAAAATGTTCATAAAAAACGAAACGAATATGAAAACAAACAAAAAACCAAGTGACGCATATGCATGTATCTAAATACATATAAATACACGTAAAACGCATACCGTAACCCCATAGTCAGGAGAGGTTGATGTCCAAGTTGCCCCCAAAGCTGAAGTTGCCAGCAATGCGATGAGAGTCTACATAAATTATTACATGTTGTGAGAAATACTAATGATGATAGTCCAACTAGTGCAACATCAAGAAAGGTAAATCCCGCATTGGTCGATAATAGATTGTATACACTGATTTATCTAATTTTCAAGGTGACTTAGCGTTGTATATACGAACTAGTGCGCAAAGGGGAAATACGACTCACCTCTGGAGCATTGGGCAATATTCCACTGTAACATGATTAAATAGAAATATTATGTAGTCCATACAAATAATGTTTTCTAGTTAGCTTTTCCTACCATACGACATCATCCTTTCCCACGCCCGCATTTCGTAATGCTGCCGCCCATACCGCAACCTCTGTCCTTAGCTCTCCGTACGTCAACTTTGTTGGTTCTGGATGTCCTTCTCCTGGAAAAGAAATGTTGCAATTTCCGGAGGTAAGAATTAATGGGTTCTTCCCAGGTGAAGAAAAATCATTTCATGACGATGACCACACCACCCGTCAGTCTTAGATATTAATAGATAACTTTTGCCATCAATTCCCCGAGTCAAGGATATTATCCAGCGTAAAGTAGATCCATGCTGTTCAACCATATCTCTGCTTATCACCAAGTCGTGATGATCATGTTCTCTGTAACTGGATTTCACTCATGTTCGACCATTATGCAACGATGAGTGCATGTACATGCTTATATGACGTGACCTGTGACATAATGCTCTGATGGATCCTAGGTCTTTCATTTCGATTTTCATTTACATAAGTGCCTTTAGCATTACACGTGTTACCGCGATTCGACATATGAATTTTAAAGTTAAATGCATATGCACGTAGTTAAAAGTTTTAACTGATGTAAAGTTTAAAGGAAGTTACTGTCAATTTTTTTTAAGAAAACCAGTTCTTAAAATCATGATTTAGTGTCGATTTAGATAAATAAAATAACAAAAAATGTGACGAAAGTGTCGTAATCAGGATTTGCCCAGGATAACTGTCTCAATTCAATATGAAGGATCTACAAATACCTGCGTATGCATGTGTGTAGTCGTTACAATGGAACGCGTTTGTGACTTAATTTAATGAATACCGTGAATGAATCAACGACAAAACAAACATAGAGGTCAAATGTAAGTGGGAATGCTAATCACAAGAATCTATGTCTCATTTACCTTTATAAAAAATCGCAATGTCATCATGTTGTCCCTTCTCCAGTAAATTTTCAGCGTAATTAAGCTTTGTTCCGACAAACCACTTTGGAATGCTGTCAATTCGGATGCTCTCATCAATAACGGAAGTAAACGGCTCGCTGTGGATGATCTCAGCAAGGTCCCAGACTTCATTCCAAAATGCAGAGGGTTCCGCTACCGACCACTTGTGCAGATCAGCGTATGTTACTAAAAGCAAGAAAAGAAAGTCATTTCCGGGTTTTAGCGGTAAAAGGAGAAAACTACCGCCTGTTGATGCTTGGTAGTTGGTACATAGCAGAGTTGTGTATTTATTTGCAGACTATAAATAAAATATTTACCAAGTTTAGTCCCAAATTTCTCGTTGACTTTTCGTCTCAATGCGTCCAGCCTAAGGGAACTCAGAGTTTCTGGATTTGGTGTCCACAAAGGAGCTTGAGCAATGGAACCCATTTTAATATGTAAGACTTGTTATCCTGCTGATTCTCACGAGCTACTTTGCTAAAATGTTTGCGCAGAGGCTGGTTAAATTGAACTCGTAGCAAATTATTTTAGCAAAAGTCGATTTGTCGATCGATAACAATGAAGACAATGCTATTTGTATCAGCTTGAGCCTCCTGACAGCAACTGAGCTTGAATCAGCAAATTGCATGCACATTATATATTTTAAGAACTGATAGAACCGTCGTCCTGGCTGGTATCTCAACTCGCATAAACCGTACTCCTCCTGCGTGAAAGAGTGACGTGAAGAACGGGTTGCTCCTCTCGAGTCGAGTTAAATATCCACCATAAAATAATGCCAGTTTATATGTGAGACACAAGCGAACATATTTTTTGCAAAGGGCAAATATTACTACTTACTTACTACTAGTTGCATAAAGCCAAAGGAAAAGAAATCCGAGTCCTCTCATGTTAAGATCGAACGACGTGTATGCAATAGTGGACGGAGAGTTGGAGGATCATGCCACCAAATGATTTTAATGCAGCAGCCAATTGATGAGAGAATTGCGAATCGAGGCATGCATGGAGAAGAATCTTTTTGCAAAATTTTTTAAGCTTAACACGTGATATCAGATTTCGTTGAGTTTTTTAATTCGTCTCTTACAATGTACACGCAATCTAAGAAAAGTATGTTAATAATATTAAGTTAATATCACTATATCAGTCTTAGGATTAGTGATGACATTAAATGATACATGAAATGTGTCAGCATTTTTGTGCACGTCGATGCATATGTAATTTGACATTTGGATAGCCAAAAATGAATTGATCTTTTTCGTCTTTGAGTTGAAAACTCTCGATGAAGGAATGGGTGGGCACATGATTTGTCCACCATCGAAAAAGCCGGAAGTAGAAATTTACAATTGCAATTGTGTCATCACACACGCTGTCTCAACATTGGTGTGGGTGACAGATAGTGTTTCTGCTCTTGCTGAACCTTTCTAAACGCCTCTGCAGCTCGCATAAATGCACATCCATATCTAGCGATGCCCATTTAGGATTTTTACCTGTCCAATCAGTGCAAATGTGTTAAAAACGTTTAATCTAAGACAAATATACTGTTGCTGATCTGTATAATCTCCATTCAATGCATGCTTTGTACATATGATGAACGAGTCCTATGTATGATTCTAACATTTGAAAATCTTTAATGGCATCATTATTATGTGAATCTTTCTGTGTGTACGACAACGTCTGGTTAATCATAATGTGTGTTCAACGTTCTTACGAGTTGTCTTGTTAAAACTGTACAACTCTGCATAAGGGATACAAACAGAGCTTTGTAAACAGTAAATGAAAACGACATTGAGTCAAGCAAGCTGGAAGACCACACTTTATCCATCTCTTTCAACACATCCACTCCAGTTTCTTTGAAGATAAACTATAACCTCTGTTGCAAGTATTACTACATAAACCAGAGTCTGCATACATATGTCCTTCATTTAAAAAATACGAAGCAATTATTACCAATTTACGCAAACAGTTTAAGGAGTTAATGTGAACATGGTATCCATATGTCCATACGTGTACGCAGCGCAGATACATTGGTACATTCTAGGCTTATTGTGTCACATAACAAAAAAGGTTTTAAAAAATTATGGACTTACGAGATTCCATCCTGTCTACCGCAAGTGTGGAGTGTGTAAAACTCCAGCAGAGCTTATAACTAGTTGTCTCATCTAGTTGTGTCTAATATAGTGCTAATATAGTGAATTTCTTCACGTTGACAAACTTTTGTTCCTTTCTCCAGGAAACTTCACTATTCTATTTTTAACTTGAGTAAAATGAAATGTGTTTGTTCTTAAGCTGTTCCAAACTCGGCTGCTGCATGCAGTCTCAAACAGTAGTCGTGGGGTGCATGAGGCAAGAGGATTATTAAACATTTATGTCTGTAAAGAAAACCAGTGTTCAATTTTCACCAGTTTTTTTGTGTGTGCTGTGAGTATCTGATTACAGAAAGCTGTTGTTGTTTGAGTAATAAAATAAAACTGTTTTTGTTATTGCAGGGTGAGGTGAACAAGTAGTGCTGTTTTCATATGCAAATGAGACAACTCGGTCAAAGATCTTCCCCATCTACAAAAGCACTGATCTGTCATCCCAAAAACAATTAAGTAGATATGCAAATAGCGTAAAAATTCTTAAGAATCAAAGCAAAATTTATGTAGAACTGTGCATAAGTACGTAAGAAGTGCGAGGAGACCCAAGTGTAGTTTGCATTACATTGCCTTGTGCTTATTTAAGCTTATTATCAATCTATCCTGCAACCTTTTATGCATAGCTGCCTTTATGGCATGTCGAGTTAACCTGAGCAAGTCGAGATCCAGGAATGGAGGAGGTGATGCTACTACTGGAAGCAAAAATGGTAATGCTAAAATCACTAGTGGATTCATCGCCCGAGGAAATTTAACAAGCCCAAACAGCGCCAGGCATATTCACTGCTTTCATAATAATCAAGAACAGCAGACTATCAATTCACCTGCATTTTCAACGCGTGCACCGTGCAAAACACCGTACAAATCCCCGATACAGTTGCAAAATTCTCTTCCACCTGGATGGACATTAACAGCAAGTTCATCTAGCACGACGACTGTAACTACCACGATTATTGCAGAAAAATCAACATCTTCATTTGGCCAGGAATCCATTCAAAACAAAGAAGGCATAATAATGGCTGGAGATATTCATGTTGTGGACGGAAAGAGGGCAAGTCGAAGGCACTGGACGCTAAGAGGTAAAAAAAATGTGAAAATAATTTATTTTTGCGCTTTTATACATATGAATTTATTTATGATTATAAAAAAAGATCGATCGGCAATGAGTGTCCACTTCCTAAAGACAAACTTGGCCGAGGACGGGTGCGAAGAGGCGCAACTGGACTTGGGGAAAAAATTACTTCAAGATAGTAAAGACCCGGAGTTACTAGAAAGCTCTCAAAGTTAGTAATAAAAATATGTCAAGCGTGTAATATATGCAGAATAACAGTTAAATGATTATGCCAATCCAAATAAAATTTGCATGATTTGATTTGATTTGAAATTAACTTGTGTTAGGAGAAAACTCTCGAATGGCTATTTATTGGTTGGTGAAATCGTCGGATCAAGGGAATGAAGATGCAACTAACCTCCTTAAAGAATGTCTGGATTCTGGACAATCGGGTAATTTTGATCGGAAGACCTAAATTGTGATTTTTTAAAAACTTCAAACGCACTGAACAACGTATTAATTTAAATATATGCGCAGGAATCACGGCTCAAAATTATCCCGATGTTATAACATGCATAAAAACTCCAACTAATGAAAAGCTGACGTACAAGGCAGCTAGACTTTTGTATTCTAAGTAAGATTTTAATCACCTTTTTGCACTTGGAGCAAAATTATATGTGGCCAATATGTAATTAGACTAACTATTAACTATAAATTTCAGACTTAATAATGGAGAAAAATTCATCACAACCACGCAACTGCTTGCAAGAATTCAATCAGAAAATCGAAAAGTGATACGCTTTGCAGATGAAGACGATGACGAATCTAATGAAAACTCCCTCGACAGCACTTTCGTTGAAGGGGACGACGAGGATGATGAAGATAGTTTGCCAAATGTGGGACTTAATGAAACATTTACATTTCCAAATTGCAGGTCGAAATCTCAATCCCCAGAAACAAAAAGTGACACAAACAAGTCATCTCGACGGTGTCAATTAAATTTCTCACACTCGAATCAAGATGGTATCAAGCTGACAATGGATTGTCTGCTACGATGTGCTTCGAAATTTAATGCTGGTGAAAATCCGACGCCATCCATCGATAGGAATCACCACAGAAGACCAAGACACGACTGGAAATTTGGATCTCAACTTAATGCATTTTTCTTGCAACTTTTAATACTTTGCGTCATGACGAAAACCATTAGCATTAAAGTGGGAGTGATACTAGGAGCGTCACTTTTATCTCTGTGGGCGTCGTTCAACTTACTTGGCTGGAGAAAGCGTTACTATAATTTTAATGGTAAACTCTGTTTCATTTCTGGTGATATCAGCGGGAAAGTCATGTGCCCATTTACTTAACATGGGCACATGACTTTCCCGCTGATATCACCAGAAATGAAACAGAGTTTACGTATGTACCTATGCAGATTCTTGTGCTTGTACATGTGTATATTTGAGTGTATCAAACACATTGTGATATTTTTTACAGATTGGAGCAAAGTTTTTGGAAGCGTCCACACCACGTGGTTTGATACAGATGCTAAAGATCGTCTCATTGCCAATTCACTCGTTCCATATCTCAGTACTTTAATATTCTCATCTGCCACTCTGTTTTACGTGGATGGATTACGCACGGTCAAAATAGTCATTTCGGGTCTAGTCATTTTTACACTGATTTATACTAATGGACCAGGTTTTCACCTCTCTGCACTAAAATTAATTGCGTTTGTCACAATTGTCAAGTTGGGGTCGTCCATAAATTATATCCTTTCGTTCTGCATTTATTATGTGGAATTCGACGAGAATCTACTCGAGTACTTGACACCATGGATGGAAAGTTTGAAGACCGTTACCCTCTATTGTGGAGTTGATCTATCCTCAGTTACTATGAACCGTTGTATTCCAGCTATCCAAATTGTTGCCATTCTCTCTTTACTCATGGGTAGTCGACGACACATATTGCAGAAAACTTTACCTGAATTTCTGGTTGCACTTTGGATTACAGAAATATTTGACATTTCTATCAAGTTACAAAACGAAATTTTGTATGTATGGATTAGTTTACTGACCAGTGTAGCAATTACTGCAATCATGTTGATAATTCACTCTCAGTGGGATCACTGGAAAATGATAATTTCGATCTTCCTTGTAATGATAACGGGGTCCGCATTGGCCGCATTGATTGCCAGTTCAGATCCGGAAAATCATATGATGATTTCTAAAAGTTTACAATTGTTGTACAACGACGAAGCAACTGTGCATAAAGGGGTCACGGACATTGACACTCTGACCCACCTAGAATGGGACGATTATGACTCGAATTGTCACCGACAAGCTTGGAAGACTCGCACACCAGCTTTCACTCAACTCTTTTGCTCTACTAAATATGGAAATGTCCCAACTGCTGTGCGGTGGAGAGGTCGTGTTTCCGTTGTGAAAGTTCGAGAAATGTCGACATCTGCTATTCGTGACGTGGCCTTCGACATAATCGTTAACTTAATGCCGTCTGAAACCAGCAGTGAAAGTGGTCATTCATGGCAACAATACCTCTCTGGAGGTGAACACCATCAGCAATCCCCTTCACCAGCCATGCTCCTCATTTCCACCGCAGATATCATGAAACACGACATGAAACAAAAAGCAATAGACTTAATCGTGAGTCTACGACCAGGAGATAAAATTGAGTTTCATGGCGTTCTAAACCCGGCCGCAGTTGGTGGACTGAGACCTGAAATCGACAATTTGCAAAGCATCAAATGCTTAGAATGCAATTCCTTTCACGTCGAGGAATTCTTTTTTCGTAATAAAAACCTCCAGAAGACTCTCCATCACTCTGACGGGAAAAAATTCAACGAGTCTAATTATTCTTCATTCCTGTCTGCAATCAATCAATTGAAAAATTTTTTTATTGAATTAATTGACACTGTGAAATCAAAGTCCAACATTACTGCATTTACGTTTTGAACATATTTTTTAAATTATTACAAAAAAGCTTAAAAGCGAATAAATAAATACATATTTAAGCTCTTTATTTCCTATTTACTTATTATCTGCCTTGCATTAATTGCACTTGCGCTACATCTTCCCAGTATTTTCGCATTCTGTTTTGAGAATTAACGACAAATGAAGGATATGCGATTCCACTTCCACCAAAACTGTTTAAAATCTCTTCTTCTCCTTGTTGTCTTTTCTTGTGTTTTCTTTTATGTTGCTGGCTCCGAGATTTTACTGAAGTCACAACGCCATCCTCAAGGGGAAGATCACCTCTAGCATATTCCATGTCATTGTCATCCTTACTTTCCCCTCTTTTGGAAGAACCGTGCTTATGTTTCATCCCCAAACGGTTTAACAATAAGTAATTTGTGGAGTCGGGGTATCCAATCCCAGGATTTACCCCATAGGTGGACACTAGCAGTGGGGACGCTGGATTAGCAAATACCCCTGAAAATGTTGAGGGGTAACGTTGCTTAGTGTCGCCGCCTCCGCTGCTACCAGAGATGAATGCATTGTGAAATCTATTAACTTTTCTCGTTGTGTGAGGATTGCGATACGGTTTTGAAAGTTGAATAAAGCTTCCATCTCCAAGTTGTCCTGTATCTCGCTTCCTACGTGTATTCGTCGCTCCATAATAATATGCAGACAAATCAGGTTGTTGGGCTGAAGGATATGAATTTGGTACTGCTGCGTAAGCGGGAATGGGGTCCGAGTGGGCACTGCTGTAAGAATCATGCTGACTTGGACTTCCGTATTGCAAGGATGGAGGAGGAGGGGCAGGGGCACCATAAGCCATGGACACACCCCCATTTGCATGATGGCCGCCACCATGAAGAGTTTTATACAGCTCAATCTCCGTTTGTCGCTCTCTGAAGGCAAGACCTTCTAAAACTATGGTGGCAGCTCCAGCGGCCATGCAACCAATTGTAAAGAGGAGCGCGGCTTGAATTAGGGTGAAATTTCCGTGGTGTGCAACTAACCCTATCGTTGATCTCGTCTGGTTCACCTAAAAAAAATATTATTCCTCAATTTCATACTGGCATTATGGTCTGTTTCACTAAATTGGTTTATATAATAACAATTTGAAGCAGCAAAACGAAACTCACAAACGAGGTCAACAGATTGTTGGCACCTGACACTAAATCCGCACTGCCTTGAAACCCTGAGGTAACAGAAGAAATGTTGAAAGGCTTGGTAACATTGAGATTGGATATTATGGAATTGGGGTCTGGAAGGTCTGGAAGTTTATCCCCAAGCATTAAATTAGTCAGAAATCGAGCCACTGGGTTGACATCGCCATCACTCTCTGAACCCCATGTGTTTTGAACTGTGAACCTATTTTACATAATCGAGGATAAATATTGCAAATGCGGAAGCAAATTTTTGTGGTGAGCACACAAATAACCTAAACGTATTTATTGATTGAACTTGTCATACCCGTTAGTTAAATAAATCAAAATAGGGAGAGACGCAACAATTTTTAGGAACAAATTCATGGTGACGGACAACTTGTGTAGACTAAAGCTTGTTAAAATGAGCAACACCTCATAAGAACGTCTAAAGACTCTAAACAGACTAATGAACTTGACCGGTAGATAATTAACCCAGTTTTTTATGACATTAAACAAACCTCATTGGATCAGGTATACAGCAGCAGGAGTCGTAATTGTAATGAATGGAAGACTCAACTCGACAATTAGTAGAAAATTATGTAGATAACTTTTACATGCTTATAATGAGCTATTTGAGCAAGTGTGAAAGTTCTTCATGTATGTGCAACAACATGATTTGCCAGGCTTGTAAATAACACAAAGCCGAAAATATAAATAATATAAAGTAATAATTTGAATGTATAGTAAAGTTTGTCATGAATTAAAATCGTATAATATTATTAATTGTATTAAAATGACATTTTGCTTTATTGTTTTCAGCTCTTTGTTGTATATTATTTTCTTTTCACAAAAATCGTCGGCTTCATGTAACATTAAATGAGGATACGTACAGCTTTACTAAAACTAAATATCACGATGCTGCAAAATTTAGATCCATGGACATTGGATCACTTATAGTAGTATATATATAGTTTTTCATATGATCAATGTACATATGGGAGACGGAAAAACCCGATAATATAGGGACTCGTCAGACTCTAAAACGAAATCACTGGACAAGAACTGATTTTGGCGAAATAGTGGATCTCAGATATTATATACTTCTTCTCGCACGTTGTTCTCTGGATGAGAACCAAGGAAGTGAGTACTAAATGTAAAAAAGAGTGAGTTATTAGTAATTGCATTAATGAATTTGTCACAAAACGGATTTTATTTTTTTACCTGTCTTGGAAGCGGCCCCCCTACATTTCCTTCCTAAAATTGAACAAGTAATTGATTTGATTAATTTAGACTCGCTCTAAAGAACTTAGTAGTTCAATGCTTTGTTTACTACTTTTGACGCATTGCAATGCGTCGAGACGACGATGAAGCAGTAAACTCGAATTCACACAACAATTAAGTATTTAATAAAATTAAATGGGATTTTGGCACTAAACTTTATATAAGTTGCTAAATTGAGATAATTTTTAAATCGCTGTACGTATTTGTTGTCGCATTTCAATGAATTACTGCTGAATTATTATTTCAGTAAAGTATGTAGTACTGCAAAACAAAAATTCCATTACCATATAACGAAATATAGGAAACCACCAAATTCTGGATAAAAAGTTTGTCGTCGACCCGTTTTGACCATTCTGTACCTGCAAAAATTAGAACAACGATAAATAAGCTAACCATCGGTACATAATTTGAGTATATTATTATACTTCTACAAGTAAGCATTGCTACTTACTTTAAGTTGCGGATTATTAGCAAGTGTATGATAAATCCAAAAGATTCTCGTCGCCACATAATCTTGAAACAATGTAAAAATTTTATTATTTTTTCTAACATAAATATCAAAATTGTTAATAAATACTTACACGCAATCAAAACATCAACTGTATAATGTCCTCGTGATATCAACATCATCACAACCCCTACTATGCTCACTATCCAGGAAGCCCAATGAAGGTAAAACAGTTTTCTTGGAGTGTCTATAAAACAAACAAAAAAATTATACCTTGCACATTAACTAATTGAAGTAATAATAATATTAATCGTTTTCAATAACAACACTTACATTCTTGAATAAAAAGGTACGCTATGCATAAAATAACTGTGTGACCAGAGTAGCTGAAAAAAGCATTGTTCACAGTTGACAGTATTATTCTGGAATCTTACATTATTATATATTATACTTACATATAATCCCCACAGTACGTGTGCTGACCTAAAGATTAATATCAACAATAATAATAATCAAACAACTATTTTATCGATTTTATGGCGAATAAAGAAAGTACTTACCATTGATGGATAAACCAAATCCACTCACAAGCTGGATGACTCGCCGGAGAATTTCAAGCACCGAAGTGGAATTGGATTTTGGGGAACAATGGTAAGTATAGGAAGCCACAGGTAGTACGGTCACATAAATAGTTATTGACCGCATGAAATATAGACATGCTAGAATAAGGAAAGCACGGCGAAAGACGATCCACCTGAAATAACAGTCGAAGAATCCACGTCAATTAACTTGTAATATAATAAGGGACTGACAATATGGCGTCTTACCTATGACGATGCAATAGCATAACAACTGCTGTGGCTAAAGTCGAAATAGCGACCAAAACATCAGATACACTAAGGGCTGTCAAAGGAAACCAAATTAAAGGTAAAGACTACTCCACCTCAAACGGATTAAAACTCAATTTATGAGATAAACTCACCCCAGTCCTGAGCTGTCACATTATCTGAAAGACAAAAAAAACAAGAAAGATGGATGAGATATTTCCAACCAAAGACATTTATCCATAACTATTTTAGGAGCATGCATTTGCGCTGGTTGGCGTTCGCGTGCGTGATTGCTAAAAAATGTCATATTCTTACCAAGTATTATGTCTGGAAGTGGTTTGTAAATGTTGCGATCAGGAACTCGTTCATGAGTTAGCGCAAGTGACTATAAAAAATTTAAAAAACACTTTTAAAGATTATACTATGCTAGAAATACAAAATAACAAATATCCAATTGACCTTTGCTTAGCATAATTCATTATTAGACTTACCAAAGTGGCCAGAACAAAATTGCAACTTAAAACCAAGAACGCAATAACAGTCTTTCTTTTCTCTTTCGGATATTTTAAAGTCACAACTGACTGGTCTGATGGGATGTCAATCCTTACTGCAGTTCGTCCTCTTTTCCCATCCTAAAATATAATGTACCGTTTTCGTAAACATATTTGGCATTCATTTCACAATAGTTGGTTTAATCTGCAACTTACGGAAGATACAGGAGAATCCAGTTCCGCATCCCCGTCATGGTCTATCCAACCATTTTCGCATTCTTGTAGCAACGGCTATTAATTAATTAGATTTAAACACAATTTCATTATTACTACAACTTCTGTAGTACAAATATTCACGCAGAAAATTGTAATACCTGGCGTTGGTACAACAAATCCCCACTATTTGTTGACATTGGACTGGAACTATTTGAGTAAATATGAGTTATTGTGGTGCCGTTGGCGTTGTTGGACGTTTTTCCTCCTCCGCCGTGATTACTAATTATGACAATGGTCTCAGTGGGTGAAAGGCGAGGTGCAGACTGACTATTTGTTGGGTTCAACGTGTTATTGTTTCCGGAAGAATTTCTATATCGGTTGGTTGAAATCCGAATTCTTGCTCCACGCGCTGTTCCGTCATCCGTTCCGGAACGCTGAGTAGTGTCGTCAATTGTAGGGGACGATATTGTTCTTCCCGAATTGTTGTGACTCAAGTCTAGATTGAGGCTGGCGTGGTGAAGGGTGTTACTATTTGGCCTATTCCTCGCGTTGCTGTCAATTGAAACTTGACTTCCACTCACAACCTGATCACTGTCCAGAACACTTGCACCCGATGAGATCCCACTGTTACTGTCACTACTTTCACTCGTGTGCCTACTATTACTATGATTAACTAAAGAGTGCAAGTTCCCACTGGAGTTGGCAACCCTCCCAGCAGACTCACCTCCTCCTCCTCCTATGATTACAGAAGACGACGGTTCTGCAAAGCTTCCATAATCAGTCTTGTCTGAGACCATTCTGCAAGGAATAAGTTTCAGTCATTACACTTTCACACACACACACGATGAATTCATTAGAATGCTAAACCAACATGCTGCACATCGTCATAAACTTTTTTTATAAGCTTTTGCGCTGTAGCTTGTAGTTATTTCGCCTTATTGCAAAATGCTCAACCAAGATATGAATGAAATAATTAATTACTATACACACTCGCGTTCGAAATGAAAGAGTATGAAGTAGTGGCGAATACTCGTCAAGTCAATATTCATGCCATAAAGCTTTAATAAAATGCAGATTATTTGGGATATGAGATGTCTCGACCAGTATAATTAATTTATATATTTTTTATCTTACGAGCCCTAATCCGACTAATTTAATACAACTAATTAAACGATAATCTCCTGATAGCATTTCTCAATTGACATAAGTTTTTGACTAAAATGGACGCATGCTTAAGATTATGTAGTAGCAATGTATGTAAAAAAAACGATGAATGATTACTTGACCCCAACACTAAGAATATTGCACAGGTAGTTTATTTTACAAAATCCTTGATCAGTTACTCCACATGAAAATATTAATTCTTTAGTATTTTTTGTATCACAATTGGTACGAGCTGTGGCAATATGCACGATTGGTCAAAATTGCCCGTACAATGTGCAGAGTAAAAAAATAAAATCTCATGACTCGCTTATCAGTCGTCCTTTCTCCGTAGTAAGCAGAGCAATAGTTCAAACAATTCCTTGATACAGTTTGGGTATAATATAGAAGAGATAACCCTGCAATGATAAGATTATTGCTATCAAAACCAAAACAAAACTTACTTGGATTTATGTATGCCGGGAACTCTCAAATATTCGAATACGAACAAAGAACTAAAATGACGAAACTATGAATTCTTATCCAACCCACAAAAACTCGACTGGATAAACCCCAACTATTCGAGGACACTGAGGCGAATATTTGAAGTTGGAGATTGATAATTGAGTTCAGTTAAACAAATCAGATCGGATCACATGAATTGATAAATCCATAAACGCAACTGTTGGAATATGCGATGGTACATCAATTCCAAATCCTAAGTTTGTAAATCAACTCATTCATGTATGTATTCTTCTGAAATAACATGCAACACAAGTACATACATACATATGTACATCTGTAAGTCCCATTCATAAATATTTCAACAACAGCAAAATAAATACGACGAGTTATATCAACGTGGTGTAGAATATGTGAGTCATCAACTATCAACTACGTAATCCAAATTGTAGTATATTTTCCATTTCGCATGCAGCTTCTGTAATGCAACTACTCAATTCACCATCCTCATACCAGTTAGTCCTCCAGTACTACATGCATATAAATAAATACGATCCTGAGTAGATCATCCACTTTTGTTTGTTAGAGCAGTTAATAGATTCGAATCTGGTTAGTTCAGTAGCTAATAGACCAATAGAAGATTTCAACATGAGTGGGATACACTGAGCAATGCAACTGAAGTTAACTATGATTAAGAGCGATCAATGCGTCACTATTTAACAATTTGTCCTGAGTCACAATTCAGGATTAAGAATGATTAACTTATGTACTACATAAAGATGAACTCATGAAAGACGCTGCTGCAATTAAGATCAATGAAGGACTCGTTTTGTCATGTTTATGGCTCCCTTATCTGTTTGCGTTAAATTACTATATGCATGTGTTTGTAGTACAGGGTGGTTCAAAAAGGATTTTTCATGGAGAAATTTTCAATCATTGACTTTCATTAGTCACAGTATAAAATAACAAATCATAATGGTAATTTTCATTCAATTTGAAAACATTTTCATAAGATTTCTTAAGTGTGAGATGGCTCTTTGTCTGCTTTCATAATCTGCGAATGCTTCCAGCCCTAACTCTCGGCGTACATTCGATTTTTATTAATCTTTGATGATTATTCGATATCATATTAACTAACTGATTTGAAGTAGTCAATAGAAATCATTGAAAATTGGTAGAACAATTTCTCTATGTAAGTCCTTTTTGAACCACTTTGTACACACACAGTACAAATATGTTCATAAGGACGGATGCACTTGAAAGTGCAAGTGCACTACTGATTATCTCTGGAGCTAACTGAATTTTCGAATCCGAGATTAAATTCATATTTTGTAGGGAATATATAAACAATTTAGTTATCTGCGTACTTTAATAAGATAAGAACATGTCCCCTAAACCAAAAATAATGATAAACTATAACCACATTATTATTAAAGTAGTTTCTTTAAAATCTTGCACAAAATACGCACGCTCTCTGTTTTTTACATGCAATGGCAGTATTATAGAGCTCGAGATTCCATACTGCCAATTTTAGGTCAAATGGTATCATGCATACACTTTTCAACGTTCATATAATTGCATATAAAAATGTGTGGCCATAAAAATTTAGATATCCTGGCGTCATTTGCCTAATGCAATTTTGATCACTTAGGATTCTTCGTTTAGACAGTGTCTAAAAATAGAGAAAAAAAGATTCAAATATAGGAACTAAATACCATTCTATGGTAATGGTATTCTATTCTATGAAACTAATGAAAGTGAATAAAGGCAAAGGTAACAGCAAATGTCAAGGTAATGCAGATGTGAAACCGGTACATGGTACATTGCAACATTCCAGCATAAAGTATGCTTTACTATTTATGTATATGCAGATATTACTAGTTTAAAACATGGGCTTGTTTTGGTAACATACTTTTTGGCTTTATGAGAGGAAAAATACATGCATATATAGATGGCAATAATAATAAAATATGACTTAAAATAGAATGAAGACTTATTCATAGCCCCATTTCATCTAAAGGAAAAACAGATTTCGTTAGGAGTTCAATCCGGTTTAGAATAAGTATACTATTTTAGAAGCGCCATACCACATGTTTTTTTACGTCATCGAGCCTTTAACTGACACACCCACACACAAAGAAATGATTTCATTGCAATAATACTCTGTTAGTATGAATGGAATGATAGCATGCAAACTTTCTTCCAGCTTGTTCTTCCAGGTTATGATTGTATGGTATTCTATTATTATACCGCCATAGCACACCACGCCCTCCATGATGACCATAAAACTTCGCAGCTACTATCTCACTATCCGCCCACTGAGTGCCTAAGTACCACTTAGGCTAATTTAGTAACAAAATCTTCCTTTTGGACCATAAAAATAATAACTATAGACATTCAGAGAGGCGAGATTTGGTGGCCTTTCGCCCTCTACACAAACTTTCACTTGTAAGATTATTGAGATATGCATATATGTTATACAGCATGTCCTCAATTGCGTCACGGTTTATGCAGATATTTGTATAGTGAGTGATATGATCTGCCTACATATTGCATAATACTTAAGACTTGTTAACATGCAACTTTGAATTGTTCAAATTGTTAGAAGAACGTATAATTGTATTCATACAGAGGCGACAACATTAATAGGTGTCCAATTTAGAAAAATACATTTTGAGATACACATAAAATTCCTAAAGTGAAGTTGAAAAACAACTTCACTTCTTGGTGACAGTCGTTGTTGGAAGGAATGTAGCAATGCTCGGCACTACAATTCCTTGGAAATAAGGTTTGGTCATGGGACGGCCAGGCGAAAGTTGACTTTGTTGGAGCATAGTGCCATGCACAACCGTAATTGACTTCATCGATCTTGCAGTCAATTACGATCTTATTCGCGTAAATTCGGAGGCGTGTTTTCCACCAAATCTCATTACTTTCTCACTACTATATTTTAGACTTGGTCAAATCCCACCCATTGGATAAAGACCTATACATACATACCTGGGCCCAGGATAACTAATAATTCATACCTTCACAGACAGAAAGTCAATAAAATATTATTTCCTTGTCGCTCCATTAAACCTATGCGGTTGCATTAATATTTTTATAACGCCACAACCACCGAGAAGGAAAAGAATGCGTCATAAAATGCTATAATAATTTCCTCTTCTCATAATTTACTTATCGGTATAAATGTCACACATTCCCAATCAATATCCCAATGTAATAATGGTTGTATGTATTTTAGCTGTTGTGTGCAATTGGAAAGTTCAAGTCAAAAATAGTCAAAATATATCGCATTAGAATTATGTATTACTCTCCCATTAGTCCCATTGATAAATTAAGGGTATACTAAATAAATGAATAGAACACACAGAGCATAATGTAATGAGTGCAGTTCGTAGCGTGCAATGGACAAACAACAAATAAAATATTCATGTGTATCAATCGCCCTCGCAATAAGAAGGTGTTTCTTCACAGCTAGGTTTGAACTAAATGACAAAATGCCTCTTGCTTGCATGAACTACCGTCCTGTGTCCTATCTGAATGGCTCAACTATTTACAAAGTAAGTCAAACTTTTTCTGCTTTCACTATGCAATGCTTGCTTTAGTAGGGATTCTCAAACCGCCCCAAGCATGAACAGCAGCATAGCACGGCACGAGAAGTGTATATTATTATTCTAGCAGACCGTAACCAGTTTCAGTAGACTGCTGATCGGTGCACATGCACTCGCCAAGTACATCTGCACCGAGCCGAAATACTACTCGCAATATTATTATGTAAGTTTTGGTCGGTGCAACCTTTTTGATTAATTCCCATTCCATAGTTCCAATTTAAACCCGATTCATGGACCTTTATTATATGAATTTTTCATGAGGGACAATAATGATATTAAATATGTCATTATTCATTAAATAAAACCATGCATATTGCCTGTTTTTATTTCTATGCGGTGATGTTAATATGTAAACTTAATTTCATTTAATTATACACCATGAAGCTATTTTCATTGTTTCTGTTAGCCTGCATAGCTGCGAAAAAATGCTTTACTAGAATGCTTTTATGTATCGAGTAAAAAAAATGATGACATACAGCGTATTAATATTGCGAACTTTCTGTACAGTTTGCCAAACTTAAGCTATGCTATTGCGGCAGTTTGAAGATTTTAGCATCCAAGTCAGATTTATATGACTCCTCTCTGTCGTAGGATCATACAAAATGAGATCATAAACACGAAGGACTTAAATTAAGAATGTAAGATGCTATACTAAAAACTGAATTATCACGTTTGTGCTATAAACAATTCTAAATAAAAATAGTTAAGCAAATAAAAATAAAATGCTTACCTATTTCAACGGCTTCGTCAAATCCTAGCTACCACCATAGAGCCAATAATTATAGTCCGAAATTGCTTTATTAGGGAGAGCAATTACTGCAGTGGCTGGATACAATGAAATGAGGGCAGTCAGGGTAGTCTTCTTATTTCTGTAATACAATCCGTAATTAGCTACATGTTTGCCCATATGACTAATTAGCTTAATTGTTAGCAACTTTCTCTCCCTCTGACGTGCCCAATATTCACTATTTCTAGAATTAGAATGCGAAACATTTATTATTCCTTGATAGCATAAAAACTATATTGATAAGAAAAGGAAAACATCCTAACCGCACGTGACAAACATATATGTATATATGCGAATTTGGTAGGAATTGAGCGTGCATAGTGTTACTTGTAACTTTACTATAATACTGCGATTGATAATTTTTAGGATTCTGTGACTCACCATGCACACATATGTACCACACATGGTCAAACTCTGGTCAAACTATCCAGACATAACTCGAAATAGAAATGCCATTTAGTAGCCTTCTTGGGAGAATGGTGTGCAAAAATAAGTTATTGTGGTTGGCCATCAAATATATATCTACATATAAGCTGTATACTAAGGTATAATTCTGCATATGATTTCTGGAAATAGTTGTGCTTTACAACTACGACTAGCTCACTTTTGGTCATTGATGAGTTTGATCGATTCCTTATTCATGACATTTTCGTTTCCTCTCTTTCAAAATTCACTCCCACAAAAGTCATGCATTCATAGCCCACAACTGTACTGTTCCCATCGTTGCTATTATTTCAGAACTCTGTGATAGCTTTGACCGTGTGTCACGCCATGCCGATACAATAGTAACGAGTCGAGAGTCATATGACACGTCTTCCCACTCTACTTATTCAGGCTAAGTGAATTAAAAATGCCGACTTTGTAACTTCATAGAACCAAGTCAATGGCACAATCAAGAATTATTGATAATGAATGAATGACATTAAACCGAACCTTATAAGTTCTAATAAGCACAACATTTAGACATTTAGTAAAAACCTACCCGACAAAGTGTTAAATTATTTAGTCAGTTTGACTAAATGATTTTGCATTTCTCTAGGGTGGCTGAACTTGATCTGACTAAATAATCATGACATTCACCCTGCGACCCACTATATTTGACTACACTACTATGTGCCACTATACTATCCAAATATACTTATTATCTAATGTTTGCTCATGTTAAGTTGCTGGTCTCATAATGCTGCTTTCCGAGGTTTTAGATAAGATAATTCCACAGAACTATACTATTATATCTCACGGATAATTCACACGTTCCCCATAAATCCACATAATCTTCTCCATTATAGTAGCTACTGAGATAATACTTTCAATTGAAAGTTTCAACAATCAGCACCGTTTTTAGAAAATTAAAATGTCGGTAATTTTCACTAGCCCAGTTGAATCAACAATTGACAAATAAATCCATTGTTTAAATTTCAATATATACAATGACTGCGTGCTTAATACAACCGAAAGCGAATTTTCGCTATAAATAACCGCTTTTTAACAATAAAATATAACAATAACCAATAACACAATTAGCAACAGCTGATACTGGTGGAACTTGTAGAGCGTTTTGTGCTTATATGTGCACAATTCAATGTAACTTTACGCTTGATGATGAGGAACAGTTACCTTATTACGTCGACTAGGAATAATTTTAAACTAGTTGATCAACACATCTGTTGCTTATGCCTTTTTAGGTACCAATGTCTGTCTAATTTATCGTATTGATCCTCCTGCGTACACCTGCCTGCCAATACTTTTCCACTAGCTATCTAGCAGTTTCGCCACCATTAAGCAAGAAGAAAAGTAGGTAACTGGTTACTTACTTATTTAATGAAACGAAGAAGCAAAGCCATAATTGCGGCGTTGCGTTGTAAGTCAAAAACAGCACCAACTCACGACGACTTGTCGACGAAGACACATAATAACCACCCACCAAAAAAGTCACGTCACCATCACATATATATTCGTTTAACGTATTATATAACAATATCACCACGATCTAATGATTAAGGAGATGAGGAGTGTCGTCCTATCTTAACATCTCCCTAAATCTACAGACTCCCCAATATATAAACTCTACTGTAACAAATGAACGAGTACAGTTAAGACGCAAATTTTCGTAAAGATAACCACCGGATGATATCGAGAGGCGCAAGTACGAGGAGTAAAGATAGGAAGTTTAATTTTAGGAGTCGAGTTGTGTAATGAATGAGTTAGTTTAGTTGAATGAGTTTTAAGACGAGGCGAGCAGTCAGTATGCGTGTTATTTAGTTAAGTAAGAGAGGCAGGCGGGGTGTGTGCCTCCATCACCAACTTCATAATGATGACTGCCACCGCTCTGCCAAATAATAATGTGCTCTCTCTCTCTCTCTCTCATTTCCTGTGCTGCGAGACTAACTAAACAAGCACTTTCTCCACGGTGAACCAGAAATACTCACTCAGCTTGGAGCTGCCTTTACTTTCTCCTTGTGACGAAATGTAGAACATGAAATAATGATGGCAAAGCAAATGTGACGAAACAAGCACAACGGAATGATGGAGACAGGCATGACTGACAATTCGATATTTGGTTGTCCCTTCACATAAAAGCCTCAGTAAAAGTGTGAAAATATGACAGGACATGACAAAGCAGGAGGAAACGGAAGCCAAATATTCAGCCAACGTCTGGCTGAATATTTTGTGGGAAAGGCGACAGCTTTTGACTGACCATTCAGTTCGTCTTCAGGTGCGTCATTCAGGTTTCAATTCAATCAATTTCTTATATGAACTGCAAAATTAAGTTTGCAGGTAAAAAGTTATGCCTATGGAAAACTGCATCCTCAATTGAACACTGGATCACATAACAACGAACTCGGGCAAATACTTTCAGAGTTGGGAAACGTGGATACAAACATAGCCAATCGTGGAATTGTGCATGCATTTTATATAGGAAACAGAATAGCGAAAAGAGTATGTACATATGTATGTGCTCATAAATTCCATGTTTTATTGGAGAACGGGATTGGTGTGTATGTGTAAGCAAGTGGTGCTTTGCCAGAATAATTGATATTCTGTTAATAATAGGGTGGTATTTTTATTGAAAGGTCGATTCGGGGCTATTTGGTATGGGTATAGTTTATGTGTCAGCTCATTTAATTTGATATGTTCTCATAGTTCATTTGGATTATAAATAGTTCAGGTTTATTATTCAGACATATCTACAACGTGCTATTGTATGATCCAGCATATTGAACGTCCCGAATATCTGCTACAGCATTTTGATGAGCACGAACTCAAGGTTATCGTTTGACTGGCTTCAGCTGTCGTTTATTTTTGAACATTTTTCTATAACAAAGACATATTAGTTATTACATACGTCATGCGTTATACACCTTAACTGACACTGGATTCACGAATGAAAACATAAACAAATCGACTAACGGAAATAAATTTAATATCCATGCACGAAAGCTGCTATGTTTGGATAGTGCTAATGGGAGTAAGTAAAGTCAATCGTGAACGAAATGTCCATTGGGTACATATTTATTGGGCATATGTTGCATGACGGACTTCCTCCCTATTAATGTGTGTTCCTTTCCTGGCAATATTTTTTTTTACTTTACCTTCCTCTTATTTTATCCTTCGTGTGTGCCATCAATTCATTGTTAATGTGCGAGTCGTTGTTGCGTCTTTTTCTTATACATGTATGAATATTGTACAAATACAAAAGCAGATCATTTATGATTTATGCATGTTTCATTGGGTTGGCGTAGCTTTTGTTTTTCTAATTTCATATGTAGTCCGTTTAACGACTCCTCCATCTTCAGGGGGATTATTTGTAGTCCCTCCTTGAGGGTCTTGTTGTAAAGGCACATTTGCCGGAACTTGGGTTTTACTAGGCGAATCTAGTTCTAAATTAGTCTTGCTTTTTGAAGGGCAGGGAACCTTCCGTAATGCCCCACTTGGAGTTGGTGGTACTGTCCCATTGGGGGCATTAACATCGTTAGCTCCTCCGCATGGGCCTCTGAGAAATGGGGACTTATGTAGGAGTACTGCGCATTGCACATGTTGTAGTAATTTTTATATTGTAATAGTACATCAAAGAAATCCCTGCCAATTCCCCAGGAACGCAGCCAGGACATTCAGGAATGCATCCCGTTGCTTTACAAATAGGACAACAGCATCCGTAACTTTTTCCAGACTCGGGCATCATACTTTTTCCACCAAATGAGCTTCCAAAGCAAGGTATTCCCAAGCGGGGGTACGAACCCACAGTGTTAAAAGTTCGTGCCCTCAACGAGACCAAGTCGATTCCTTGACTCTGATCTTTTCTCGCCTTTGGATTTGTCTCATCGCAGTCTTCAGTTCCAAGTTCCTCACAATCTTCCTCATTTGGTAAAAGCAGTCCCATCAGACCTCCAATAATTTGCAAAATCCCAATCACAGTGAACGCCATAAAAAAATCCATGAGTTCTCTCCTATTGATGATTTTCATGACATTTTTAAGACACATGTAGCTCCATAACTAAAACTATTTCCAAACTTACGAAATGACTGCAACAAACATGGTGATTATAAAAACTCCGATTGCATGAAACCACAAGATCCATCCCCAAGAGTTCTCAATCCAGGGTCGTGGTATGGTCAGCAAGGTCAACCGGGGAATGCAACAGACTATCAACCCTTCGATTATCCCAATTAACCCACCCCAAATAACCAGCCAGCCAAATGTGTCTACATACGGAAGGATGAGCCACAATATTCCGGATCCTGCGTATACATTTGGCGTTTAAATTACAACGCATTGATTCGTGTGACATGCATGATGATAAAAAAACACAAAAAAATGAGTAAATTATTTACCAACTGTAGAGCCCACAAATAAGTTGCGTTTATAGTCGAAAGTGAAGTCAACTCCAACCAGAATTGCGATTCGACCAATGGCGGAGGCGATGCAGAGCATGGTGATGTACCACGGGGAAAGTATCAAGGGGACGGTCTCCGCATAAGCCAGGATGAACATGTACGGCACAAAGAGAGCCATTGTCGCGATCAAGACGCAAAACCCCCAGAGGACAAAGGACCAGTCCGACCACAAGGCAACATCACAAACGCAGACACACATACCTTGAAAAATAAAAAATAGATTCAACCACTAAAAATGAAATACAAAATACGAAAATTTAAATTGGTCACAAATGTCCTCACAAGATCTTTCCTCGTGATGGCGAGATGGATTTTTCGCCTGGTTCCGTTTAGCTGCTTGAGCAATGCAATCCTTAATTTCATTGTCTCGTTGAGCATGGTTATCACTGGGATTTGCAGTTGTTAGTCCACATTCGATATCAACCATGAAACTTGGAAATAGGTGGGTAGCTCCGGTAAACAGAATGACTAGCATAGCAAGGCACAATTTTGTCCACCTATAACTAACCTATGGATGTATTATAACAAAGTCAACATTTCACAGCTCGTCAGGGAAATGTCATTTGCAAATAATTTTATGATTGATCATATACCCGAGAAAGAAGAAACAAGTTGCACCAATAAAATAATATTGTGCCCAGGCAGCTTCCAATTGATACAAGTATCATAGCCGTTGCCAAATTTTTTCGAAACAAGTCGCTACAAATAAATGCTAGTTTAGTTAATTAAGTTACAAAGTTCAAAGATTTACGACACATATCAATGCATATTTATGTATGTAAATACCCAGCAACCGCCATTGCAGAGCCATAAGCCAAGCCACCTCCAATTGCAAAAAATCCAAGATTGACGACATAAAAAACTGCATAGTGAATTGTAAATGCATCCAATAAGATTCCAATGAAAAAGAGAATCATCCCGAACAATGCCGTATTTCTGTGACCCACCCAGCCAATCATATAGGCCGACAGGGTTGTAGTCTGTATATACATAAATGGAAACTCGATAAATAATTTAGAAATAATACTTGGAACCACATTAGTTTTACCAGCAAAAAGACAGCTCATACTTTGATAAGAATTGCATACGTTAAGGCAGCCGTGAAGCAAATTTCCATGTAGCCCAGTCCGTACGCTTTTTGAAGAACGGGGATATAAAGCCCAAAGCAGTTGAGGAGTCCGATCACAACGCCGACCACGAACATGGCCATTAGAGCAGTGATGAGGTATTTGGGCCTGTCGAAGCCGCACGGGGGTTCTCCGCACTCTGCCATATACGTCCGACCACATCTTCGATGCACCTAAATACGTGGGCATAACTGAGATATTCTGAACATCAATTTAGGAGACGCAAGGTAAACATGACACTCACATCCGCTCCGGGCGTGCAAGGGTCGGTTGAATACAAATAATCTTGAAGAATAGCAGTGGCTCTAACATCCGCTGTGGCGAATCCACCGGAAGCACGCGACATAGCCACAGACAATACGGTCCCGTAGGCAAATCGGATAACAAAAATGTGGAATTAACTTTACAAATTGCCAAAATATATCGACAAGTTGAATCAGGTAGACTCATTGATTTACATAAAAGCGACCAATCATAATCCGTTCAGGTTTCCATGAATCTGAAGTTCAAAGATTCTGAACCTTCTGAACTTATCATTCGTTGATTTTTGAAACTATTCAAGAGCTTAAAATATGCCAAATACAATAGAAATCATTGTATTGGCAATTTATTACTCCACTAAATTCGCCATAATGTCCAAAAAATCCACCAAAATACGACTTCCGAAATGCTACTTTCACCAATACCTTTCCTTCGGCATCCACATTGCCCCATTTACTCACCGCTGCTCATAATTTGAAGTACATACATATCCCGTCGTGCTTGTTTGCTGCATAACAAATAATAAAAGTTTGTTGTTCCTAAAAAATTGATTTACAGTTTTTTGAATTTCTGTTCAAATTGTAGTTGAAATTCAATAAAACCTTTGTGTGAGTGTTTTGTGGTCACTATGCAGGTGGGGGACAGCGATGCCGCTACCGTGCCTAATCCGGCGGGCGTACGGCGGCCAGACGGCTTGAGAAGAGTTGCAATGTCAAAGCACGATTTCGAAGGATGGACAATTTCTGTTCTCAAAAGCCCAATTCTACCATCCAACTGCTACTGCGACGTCTTGGATGGTGAAAACACTAAAGGAATTGTGCTGGAGACAGGACAAAGTTGGGACTCAGTATTATCGAAGACTGATGCATTCAAATGTCAAGTGTGCAGGTAATACAACAAACATTCCATGATTCACAATTCACACACACATTTAGTTATACCAATCGTAAACCTAATTTGGCTACTATGGACTTTAGATATGGCGAAGGATTGGAGCTCAAACACCTTCCGGAGATGGTATTTCCGGACAATCTTCTTCACTTGGAGTACAATGCTTCTGGATTTGTCTTGGAATTTAACACTTTGGATGCTATGAAATTAATGTCCACGACGGACACACATTCCGTTCGGGTTGCAATGTCGGAACCTTGGCAAGCATCCAAGTAAGTTTAAAATAAGAATAAATGATTATATAAGATTCTTACCGAGTAATGTATATGATACCTTTAATTTAATTATTAGGGTTGAAATGGGTTTACCCAAGGATATTTTACATGACTTTAACTGGACATTTACTACAGAATACAAGGGTACCCTGAAGGAAAGGGGTAACAATTCATATAAATCCGAGCCATTATTCCGGGTTGAAACTAATACGTCGGATAAACTAAACCTGGAAAAACTAATGCAAAAAGAACAAATTTTATTCTATGATGAGCTAACGCTTTTCGAAGATGAATTGCATGATAATGGAATTTCAAATTGCAGCGTAAAAATTGTAAGTTTTGTTGATATCTAAATTTATAAATTCCTCATCCTTCTTTAGTTAAATAATTTTTCTTGATTATAGAGAGTGATGCCTTCGGGATTTTTCATTCTGCTGCGATACTATTTGCGAGTTGACCACGTTATGGGCAAGGTCTGTGATACCAGAATTCATTTCGAAAAGGGAAATCAGTATTTCTTGAGACAATACCAATGTCGAGAAGAATCATTCAAGAATCTTGGCACCTTGGACCCCCAAACGTTTTCCGACATAAATATTCTCTATAACCATCTCCCCATAAGAACAGAAATTATTGACAAGATTTTTATAACGTAATAATTTAAATGAATTAAATTCCACATGCTTTCAAAACTTTCTGCGTACATATGTGTGCTTGTTTTTATTACCACATATCAATTTCATCAATCACCACGATTTTACATTTTATATACGGCACTATTTTTTTTTACTATTTTTGAATATCTTTCTTTCATACACCAAAATCATCTCTGTTCATTATTTTCACATATTTTGTTGCACTCGTTTTCCTAATGTGATTACATTAGAGTTCAGATAAAGCTTATTATAATTGGTTTTTTATCATGGGATACCGGAATATTTATGTTGTATGTATGTATGCGCTGCTTCTGTGATGTGTATAATGACGGGGAGAATTTTTCTGGTTGGTGGCATTTATTCTAGTCCAGTGAGATTTTAATTTATCACACGATACAGTAATAATGCTCAACCTATAATAATTGACATAGGCCTAAATATCGAGTTTGCATTCAAAATGATATACTGCACGATTCGTAATTAGACATATGTATCTATCGATAGATGATAATAATAAATACTATAAGACTATCAATAAAGCTTTACAAACTAAGTTATCAATAGTTGTATTTCATGAGCTCGAATTGAACTACTACCAAAATATATTTAGTTATTTAACGTTAAAAGTAATTGATTCCACAAACTTAATACTTATACGCATAATAATCCACGTAGTTGTATAATTACACGGAACGTGATGCATTATTATTAGTATTATTACGTTTTGGGCTGGGCTGATATTGCGCATATTTTTTAAATATATTCTTCCGATACAAGATCCAGGCTGCTATTAAAAGGCAGATGAATTGAATGGAACTCTTGATTGCGCAATAATAAACAGCTTAAAATGTGTGTTAATTAATGTTTGGCTTTCTACATAGATATAACAGTTGTACATACATAAGTACTTGGAATGTGTTTATTACACTCTTTCTCGCTAGACATTTTTTTCTTAAAAGTCTCCACAAAATTAAATGATGATTTATGATTTCGATTAGGACTATGGACATCGGTTGCGGTGTGATTGGTTTTTTAATTTTACGTTTCATATCAGATTGTAGGTTTCATAATACATAATCCGCAACTTATTATAATCTCATAGACTAAGAACTTTTGTGTTTCCGTGAAATCCATATTCCGTGTATCAATTAATGGTTAGCACAAGCACCATCTTTTATTTAATTGATTGTTAAATAAATTTCTACGAGAAAACGTGAAGACGGGACAATATATAAAGGGGTCCGCATGCACAGTATAATTATAATTATGTTGCCTGTCTCAAATTATGACGTAATAATTCCTCTAATCAGATCAGCTTTGCTAAATTATTACCGGTTCACAAAAATTCAGCATTGTTATTGTTAAATCCCTCCACTAGAAAAAAAAAGTTTGTGTGCTAAGCTAATTTTGTAAGAATATTCAGTTATCGTTATCGGTAGCTGAAATTACTGCGCAGTAAATCTGATGAATTGTTACATATACTAATGATTAAACTCTGACTGTTTGCTTATTCTTATAGGTAGTCTTGTATTAAAACAGCCTCCCCTGCAAATTAAACAAAATATCATTATCAATGGAAAATCAAAACCAAGCACGTAAGAAAAATTTAAGTAAAAATTAATCAACAAAAGTTAAATCACAAAAAAAAAACAAAGAAAGTAAGTGCATCACATCGCGCTTTGGTGCAAAACATGCATATTTATAATAAAATAACAAATAACGAATAAAAATAAAAAGAAACCAGTGCCAGTCCAGTAGCGAAAATAGTCAAATTAATTGAGTATAAATGCATGGAAATTAATATTCTCACTCGATTGAATTTTGCAGACAACCACAACCATCCTATTCCTTTGTTTTTGTTATAACAAAGAAAGACAGTAAAAATTGTAAGACATTATTTACACACCATTTCCACTAGTCAATTTTCAGTTAGTTAATGTGTTACATATAATAACTTACCGTTGTATTGGCAGTTGTTCCTTTTGCTGTTTTACTCGGAGAAGGAGACCAATTGGACTTCATTGTCAGAGAGTCTGCTAAAGAGGCTGAAATTAAGAAGGACAACAGTTTTTAGTTCATTAGAATGGTTGCTTATCTTACAAGCAGTTACCTAGGCTAGAATCGAGGTCACCAGTAAATAATGGCTTTGCGGCTGCAGACGCTCCAGCAGGTTGGGTTTGACCCCCAAAACCTGCTCCTGACTGTTGTGGAGTCAAAATTGATCCAAAAAAGTCAACTGTAAATGCAAAAAATAATGCACATTTTAATTAGAAATAACAATTTATAAAACATGTGCACAATCAATATATGCACATAACTTAAAAAAATGGTAATACATGACACAACATCACATACACCTATTCACACAAGCAACACAAGTTTAAAAAAACCAAAGACAAAACTAAAATATCGTCGCCTTCAGGAAAAGCATTTTCCTTCATCCTATACTCTTCTCTTGATAAAAAATCTACCTGACTGTTGTTGCTGAGGTTGTTTAGTGAAATTTTGTGGAGTTGACGGCGGTGGTGGTGGGGGAGCACCTTCCGACGCTGCATGTTTCAAAAATAATGATGACGTGCGCAAGATCAGAAAGCAGTTACATCATCGCATAAGGGATAACTTTCAATCATTTTTTCCCATTGACTAACAGTTATTCGCTCACGTTGTATACATAAAAATGATCTATTTAATCATTGTTTTATTTATTTATTACCTTGATCATTGTTAGATCCAAACGCTCCGAACGGTTGTTGAATTGTCGGAGGAGGTTGTTGATAAAACTGCTGCTGTTGGTTCCCCATGCCCATGCCTCCCATGGGAGCAAACCCGTTGCCTCCATAATTAACTTTTTGCTGTGGTGCAAAGTCTGCGAATGGGTTGGAAGATCCGGTGGTAGGAGGTCCGAAAGCATTTGATCCATTGGTAGCCGTTCCATTTGTAGAAGAACCAAGTCCGAGAGATAACAAATCGTCCAGGGCAGATTGTTTTGAAGCAGTAGCAGGAGATCCTGCAAAGAGGTCTAATATTTGTTGATTTTGTGACGTCTGCTGAGGTGGTGCAGATGACTGAAGGAATGGATTTGTAGCAGAAGCCCCCGGATCTACAGAAAATATCAATTAATCATTTCTGCAACTCAATTCGTCAATTTTGTCACTTAGTTATAAATCAGACCAGATTCATAACTCTCTCGTCTTCTTACTTACCAGACTTTTGTTCTTTAAACTGGTTTAGGGCTGCTTCTTCTTCTGCTAGTATTTTTTGCTTTTCATCAGACGCTGAAACAAATAGATATCCGAATCAGTACATTTGTGAGTGTGCATCATAGATATGTATCAACAAACGGTACACTTTTACCAATGAATGCTGTTTGAGTGGAGCTGAAGGATGAAACGTCCACCGAATTTTGTTTTGACGTTGAGTTTAATTTTCTTCCCTCCAATGTAGCGAGGTGTTGTTCCAAAGCTTCCAACAAAGAGCTGGGTGCCTGTTAAAAACACAATATATTGTAAGTGTCTCACTTTCACCTGGCAAAGTAAAGTCTCGTCCCCCGGCAAAGGACATTTGATTACATTACCTTAAATTTATTCAATTAGTCTATTTGAAAAGATGGAATTAAATTCAACTGAAAACGTGCAGCAAGGTGAAAAGAGACGGTCAGAGGACGAGGGTGGGGTTAGTGCTTCAAAGAAATTGGTACAAAATGTTGATGGTAATAATCATGCTTTTATTTTTATGCTTGAATAAATACTAAAAAATATATATGTTGAAACTCATAGTTCCACCTCATAGACAAAACATTGTTGTCCAGGGCCACCACCCGAATTTGTAAATTAAAAATGAAAGGGACAGGAGCCGTTGCAGGGAGTGCTAGCATTGATCAGATTAAGGCTGCTTTCTACCACTTGGCACGATCCAACAAAGTGGAATTGGATTCAGATGAACTAATTTATAGTCAACCGGATGTACTTTCTCAATCAACACCTCCCGTTGCTCCTCCACCAGAACTGCTGCCCTTGTCATCTGAAGAAAGAGATTCAGCCCTTGTCAAAATAAAAGCTGCTGGAGAGGCCGGAATTACTATTGGAGATACTGGAATGAGTTTTGTTTGGAAAGAAAAATGTGGCGTTGGATTTCAACAACCAAAAGAAAGGGCGTCCGACCAGTTGTGTATTATGCAATCACGCACAAACTCCTTTGATTATAACTCTATCTGTACTCACAATGGTACATTTAATTACCTTGTCCTATTATTTTGTATTTATCCTTACTGTTATTTTGCAGATTGTTTTTCTACTACTGGAACAAGGGCAGATGAAGTTATGCCAAAGTGTCTCATGCACAAAGGACCCAACGAAAGTTATGCAGTTTACGAGTTCAAAGCTCACAAGGGTGGAGTCACTGGGATTGGTCATATGATCATGAAATTCAATTATGCTAAAGATAAGAAGCAATCCCATCTACAACAAGCATTCAGTAAAAGAAGTAGCATAAAACCCAAAGGCGTACCGGGAAAACCAGAGCTATTTAATACTTGTGATGAGGCCGAGAAGAGGTTGGCCGTCTTGCAGACCGTAGCTCTGTTGAAATGCTTTTCCAACCCAAACAAGTTCAAATACACCACCCCATCCGTGTCACTAGCAAACGGTCTCGAAGCAGAAGTCAAGAATGAGATGGAGGAACAAAGATTCAAACTTGAATTAACTGGAATAAGTAATTCTAAAACAGAGAATGCACAAATCCCATTCCCTTTTGGTAGAAGGGCTACACCAGATGAAACACTTGTTGATTTGTTGGATGACGAACATGGGGCTCTCTACATTGTGTGTGACAATAAGATGTTTTATGGTGGTCAAACAATCAGTGGAGTCGACACTCACAATGTCGTTCGGCATGGTTCTGATACCGTAGCCCAGTATGAAAAGGAATATGGGACTGGAAATGTAGTGAAGATCCCATTGTGCGCAATTCCAATCCAAAAGAAGAAGAAGAAAAAGGAGGATAAGGCAACAACTGCTAAAGAGCCAGCAGCAATTGTTGAGAAAGATGATCTCAAGAAAATGGAAGCTCATCTTCATGTTGGTCTCTACATCGCCTATCTTTTTCGCCTCAGAAACCCCTTTCATCCTACATTCACCAAAACGCATCCCTACTGTCTTAACAAACAGGTCTTTTCGTCCTATTTCGATGAGCATTCTTGGGAGAAGGTGGTTTTGTTTTTAAGGAGAGAATTTGGGTGTCAGTTTGAATTTAAGCAAATGTAATTAAATCACTCGTTCTTACCTTCGTCAAATCTGAAATTATTTGAAATTCCAGAAATCAATTAAAGAAATCTAATTCTCACCCTCATCCCTGAAAGGGACTATTTATTGTTTATAATCATCATTTTCCATAAAAATATTGAGCATTTTCAGAGTTCAAGTAAACAAAGAGATACAAGATGAACCTGTGTGACCCAAGCCAAGTTCTCTTTCTCCACTTGCTTTCTTTTGTCTACAAAAATAATGTAATTAATCAAATATCGTTCTTACCTGGAATCTCGCCCTTATCAATACCCACCGCTTCGGCTACCTAAAAGTTAGCATAGTTCACAAATATATTAATTTTATAGGCATGTATTACATTACATTTATGAATAGATTAATACATTAAGGATTTTGGGCAGCTTACTTTTAAAAAATCTGAAACTTTGTCCATTCTAGTCAAAAACTTTTTATAATAGTCAAGAGCATCTGGAAAGAGATAATCTGGGGGTTAGAGGCATACATACAGGCACATAAATTTCAAAATTTAAAGTACTGCTTTTTTCCTTACCCCTTGCATTCTTCTTGTTCATGGTAAAATACTTTTCCAATAGATTTATAACAGCATCGTTGTATGTCGCAAAAAGTCGAATCAAATCACGGAACAGAAGGGAAAATGCGACTCTCATTAGGGAATTGCGATGTATGTCGTCCGCCGAAGGGTCAACTTCCAACAATGAATCCATTTGGGTTTGAAGCACTGGGAATGTTTTCCTGAAAAAAAATGACAAAAGTTTGACTAAACAATTAGCATTAAACAAACAATCAAAAAACCTACAGAAGGGGGTCAGTGCCCATCGTTCGCAAAGTTCCGTCTTCTTTTCTGAAATTTTATAGTAACATTCATAATAATGAAGTCTTCATTATGAAGATTCAATAACATTTGTTTGCTTATTTTGTACACTTAATTTTTTTTGTTAACATACCCTCGTTTGACTTTGCAAAAATCAAAAGCCATTGTTCGGTAGGATAATGCTTTCTCATTGATATATCTGGCATATCGGCGAACAAACGGAGAAACTTCATACCCTGAATTTAATGAAACAAAATCACATTACAATAAATTAGACAATAAATTATTAAGAAACTACATGCGTAAATGAAAGAATACCAATACAATAATGTGATGTTTTCATGCAAAACTATAACAGGTTGAAATTACTCGGAGAGTGAAAAGAACTCAGAAACTAATTAATGATGTGAACAACTCAAAAAGGGGCTAAAAGTAACACGATATTGTAAATATGCAACACAGACTTTAAAATTTTCTACATTTTCAGAACAAATTAATAATTATTACCAACTCTCGGAGCCCCAGCGACTTAGCAAAGGACATAGTTAAACATTAATATATATGTACATACGTCATTTACTCATCAGTCCAAGACATGTAGAGTGTTACAAGTAAAAGTGTCACATACCTTGTGGATTTGCTTTATCCAAAAATGAAGTCAACTGAAATGTACAATTGCTTGAGGCCAAATATTGTGTAAATCTCTGAAATACAGGCAAATTTCAGTTAACATATGGAGACACTACCAAACCAACTGACTGAAGTACCCACCTCATTCCCATAGCACATTAAATGATGCGTCGTGACAAGAGATTTCAATACCACTACCCAATTGGTATTTTGGGAACGTTCCAATAGGAAATTTGCAAGTTGGAGAATCGAAACATTTGGTTCATTCGTACAGTGTATTAAATCTGCAATAAAAAATAACTTGTACCTACGTAAGAACCACTTGATCACACTGATTGATGAAATTAAATGAGTTCAACTCACAATCAAGATGCTTCTTTTTAGGTGGAATTGATTCTTCAGTTGTAGCTTTACAAACAGCTTTTGCTAACCCTTGACCAGCCAACGAGTGTCGTGCAGCAAGGAGCCGGTCACTTATTGTCTGTCCTGTCGCCATTGTTAGAACTTGTTAAAACTTTGTCACAATAAATCAAGTATGGCTCCAGATAACTAGATAAATCTTGTTTTGAGTAATAAGCAGCGAGTAATTTCTTCTCCTTCTTGATTTCGACTATTTTTCGAGGAATGGCACTAACACAGTGAAAACACCCAATCGCTGGCTGCAATAAAAAAGTAAAAATTAATTCATTGCCAAAATCAGTGTAATTTCAGAAAGTTCAGAAATGAAATGGGATAACCCTGCTTATTGTCAGCCTACATTTTTTTTACCAAACTGCTCGGATGACAAGTAATTGTACTCAAATATTCATATGTATTTTTGCTGCAGACACATTAAGTGTAAAAAGAATAAAATTGCATGCTGCAGTACAAAAGAACGCCCACTATTTTGTTACATTTACACACACATTCCATATTTTCCAGAGCCCTCATATCCTCCTTAAAATAAGTATTTAATCACATTACGCTACGAGATGCTAACTAGATAGTTAGAATGTCCCAATGTATACTCTTTACGCACTAATTAAAGGGCTTACCTTTTTTATATTTGATTTTACATGAGCAAATCACGTCTTTTTGATAGTTGAACCGGGTTTTTATCAATTCACTATTATTTATTGGGCCGAATAAACCCACAAGTTGTTATGTACAGCCTTGTCTGCCTTTTTTATGGAAATAAATACAAACTGGATTTTTGGGCTCCCAATGCCAAGTCCACATCTACCTGTCACAGGGAGGTACAAAATAATGATCAGTTAATTGCATTACAAGCTTCATTGCATTGCTACAAACGTATTGCATAGTCGAATATAGGCATATATAGGTAAATATGAAATAGGAGATATGTATGTATCTATATATTAGGTAGCATGATAACATTATTCATCTATCTACATTGATCTAAAATTTAGATTCTAAATACAAACGCATAAATGAATGAATATTTTCGTGGCATGACCGTATGGTAGGGAACATTTTAGTGGTACATAGTGTGCATTGGAAAAAAAATCATTCTGCATCATTGTACATAGTTTAATGTCCATTATCCACGCGATCTAAACTAATGAAATAATAAAATCACGAGATATGTATGGTCCACCTTGATTTCATTCACAATTCAATCAAAACGAGAGTAATTAATCAAATTCCTACCTATGCAAAATTATTTTAACACTTCACTATTTATCTGTTTGGCTTAAATTCTTCCCCATCTCCCATTAGAAATATAAACAATGCTAACCATAAATAAATGTCACAAAGTTTCTCCCGTTTATTCTCTATTGATTTCCTGAATTTATGTACGTGAGGCTACGTGACTACTCTCATAACTAATATGAACGAATATAAGTTACCATTTCTAATTATTTATAAGAGCAGCACTAAAACTGAACTAAATATTAAATACCCGACTGACTTTCTCCAAAAGTCAGAAGCTGTCAGTCAATAAGTTTTTAAGTCCTCACGTTGCACAAAACCAATAACCTATTCGCAGCAGGGAAAGGATGCGATAAAGAAGTAAAAATGTCACATTAAGGTTATGAGGGTGAAAGCAGAGAGGAAGAAGTTTTACAGCTCTTCAAGTACATTTAATTGTTTAAATTTTAGTACTGAACTTACAAACAATTGACAGGTTTTGTTGACGGTGTTTAATTGGAAGTATTAAATGGTCCAGATTGTGATGTGATGATGGAGGGTGGCTGTTCTGCTGGTGGTGGTGGTTAGTAGGTGGGTGAAAGAGGAGTTTCTCCGACTCTGATTCCGCTCCTGCTTTCTCCAACGCACAGCAACTAATACTTCAACAGAAGCAGCCTACTTTCTACGGCAGCAGCTTCTATATTTGGTTCATTTGACACTTTACCATTAGCAGATTCTCCGGCGGAAGGGTTGCAACTTTAACAAATAAGTCGACTCTGACAACAAATACTCGATGTGCACAACCACGCTGTCTCCTGGCCGCTCTTGCAACTAAATTACAATTGAACGCTTAATAGAGTCTGAAAATTATAATACAGCTTTTTATTAAACTTTATTATTGTTTTATCTACTAGTCCGACCTCTCTAAATTAATCAAATGAAGATATATCAACAAGAAGAACGCTGGAATCAAAATTATTTGCTTTCTCTTTTTGTTTGTGCGCTTACAGACAATATTAATTAACGTATCATAAAGCTTTTCTTAAAATAATACCCCTTTATAGAACGGAATACAATTTTAAAGGAATTGTAGTAAAATTTCATCTTAGAAAGGCGTAGTCACAATTGTATGGAGGTGAAAGTAGATCATCTGCTTTCTCTTCTGACAGTGGTAGAAATAATCATCGTCTCGCATCATGATGATGAAATCTGGTGAAATGTATATGAAATCAATAGGACAAATCATTTTATTTCTTCATGGACATGATTTTTATCCAATTCTTTCCAATACACAGTTGGAGAAAGTTGTTGGCAGAACGTTAAAAACGAACGTTGCTGAGAACGGTAATGCTGTTTAGAAGATGACGAAAGAAAGGGGTAAATTGCAGCTGGGAAGCGCGTTTAAAAAGCATTCTCAGCAGCATGCTTTTTTCCACTCTCTCACTTGACCACTTTCTTATATTGACAAACCATTGTATAGCAACGTCGCAGTTATTATTATTCCTGTGGCTGCAAGCTGGTTATTCATTTTCTAGAAATATAACACCCGTAAGTGTGATAAATTGTGTCGAGTTATTTGTTATTTACATTGCATTTATTTTCTCATTTTAATGCATATTTAGTATTTAGGATTCTAAATCGGTGAGGCGAACTGGCCTAATTAATTTCCACGTCGTGTGCTAGAGGTTAATTGACAATATGCGAACTCTGCCCAACATTTTGATTGCAGGTATGTCGTGACTCGTGAGAAAATAGTCTTCCGTGTTTCATTGAAGAAAATAATAGCATATTATATTTATATCTTAAGAAATGCAATTCTAAATTGTATTTAGGGACCCCCGGCGTGGGCAAGTCCACTTTGTCGCAAGTGGTATCGGAAGAAACTGGACTGGAATGGTTGGATGTTAGTCAAATCGCCAAGGAAAACAAATGCCTGGAAGGTTATGACTCATCCTACGGTTCCCACATTCTTAATGAAGAACGGGTGAGTTAGTTACTCGATAAATTATTGCGATTGAGATTAGTATTACAATTTGAGGCGTCTTAAACTGGTGCTGAAACTAGTTGCTGGATGAAATCGAGGACCAAATGGAAGAAGGTGGAAAAATCGTCGACTACCATGGCTGTGACTTCTTTCCCCAGCGATGGTTCGACATTGTGTTCATTTTGAGGACTGATAATACTGCCCTGTATGATCGACTGGTTAATCGGTACGTATATATACATTTTTTTGTGGATATTAATTGGATTTTCAATTTTCCAAATATTAAAATCAATAAAATTATTTACTAATTACAGAGGTTATTCCGGAAAGAAACTAGAGGATAATGTACAGTGTGAAATCTTTCAAACAATTCTAGATGAAGCGAAAGGTATCGAGCTTCCAGCAATCTATTAGGCATAATATTTTATACATTTGTGGTATTATTTGTATATAATTTATTCTCATTTTCCAGAATCATACGCACCAGAAATTGTTTTTGAACTCCCTTCCAACACGTCCTCAGATATGGAATCCAACTCCGAAAAAATTACACAGTGGGTCCAACAATACAAAGAAAAAGCTTCCAACAGCGGAATGCAAATGTAATCAAGTCAGTAGATTTATTAGTTGTAATTTTTCTAATTTGTAATTTACTTGTTTACGGAATCCTCAATATGCAAACTTTATATTGTAAAGTATCTATATACTACTTATTTGTCTAATACGTATACATATTTATCATTGGCTCTAAAAAAATTAACGATTAGATTAATTAGCCAATGCTGAATTATAATTTTTTTAACCGTACGAACACAACGCACACGATAAGATACTACAATACGCTGGCTGGCAATAATATATGAAACAAAATATAAATTCCATCAGTGGTGAAAGTTGGTTTTTAGCTTTGTTGCAACCGTCTCAGATGCTCTCCAGGATTCCATGATATTACATCAAGTTATTGTTGGTGACTTACTGTCAACATTATTATTCTCTGGATGCAATAATTATAAATAAATAAATAATATCATTATGACATTTGAAAAACAGTTTTATTATTCCATAACATTTTGATTTCCTGGTTAGAAATAGCCAGATTCCGACTTAACAAAAACAGGTTATGCATGGTTGGTACAGTTGAAGGATGACACATATATATTCGAATAAGTATAGTAAAAGTACATTGATAATCATTAATTGTCACTGCATAACTATTTAAGTACCTTTGAAAAATTAGGAAACATTATCATAGCACGCTTTATATAATTTGTAGCTGTGACTGAACGGTTTTTCAAAATACATGCTCAGTACAAGAAGATAATGGCTTATTTAGTATTTATATTACATTTAGAATCGTGTATGACTATATGATTAGTGTATTGCCAGTTAACGACAATTAAAGCAAGATGTCAAACAACTTTAGAGTCCGATCTCGTCTCTCACACGCCTGATGAGGAACGACATCGTTAGACATACATAATCAAATTCACCAATTGATAATGGTTAGTTCACTCGATCTGTTTTCAATCATTTGGAGGACCTATTTACTAGTCTATATAGGTAATTATAATACATTAGCCTTTACCTAACCTTAATTCAATTACTTTGTAATAATGTATGTTTTGTTTTGTTGAATATACGTTGATCAGTTCACAGTAAACGTAACATGATAAAGCAAAAAATGGGGAACTACGAAGACTTACAAAAATTGATATCACCGTGGTATATATCTACATATAAACTCTGATTCTACGCTCTTCATAGACATCACAAAAAGTGTCTACAAAGTTATGTGCATCGAGTAAATAAGATAACAGTATTATATAATAACTAAATTATTATTCTAAATAGTAATCAACCCCGCAAGGAAGGTTAATCATTTTTTTGTTGGCAATATAATTCTTTCAACGATTTTAATTCGTCGATTAACGCTTTGTTTTGGTTTTCTAATACAGCGACACGATTCTCAAGGCATTTAATATATTCTTTCTTTTTTCTTCGACATTCTCTGGCAGCTTCTCTATTTTTTAATAATCGGATCTCCCTTTTCCTCGTCACCTCGCCACCGCCACCGCCGCCGCCCCCATGCTCAGAGTGTCCAAGTCCCACCACTCCTGGAGAACTGGATGCTAAGGATAAAATAATCAAAAGAATAATAATGAAAATATGTAATGTAATATTGGAGAAAGTAGACTTATTCACACTTATGAGAACTTACCAGAACTTACTGGGCGAATTGTATAAGCTTGAATTTCTCCACTTCCCACTAAAATTGTAATAAATTATAGTAAATTAGGAAATCAATTAGTACATACGTGAAGAAATACATATATTACACCATATTTAAATACATATAGGTGTTACCTGGAACAAAAAATTGTTGACCGTCTTGAGACTGAGCATATTGAACTATCGTCCCCCCAGCCGTCGCCGCATTTGTCATTGTCTAGAGAAAGTAGTTTGTAAAACACAAATTAAATAATTGTACACAGCAGAAAATAATGTTAAATGCAAAAATTACAATAGTTTGAAGGGCAGCGGCGTGGGATGAACCGTCTGCCGTCGTTGCTTGACCCAGACCCAGTGCGTTAGCGTTTATAACTTTCACGGGATATTGTCCCTGAAGGACAATGCTTCCGTCTTGACTTGACTCGGAAGTGGAAGCAGAGTCGCCTTTATCCGCTGCAAACAGGGGAAAATAGAATTAAAATTAATTCGTGTGTACCTCCCTCGTAGACACCGGTCCTCTGATGGATGAGTAACTAAAAATATTTATAGGCTACCTGATATCTCAGCTCCGCCCAAGTCGTTAAGGATTTTTCTGTAGGAGGGCCTCCTCGTTAAAATATCTCTTCTTCTCCTGTCAGCCGTCCTGTTGTCTGGTAAGTCCACACCGTCGTTGGATAAAGATTCGTCGCTGTGATGAGCGTCGAGGAGTTGAACAGTCTGAATGGCACCACCAGTTGTTTGAATTACGCTAGAATTTGGTTTGGAGGACGATGACACCAAGATGACGTTCACGTTCTTGTCCGCTATAAACAGAGAAAAAGGCAATTAATTCGTCTGCAACTTTTGTGTTGGTAGACCCCTGTTCTCTGAGTGACGTAAGATAAAAGAATTTTATAATGGTTTTGTTGCCATTGATATTTGGCTGTAAAAGTGCATGATCAGATCGGAAGCGATGAGAGGCAGGCATTGCACGATAATAATCTAATGTTCAGTTCGACATGTGTATTTAATGGACCAACACTAACAATGAATAGTAACAAAAAAACATAATTTATGGCGAGCTTAATTCGGGCAGACTGATCGGTCGGTTTTTCAAAACGAAGTCACGATTATGAGGGGGCAATTCTTCAATGAAGGAGTCCAATTGCTCGATAATATTGAGTTTCTGCTGTTCGAGAAAGATGGCAGCCTCTTCCGTTGCGATAATGTAGATCGCGTCGTAATGTTTGCGTGCTAATCCCTTCACTTGGGTTGCAACAACTTTCGAAACAGCAGGAATCCCAAGGGAGGTCACACTTGTCCAATCAATCCGGTGACCTTTCCGGAATTCACGTCGGGCGCTGCCGCACAATTCCACCCAGCGTGCTGAAGCACTGTCACCCGACATAACCTTCATGAATTGTTCCCAGAATTCTCGAAGCACTGCTTGCAGATCCACGAATCTTGAGATGCCCACCGACAAGTTCACAGGGTTATTGTCATCGTTAATCCAATTCACCTTCCACACAGTCCACGTGTATCCAAATCTCACTACAATTGTAAATATACATACTCATTAACAGGTTTAGGTAATATTAACATCTAATAACAAACCTGTAATAAAGTCGATTTCAAACAGTCGAAACTCAATCTTTCCTTGACCGGATGCGAAAAGTACTTTTTGTCCTGAGGGGGTGAAATGCCCTAGTCGAGAATGATATTGAATAGCGCTTACGGATCCAGTAAATTTGCATTCGGGACAAGTTTTCAGTACGCCTTGGGGAACAAAGGTTTGAAAATACAAACATAATAAACAGTTGTATGTACATGGGCATTACCTAAATGATTTTTGTTCACATGCTTGACAAGGCCCGTCCAAGCCCCATACTCCATGTGGCATTTGGTACATCTCCAGCGACGTAATTTCATATGCACTAAAATGATATGTATTTTGGCGGCCGATGGGTTTATGTATGTTGACTCGCATCCTTCGACCACACATTCCGCGGACTTTGATTTGTCCTTTCTTTTTTCTAAATTTTCCTTCGCTTGTGCCATCAGAGTAGTGAACTCGTCACACGTGGGTTCAGGAATTCGCTCCATGTAATCCGACAACTTTTTCCTCTTCTCAATTTCTTCCGCTCCGATTATGCCTAAAATCTGTTATGATATATTAAATTAACTAATTACTATTTTCATAAATTGAATAAATAATACATTATTGACCTAACCTTGTCCAAATTGTTATGAACCACGCTGTGGGTTACTGATTTGTTCGTAGCAATCTGCCTACTATTCAATTTTTCCTTGAATTGATTTACAATTTTCTTTATCTCGTCCACCTTCCATTCATTAATGTTCATCTCCTTGTTCTCGATAATGTCGTCAATATCCCACATTGTGACATCAGCATCATGGCCAACTGAGGAGACATCATGCACCTACAAATACATGTAAATAAGTAGGTAGTAACATAAATTGGCATTGATAAATATTTTTAATCAACAAACTAGTTACTTCCTGTATATTGTCATCTTCTTCTTGGCACACCAACTTCTCCCTCTCACGCGGTGTTTCCACAACTTGTTCCGCCCCTCCACCCAAAACGGCCTCCCGAGGCTTGGCAGTCTTGACTGGGTTATCGTCATGTTTTGCGCGTTTCGAGAGTATAATATCCTACAACAAATAAACAATACAACGTGTGTTAAATTCTCTAATTTCGAACGTGCAGTCAATAAGAATTTCTTATGATACTTACATCGCAAGGCTTGTTATCCACTCTGTTACCAAACTTTCTTGACAAACGACTGAACGTTGGTTGAACCGACTTCAATGGAGACTTTGGTATCGCCTTGTTAGTGTCACTCGATTTGTGTTGCTGTGTACCCAAGTAAACAATTTCCTAGTAATAATTAATTCAGTTTTTAAGGGACGTTACTTTAAAACTACACAACCATTTCAACCCATCTTAAAACTTACCAATTCATTTTCATCCAAACCCATCTTATCTTTTTTATTTTGTGACATCTCTAACAATGTTAACCTGACTTGTAATGTTGTAATAAGAAATCGGTTCGCTGTGTTTATTGTTAGCAGAAAACGTGTGACTGAGCAGTCAAACTTCGCGTTTGGCACAGACTCCCAATACCCCATGAATACAGGGCAACCTGGGGCTTGATGGTATGCTACATTATGCAATACGATGTTTTACTTCCTCACTGACCGTGCTGGAAGCCATGCGATATGTGGCGCAGCTTAAGTTCCCACAGAGTACAAGCAAAAAAAGGAGAGAACTTGTAGAATTACAAAATTTGTGCTAAATTCATACCTTGAACGTTCTTGGGCAGTTGAAGTTGTTGTCCCCCTGCACTTACTATTGTTTCAATTTTTAGTAAAGACATTTAGTCTGGATTTGAGTATTTACCGTACATATTTATCTTGTGAACTCGCACTTACGTTGTTGTTGATGATTACTTTGTATCACCGAAGGAGACTGGATGACTGACTGTTTCATAGAAAAGATTAAGTTAGACAATACAATACAGCCAATAATATGTATACTGCAAATGGAAATTAGGTGGAGACAGCTTTTATAGATACGCAAAAATGACCAAATCAAAGAACAAAGACTGAGATGTGCATGCGTTAAACAATGACGAGCTCAGATCATTAAACCGAGCTATTACTACTTACTAGAAGAGACGTCATTCCATGTGACATGATATCAAAGGGAAAGTACTTTCACCACTAATAATAATATCCTAAATACTACGTGTCTTTTACCTCATGGAATGTAATTTTAGAAATGTATGTAGTCTAAAAATAAAACTCAGCCAGAATAGAAAGACGAACGGAAATGCCAATTATAGGCTTGAGAAATTGAGACAACAATCTATAATATCAAAATACGTATTGTGGTTGTCAAATATATTATTTGTCAAGCATTTCGAAAAACTCTTGCTAAAAGTTGTACACATTATCGAGAATTTTAATGAAAACCTATCTGCTCAATAAATGCTGGGGATTACAAGTTAACAAAACTTTTGGTCGTTTCATGTTGATACCCCACAAGCCTGGACATCTGTAATTATACGTCATCAAGCTATCGGATTGTCTTGTATACAATTTTAGCTCGGCTCATTAAAATTTTAGGGTTCCTCTGGTCGAAATTTGTCAAACTTGACTTCATGTTCAACTTATTATGAGTTCATAAACTATGAGGAATCGCTGTGCCAAATTTCACCTAGGACAATGCTAGTACTATGACCGTGTGAAACGATTTTGCGCATCTTCATAATTTGGCACACACTGACTACAGTAATTAAGTGTGTGCCAAATTTGAAGTGGATCGATTGAGTTTAGAGAGTTTCATGAAACACTGACGAACGGACATGTCTTGGCTCGAGGTAAAAATTTGACGGACGGTAAAAAAATAATAATAAAGTGCTTCAGCATACTAACTAGTTTACAGTACGAGATTTGCTTTTACATAAAAAATGTTTACGATACGATATACGAAAAAAACTGTGGCTGGATCCAACAGAACTGGAAAGAATATAAACTAGGACTACATACAACTGCACGGGTTATTTGCAGAAACGTAAAAAATCAAAAAGAAAATTAATGTGGCAGAAGTAGCAACTATATAGTCGTGGGGGATTGAGTGCGACACTGCGAAATTCGGAATAGACACCTGTGGAACTGTTACATGCACAACGCTCAGCCCTGAAGATTTGGCCATGGTTTGTAGTTGTTCTCCACTAAGGGAAGTGATTCTAACCGGAGTGGAGTTCAGTCCCTGTATCGTCGAAATCTTGTGGGTGGGCAGGTTGGAGGAAGGGTTCCGAGGTTTGGAGGGGTTGTAGGCAGAGGAACTGTGATGATTGTGAAGATGGTGGTGGTGATGTTTCGAATTAGAGTTGTTTCTATCGGATGAGGACACTTCCAACAATCCCGGAACAATCGTCTGTGGATCAGGCTTCACCTCGTGGAGTCCAACTTCCATCGATCTGATTTGGTGAATTGGTTTGCATGAACAACACTTGGGATGAACTTTTAGTAGTGGCCTGCATTTTAAAAAGAATTCAAGGTTTGTCACTTTTTACGTATTATTTTCAATTATCCAGTATTTGGGTATTAAGGAAAGCGTTCAATATGTGAGCTGTTTGAGAGTTCCACAATAAAAAACTTTTGAGATCGGAAATTTGCACACACTGCCACTTTACATAATTTCACTTTATTGCAGAATGAATGTAACCAGGCAAGGTTAAAAACCGGCTTTCATTCAAAACTGTCTGTTATAATGACTCTTGATTTTCACCTGGCGGGCACGCTAATAATAATTCGTGACCCCAACAAACAATAGCGTCACCTGAGCAAAATATTTATGGTTTTCGCACACCACACTGCTGACTGAAAAGCTACATACTATTGACTGTTCTCAAATGTCGCCCAGTCTTATTAATTGTTCTGTCATTACATCAAGATTTAGCGTAGTACTTAAATTTAGAAAAAAATCAGAAGTTGGACTGGGGAAACCTCTGATAATTGGGCACGATTAATTTATTATCATCGCCGTTTACGTAATACATACGCTTTACTCGGAAAGCAATTCAGCCACCACAAACGCAAACCAAACCACTCCAAAAACTTGCACAGCAATAAGAACTGTACCACAGATATAACAAACAAGTACTAAATATCTATCTACCTTTTTGCCACTGACAACTATAAAGTAGGTGCATCGTCGTATGCAAATAATATCGTATTGCTTTGCTGACGATTCCAATCTTTTGACTATACATCCTAACTTTATAACTTGGCTCGTAAGGATAACTATATTATATGCTGAACTTCATTTGAATACAAAATCAACAAATGTCAACGTCATCCCACGTTATCAAAACCAGAGTCCGGTTGAATTAATTTAAAGTATCTTTTTGCGTAAGCCAATAATAAGGAGACAAATGCAAAATCCCGAGAGGGCTACGCTACAACACAATGTTTATCCTCAAGTCTAGTCTGACGTATGCAGTGTACTAAAATGTATGTACAACATACATAGTAGCAAAGACTGTTAAAAATTACATTAGATAACCTAATTAATATCGTAAATAATTTGAAGCCTGAAGAAAAATTAGCAAATTATTGTCTACCTACTCTTCAGCTATTGGATTACTTACTTGTTTTATTTATCTTTTCAATTGAAATGTACGTCACTCACTAAACACCAATGTATATGTATTTCTACTGATTTCTTGTCTGGATAAACACTAATAAACAGTGACACGAGGTAGTTATGAAAGATGCTGTGCGTAAATAATAATGTGTAAGTTAATAGTATACTATAAACTCCTCTAATTCTATGGTGAGTTTGAAGGAGATGTTCTACAGTTTTCTCCCAGGGCTCTCTTCCTGTATGTGCATATGTACCAAATGTTGTAGAACCAGGAAGGAAGGAAACTACGTGAACTTTCTCCAGCTCTTGCTCCACCGCGAACGTCTCTACAACTCGCTTGCTTTCACTTTCGGGAGATAGTGAGTCAGACCCAGTCAAGGGTGAGGTATGACAACGTCCACTAATCTAGATTACTGTACACAAAGCTCTCTAGCACTGCAGGGACTGCGGAACCGTGGGGGCATCGGGGACAATGTCCCCACAGAAATTCATATCTTTGCCATTGTGGTTCAACTCAGGATCAGTATAAATGTTACTGTCCCAAAACTGTCCCCACAGTTCCAAACCCTTTTCTATGTATATGCATGTATGTAGCACGACTGTTGTTGGCTCACTTTCATAGTAAAATTCCACGTCGTGGACGATGGATGCAGAATTGCTCGGAGCTTTCACTTATCAATTAGCCTTGAGTGCTTTCTCTTCTGCACCATATTCAATATATGGTTTTAAACCCCTAATTTATAAATTGTAATTAATATGCTGACTTAGTCAACTAGATCATGTGGTTTTTTATAGCACAATATTAAACCTAATACCACATATCTGTACACTATGTATAGTGTACAGATGAATTGTTGGAAATAAGTATTTAGGCCATTTATAGTTAAAATTAGTGTTCTTATTTTCTGAGACCATCGTCATACATAAATATATCTGTGACTCAATACGCACTCAACAATCCTATCCATCAATATGAGTATTTATTTGACATACATATCTCCAATCACTAAATATATGATGCATATATATGCGTAGTATTTAAGTAGTAGTTAGATAATCATTCAAATCTTATCCAACATTTCGTTGTTCCGACTTATTCATGTGGGAGAAAGTCGTTAAAAAGTGTTCGAGTCCATGAAGATGCAATTCTAATTTGTGTAAGTAATATGATTACCAAAAGTGGATATGACGCCATCACATTCATCTGTCGAGACCATTGTTGAGGATAATATTGTTGTTATTTTGTTGACAACAAGACTATCCTCGTGGCTTAATAGGACAAAATGATGATGGTACGAGTTTGGATGGATTTGGATAGAAACAGAAACAGGAGATATGAAGGGACTTACGTTGAGGTTGTCGTCACTGGTCGTCGTCAGCGTCACAGCAACATCACGACTGACGTAGATGTATCGTGAAGTAATATGAAGTTGAATATATTCACTCGTATAAAACCTAATATACGAAGAAGAGAACTTGTTTTCAGAGAGGAGTTCAGTTTCCGAGAGACCCTCAAATAAAGGGCGAAACTCACCGAGCCACTCTCTTCTATATCCAGCAATGCTAAAAAACAGAATATCATGAGACATGAAGAAGGATAAATCCACTCATTGCGTCATCCGATATATCTTCGGTACAACAATGAATGGGACATGTCAGACACAGTAATTGGTACCAAAAACCCCGTTGAGGGTAGTGCTGCAAGACCACTGGGAGCGGAGAAAGTTGAGCGCTTCCACGCTCTGTTAATGATTTTTAAGAGAGAAAGCTACTCTCATTCTGCATGCTTCTTCCATTCGGATGCATGTTCCAGAATTTTTTGCACCAATTCCTGCCTAGTTATGAGTTATATGGGTTTGCTTAAACATACTTTTGCATATGAATTGTGTATTTAAGCAATCATTATTGTGATGTTAAATGCAAACAAGTTGGTTGGTTGGATGTAAGTAGGATATTCCATTACAGCATTAAGTCATGGATGGGTGTGTGGCAAGGCTTTTGAGGATACAATAAAATAATGTATTGGAGGTAGCAGCAGCATTTCGTGGCTGGGCTGTTACGTAGAAGCGACACTCAAGGTCGATAGGATGACGCAGTCTTATCGACCGCTTTTTAGTCATACGAGTGAACTTGAGTTGAATTGTTGATTGCGGAGATGATATAGACTTGCCATGCTGGCTTCATGTGTTGCATTTCATATTCAGCATAATTGGTGGCTGAATAATAAGTTATTTCAACAAATCATACCACGTTAATGCACTGCAGACACTTAATGCATATCTAAAACTAACCATATATATACATGTATGAAGGAATGATAAACATAAATAGCGAATATTATACGTTATGAACGCGTGTAGCGGAATTGGTGTAATATGTACGAGAGATTATTTAGTCATGAACTTGAACCACAGATAAATATATTCCGACACCATCTCCGTTCTTTTCCTTTCATAAATGCACCATTTATTGAATGCCAACAACACATCACCGCATTTCATAAGTAAATAAAAATTTCCAAGCCAAATTGCACAATGACGCGAAACGACACTGTTTGTTTACGGAAATTGCAACATCAAACAACGCACTCCCTCAACTTTATCCATACTTTCCCCATTGTTCGACTAGAGAGAAGGACAAAAAACGTACTTATTGGGACGATTCTTATACGCTGAGTTGAATGAAAAAAGGGATATGCAATGCAGTGAGTAATGATTAAAAAATGGGCAACTTTGTAATGAGCTTGACATCATCACAGTGAGTAGAACGTGATAGAGCATCGTTATAACGTTGTCGAATAACATGGTTTTCGCCAGACTATAATTCTAGCCCGGGCTACCGCCTATCTCGTAATGCAAGTAGCCCGGGCCAGGGATAGGGGAGCCCGGGCTAGAATTATAGTCTGGTTTTCGCTACATGTTGGCTTGGTCGTCACCTTACGATGATTCATGAATGAAAAAGGTGGGGTTCTATGTAGATGTAAGAAATTTCAACTATACCACTTGTGCAAATAAATAGCATTCAGCAGAGACTGTGGATAAAAAGGATTATGTGTTCCGTATGCATAATCTGACATCATGTCAATATCTTGTTTACAACAAATAAAGTTCATAACAGAGATCTACTCTTTAATTTCCGTTCTTAATGTAACGTAATTTTTAATTTGACTAGGACACACTAAGGCAAGGTCTGCAAACCCCAGTAAAACTGAGCAGCAGTGATTTTCAACATTATTGAGATTAATGACTGAATAGGACAAGAATTTAATGGCTGAAAGAAACCCTAAAATCTTATTGTTATACAGGCGTTTATAATCCTAAATTTAAGCTGATAAGACTCATATTTGTCATCTTTTGAGACGGACTATCACCAAATCGCCCGTACAACAATAAAACAATTCAACATTTTTTAGACACCATAAACACCATTAGCTACTACAAGTACTAATGATTTTAACTCCTGCACCATCTCCAATCAGATAGTATAGTATTGTAACAGCAACAAAACAACAACAACGATCATAATACATTTCCAAAACACTTGAATCCCATGAAGGACCTGTGTTTTGTATTGTCAGATATTGAGGTTTCTTGTCATCGTTAGGCAAGAATCGTACACCATTATAATATCATGTCATCTTTAGTTACAACTAAATAATAAGTATTTTTTATAATAATTCGGAATGCTCATAAATTAGAGTATTCTGAATTAACTATTATTGGCTGCCAATAAGATATTCTTATTTAACCAATCATTTGCATTGACGTTGTTGCACAAACTACAGTAATATAAATAATTTTTAGTTTAAGATGATGCGGTTTCGATTTTTTTACAAATTTCATCCGTAAATTCTGAACACTTTCCTTTACCACCCAAATCCCCAGTTAGCTTCTGTCCTTCGCGAATGACAGCAAAACAAGCCTTTTCAATCTTGTCAGCGTAAGGATTGAGCTCCATGTACCTAATATTATATATTTCATTTATTCAACTCGTTCAAAAACTCGGAAAGTCTGATGTACGATACATGTTTTGTACATAGATAGTTGTCAATTACCTAAGCATCATAACTGCTGATAATAATAGCGCAGTTGGATTTGCCTTATCTTGTCCAGCAATATCAGGAGCAGTTCCATGGACCTGGATTAAGATTGTTTATAATAAATAGGCATTCATAAATTGATCACGATGAAAATACATGTACTTAATTCATCCATCTTTTACCGATTCAAAAATTGCACCGTTAAGACCGATGTTTCCGGATGGCGTCAGCCCAAGTCCACCAACAAGCCCAGCACACAAATCGGATAAAATATCCCCATACAGATTTGGCATAACTAGAACGTCGTACTGCGAAGGATCTTGCACCATTGTCAAACATACTGTATCTAGGTATTTTTCCTCAAACTTAATTTCTGGCGTCTTTTTGGCGGCTTCTCGACAACATCGAAGAAACAGACCATCAGACATACGCCTAGATAACACAAACCAGTCATATTACATATGTTTCCAATTAAAAATAGTCATAATCAATATATAATAGCCAGTCAGCCTTACATGATGTTAGCTTTGTGCACAGCAGTAACTTTATTTCTGCCATTGGATTTTGCATAGCTAAATGCATACTCCGCAACCCGCATGGAGGCGTCTTCAGTAATCAACTTAATTGATTGCACAACCCCAGGAACGATTTCATGTTCAATTCCGGAATATTCGCCTTCCGTGTTTTCACGAATGGTTACAACATCTACGTCTTTGTATAGAGTCTCGTAACCCTCGAGTGACTTGCACGGGCGAACGTTTGCGTAAAGATTAAACTCTCTGGAAAAATAAGTATAAGAACGAGAATGAACGAATGAATAGAATAAAGTAAAAAAAAATATCGGAATGCACGGCGAACTTGATAATCGTACTTTCTTAAAGCTAAATTAAGTGAGCGATGTCCCTTCCCGATTGGCGTCATCAATGGCCCCTTCAATCCAACTGTATGTTTGTTGACGGAATCAATTGCAGCCTGGGGGATGCCAAACTTTCCATCCGGTCCTTTCACAGGTGTTACATCGACCGGCTCCCAATTGATCGGTACCTATCATTTATAACAATCAGCTATCAAACAGGGAGACTAACAAGGGAACCTTTAGTCCTGTCCCATCTCGATTTCCTTCCGGATAGTCTTAATTGATAGATAATTTAGTGTAAGTTAAACTTGGACGTAGAACATGTGCTAAATCACGTTTTCGCGAAATATTTGTCGAGAGCTGCACCAAACGTGCAGTTTTTTGTTCAATACTTTTAACGTAGCCAACAGCCTTCGGAATGATGAAATGAAGTTTATAAATTATATAGCTGTCCGTAATTTCATGCCGATCTCCAATATGCAAAACAGTGACGCAACGCTTGCCATTTTTTGCAAATTGTAAAAATCGGAAAATTTGTTAAATTTTAATTGTCATTTTTTAAATTTCAACAAAATTTTAAATTAACTTCTTTGAAGCATTGCAAAAAGTTTTATTTAATTCAATTTTTCTTGTTGCAACAAAATGGAGAGAAAATTTTCAAAGCTTGAAATTTACAATTTTTCATGAAAAAAAGATACCACGACCACTGCTAGTCTATGTTATGTATTTTTCAAAATTGCTTGCTATATTTCTTTTTGCAAGTTGCAAAAATTTTGGACATGTGCATCGTCAGTTTCGAACATATTTAAGAAAACAACTTTTCTATATCTTGTTCAAGATTTTACGCTTTTTGGAAAACTGTAAAAATTTTGATCTGGGAGGGACCCGTCCCCTATGAGGTCTATATACGACGTCGTATATAGACCTCATAGGGGACGCCATAGGGGGAGGGACCCTGTCGGGTCCCTCCCAGATCAAAATTTTTACAGTTTTCCAAAAAGCGTAAAATCTTGAACAAGATATAGAAAAGTTGTTTTCTTAAATATGTTCGAAACTGACGATGCACATGTCCAAAATTTTTGCAACTTGCAAAAAGAAATATAGCAAGCAATTTTGAAAAATACATAACATAGACTAGCAGTGGTCGTGGTATCTTTTTTTCATGAAAAATTGTAAATTTCAAGCTTTGAAAATTTTCTCTCCATTTTGTTGCAACAAGAAAAATTGAATTAAATAAAACTTTTTGCAATGCTTCAAAGAAGTTAATTTAAAATTTTGTTGAAATTTAAAAAATGACAATTAAAATTTAACAAATTTTCCGATTTTTGCAATTTGCAAAAAATGGCAAGCGTTGCGTCACTGTTTTGCATATTGGAGATCGGCATGAAATTACGGACAGCTATATAATTTATAAACTTCATTTCATCATTCCGAAGGCTGTTGGCTACGTTAAAAGTATTGAACAAAAAACTGCACGTTTGGTGCAGCTCTCGACAAATATTTCGCGAAAACGTGATTTAGCACATGTTCTACGTCCAAGTTTAACTTACACTAAATTATCTATCAATTAAGACTATCCGGAAGGAAATCGAGATGGGACAGGACTTAGGGTTTCGTTTTTCTTTGTAAGATGTAATTTGGGCTGAATCGTTATGTACGTACACTTGCTGCGGCAAATATTTTTTGGACAGCAGCAGAGATCTCAGGCCCAATTCCGTCTCCAGGAACTATAGAACAAAAATTAAACAAATATGCATTTAATACCAATAACAAACGGGACACGAAATACAAAAATTGTAAATAGACAATAGACATGTCTTACTCAAGGTAACGGTTCGGGTGGAGGCAAAACGCACATTCCGAGTGTTTTTGCCAATAAACTAGACAATTATTTACAATGTTATAAGTCATTCACATACATATACTCAAATGAAAACATGATAAATTGGTTGTACTTACAGCAGCTCCTCTACTCAGTAAAACACCTGAAGCCATTTTATCTTACAATTGTTGTTTTTAAGCTGCAAAATATGGTCAATTTATAAACAATGAAGTTATAAGATCAGATTCAGAGCCAGCGATGTCAATGGTTTAAAATTATTCAGACTATGTAAACAATAATTTTATAATACAACACACAATAAGTTATAATTTTAAATCGAAAATGTTTATTGTAAATAATTTGCACTATTATCTCACCTTTTAATTTGATTCCAACCCCGTTCTCTGTCCTGCCGACCGACTAGCGACTTCTCCGACCGAAAGTGTACAAAACGAAGAAAATGCAAAATGAGTGCAGAAATTCGCGAATCTTGTAAGAATATTATTATCCCAAACCAAAGGATCCCGATCTTTTAGTTCGCGGTGTCTGCCAATCCCAAATTTTATCTCCTTTCGCCTCCACAGATGGCACAAGAGAATGAGCCGGAGCTTGTAAATCTCGTCGAAAAAAGTCAAATCTTATTGATCGGTCGGCAGACTTTATATTTTGTATTTATTTCACAAACGCAAATTGACGAATAAGTTTACTATACAATCTGAATGACTAACATGAAGAATTTCTGTAATAATTATGTCATAGGAGCCAGGACCTGGTAACTCTTCACAATTCATTTATTTTATTTATAAGATTCTCTTTATTACTCGGCCATGTCGATTTCGTTTCTTCTGGTTGATCTGCGTAATCGAGGTAACTCTTGACTTACCAAGTTGTCCACGTGAGCATGAAGGGACCTGATTGGAATTTGAGAATTCATCTTATTTTTAGAAGACAATGTCGGCGACTGATGATTTTTCGTAAACACGAGTCCACCTCGTCTACCCAAGGAACGGTTTCGTTCTCGACTGAGACGTTCGGAAATTTCCTTGGCATTTTCTAATTTTCTATTGATTATCATGTTGCTGCTGCGGGTACGACCGTGTGAAAGTGGCGATCTGGAAACTGCCCTTCCACCAACGCCAACAACTAGACTGCTGCGTTGCGAACCTCTACTTTCTCTCGAAATGCTTCGAGTTCGACTTTTTAGTTTGTTGTCATTCCCGTCGCCTGAACTGGTAGAAGAATCTCGAGCTCGAATTTGTAACTCCGATTTTATTTTCTCAAGTCTACGAAAACATTATTAAAAAGTTTCATATGTCGATTATATAAAAGATAGAAGATACTTGAGTATCTCATTTTGCCTCAATTGAGCCATTCTATCTTGTTTAAGCTTCTTCTCTCGAATGTAGGCTGTTGGATCGAAGGAAACTTTCCTGCTGGGGGATGGAGAGAAACTCCGGCTTCGTCTCATTATCGGGAGTGGGCTTATCCCTGGAGACCCGACCCTCCTCCTCCCCACAAGGTTGGCCAAATTTGTTTTAATACCTCTGCGACTCGCCGCTGCATTATCTCCTGAATTCCATAGGTTTAAGCTAATTTTCCCTAATTTTAAATATATTTAGCATTTTAGCATGGAGTACGGCTTAATAAATACAAGGCCAAATCTCACGTTTCATTTCGTCCTTCCGTTTGCACGTAACACAGCCAATCTGAGGTTGGCTTTTCCTACCCGGTGGGACACTGCTTCCATGAGTTAGGAGATAAATCTCGTCTTCTAAGCGCTCCTCATACTTTCCGGATGAATTTAGCTGAAAACATTTACAACAATATTTTTCATTGCCGACTGGCCATTGTATTATAAGTACATAGTCATTAAATTTCTAAACCCTGATGGTGCCACCAAGTCCATAAAATAATGAACCATGCCCATGCTCTATTTCCTTACAAACAGATATTCTACCTACCTGCCCCCTTAATATATATGTATACATACATGATAAATGTACTGAGCTCACTGAGTGACTTCAGTGACTACGACTGTGGAAAAATACAAGAATTTTTCGTGTTAGGTTTAATTAAAGGCAAGTTTTATAACTCATCACTCACACGCCTACGTACATACGTAATGCATAATTTATATTATTTGGGGATGAAAGTACATGAACTTTTTCTATAATTGCTTCAAATCAAAATTTTAATTATGGACTATATTGCTTCCCATCATTGAACAATCTCTTCCGATTTGAATAGACTCCTCCTGACTTTGTTCTACACTGTATTTTATATTAAAACGAAAGTGGCATTCAGTTTACGACCAAGTAATTACATGAGAAACAAGTGATGGTTGGTGGTATAAAAAATAAGGCATGTATGACACCCGAGGGAAAACCACACACTGACCACTACTGTGTGATCGTGTTTGGCGTTTAGTTTCCCTGTCGCTGGCTGACAATTTGGTCATAATTCATTGAAAGAGACAACGCACACCACCAGACTCGTCATCACCCTTCACACAGCTTTCAAAAGTCGTTAGTACTGAACTAAAGCAGTAGCTGACTGTCCATATCTCGTACTAAAAACAATGACAATGAATGATCATGATCTATTGGTCAAGTCTTGGTCAATGCGACGGTGACCAACCACAAAAAAATGCCACCAATGACACCCGCAGACAGCCACAGCAGTAGATACAGGCATACATAGTATATAAAAATGCACTGAATTCCTATGAAAATGCAAGTATTTAATATATGTAATGATATGCAAATCGAGTATGAATAAAATAATATGCATCGATTTCTTTCCTTTGTAGTCAACAATTTTAACAACCATAAGTGAAATTAGTGTACATAATTCACAATGTACGCATGTAGGTAAGCATTGTCCATTCCGTAAAAGAAACCATGAGTAATTTTGACCATCATAAATATCATGGATGACGCGGCGCTTCAGCTCTTTCTGCTGCATGGGACTCGTAATTATGGGAGACTGATTAAATATGTGCAAGTAGTGAATTTTTCTCCATCTGTAATTTGTGCCAAAAGTAGATTCATGGTAAGATTTGAAATGCATAGTTCGATAGAAAAATGGCCTTGTTAAGAGGTCTTTCACCCCTTTGAATCAGTGGAATATGCATGTAAAATAGACGCTAATCAGAGTTTATAGCTGGGCGTTTAGTTGGCTGTGAATAAAATGTTTAGAAATTAAATGAAAGCTGAGCGTGTTCGACCTACTTTTTGCTGAAGAAAATTATTTTCAGCCTGGAGCTTCTCGACTATTTTCAGGTGGTCTGCTCTCGTTTCCTCCAACGTTTCCTCCAGGACGCCAATTCTTAGCCTCAATTCTCCAATCAACACTTGGTCTTCTTCTTCCGGACATCTGCATCTCATCTTGTGAGACAACTCAGCACCACCCATCAGACCCAAAGCAAGCCCTTTTTCGCCATAATTCTTCACATCATTATTTTCAGTATGTTGGTGAATCTGCTTCAGGTTGATTACTTCCTCCTCAAGCGAGATTTTTGCATTTCGTAAAATAACAACTTCTGATCGAAGCTGGAAAATGTTTTTCTGCATCACTTGAAGATTTGGTGGCCCAGAATGGTTGAGGGGAATCGGATAATGAACCCTGCACACATACATACATAATTATGAAAGACACTGGCAGTTCAACTTCTTGTGCAATACTATTGACTCTATAACCAACCACATTAAACAATTTGACAAATGCATCTAAACTACTAATCCTATACGTAAATAATTACATTATCAACTCGTCTACTTTAAATCTTGCCCCTTGAGAACTAAAATGTTGATTCTATTAATGTCATTATCTAAGAGTAGAAAATCTAAATAAATAACTTTGATCCTTACTTGACATGCTATTAATGTTACTTAATATACTTACATATGTATGTACGTACATACATATATACGTATGCATGCACTGGGTAAGGTTTACTTTCCATTTCTAGCAATATATCATCATACAGCTCATCACGGTGTATACCGGCATAAGACGCCACATTGTGTCACGTCTATTATGTATGCATCTTGTTTGGACAACCTTCTTTGCTATTGTATGTCTAGGCTTGACCTTTCTATTTACCACATTGCATTGCATGAGTTTAGGTAATCTAATCTAGTTAAGAAAGTTGATAATGCAATAAAGTTCTCGTAAAGGCTAGACTTGTTATTCAACTTTGCATTTTATGGTCAACCAACTGTTGAGTCAAGACCAAAATGCTTCACATATCATACATAGCATTTCGTACACATTAGAAATGCAGATCATGCACCAGCTAGAAATATTCAGAAAAGACTTGCCTGTCAAACTCTGCTATGTACGCCACAATTAAATATTTCTTCTTTGAAGATCCACTCTCATTGTTTTGGCATAATTTGTCTTTGAGTCCGTTTCCTGCATGAATATGGTCACTGCTGCTGAAGCATGACGAGTTCAGTTCACCGTTATTGGGCTTGAAATTCGTCATCCTTCCTCCGCTCCCACTTCCAAGGGTCGTGGAAGACGAGGAGCCTTTTTGTGATCGAATGTTCTCCAGGTCGTTCAAATTCATCAAGTCCAAGGCCACTGATTCGCTTTTCTAAATTTTCAGCTTTCACTTGCCTTATTGTTATATTACTTTTGCATACGTACTTAAAGTTGGAATATGCTGAACCCATGGGGTTTAAAGAACCGTTAGTTATGCACAAATGTAGTTACCTTTAGCAGAGCTGATTGAAGCATGGATACAAAAACATGAAACGGTTTATAACTTCCAGTGCGATGTGTCAGATTTTCTACATCTGTTAATTATTTGTGAGTTAATAATAATGAATCAGAAAGGCGAATTAGTGCAGTTTTTAATTGATGAATGAGACTTTTAGCAGTACATTTTGAGTCATATGAGCAGCTCCATTCCTCGGCTGTGATTTTGTCTGAGAGTTTTATGGACAGGGAGGTATTCAAAGAAGGATGTTCCATAACAGTGAGGGACAACACGTAGTCTCTGCCGTCCTTGAAGGTCCATGGAGTGGTAATGTTTTTAGACATTTTGTGTTCTAATCCTGATTCGAATTTAAATCAATTTAGATTTCAAGACTATCATTCTGTTTCCATTCTGTATTCGTATTGTTTTTTAAAGCCTTCAATGGCAAACCCTTGACTTTTAGTATCGTAGTAACGCTTGGGGTCCCACTAAATATGTATGCACACAATTACAGCAAGCAAAGTATTCATTACAAAACTTTGTGCTTACACATGTCCCTTTTGCAATTTATGAATAAATAAATAAAACAAGTCTGTTTTTCTAGAACTGCATTTTTTATTTTTGCATTAACACATACATTGCACATGCTATTTATGAAACAAACAAACCCCCTTAAAATCATTACACACAGCCCAAGTCAAAAAATATTCAAGTTTTAAACACCCCATTGAATCATTTAAAGATTTAATACTACTGCATGAAGGGCATTAAACATTGACCTTAAATATGTCGTCCTTCAACAAACGTCCATCCTGTCAACTCTTGAAGTTCTGCTCATTAACGAACAAAAATTAAGTTATGTAAAGAAATTGTCCTTAACAATTATATAGCCTTTACGAATAATAATTATTTTAATAAAGATGAAAATGAAAATGTCGCATACAATCAGCCGGAAGGGAATAATTTTTACGGTCATTATTACATTACACATATTGCAAGGCATGTGGCTTTACAATAATAATATCTAACATTTGTTTGAATAAGAGTAAACAATCGGTGGTTGAGTGAGCTTCGTCTCCCCGAAGAACTTGCCGTTGGAATGAAGTTGTAAATGAGTCTTTTTATAGGTGTCAATCATCTCGGCTACACTTTCGAAATGCATCTCGTTAAGTTTGAGGGTTCCTAATGCAAACCTGGAATCGCTTCTGAGACGAATTTGAATGTGAAAAAGTCTCCCATTGAACCGGATGGTGAGTGTGAAGGGAACCATTGGGCCACCCCCATGATGACATTCTCTCACGAGGAACGCACCGTCTGTCGTGTCTGCAATTCGGGGACAACAAATCATTCACATTCGTATAAATATGTATGTAGATACCGACGTGTATCTGTGCAACAATGAAAATGAAAACAGTCCAAACATGGTTTGCTTCCTCATTGTTCATCCTCATTTTGAAAGAAAAGTGCAGAAGCTAACTATGTACATTATTAATAAAGAAGAAGCTTTAAGGTGAGCGAATCTCTCTGGTATATGAAATTGGAGCACATTAATTTACAACAGAGGCACCCGAGCCTTCCTCATGATTTCTCCGTCATACATATTTAAGTCCAAATTGTTTCTATTTCTCTTCTACAAATTGACACAACTAAAAGTTCTGCTGACATTGATAACTATTTAACTGCGCTCTGATTCAATACAAGATATAAAGACATCTGTGAGACAAAGCTAACCAGATAGTTGGCTGAAGTCTTAAAATAACCAAATCCTTTGTCCTCAGTTGCCAATCAAATCTGCCATCCTCACGACTTTTTTCGTTCACTTGTCTCCCGACAAGTTTAAAATTGGCAATTTTCGTTTGACTAATGAGAATAATTTACACTCCTGTCAATCTTCACGTGCAGTTTTGCCAAGGAGACAAAAGAACATTTAACGAAACATGTAAATGAGCTGGGAATACTATTAATTTCAGTTTCTCTGTCATTTTACACGTGTACATATAAATACATATAATTCTACCTCCGTTTCTCGAGTGGCCTGAATCAATCATTTTTTTCCTGGTTAGTGTTCCTTTTTGTATTAATACGAGTGTTCATAAATAAGAGTAAGTTCATAAAATAATAATCGTCACAGAAAGCAGTTCACGTTACAACTCAAACCGTGTTATTTATAATTCTCAAATTAGTGCCGAGAAATGACACGAAATCGTGACCACTTACAATTTTCTAATATTAATTCGGCACGGCTTCGGTCTACACGGTAAAACCATGGGTATTTCTGCAACGCATCCTTAATCTGGTTAATCTGAGGACCTGAAATAATTGAAAATCCGATATTAAACTGATAATCACTGTTAACTTGATTTAACTTTTATTCATTTTTTCCACATTTAATGAGTCATTTTTGCACACATTCGAATAATTAATAAGTGCGGTATGCCGAAAAACAGATTTTCTAAATTTCAATTAAACTTGTATATTTCCACTTCACGCATAAATAAATCTGTTAAGACCAACAATAATTTCTTACATATTAAACAAAATGTTGACTCAATTAAATTCTACGCTTCATTTCATTTCATTGTGTCAGCAATACGCAAATTTACTTTCTCATTGATTGCATGACTTTTTGGTCTTTGATTTGAAACCATGTTTCGTTTGTGGCCCGCCTCTAAACTAAATGACTCGAGTCACCACCAATTTTTAACTGATTGAATAGTTCCTCGTTCACGCTTTTACTCGTTTATTATAACTGCCCGTTCTCGTTTGATTACCGTGATGGACAGCTTGAGTAAGCCTTCATTGTTTTATAATTACTTGCCGATCGTGCAGCCCATTCAGCAATAATATAATATTGATGGGACTCTTTAATCATCGTGTACTTACACGGTGTAGAATTATTATCGACTATGCCTAAGTACATGTATGCATAAATTGGTGCTGCAGCACAATCGATCATAAAGTGTAAAGTACGGAGACAAAATCTGAGCAATATCATAATTATTGGTTCAGTCAAATCTTGATAAGCAAGTCATATTTTGTGGTTTATATGAAAATACATTCTAAGCACGAATTCAGTAAATGTCAGCACGGATGACTATAAAAATTTGCATATGCATATGAAACGTTGTTGTTTGCGGCGATTAAAAAATCACGAGACGCACAAATATTTAGGAAACAATAGAATTTGTCATTGGAAAACGGGATGAAGATGATTGTCGAAATTAACATTTTTGTTTACAAATAGTATCCATTAATGATCGTCCGCCCATATATTTGTCAGATCCCCTATTCTATCTAGCTTGATTTGGTTCTGAATTTGTCCTGCATACACATTTATATAGACGTACGTATGTGTTAAAAATTAAGCTAGAAAGACTCAGAATTTCAGTTATCGTCGATTCGGATTTTGAGCTAGAAAGGTGTTCGCTTTACGACATGATTCTCACGACTTGTATTAATTTCGCAGCAAATGCGATGTAACTTTACTTTTTATGGATTAATGGTGTTTTGTTGGTGTTCACTGGGACGCAGTACTTATGTGGCGTTAAAAACACCGTATAATTCCAACCAAAACATGTACATACATACATACGTATATATGTAATGAATGGGTATTCATGGTACATCTTCTGGTACAATGAGGTGTAATCTTCAATTTAATCCACGTTGTTGAGCAAGGGGTAGTGATACAGTGGGCCTCCTCAGACACACGAAAATATCGTCGCTTAGAATTTCGCTTCGTTTTTCGCTTACTTCCTGATAGGCGAGCTCTGGGGTAAGCGAACAGAAACTCAACTCAGAAGTGGGGTTAAGGTCGCTTAGCTGAAGTCTCAACAAAATTTTGCAAATTTCATAATTTTGGCCATGATATCGATAAGCGAAAAACAAAGCGAAATTCGAAGCGACGATTTTTTCGTGTGTCTGAGGAGGCCCAGTATTTCTTACATATTTCTTATGTGCACTCTATGCCGGCAGTATTTATGGAAGTATGATTGAAAGCCACAAAAGAGGAAATTGGGTATAAGACGCTCCTACTTCACGATGCATTAATTGACCTAATCACTCACTGTCCTGTGCAGCATGAGTTTTAACCACATCGACAACAGCATGGTGAACAAAGAATTTCTCCATTTCCCACTTTAAGCTCTAAAAAATCTAGCACAACCACCATATACATAAAATGACATTGAAAGTACGAAAAACTGAAATTGGTGGTAATTAAATTGAAAGAGCAAGTGAATTATGTATGTAAATATGTACCTCCTCGTCATAGTATTGGGTTGCAAGCCCTGAATAAATTGAAATAGGCATTGTCATGTAAGAAAAGTATGCACAATGGGGCTTATTCTGTCATTAACTTGCATATTCATTGAGATCTATTTGGTCAGTATAAATGGCAATAAAACGCAATAAAATGGACATCATCGTGTTTGGCAATTTAGGACTCCATTGAGTCACTAAATTACAAACACTAACATTTCGCAGAAAAAGGAGGTTATTGTTCTGTTCTTCGAATGGAGATAATAATATAAAAATTGTAAAAATCAGCAGCAAGTGTGTACCATTGTAAACATGAGCACGGTTTTAGTGCAAGTTATTTACAATTTCAACACTTATAAATGGATTTAGTGACCGAATTCGTCACAATGAAAATCTCAATAGATTGGTTGCATACAGGAAAAACATAAAATAACAAAGTAGGCAGCAGTCGTTGGCGTTGAGTGAGTCGATGGAATGGAATGATACTGCAACCATTCAAACTCGCGATGTAAAGGGTGCTTATTATTATTGCTGAAATAGGTTATGAATTAATCCATAAGTTTAGATATTCCTCCTTTCTTCCCTTCTTTCGAATAATTGAAATCGGTACAACCACCTTTTTTATAGCTCCCAATTGCATCCTTGCATCTTGCCAATTTTACGAGAAAAGTTATTGGTGTCGTGTTTTCATTAATTGCATCAAACATTGTGGCAAATAGAGTGTGACTATTTCTGATTCATGCGAAGAAGGCAGGGTCGCATAGAATTTGCACCCTTTGGTTCGAATATTGGTTCACCCATTCGAAGTAACCCATTGATTTCAACCAATATTATTATTTCGGTATTACATTGTGTTTCCGTATTATGTGGAATAGTTAACCGTGCCGAATTGATTCATCAAATAAACCGTGCACCATAACCTTGACTGATCCAAAACAACAGTAGCTATTTTTGCATAGACCTGTTATGCGTTGACTGTAACTGCTCTAATTGTGAAATATGCTACTGTTACATGCAGACGTACATAATATGTTTCGGATGAACAATTACTGTAATTTTTGATGACATTACAAAACATCACTATAATTTCTGTGGAACTTGATGAAAGTACATAATGCGACGAGTTGGAAATATACATAAATAAAGATAAATTTACAATAAATTTGCTTACCAAGCTCAACAGCTCTCTTGACATTTTCAGGTGGTGAAATACTGTTGAAATTGTTATTGCCAGCAACAATCGAATTTTTAGTGACGTTGTTGTTGTGATTTGATGTCTTGTTGTCACTATTTTTTACAGCGGCCAATAGGTTTTTTTGACTCAGTTTTCTTTTTAGCGTCTCAATGAAATTTTTAGACTCTTCGTCCTGAAACAACAATTAGAACAAAACAATAAAACACTTTCTTCATGTCTTGAGAGATTGATGAACAAAAAACGACAAATTCATATTTAATCATCGATGGCTCATTATTTATCTAGAGTGTAATGAATTGCACATTACTCCATGTTGTATGTGTGCGTAATGCAGATAGTAAATAGTGAATGGTTAATTTCTATTTCGTTCCCACTGCACAATGTTGCATTTTGCGTATGGCTTGTTGTGTGATGTACTCCGGACGATCATTATTATTAAAAGTTGCGTGTAAAGTGAGGTGACTATATGGCTGAGAGTAGTTTAAGCAATAATTGGCAACTTTTTTGCTAACAATCGGCAAAGGTGAAAAGCTTGAGATTAATGAAGCTTAATTAGTTAAAAATGACACGCCTTCTACATAACTACATATCTTATGACTTTGATGCTTGTACCAATTTTAATAGTTTAAATACTAATAGTGTGTCAAATTCTCTAGAGTTTTCCTTAAAAATGAATTTATTGACCATTAGCAGCATCATTACAGTTTAATAATTGAGTAACTTGTTCAATAAGTTTTCGTTCATTACTTATGGGCTGTAGATGTGACTCTAAACGTTGTCTCGTGAAAGTTATGCTACATCCTTGACATAAGATTGGAGTACAAATAACTGTGGAATCGACAGAAATTCTTTTATAGGCGCCTGAAAATCCTAGAATAACGGTATTTAATATGTTCAGGTCTGATTACACACCAACCGGGTGACAACTCATTACACGTGTACTTTGGGGTGCAAAGTACATTTGTACATAAATGTGGCGAATTCCTTTTTCACAAGCTCAAATCTACAAGAGCGTTCATAATACACCGAATAAAAAAAGGCCTTTCAGCAGAGTTTACTCCTATTCAACCACCTCAGCATGATTCCTTTAATGCAGACCGGCAAACCGACCGTCTTCAGATTTTACGACTGAGTCAAATTAAAATTTCTTGCACTAGGAAATCTTCATTAAGAAGATTACCCCAATTATTTCTGCATTAACACTTAAAGAGTAAATTGTATTTCCGTTAATTCCGGTGAAAATTCATAAACTCTTCTTAACCTTGCAAAAAAGCTTATCTGTTACAATGGGTTTCTTATTATTAACAAGTTGCTAATGCGCATTTTCTACGGTTAGACGGTTATGAATGACACGAATCAAGCCAGCACATAAATACGTCATAAAAAGAAAATGAAATTTGTGAATACGTTCAATGGTAAGATTCCTGCGCTTTACCTTTCCTTAAAATTGTGAAGGTTAACTATTGAAAATTGTGAACATCTCTTGCAGAGAAATAATTAATGAGTGTTCTTCCGAAAGTTGGTAATGAATGGATGTGTATGTGCACAGAGTGTGCTTGGAATCTTTAGTCGATGATCAAATTGTTTGACCAATGACCACAGTGTAAATCACTGCTTAATTTTGCTTCCCTTGTGAATTTAAATGACTTGGTTTGCAGAATGTGGTGTGAGCGTTGGTTAGACATGTGTAAATGGTGGATTTAGTTATCATATGTATAATATAGTTACGTATATCTTATAATTGAACCCTCTCGTTTTTCTAGATTAACCACTATTCGAAGCGTACGTGTTTGGCATGATCTCATGAATCACGTCTAGTCCCCAGCAAATCAAATTTTACGTCAAATCAAAGTCCGTTACACGTCAAACAGGTATTACAAATAAGTTCAGATTACTTTTAATTACTACTTCTCAAATGCTCTATAATGAGATAATTATAGGGACAATTTTTTCTGGAAAAATAGCGGCACATTAAATAGTGGTTTACGCTCAAGGACTGTACAATTTTCAATTACCTATATTCTAACAGGTAATCCTACAACGTATGATGCACATGTTGTGGCTTATCGTTGACACTTGCTAATTGGCCAAACCTAATACTTCCTGCCTTTGAATGAATACAAAAGAAAAATATAAATAACCACAACAATCCAAGCAAGGACCAGATTGGACAAATATTATCCTTTTCTTTATCCGAGTGTATACAAAAACTAAAGTCAAATGGGACATGCATGCGCAAATGTACACAAAGAGTGAAAGTGGCTGAGATATACATACAAACAAAACTTCGTTGGATGTGCAGTTGTGACCCTTCGAGGTTGAAAGTGTTAATCATCCTAATAAGCTATAAAACTAATTTGAACACGTTATGTTTTCATTTCCCTTCCACACAGTGAGACTGATTCAATTTTTTCAACTGCTGCGGTCATCCACTTGCCGTATAAAATCTCACGCCAACAAACTTGAAACATTCATCTTCCCAACCGCAATAGCCTTCACAATTTCCGATGAATGAGAACTGATGCTTGGTAGACGATACCTCGTCGCAACTTTGTTTAATATTCAGTTGAATAGCGCACATCACAAAAATTATCTTGCAGGAATTCAAGATTTAATCAATTCCTTTGTTTTTCGAATTAGAAAACTCTGGTGCTGTTTTTTGTCTATCCGTCAATGAAAAAATATATACAAACGAATCAGGAGAGATATTGATTAAAAAGTAAAAATGATCAGACAAACCTTGGTAGCGCGTGTTGGAAGCAGCACATTTTCAATGTACTCGGCAGCGGAAGGCTTGTCATTTTCATCTGCAACTTTGTTCAGCCATTCTGGTACAACTGTGGGCACTGGTCGTGTAGGCTTTCCGTCAGGAATCTCATAAATCTCGCTGTGTTGATGTCGAACCTGTTTAAGAGATCAAAAAATTAAGTTTCCTTATTGGTTATGTCATGTAACGGATCATTGATATGGTCACTTTTGTATCGTTTGTATGTGGTAACAAATATTTGCGTGGGTGCCAAAATTTTACCTATAGATATTCAATTAAAATTGAAATTGTTTGTGGGGTTGGCTGAGGACCATTTCTGCTAAATTTTATCCGTGTGATAACTATTTTAGTACATACATATCTTAAAATTCAGGTTTTCTATAATTTTTCAAGATTATTTAAAGGACCTACATTTTGGAAGGAATGAACATGAAAAATTTCTCTATTTGGATTACATACACGTTTGAGAGCTATTATTTACTGTTTCCCGTGAAATGAGTTCCATTTAGTGAGATACAGACATTGCACATTGGTGATTGAGATGGCTTGCAAACTAATTTTGTAGAAAATATCTAGGTAGCGATCAAGAAGTTTATAAGTTACATTACAACTAAAAATTTGAACTCAACACGTCTCGTAAATGTACACGAGTAATGAAAAATGGAATGTTTTCCATCACGTCATGAAAATGCGGACGTTTGATGAGATGCGGAATAGGAATTAAGGAAACCGTGCTGCTGACCAGTGAGTGATTCATTGCTGGCTACCAAACATCCGTGTGCGAACGCTCAATCATGGCATAAACTACTATGCGAAAGTAATTTTAGTGCAATTTGCACAAGTCACCTGTCATTACCCTTTAAATTTAACCACATTGATTATTTACTGAATGACCCTATTACCGCATTTACAATATTCGTGCTGCACTACAGAACGATTCCCAACTCAAGTAGGTCCTTGTACATAGAAAGAATCAGTCGATAGTCGTCAATAACGATTTTTTAGCACAATTACTCTTTTAACCACGTATGCAGATTGTTTGTTTTTCATACCTATATGTATATATGTACGAGTCGTTTAAAATTCTTGCAAACATGCCTTACATAATTGGCAAATTATTTAAGGAAGTTGGTAAAAATCGCCAATTATTATTGACCGGAATCAATATATTCATATATTCATGCTTTGAATCATTATGCCCAATTTTTTAACTTTAAAGTGTAAACATGAACAACGTATCCCATTAACATAATTTGGATTTCACAAGTAATTATTTTATACTAGGTCTCAGATTTATATCACTATAATTGACGTCCTTTGTACCACGAGTGCTCAAGTGAACTATTTTTTGTTAATAATGATGATAATTTAATGCTAAATGTTTTCGTGTATCGATAAGGAGAATGCATTAAATTTTCATTATCTAGAATTGCACAATTGTTATAAACCAAATTTATATATCCACTTTACGACAAATGTGCACAATTTTATTCCACCCCAAGTTGAGAAACACGATAAGGACTTATTTTATTTATGCTGTTACAACAACATGAGCAACAACATAAGACTGCCTCAGACTGTGTGTTATAACAAAGAATTACAGAGAATTAAATTACAGTCACCGAATATATTCCTGCATGTAAAACATTATGCATTATTCTGGCGTTGATCTGTAAGTTTTGTTTTTTTAAAGTGGAGCGAATAAATCATTTCAGCGTTCATCAGAGTAGGTGAAAGTGTGGACGGACGTAACGTTGCACATTACCAAATAGTTTCACATTATAAATTAATTAAGACTCTCTCACATTTCTTTTGAATGATGGTTTGTATCATTATTAAAAAACTTGAGAAGGAAGGAAACTAAGAACATCTTTTCAATTTTGATTCGTCATCTCCTAATTCTTATGAAGATTTTATTTAACGTCTCGATCCAAACAAGTTTCAAACTCATACATTTGAACGTACTTACACATGTACGTACACACCTCAGGAAGATGATGCATTATGAATGATATGCATTTTATGCGGGTGGGAAGGCCAACTAGTATTGTAATTAAATAAAAATAATTGCACTTTTCCTTTCATCTGAAATATCCAGATTCAATAAAAATTGCATTTATATATGTTATTAGTAATGAATTGATGATATACCAGTGATAAATTGCATAAATTAAAATCATCAGATTAAAGGGGTTGAATTTTAATAAAATTTATCTGCAGGACAGTTTTTCTTTTTCGTACATACAATATGATTTGTGCAAATAAAAAAATCTGCTAATTTCTTTTGATTGCAGATACAAGCTGATTCAAGTCTAATTGGAAAACTGTGTGATGCAACTTGGACTCAACGAGTGTGCGTAATGCTCGAATGAAAACGACAACGTCAAACAGAATATTGAATAAATTATTTTCTTGAATGGATTGAAAACAAGTACGCAAACATTTTCATCTTTCAGTCTCCTCATTTCAAATTAGGAGCTTTGGAAGGAAGGAAGATGTGATAATAGAAACGAGGTAATTAGTGTGAGGGTGAAATTGAATATTTTGTACGCAGAGTGACTCAAACACTCGAAACAACAAATTGCATTTTTTTAACTTGCGACGAGTACATAGGTGACTGTGTGGCAAGTAGCACCATATTCCATGCGAAGAGAGACACACAATGTGTTTAGAGGCAATAAGGCGTGTTCCCTGAAGGAGGAAGATGAATTCATTCTTCTAAACATAACTTAGAAAAGAAAGCGAGTTTAAATAATATCGAGCATAACAAATAGACGCATAATAATGATAATAATACAAACGTATAGCGCATCGTAAATGGTTCATCATCCGAAAATGAAAGTTTTGCATCTTGCTCCCAACGAGCTTTACCACTCCGAATGAGTTCCGCAGCCACCGTGATGGTTATTTATTATTAAGCATCATTATTATTGCTACACCCAGATAAATGCCATACGAGATTCACATTGTACGTATAAATAGGAGGAGATGCTGATATGTCACTCACACTAAGTGAATAGCCATCACAACAACAAAAGGTACAGACACAACCCATCACTAAATATATAAATATCTGTGCTAGCGAAAAAGTTGGATGGTCTCATATTCACCTCCACTCGAGAAAAATAAATAAATAAACAGTCCTTGCATTGCCTCCACTTGTAAGTTTTGCTATTTACTACCGGATACACAATCTTCGTAGTGTCACTTGAGGAAATATGTGTCACTGAGGATGAGACACAGGAATGTCTGTAGTGAGCGATGCTACTTAACTGAATTTACAAGTTAATGGCTCTCGACTGAATTTCAATGAGGATGGGACTGCATGCATGTCGTTAAGATTTTACACAACATTTGTTCCGTTTACTGATACGTAATATGCAAATGGGTGCATGTTTCATAAAAATTTCAGGCACATTAAACATTATATTTGTGACTGGAAGAATGAATGCAAAGTTAATAATAGAAAGTTTGATTTATGGTTCACATGCATGCTTGCGATAATCCTCTAAAATCGGAAATTTATCAAAATCTCGTATTTCTCACAGTATTTATTCGTTTTCTAAAATCCCACATTTCACATTCTAGGTTCAACAGTTGAAAATAATATAAACCCTTAGAAAACGCAAGCTACAATTCCTACAGTTCTAGAGACACTTATCAATAATTATCAAAGTGAGTGGATAGATTTTTCACGAATTATTCATATGCTTAAAAACTTGAAACTTTTCAAAACTCAATGAAATTCAATGATTATACTTCCGTATTACATTGTCTAAAAGCAATTTGGCGTTTGAAAATTATTTTAAGAAGTTGATAGATTTTCAGTGTGCCATATATTGCTTGTTCTAACCGTTGTGTTCACTTAACCTAAAGAGATGGAAATAAATATGTACGTACAGTCAATCCAAGAAGTATTGGCAACCCCAACGGAAGCTAAATATAATTGGTTATAACTTTTGAATGCATTATCCAATTAGCATGAAATTTTGCACACATTTGACAAATCTAATGTGGTACTCGATGATAATAATCCTTTGTTGATTAAAAATAGATTGTCACGATTTTTATATAATTTGTTGGAAAATTTGCGAAATTAGCCCACAAAAAGTATTGGCAACCCTTAATTTAAAAAATCATAATCATAGATACTGCAATTTTGTTTCGATAAACTGCTTCTAGTACCGCGTAGCACCCCCCCACGACGCAATAAGAGCAGAAATTCGCCTTGGAATTGACTCGACCAGTTTCTTTATAACGCTTTTTGATATGGCTTCCCAATCTTCTTTCGAACTTTTGACAAGCTCGTTTTTCGACTAGTGATTTCCCACCAGTCCCTCTTATCTCAACCCGTACAATCAGAATCACATCGGGAGACTATGTGGCCAACGAAAGAAGCATAACTTTTTCGGTATCCAAAAATGTGCACGGTTAATTTGGATGCATGTTTGGGGCCACAGCATTTTTGGAATATGAAATTCCTTCCTGGGTCATGTTTTTGTCAAATATTTTCCAATTATCGTTTGGAATGATTACTTAGAACTCCTTGGTCATGATTTCGTCGATAATGACCAGGTAACTACGCAGCGATCTGGTCATTTAACCCCGAACCATAATTTATTATCCTCTATGCTGAACTGCCATATGCACCTATTCGTTTTTCTGAGCCTTTTATTGCATCCAACAGACTTTAACCATTTAATTTGCTCCGAGTAGGTAAAATGAGATTATGTGAGACCATCAGACCCTTTTTCATTCATTCGAAGTCTATTAAAGATGGTATTTAGCCCGTTCCAATTTATTGAGTTGTTTCGTTTTGGGGACCTTCGCGCCTGTCGGGATACTGGACCCTGAAACCCCATGGCATGATTTTTGATTGATTACCATAATGCATGCAATGTTGACCCCACAGTTTGTACTCAAATTTACGATGGTTTTGGGAGCTGAAATCTTCCGATCTCTAGTGCTAATTTGCTTGATTAATCCGTTGATTTTAGGATTAGCAGGCATTTTTAATAGTATCATAGAAAACCAGGAACTTAAATTTTTTGCCTCATGTTCTTTGGCTACGTTTCGAATAGTAAATATCACGGAGCATGTTTTCTGTATGAGTTATTGATATCCAAGCTTGATTGTGAAGGAGGCACGATTATTTCTAGCTCCGCCAAGAATAACCCGTTTGGTGTGGACGTTTTGGTTCTAGACGATACCAATCTGGACTTACGAAGCAGATAAAGTCATATTCTGTGATCGGATTAACTTACCTTGATAAGACGCAGAGGTTTGTCGTGATAAAAATTTCGCACAAATAATTATGACACAGGTTGCCAATACTTTTTGGAGGTTCGTACCTGACTCGTTCGTATCAAAATCAGGATAACGTGCGGGTTATTTAATTTTAGTCGGAAGCATGATTATAGTCGAACACTACATTACATTTTTCAAATGTATGCAAAATTTCAAACTAATTGGATATTGCATGCAAAAGTTATAGCCAATTTTATTTAGCTTGCGTTGGGGTTGCCAATACTTCTTGGATTGACTGTATGTATGTATCCGTATTTACATGTGCAACGTGTAATATGTGTGTTATGATTCTACCTACAACAACGGGAGTGAGAAACAACTTTCATTTTCAAATATCTTACATTTAAAAATCTCACAGTTTTTGTGCTAAAACACTGCTACATCTTGTACTTCAAAAAATCCAACTAATTTCACGGAAGACAATTTCAGATTTATTACTTTTGAAATTACTTTTTATCGCGTTACGGTACTGGTGCATCGTTTGGATTCGAAAAACTCACGCAAATATTATATACTCGTTATATTATTTATCAGTGTTGTTTGTGACATATTCAGAGTTGGAAGATTTTATTCAGTTGGCTACTTCACATGAGAATTCGTTCATACCTATTAAATTAGCATTAGTGTTAGCACATTCACAGCTCTAAGACCTATTTATATAATTATGCAGGTACATATTTATGACGTCGTAAATTAAAATAATTTCCGTGTGGGAATTTTTATATAAAATCCATAAGTCAAATATAAATTAGATGGTCATGATTTATGCAATAAGAATAGATAATAATTATTATGCTTGGACAATTTCAAGTCCAAGAACACCTTCTCGTGGGTGGCAGAGTGTCTTAAGCGTCCGCATGTACACATGGTTAATAAATAAGCTTGTAAAACTATCTATTTATGATGCGCTTAAATCTTTAAAATACGTTAGGGCGACCACAAACAATAAGCCTACAAAAAATGTGAGTCAAGCGAAGGATCGTATATCGTTGAGAAGCGTGTACAGATGCAGGTTACATCTGTTGCCTACCTAAAACAAAAGTCCTTTGATTATGGCTCCATTGACCGTTATTTATGTAAAAATTACAAGTTCATGCATTGCACAATAAAACGTAGGCGAAACAGAACTTGTGAGCGCTGATGTCCCAATTATACACATTTATAGGTGGTAGTTAGCAGTTGGTTGTTTTATACACCTGTGCACTTCATTTTTTCCTAAGACGATTGACATTGACTTTCCAAATTAGTCTCTCTCATCCGCAGCAGCTAAGTAAGTACACTACGAGACCGCAAGAATAGCACGATTCTCAAACTTGTACATTAAGATGATGGCTAATTAATGTTTTATATAACACCTTCGATAACAAACAAGTCCTCCATTTCTGTATCATTGACAATTTTTCTATTCACTTCAACTGACAAATGATGCATATCGTGGTGTGAAAGTCATTGGATGTCTAATTACTGCTTTAAGTTTAAACAATGCGGAGCTCGCCAGCAGCTGCCTGAACCACCAGCCAAATTGATCTTGAAATGGGTGTAGGGCATTGACTAATAACTTTAATACTTCCAATATTGGGATCAACCCATGTAACCAAAAGGATGGCTTATCGGATGTACAAGAATCATAGTGCTGCCAAGAAATTGAATCAGCCAAAACCTACTTGAAAATAATTGCATCACCAAAAATGATGAGGTACAAGATAACCTTTAGTTTGGCTTCAGTCCATGTTTGGAATCTCCTCTGTCTCCACTTTGGTGTTTACTATTGGTATTGTAGCAATACCTTCCGAATAAGCTCATGATTAATAATGCATGCACTAGTTGAATGACTTATGTCATACATACATACATTTATATTCGACCTTATCACGTGCATTCAATCCATGCGTGAGCTCAAAATGGAGAGATGTGGTATCGAAATAACATAAATTATTTGTGCTGAACGATACAATCGATCCCTGATTTGATATGGGTTTCATATTGTGATTGCATATGTATGACCTTCATTATAGATTTCTTACTCTATTGCCAAGCACTGTGCTTGTCCAAAATGGTACGACCAGTGTGAAACAAAGATATGAAAATTAATTTAAAATTATTGGCTGGCGACAAAATCTGTCTCTCTCTCTCTTTCTGCCAAATCTCATAAGTATGCTAATGTATTTCCGTTTTGGGTTTATGTCAAAATGTCTCAAAATTCCAATTAACTCACTGTTTCTTCGTCCACATCGTCATCAAAATCCGATCCCCAGTCGCTGACATCGTCACTTAAACCGTCACTCATCCTTCTGCTTTAGTTGAATGAACTACATAAATATATCTCAATTCCTATTAACTTGCCGGCAATATTCTTGGTAGACACTCTCGTGCTCGGCTACAAGAACATCATGCTCTAATTTTTTGCACGTAAAACCACACTTTCATCAAGCTTGCTTTGTCTCACTCCAAGAAGAAGAAAAAAAACTAGTGCACGAGGTGGATGTGAACTGTCGAAGAACTCGGCGATGACTGAGCGTCTGCAACGCGATGGTGTTAACTAAATCCATTCACCCCTTAAGAACACAACCCTCGTCTCATCTTTCTCCTTTCTGCAACTCCTTCGCATGGCAATCCTAATCATTACGCTACGCTTTACAATGTGCATATTTCTTACAGCAAATTACTGCACGAGGCATGCTGCCACTACGTCAAGAGTGTCATTTTAACTTGACATTTGAGATATGATAACTTTGTAAATAGGTGTGTGTGTGAACATTCACATGCAATATGCAATTAGCTGGCAAGTGATGAATCCCTAATTTTGTGTCATCCTCAGCCCTACTTTGTAAAATTTGAAACAATTTGATGCAGACGCAGACTCAGATTGGATTTGAGGTTGGTTAGTCCATGATAAAATTTAATTTCCTCCAAATAAATGGGTAATAAAATTTCTAAAATTTTTAGTCAGTGAATATACGGAACGAAACCAATCATACGTATAAATTATATTATCGGACATTTGAATCGCGTTTTTGATGTCTGCATGAATGGTCAATCACTGCATTGTTTTCTGTAGCTGGCTGGCAGTTCATGGTGCATCAATAATCAAAATCGAAATTGAATCAGGATTACTCTTGAGTATAATCGGAAGTCAGGTTTTTGTTTTCATGTATGCATACAAGTCCCATTATTCCAATTATTGGGTTAAATATTTCTACTATATGATAAATATTGCTGCTTGAGATTTCTTCATTTACTACGTGACAAGCCAAGAGTTCCCTAATTTAAGCCAAAACAAACTCGCAAGCTAAATAATGGTCTACTTTCATTCTTGACAATTGTAAATGTTTTGAAACAAGTCTTTGTGCCGAGGTAAAGCCGTCAAAAGCTTTATTCTCTCGAATGTCATGTCACAGCGAGCAACTGCAAACAAAGCTAACCAACCAACGGCGGATTGCACAGACGCAACATAATTGGAATTAGGTGTGAACAATCGTTCTCCATTTTTGCCAACGAAGGATGCCAAGAGGGAATTACGACATTCCGATTCTAAATTGTGGAGCAAATTAGGCCTAAACAAACGATGACAATTGTTAAATATCACCATTATGTAGTTCATTTGGTTGGATTGAGTAAGTTATGGCACCGACAAGAGTTTTAAATTTCGCACTTAAATGTGTATATACTTCCGTTTTTGCTAAATTCTGGTGCGGTTTATAAAACTTGTCGTATCTGCATGTTTTCATTTTCCTAATAACACACACAAGTATGATATTCGTGAATTTACAATCTACGTGCACATAAATATCTCAATCTTATTTGATTAAGAATTAAATTTGTACATAGTGCTCCCGGAAAATAATTAAATAAGCAGTAACGATATGCTGATTTCTGATAATATTGACATCATAATTATCATATTCTCAAGGAATAAAGGAGAACAATTTGATTTGCGGTTGGTTAGTAATCATTATTGAGAATCGAAGGAACTGAGCCGGCTACGGTTTGGCTTGGTTGAAATTGAGGTAGGCAAATGAAGCCACAAGAATTCACTATCGCTTTCAAATATTTGAATAAATCAACGAGTTCAGCAGCATTGCAACTGATTGCAGTGCATTAATACTGATCCCTGAGTGCTAATACACTTGTACGCGAAGGAAAACAGCATGTTTACAATTTACAATAAGTATACTTCGTTTATTTCAAAAAACAAAGAATGCATGTGTTATAAATCGTATTCGACGCACTCAACGAGAGATTTGACCGATGAATAATGTAATTAAATGCAAGTCAACCATGTCATGTACATATATACATACAAAGTGCGAACTTGTGTATAATAGCAAGAAAAATTACATCCGCAACAGCTTTAAATGTGAACTAATTAGTTCTTATTTGATACAGGACAAAAGAAACGGAAGGAAGGAAGCACTACTAAACACCAGCTAATTAGACTTCAACTAATTCAGCGTTACAGGAATGCAGAAAAGGTGTTGATTAATTAATGGGATTACAAGTATCATGCTGATTTACAAGCAGTGATGGACTTGTGATGCCTATTTGATGTATTACTTATCCAATTTTCTCATGATACGTACGTAAATATATTCAATATTGTTTTTGCATGCTTGAGCAGTCGTTTGTTTTATGTACAATGCGTAATCTTAGCTCAATTGTATAATAAATTATGTTCTTGATGTTCAGCACACCATTGCGCATACTAAACGTGTATCTTGCCGAGTGCATAATTTATGCATTTTTCCATATTTAACTTCGGTTTTAAATAATCTTAAATAAAAATTTAATTAGGCTGATTTCCATAGTTTACTGGATTCTAGATTCGTGAGCTAGTACTAGAATCTGACCAAGGTCCTGAATTTTACTTAGTTACGGGTCTACATAAGGTTAGCTCATTTGATGGTAAATTTTGTGACCGAGAGCTTGGGACGAGTTTGGGATTATTTTTGGAAAAACCTACGTTGCTACACGAAGTTAAGGCCATTTTAATGCAAATTTATAAAATAATAATGATGATTGTCATCGCGGGCGGTGACCACGATTAATTTACATCATTTCCATAGCGCGGTACATGCAGAAACGGTGTCAATTATATGAAGATTTTATAAATTTGCATTAAAATGCCCTTAATTTCGCGTGGCAACGAATTTTTTTCCAAAAATAATCCCAAACTCGTCCCAAGCTCTCGGTCACAAAATTTACCATCAAATGAGCTAACCTTATGTAGACCCGTAACTAAGTAAAATTCAGGACCTTGAATCTGACCGAGTAAAAAGACTGTTTACATACGCTGACAAAAGTAGCGTCATGAAGATCTTTCGTTGAATGAAGAGCGTGACACACGGCAGCACTTGTAGCAAAAAGCAATATTGACGCAATAAAAGAGGACACAACTCAAGTTTGTCAACGACCAGTCATGCTTTTAAATGCCTACGCAATCCTGGTTCATTTATGGCTTAAACTGTCAGTTTGTACGGGTGTCACGTTTTATGACCTCATAAGCGTCACCCATACCTTGAGATTGAGTAAATAAAGCTTTGGGCATGCTCCAGTTTTGAAGATTTGTAACTATCACTATTTCATGCTGACATTATTTTTATTGCTATCACCCTCCTGCGCATTTGATTTGCCAACAAGCGTAGAACAATGCCGACTGGGGAGTTCTAGATTTAATTGAGATTCAGGGGAGGAATTAGAAGATTAGTCCAAAATTGAATGTGCCAGAAACTTGAACTGTTTGAAGGCAGTTATGTAGAAACAAAATTTCAGTTGCATACTTATTCCAGATGACACGACGACGGCCACGTATTTATGTACTTTGTATTTGTATTTATGCATATCGTCGTCTTACAAAAGGAAAATTTTTGATGATAACAGGCTGAATTCAAAGCCGATCTGAGGCGATGTACGTGACTTGTTGTTACAGGGCGTGTAAATGGAAACTTCTTTTTAATCGTAAACGATCAATGAATTGTAGCAGCAGCATATTCTAGATATCCCTCGTTTTAAAATTCCTCTGGGCATGAAATGGAAATCGTTGCATATGTATGCAAATGTCCATTGCAACATTAGCACGTGCAAGACTTTGTCTACCCACATACATACATACACACTAAACGTGTGCACTTTATGTTTTGCAAAACCATGTTGTTAATTACAATGCTTAGAGGAAAAACTGCACTGAACACATTGAATTGATTTCTCGACCAATAATAATTAGAGTGCTGTGAATCTACTCAAATTATATAAAGTAGGAAATTTACAGGAAAGATTCCCTCGATTTCTCTCTCGGACTTTGATTTCCAGTCCATTAAACAATTTTGTCCCTTTCGCTCAAACAAAGAGAAAAATTCTCAACTCGAGCATGAAATGAAGGTCGTTGTCTTTGGTTGTCGTTTTGTTGGAGAAGAAACTCGAGCGACGACAAAGAATCCTCAACGACACGACAAGCAGTTTGTTGGTTAACAATTTACTAAATTAGGCCACCTTCGTAATTTATGGTGGATCCTAATCAAAGCGAATAATTTACTTCCAACTCTAATCAACCAATATTCGAATTTTACTCCACCCTTAATAATTTGGTTCGCACATAAGAAAAAAGTGTCTTAGACGCTCGGGTGTTTCTAGATGTATATTATGTACACCTATTCTAGTCTACCGAAATAGAAGTGCTTGAACCTTGTGGTTTCCATTGTAGCTAGTTAGCTATATAAAAAAATCTAAATTTCGTAGCTCGTCACCGTCAATTAACAGAGAATTGTCAGCTTGTTTGCGGTCGCGTGGTAAAAATTCACAAAAATCACACGGGAAAGAAAGTTGTGCCATTTAGTTGTACACATTGAAGAGCAGCCAAAGGATGCAATACTGCGTTCCACACTATTTAGTATTTGTTGTAAATAAATTAATCAATTTCTTATAAATTAGCAGCTCATCTTTAAAATCGCTTTCATTGTCGTTCATCGGCATTTTTAGAGGATCTGCCTACACGAGGACCACTGTAATAAAATTTCTAATGGCCAAGGCTATCAAAGAACGTCTCTTGAATATTTGATTGCAATTACATCCAAACATGCACATCGGTGGGTAAACTATTTAATAAGCGCGTTTATTGTAAGCACTTTTCATCCTGTTACCATATTAATTTCGGGTTATGCAGATTAAGCTAATGTGCAAGTAATGATTAAAGTTAGTTTTGATCAATGGGCTTTGAACTTACAAATTATCTGAAGGTGTTTTTTTGAATCTTTGCATCATACACGACGCATTTTGTCAATGAAATGAAAGTGAGTTTGGCCAAGCCAATTAAGTAAAAGTGATCTCCACATAAACCAGACCACCATCTACACCACACGCGTAAGATACCGGCTCAGATACAATATGTACGTATACTCACAAAGACAAAGAAACCTACCTAAATCATAAACTGACCATTTTTACGCATTAAACATTTCAAAGGTGAGGTTAATTTGCATTAAACGACGGCGAGCGTTATGTAGTTACATACATTTTGTAAGAGAAATATTTTTAAAATTGTTGAATACCCAACGATGAATGAACAAATGAAACTGCGCGGAATGACTAATGCAATAATTCGTGGTGATGCAAATTTAAGATAACAGTTTCGTAAGATTTATGAAATATTTATTAATAAACAAATACAGTTGACACCTGTTTATGATGATCTATTAGTAAATTCTTACACGCAATTTCACATTCATTGATTTTAAATTATTAGACCTTTATTGGCGTTTGAAATTTTTTCGAGTCACAATCGGTAAATGACATTAATTTAAGTAATATAAAAATCCCACAATTGCAGGGTCGTATAGAAAAGTTGTATAAAACACACTACAAATCTGTAATTCAGTGTAAAATATTGTTCTGGTGATGCCCAACAATCTAACTCTGGTATGTCCCCTCTACATAATTCGTAGATACCAAATGAACGACTTTTCTAGAGTCAAAACTTCAAAAAAGGGAGCAATGCAAGAATATTTTTAAATCGATACGTTAAAAGTTCATCTTCCGCTGAGTAGGTTTTGGTAGCGGCATTAAACCTAAACCACTGCTGGCAGTAGTCTTTTTAGCAGGGGCAGCACTAGTTGAGGCACTTGAGCCTGCCATGTGGGAATATTTTTTGGGGGATCTAAAAGCAGTTGCGACTTTGTACGATTTACGAGCTTGGGTGAGGCCAGAGAATGTCCCTTTTGGAGAAAATCCTTTATTTCGAGCATATGTCGCTTTTTTCGGAGACTTTCTCTTTTTCCTCCGTGGTGCTTTTCTTTTTCTGATTCCAACAGACGCTGGTTTTTTAGCAAAATACTTAGACTTGGTGGCAGTGCGGTCATCCGCATCTATCCAGCCATTAGAAGATTTTGAAGTGCCAGGTTTTGAACTCTGGGTCTCGTACTCCTCAATGTTATTCGCTTGATATTCTGATAGCACTTTAAATTTTTCAGCCTTATATTTAATTGTTATATTCAACAATTTTTGGCCATATTTCAAAAAGTTAGCTTTCGTAACACCAGGTACACGAAGCATCTCGTCTGGGGTCTCTGGAGTTTGAATAGACATCATGCGTACGGTCTGTAAGTTACATATGTGTGAGAAATATTTATGGGATCAGTGTCTTCAAATTTTTACCCCCGTATGAGTACAAGTATGTCTGAATTATTAAATTATTACCTGAGCACTCATTATGTTGGCCCATTGGTTAATGTTAAGTTCAGTAGCAAGATCTCTCAATGCTAGAACCAATTCATCATAGCACTTTTGTTGTACTTCTCCCAAAGATCCTTCCAACTCAATATTGACTGTTGATTTAGGTGGTGCTTGTGCTTGTGAGGATTTCGAGGCCATTGAAAATTCGATCTTCACCTTCCCATCTTTGATTAAATCTGCTTTGGCAGACAATTTTAAATAAGCGTAGCTAATCATTGTGTCCGTAACTTCATGTACTTCTTCCTATGGGGGATCAAGATAGTTTTTGTGTAAATAAAAAAATGCATCTTACTAGTAACCGATCCATTTTAATTGCAAGGTCGAGGTCCAGGGGTATAATAAAATTTCTTACTATAAGGTATCCATCCAATACAAGTTTTCGTATCAAACGTTCAACCTCTCCTTTTTGCCATGATTTCAGAGCCCCATGACCATCAAATTTATTATGTCCTAATCAAAGAAATTCAGAAATAACCGTTGGCAGTTAATTGAACAATACGAAACTTTTTTAACATGCTCATAACTAAATTAGGAACGTGGAACAATACCTGCTTCTACAATTTTTTTATGCTCACTTCCTTTCATAATATCAGCAATGTGCAGCAAAGTGAATCTTCCCCGTGGGTCAGCAAGCCGACCCCCTCTTGCAGACGCAACTCGCGTGCCAACAGCATTGACAAGATAAATAATTTTGACAATCTTTTGGCATTCTACAGTGACGTCCTTGGTCAAGTAGTTATCCTAATGTTTAAAATATTGGGATAAATTTAAGAACTATGTAATTTAGAACTTTAGACTTTAATGGTACATGTGAACATATATACGGCATACCGTTTGGGTACAGATATCGCACGCGGTTAGTCGACTTTCTTTGCAAAGTTTAACTTCAAATATTTCCCCAAAATATTGAAGTAATTGAGCTCTCCGACAGTCCGTCTTGTTCTCACAGTACGCCACCATTTGAAATAAGTTGTCAAGATGATTTTTTTGAGCATGGTAATTGGATTTTTCACCTAAAATCAATAAAGTAATTTTTAATTTACTGTAAATTTAAATGAGCCATTTGTACTTATAAGAAAAATATTTAAAAATTTACGTTTCAGCATGGATTGTATTTTTATTGCATCGCCGTATGAATAGAATAATATGCAATTCGAAATATCTCCATCTCTTCCAGCCCGACCAGACTCCTGATAATATCCTTCAACACTTTTTGGCAAAGAGTGATGAATTACAAATCTCACGTCAGGCTTGTCAATTCCCATTCCAAATGCAATAGTGGCACAAATGACCTGAAATAATAGTTCAAAGATGTTCATTATGTAACGTTAAAGAAAGTATTTTTAATAAATCTTCCATACCTTTGTTCTATCTGAAATCCAATCTTTTTGAACACTGGCACGCCTATCATCTTTCAGCCCAGCATGGTAGCTCACGGCTTTAATTCCTCCCTGCTGGAGTGCTTGAGCCATATTATCACAGTCATTCCTAGAGAAACAGTAGATTATCCCAGACTGTCCACGATATGGGCGACTATTCAGAAGTTCTATAACATCTTGAGAACTATTGCCCTTTCCACGCTTTGCACGAACTTCGTATCGCAAATTTGGTCGATTGAAGGAACACATGAACCATTTTGATTGTTGAATGTGAAGTTGTTTTAAAATATCAGCTCGAACAACAGGCGTTGCAGTAGCGGTTAAAGCCATCATTCGAACTTTTGGATAACGTTCCCTTAAAACGTGCAATTTCGTATAATCAGGTCTAAAATCATGTCCCCATTGTGATACACAGTGAGCTTCGTCAATTACAAAACGAGCCAGTAAATTTCTTCTATACAGCGATCGAAAAACATCTTCCAATCGTCCAGAAGCTGAAATTTTTTCAGGTGTGACATACAATAGTTTTAACTCTGAAATACATTTAATAAATTCCAAAATTAGTCTTTGATACGATGATTAGGTATGCTCGTCTTTAGTATATAGATATCGATTAATTAACTCAACGCACTAGGATCATTTCCTTCAAGTTCATTGTACACTGCTGATTGGTCTGCCATGCTGACATCACTTGACAGTTGAGCAGCACGAATCTAAACAGATAAAATGTACAATCATACAATCGGTAAGTGTCGATCTTGATAATTAGATAACCGTAAATCTTACATCAAGAGACGTCAGTTTTTGAACTTGATCTAGAATAAGCGCTTTAAGTGGTGATATTACAATAGTCACTCCTGGGGAAATTACTGCCGTTAACTGGTAACAAAGGGACTTCCCCCCTCCAGTAGGCATTAAAATAAAACAATCATGTCCAGCCATACAAGCTAATAAAAAAATAAAACAAATATCACATAATGTACTCATGTACGACATTGAATTTGATATATCATGGATTGTAAAAAAACTGGCAGTCTTGGCTTACCGTTAATTGCTTGTAACTGAATTGGTCGGAAATTTTTTAGTCCAAAGCGATTCCTTAAAACCTAGAAATCGTATTTGTAATATACAGGGTGGTTAAAATATCACGCCACAATGGAAAATTTTTCAATGGGAAAAATCCCTAAATCCCCATTAGTTACAAGATTTTGGATTAAGATTTTTATAATTATTATCAAAACTGGTGGAAAACTGATGACGAAATTCTTAGAACATTGAATTTTAGAGACAAAATTTCGGTAACTAATGGAAATTTACAAATTTTTCCCATCGAAAAATTTTCCATTGTTGCGTGACATTTTAACCACCCTGTATAAGAGTGCAGACTTAACATTGTTACTAACAAACAAATATATATATTCTTACTGTAAGCATCGTCTTTGAATGTCCGAAATTAAATCCATCAAATTCGCCAGTGATTCCATCATTGCGAACATCGCCCAAAAAACGTCCAACTTCAAGTTTTCCCGGGTCCATAAATTTAGAAGGAGAAATAATACTACTATTAAGAAGCTTGCTTTGACTCCCTAAATTATTTTTCTTTGGGGTGGTCATCCCAGTTGACGAGTTATTAAAGTTGTAGGAGTTGTCAGTGCTTGGAGTATTGTATTGGTTTTGTTCAAATTCATCCTCGTCTTCAATGTCAAAAATTTCATCATCTGGAGCGTCTTCACCAAAGTAATCGTGTTTCGGAATATCTTGGTGTGGTCTCTTGCTCGATGGAGATCCGCTAATGTCAATAACTGATCGGTCAGCAAAATTACTGTAACCACCACCACCACAACTTGTATATGAATTTTTAGCTTGAGTCGGCTTGGTTGAATTGGATGTCCCCGATTTGGCAAAATTATTGTTACCCGGTTGGCCTGTTGATAAAAAATAAGAATTAGATCTATTAGTTCTTTCTCTTGTAGAGTACTACTACATATAAAATAAACCGTAGTAACGTTAGAAGTAGCTCACCCTGTAATAATGATTTGGTTATAACTTGCCCCAAAGGTGCAGAAAAATGCAACAAAATTGATACATAATTTTTTGCAATTATGCACTAATGGTGCAGAAAAATCCAACAAAGTGGATCAATAATTTTTATGCAATGTTGCACCAATGGTGCAGAAAAATTAAACAAAATAGATCAATAATTATTATGCATCGAGGAAAGTCCAAAAATTGTGCATCACTGGTGCAGAATTACCTACCAACGATCAACGATAATTTTGAAAAATGTATGTCAAAATTGTCTAATAAAATCCGCCGGGTAGTATGCATTATTGGTGCGTTATGCATCTAAGCCCCCAATTCTTTCGCATCATTTGGTGTTTCCGAATGTCAGATACCAACGGTGCTATTAATTTATGAAAAAATGGAGCAGGGAGTTATTAATATGCATCAATTAATGCAAAAAACTCGTCAACAGACAGACGGACGGACGGACGGACGGACACGAGGAATTCAATAGCTCTCGTGCTACGCAGGGCGAGCTAATAAGGGCAAACTATTACACTCACCTACTGAAGAAGCAGCCATATCCCATAGTTCAATCAAAGACACTAAGTTTTTTTCCGCAAGTCCCAACAGAGAGGCTAAAACACTAGGGGATTTGCATCCTCGAAATATTGAAACTGTGTTCCGTAACAAATCTGACGACAATGACCTCACATCGTCCTATAAATAAACATGTTTATATGAAACTATTAATCCTTGAATATCTAAAACTCTTCATAAGAATTATGAAAATACAAATACCCCATTTTGAACCCTTTCTATCAAATCCTGTACCACTACATCCGGATCTGACTTATTTTCGGATAAATTGGCACTATTGCTCTGATTGACGTTGGGTGGTAAAATATTTGAGTCATCAATTCCAGCTAACAGACTATCTATTTCATCATCGTCTCCAAACATATCGTTCTGGTCAAACAAATCTTCGTCCACGGCATGACTCATGTCTACACCTTCTTCTTCGAAATCAGTTTCTTCACCTTCTGCATCTTCAAAATCCGTTTCGTCATCGTCCTCGTCTTGGTCTTTTTCCTCGGTTTCTTCCCCTAAATTAGGGTAATACGAGTATTTATAAGTATAAAGTGATACCATTATCAACTAACAAATTAGTAAGTAATAAAAAACCTTCGTTCTCAGTGTCCCCATCGGATTCTTGGTCCGACTCAGAGTCGCTCATTAAGACAAGCTTTCTCTGGCAAACCACCCGTCGTTTAGTTGGGGGTTGAATATAATCTTCGGAAGTAGAGTCGTCTTGTTTAACGGAACTATCTTCCTCTTCATCAGAACTTTTACGCTTATTATTTTTAGAGCTGGAAGAATCATCGTTACTAACATACGGCCCTATATCGGGCTTTATATCAGGGCTGGCAGGAATTACTGTACACCCGTCGTCGTCATCATCATCATTATCCAAGATGGGAGGAGAGTTATATCGAATTGGTTTGTTCTTATCGGCTAATTTAGCTGCCGTGTTGGACGATAGAAATTTTTGGGAAGAAACGATGGGTGATCCCGGAATAAAGTCTTCTTCATTCTCACTACTGTCGTCCATGGAGAATCCTATATTGAAATTAGATACAGCCGGTTTTGCGGGTGTGGGGTTTGCGGAAGAAATGTCAAGTAGTGATGAACATGACGAAATGTCAGACTTCTTGGGTGGAGACGATGGTTTTTGCACAACTTCGTGACCATTGTAAACGCAAGGTAACCTAAAATTACATTAGACTTTTATGGATCATTTTTTCACCTATGGTATTCGATCAATGTCCTTACACTGAGACAGTAGGTTTTGACGACTTCATATTCATGGATAAAGCATTATTCAAACTCATAGCGATTGACCCATTCTTTACACTGGAACTACTGGATACAACAGCTGAAGATACGCTGGTGATGTACACATCATCTGAAGTTCTAATCTTACCCTTTCTTGAGAGGCTACTCATTGTTGTGATGTATGTCGCTAGAATTTAGACACTAATTAATAATAAGTATTGAAAATTATATCCCTCAATATCTCTCCTTACGTTAATCCATCAGTCAAAAATTATAGAGGAGGATAGTCTTCTGGATACTTAATTATAAATTACTTAGTCCAATGGATGAGAAATCTATAATAAAGAATATATAAGAATCCATAAGAATAACTCAATGAATGGTCGTAGACGGTAGGTTTTTGTAAACGTATGTAAGTAATGTAGTTCATACCTAATTGTCATTATTGTTCCGTATCAAAAAAATGCAAAGATGATGAACGAAGGACAACTTATCAGTCAGGCAGTATTATCGTTAAAGCTGCTGGATTCACTTTTAGTGCCTTCAATTAAGAACTCGTTACCAAGTAGCTTCTGGACTAAAACGTGAGTAAATTTATTTAAAGAGATTTTCAAAACTTTTAAAAATTAAAATGTTTTTGTTGGGAACAGGGATTTTTAACGGGACTTCCCACGATCTCAATCAACCTCGCGCTGTTTACGGGTACGATGCAACATGACAAGAAAAGAGTCTACTGCTGAGGATTGATTCTCAATAATTTCTTAAAATGTTGCATTAAAATCTTTTTATTTCGTTTGATTTCTTGATATAAAAAATATTAGTATAAACTATTTTGTATCACTTAAATACTCGATTTTATAACGTGAAACTTTTTTCTGTTTGGGACAAAAGTAACGTTGACATTTGATATAATATATACACAAGAACGTGTAGCATGCTTTGATTTTATACAAACATATTTTAGTACTTTTTTGCTATTTTGTATATCCAGTTTTGACATGACCAGCCAGCAATCGGTCAATTTTTATTTTGCATTTTGCTATTAGCCCAATGCTTGATCGGCACTTGTATACTTTTAATCGTCTCATCTTCAGTGGTGCTGCTGATGGAGGCAAGGTGAGACAAATGCTAAATTCACAAGACAGCAGTAAATTCTACTTACTTAACATAATGACTCAAATTAATGAAAACTTCAAGAAATGCATATAAACGATTATAAAAAAATAGGACAACTCTAAATTAGCGAGCAAGTCTTTGGGTTCTTGTTTTTATACTGATGAGAATAACAAGATTTTGGCTTTTATCTAGGCGGAATTACTCTCCTGGGTCGAATTCCCAGCTTTCTCTCCACTGCCAAAATAGTTTTGCCAAGCATTTGCCATCCTCTTTTTGGCCATGGTCGATATCCTTAGACCAAAGTTTGAGGTGGACACGGCTGGAGCAGCCGTGGGGGAGGGGGCCACGGACACTGGGGTGGAAACAGACTCTGCCACTGCGGAAGTGTCGACGTAAATGGCGGAACTGCTAGAGGTGGACTTATTAAGGACGGCCCCAGCCAACCTTTTCCCTCCTGGAGTGACAATTCTATGACTTTCTCGGTTATATTGAGGGGATGGTGGTCGTCGAGTGGTACTGCTCACTACAACATTGTTAAACCTCTCTGTGACGGTGGGGAAGGGTGTGGTATTGCTTTTTGGATGCGCCGAGTAGGAAAAGTCGACCAGGCGCTTCGTACTCGTGGCACCGGGGACGCCTACTTTGAGACTTCCGGTCCCTTCAGGGTATTTGATTGTGGTGGTGATGGCAGAGTTGGCAGGGTATTGAATATTTCTGTGCTGGGATTCTTGGTTCGATCGTTGACCTTCATGATGCTGCTTTTTTGTATTCGAAGGTTGCTTGTTCCTTTTCCCGTGGTTATGTGGGAGGTAAGAATTTTGTCGATGTCCAGGGCTCGTAGAACTAACACTGCTCTGGGTGGGAGCTGCGATGAAGGAATTTTGATTTGTGAAAGGGGTGGGTGTAGCTTTGCTGGGAGAACTGTCCTTGTGGAAGGCAACGAAATGATCATTGGTGAAAGAGGGGGCAGTGGAATGAGGAGGAGGAGGTCGCATTGTAGAAGAGATTTGACCCTGTTGTTGTTTTTGTTGGCGAGGGGTTGGAGATGCCAAATAGTTTAGCCCATTGGGGGGTGGGGTTGGAGATGGAAATATATTGTTAGCTATGGAGTTGGTAGCTTTGGAGGGTTGTTGTTGATGAGACAGGATTTGTCGAGAGAAAGCTGGCGAGGCTGTTGTAGCGATTGAAATGAAGCTGCCAGATTTGAGAGACGTGAAACCATCCCTGAAATGATCCTGGGAGGAAGAAGGTAGTTGAAGATTTTGCGAAGGTATTTGAATTATTCTTTGATGAAATGGGGTGCTTGGAGAAGCCGAGGGTGAAAGTTGATGTTGCTGATTTTGGAAATGTTGATGATTAGGTGGGGCATTTTGGGTGTGGTGATGGTGACTCTGAGGTTGAGATTGAGACGCTACTTGGTGAAAGTTTTGCTGGGGCTGAGTCTGTTTATGAAATTGGTGGTTAGGTTGGGGTTGAGCGTGTTGCTGCGGTTGTTGTTGTTGTTGGAACTGTTGGTGTATTTGCTGGGGTGGTCTTTGATTATTGTTGCTATCTTCAGACCTTACGGGAATGTGGTGAGCATTCTGCGAATTTGGCTGCCCATGCCCTTGTTGAGGGTGATGTTGGATCTGTTGTTGATTTTGATGAATATTTGAGGAAGTGGAATGGGAGCCAAAGTGACCTTGTTGATGTGTATTTTGTTGTTGAGCCTGATGAAAATTAGGACTTGACGTTACAAAATTATTCTGAAGAGTGTGGGCTGTGGGAGGAGGGATAAAATTGGGATTGTGATTGGGATGTTGGATTTGATTTGGCGAAGGTGTGGAATGATTAATTTGCTGCTGATGATTATGATTTTGCGTTTGAGAAACAGGATGAGTGATGATAGTCTGGCGGATGCCTGGGAATTGGTTACTGGGATGATGCACATTTTCGCCAGGAAGTTGATGATACGGACGTGTTTCTGGAGGGACCTGAGTACTAAAATCGACGTTGATCTTATTATCGTCCCTGGACCTGTCTGCATCAGAGTATGCATTGCTTCGTTGTCCGTGAAAGTGGGGATATGCAAAAAGGTCTTTGCCTTGAGTTCTGAAACTTTTTAAACTTTCCAACTCCAATCTCTTTTGCTTATTCTTCTGCTGTGATGGACTGTATGGATATTCGATATTGGCGTTGATCGTGCTGGGAGAATACATAATCTCACGTTGGCCATTGTAATTGGTATACTGATTTGACCTTTGACCTAAATGAAGATTTGCTGCTTTTTCTGTACTACTGAAGCCCAATGGTTGTGGAGTTGTCGATGACACAAAATTACGATTGTTATTTGGTTGAGTGCTTTGAACAAATCCAAATCGGTCCACATAGCGCTGACTGTCCAAATCAAGACCTGGAGGTCGCAGTGTTGAAGTTATCAGAGTTGGCGTGATTTGAGTTGGGGGGACAAATCCAGCTTGGCCAAGATTTATACTATTCGACTGGTCAAAGATGTTGACCGGTGAAGGGCTGGTTGTTGGAGACGGTGGTTGAAGAGATCCGATGGACCCAACTTGTCGGTTTCCTACGTTATTTGGATTGGGGGAAGGTTGAGGATGTATATGCTGAGTTTGAGGTACCACTCGCATAACAGATGAATACGTAGTTGAAGTGCTTCTAAAAGTAGTTGTAATAGGTGCACTTGTCGTCCTTTGGTGGTTGACGTCCTGTTGATAACCGTTATTTTGTCTCCCTTGTTGCTGGTGGTTGTTAAATTGGTTTGGATGACCAAAATCTTTTGGGGTCTGCAAAGTTGATGATCCATGATTGTACGAAGGAATTTCAGTATTGATACTGACAGGCCGTGCAGTACTGCTAATGGTACCACTGAAAGTAATGACGGCTTGCTGTTTGCCTCCTTTCGGTTCAATGTTCACGTTTACGAGTCTAGGAGTAGTGTTAGGTCGCGATGAAGGGGTGTGGATTGTAGTGACATCCGGTCTCTGCGTGGTAGAAACGCTTCGATTCGTGTGGTATTCCACAAAGACCTGATTTTGCTCAGGACTGGAATACGTTCTACGTGCTACTTCGTTGGAAGGACTTTGGTGATACTGATTATCATTTGATTGCTGCTGTTGCTGGTATCCACCCGTGAAGGAGTTTTCAGTCGACGAAGATGGTCGATCTGTAGGATTGGTTGGATTCTTTTGCATTCGATTGCTGAGCATATTCTGGTTGCTGGTATATTTCTGGGAAGCAGTGTATTGCAACTGATTTTGATTATAATTTTGGTGTTGTTGTTGATGTTGAGACTCCTGTTTAGATGAAATAACGGGCAAATAGTTTTGGTTATTCTGGTTATTATTATTATATCCGGTGGAGGTTGGGTGTGGAGGAGGAGGAGATTGTTGCCGTAAGACTTGGTTCTGTCCGATCGACGCTACACGAGCGACTTGGTTGCTACTTTGAACTTGATTAACAAATCCATTCGAGTTTGGTCTGGGCACAACAGAATTAACGAAAGAATTAGCTGCACCAGAGCTTCCGAGGGGTGGAAGCCCCTTGTGACCTCTCGTTGGCTGTCCATCAATTCCGACACCAGGACCAGCATACAGAAACTGGTTTCTGGAATAAAATTCTGGTGCCGTATTACAGTCAACGTTGAACCACCAGTCGCAAACAAAAACCTAGTTGAAGGAATTCAGATTTTGACAAAATTTATTTTATATTAGATTATAACTTGACGAAGAAAGTGGTTTAAGACTACTACTGATTATTGTATGAGTTATTACCTGCTGGTTAAATAGTGTTCCGTTGGGGCATAAAAAAGCATCCATGCGTTGTTTTTGGCAAATCCAGAAGACCTAAAAATTCAAAAATATGTATGTCATTTATCATTTTGCTATCATACTTGAACATGAACTACATAAATAGTAATGATTGTTTTATGTTTTATTTTATGCTTTAAGCGTAATGTTATAGCATTTTTATAAAGTACACATGCATATGTATCTAGTGTATCTTTATTTATAAGTTGTAAAGTTCTTGGAAGATACATCAGTATTTAGATGTCATTATCAATAGAACAATACTTTAGACAAGCTTTAGAGCTCACATCATGAAATTGATCAGTATTACGAAACAACATTTTTTGATTTGGGAGCTTGACTTAAAATTTTACAAATCTTCGCATGCTTTCTCAAAATTATTTTTTATTATTTTGTACGCTTTTTATTATTTTTATGCTTTTTTACTAAATCTAAAATTTTTGAGGAATCAACTTCAATATTCTTGATACTACATACAATCTAAAATTATTACGTCACTGGTTGCCCTTTTTCTCGAACTCTATGAAAATACAAATAATAATAATTGATGTACACCACATACACATACACATCGATACAATTATGCATTTATCACGCTTTGTTAAGCGTTTAACTCATTACTTCTGCTTCTTCATTTCCATTAAGGCAACAATTTGAGTCACAATTGCACAACACAATGCAATTGACTTCTACTTTAATTTCAAAGGAAGACTTAATATAAACGGTATACTAAAACTAGTTATTGCTAACCAGCGTAGCCGCAATAAATGTACATAAGCATCACGGTAGATAAGCATGTGTATTGAAAAAGTGTGTGAGTTCCCACGCTTTTGTTATTCAATAGTTGCATTTTATTGTCAGTTGCCATTCTTGTGATGCTCACTCTGCTCTATTTACGGACGATAGTGACGAACTATGTATGCAGTTTAGCAAATTTGCTGATATTATATCACAAATGCAAGTAATTACTTCATTTCACTTTCTTCCTCTGCTTGTGCACCCCTCCTGAAACTATATGAACTACTTGAACTACATACCCTAATCCTACGCGATATGTTTTTGAAACATAGCATAAACTTAAAATAAATTTTTAATTTACAGTTTTTTTGGGCATCTGAAAGCTGTCAAGTTTGGGTGCCTTCCTCACATCTGGTGTTTAAATTTATTATTTATTGCAATTGCTCATCACTTTAGTATTAAATTATGCAACTTCCTGTCAAAAACGAAAGTACTTGATATAAGTAAATGGGAGTGTTTTGAAAGGAAGTGCCTAAATTGCATGAAAATATTTGATACGAATTCGAGTCCACTTTGTCTATAGGTCATTCACTAGCTAATGCCACGTACGTACACAAGTTGCATGTCAAATAGTGAGACGATGATTGCAAGTCTTCCGAAATCCCATTAATTTATTTAATTAAGTGAAACTTAATTAACTCCACATTGGGAAAAATGTACTCAAAGTTAGTAATTTACCTGACAGCGAGCCTCAGTATCGGCGTAGTAGCCCGGCCATGCCTGATCTTTGCATGAGAATGAGGTCCTCGGGATGCTGGAGAAAGTCGGATAATCTCGACCTGCCTCGCCTGGAATTGGTTTCCCATCTCCGCTCGTGTCGAAAAAGTCGTCCCTTCTCTCAATTACTGTTGAGCATAAGTTAAATTAACCAAGAATATTTATTTCACGTTTTCATATAATATTTGTGTCATTTCATATAAGAATGAGTAATATGAGCGATTCAGATTCTTTACAATTGCAATTTTATGATGGAATTGCCGGCTCAAAATCTTGCAAACGTTTGTGGATTTACTCTCAAAAATAGAAATAAGGGATAACAAAATCATAATTTGTTGAATGTAAATATAACTACAAACAGACAGAATTATCAAATTGGTGGAAAATTATTAGGTTAGATTCATATCTTTTCTCACGTATCCGTCACAAATATTAAGAGTTGGCTCATCTTGGTTGCAAATACTGTGTCTCTTTTCCCATTTTAAACCAAGAACCATTTTAGTTGCTTGATTGGCAACCTGTGACCTGCACTCTTAATTGATTGCAGCTGAACTTTGGATACGTTCCCAGACCAAGTTACAAAACACATTAAAACATGTGTACGATAGAGTGAACTATTTGGTGAATTCAAGCAGTGGGAGCGACGAGCTTCTGACACAAGAAAGTTCCCATACAGCCCTTAAATTGAGTTGAGCGTGATCATATTGCGAGAATTTAATAGCATATTTACAGAAATCTTATTTTCCATACACATGTTATAAACCTAGAGTTTAGAATAATGATACCAACAATTAGTCAATTTCTTCATACATATGACACATTTATGAAGTTTGTTTGTTTAGAAATACTAATTTCGTCACTTCATGATCATGTTTTAGATATGCACAGAAAAAATGTGGCAATCAGAATATTCTTGAACTTTAAAATTCTAGCTGTTGCGACCTCATGTACCAGAATTACACACATTTGCGAAACTCTTAGAAATCAATGACACATCAAAAAATAAATTGTAAAAACTTACTCGTGGTTGCTGCCGGAACTTCGTCCAATTTTGGAAGATTTGATGGGAAGCCCAACCTTGGCGAGAAAAAACTCGAGTCTGGTTTCCTGTCCAGTGAAGGAAGGTAACCGGATGAGGATGAGGATGAAATGTCATTGTTTGTCAATGCAGGTGGTGGCCGATCGCTTTCGAACTCTACGAAAGGAGGAGGAGAGGAGTTTGCGACCTCATCGAAGGATCTCTCATCCAACGGAATGTCAGTGTAGCCCCGTTGAGCTTGGCGTTTATCTTTCTTGGAAGCTTCCAATGTTTCAGTCGAGTTTAATGAGATGACTAATGTTGTTGAATTTGTAATCGTACTTGAATTTTTGGACGTTAAGCTATTTACTGTTGAATTAGTTGCATTTTGAGAGGATGTTGCTAAAATCAAAAGGGAAGAGTATTCATTGATAACTGAAATATGCATATTGTACAATCGTGGAAAGAGGTTGCCGAATTATCGGGTTTGTGCTTTAATATATTCAAAATAAAAGTTTTCATCGTGCATTCTAAATTATTGTGTATTGCATATTTTGATCAACTTATTTTTAAGTCGTATTTCCGGTGCCATTAAGTAATGTCCCTAATAAAATCATGCATTGAGTAAACTGGATCATTTGGATGGCAATCAGATAACTTGGCCTAATGGCCGAAGCATGATTTAAGCAAGATCTATCTTTCAACAGTAGTACTTATTTCCTGTTTTTTAAACCTTATCACCTATTGTGGATCATGCCAATTACTTGTAATTCGATATTCATTGTACAAATTGGCGAATTTAAGATGTATGCATCTATATAATTGGATCTCAACTACATACTTACGATTAGTTTATTATCCATATATCACTCAATGCATATGAATGCATATAACAAATTGATCCACTTTTGTATGCCCCACCTAACACCGCTTTCTTGTCAATACCGACAAAATACATAAAATCAAGAAATGCAGTATGAAATTTGCCTTTAGCATACATATGAGTTTATTATGACGGGTCGCTGACTAAAGTAATTCTTTTCGGGAAGATACATGTAAAATTAAATTAATAATCTGTACATATTAGCCCACTGTCAACATTTCTCAAGTTTTGTCTCAAGTCCTGTCATGCAGATGTACAAACAATTTAGATTTCATGTGTATTTATGATTTGCCATTAATATCAAAGTGGAATAGTTAATCTTACTGGCACAACGGAAAGCAAATCTATTTTGATCCTTGAGTAATGATAGCATATAATCAAAAATAAATATATGGTAGTTAATTAATTGTCGTTTCTCATCTTGTCACCAGAAATCCTTGGATTGGACACCATGTGCACATGATTTAGTGTAAAATTAGCAACTCACTAATGGCGAAAACTTATTAGAGCAAAGAGGACTATCGGATTCCCATACCTCGACCAAGATACTCATCCTCAGTGATTAACCATACGTTTTGAGAAAGCACATTACTAAATTTGCATAAGGCATGAATAGTAGTCCAACACTGCTAATTGCAACAAAGCTTCATATGTAGATGCAACACCACCTACTAAATACATGAGAATTTAAGATATTCATCTCTAAAAGTGGCGACGACGCTCATTTCAAATGCATACAAAAAGCCATGAACTAATGATTTTAATTTCTTGACAAGTTTTATTTTTATTTTTACGTACCTTGGAGCAACAAAAAAATAACTATTAATTTTCTGATGACACCATTCCAAACAAATCGAGTTTCCATTTCTCTCGCCGATTTTACTCCCACTTTGTTGTGGGGTGCACTCATTTGTTTTTTACCAATAATAGGTCCCGCACTTTAAGTTTCACATTCACTTGACAATTTAAAAACGTTTCTTCTTCCACTTGTTATGCCATCGCCTTCTGGAATTTCGGTGGATCCATTCTTCACCGTTTAGAACTTATCTATAATTGGTTATTTTATGAGCTATTTGTAATAATGAAATGACCAACTTTGGCTGAGCTATGTAGATGGGTTTTCCAAATGACGCTGTATGAAAATGATGTGCACACGAACTTGCAGAAATCGAAAGTGTTACTGTTAGCGAAGCGGATGGGAAAGAGAGCTTTATACGGCGGATGTTCTTTTGACATCATAAACAGGCAATATGACGATTTTTTCTATCACATAATCCCACACCACAGCTAAGGCACTAACATTGTTAATTCCAATAATCATCCTGCTAACCCCTTCATATTTATTGCACGGCTGCATCGTAATAACGCAACGCTCATCGCTCAAGTCTCAATTAGATCAAACATATTGTTGAGCATTTAGGTAAAACGGTATTAGCATTTGTTAGTGTCAGCAGTCAGTCATTTTTAAGCTCGGCGTAATAATATTAATGGTCGAGTTTATCTTCATTCAGCCCCATTGTTGATTGTGCTAAGAAGAACGATATTATTAGACTCGAGTCGTGCATTTGTTTCCCATTCAGACATCGACTTTTATGCAACCATTAATGTGAGACATTTAAATATCATTTCGTATCATTTGACACGACGCCCTTCAATCAGGCTTTCTGAACATTGACACTACGCAAGAATAATAAAGACAACACTCATTGCCAATAAATCCAACTTGCTCAATCGGATTACAGGAGAAATGCTTGTACAAATGTACGTGTGGTTGTACGAGTGTATTCTACATCGAGACACCAAATCTTTAAAGTTATTCACAATCGTGAATAACTTTAAAAAAGATTTTCATGGAGTCAATAAGCAGTCACTTCTGTATTAGCAATATATTGGCAATACTATAGTGAAACATTTTACATATCTATTACATAGTACAGAAGCTATTTATGTTGGATGGAATTGAAGAGCATGGACTTGATGTTTCACAGATATATCGCTTTTATGAAATTCACACGAAAAAGTGGGTGAACATGTCTCTTACTCAAAGTGCGCTTAGCCAGTTGATAAAATCGTGTGTTGCGTTCGATCTTCTCGTTTATCTTCTTAAGATTAAGCAGATCTCGTCATTTCATTACTTATCTGTCTCAACAAGTGCCTCGTGAGAAGAATGTGCCGGTTAACAATAACAGTCAACTCATGTTTGCCTCTGTTTTGCAATTGGTCCAACATATTTATGATGTGACCAAGACTGGAAAATCTAATTTTATCGCAGCATATTCAACAACCAACTACAAGTACAGTATTTGTCTAATACGAACTATCTACATATCTGTCTGCATGCAATTCATTCATTCATTGTTACATGTACTCATTGATTGCGAATAAATTCCTTCATCATGAATGGTGTAAATATTTTTATTAATTATATTGATCATGTCTAACACATATGTAAAGTAATGAGAACCAAAAAAAAGTATACTAGCTTGCTGGAATATATCTATATATATGCATGTACATCAAATCTAATGTTGTTATATAAAATTAAAATAACAATAATAATATTGAACTTTTATAACAAAATAAATAAAATACTATAAGTACTACAGACCAAATCGTGAAGGTAATCTACGTGGTGTGTCAGGGTCTGGTCGTCCAGGAGTCACAATTTCGTATTTTTTAGCAATCTGTTGCTCTTGAATTAGTTGTTCTTCTTTAAGTTGTCGCATGTCGGCTTCGGCCTGAAAGACAAACGTTAGTTAGCAGTGTGGATTGTTGAAAGATGCCAGTATTTTGAGTATTTAGTAAATATAGTATTTAGAACACTAAAGTTAGCTCAAAGCCACGTATAAGTCAGATTATTTATATTAACCTGTTTCATCTCAGCATCCATGTCCCGAATATGTTCGATCGTTTCACGTTTCTTGTCCATACGGGAACGAGCAGTTTCCTTGATTGATAAAATTTAATTTAATTAAGGCTTCAGATTAAATATTAAGCTTATTAAGATGAAAAAAAATAAATACAAACCTTCACAGAAAAAAACATTGGTCCAAGTTCTGCTAACCAATTTCCATCCACAGCAGTGACGCATTGCATGTATTCCTGAAACAGTAAATAAATTTAACTACCTATTACTTGCACAAATAATGTAATAAAATTAACTAATTCAACACAATGTTTCACATCTCTTCTCTTAATCATCGATCTTTATAAACAAAGGAAACATAACAAATGGTAACATACTACGGAATTCCTATTTATACGCTACCTATAAAAACAAAAACAAAACCTCACCTTATGCGTCATGACGAGTTCGTGATACACGACGTAGTCTGGTGTATAGCCCATACCAAACAAAGCTGACGTGGGATGCAGATGACAGGGCATCCCGGTTCTCAAATTCACATATTCTCCAATGCCCTTTAGTCTGGCAGCTTGGTGGAAATATGCGGAACAAATGCATTTGCGAATGACATCCCAATCAGTTCCCGAAGAAATGATCGTCATTTTTTGAGAATCCATGATATCTTTCAACTGACTCCTTACTTCTCGAACCTTCCTCATTGCCTTGCAATGAATAAAGTGTTCATTGCACCACGTCGCCGAATACCTATTCGTAGTACATAAATTATTACATGACATAAATATTACATATATACTAAAGTTAATTAAGATTTTAGCGTATGACTAACTTGTTTGTTTTCCACTGATTGTAAACATTCAAATATGTCAAATGGTCGGATTCTGGCACTTGAAACTTCTCTCGAACAGCATCAGCGTCCTCTTCCCTTCCCTTTGGCCTATAGAACAAGGCAGGAACGGACAACATTGATACAACTATCAATATATCTGCCGAGCACTGAAATACGATTCATGAAATCTTTATTATCTTCAACAGCACTAATTATTTGCATAATTTGTATAATGACTGAACAACTTTATTATTACCCCCATTTCAACTGACGCAATCAACATTTTTGACAATGCAGGATCCAAAGGAAATTCAACCATCGATCGCCCAAGATCCGTTAACCTCCCAGTGTTATCCAGTGCACCCAGGGTCCAGAGCTGGTACATTGAGTTTAGCATATTTTCCTAAAAATGGAAGGGGATTTGTCAGTGGTCGAATAAATTGGCAAGACACATAAATTGATATTTGAAAAACAAAAACATGAGAATCTTGCTTTTCGTTATACGAGGAAAGAAAGGATATAAATACCTGCGGAGGGGGGTCCATAAAATGAAATTGTAAAAGGTCTTGAACGCCCAAAGATTTTAACAACAATACGACGTTTGACAAATTAGTCCGTTGAATTTCAGGAATTGTTGTGACGAGCAAATCTTCTTTGTACTGCCGTTCAGTGTACAACCTATAATTATATATTCCTATAATGATTAATACAATTTAATTACTGATAAAAATTGGTACACAAATTATAAATTAGACGGCTAAGTGGCTATTACCTATAGCAAGCTCCGGGACCGGTTCTGCCTGCTCTACCTGACCGCTGATTTGCGTTGGCTTGACTAATTGGATAAATTTGCAATGCATCCATACCAATTCGAGGATTGTAGACTTTCAGCTTACAATATCCAGAGTCAATGACGAACATAATTCCGTCAACTGCAATAAAAACATATAAATTAATTCTACTTGTTCAACATATGTACATATTACCCGTTAAATGACGCTCAAATTACCCGTTAAAGAGGTTTCCGCAATATTAGTGGCTATAAGAAATATAAATAAATTAGGTTCGTTTATCCATCATAAAATATTATTTATTTATAAGAATTAACAAATGACGTTTGATGATTACTCATGAGAATTAATACATCCCTTACCTACAACACATTTCCTGATCCCATCGGGAGCTTTTTGGAAAATTTTGGCCTGCAAATCAGATGGCAATTGTGAATAAATTGGAAGGATAGCAAGTGGAGGAGCGTCATCTAATTGATCTAAGCGTTCAGTCAACACTTCGCATGTGACTTCAATATCTTCCTGTCCTGGCATGAAGATCAAGATATCCCCTGTTTAATTAAAACACAAATCATAAATATAAAGCATAGAAACTTAAACTTTATGTGTGCTACATATTTGGAATCTGTCTTTATATTCATCGTTCCCATTTCTTACCTTCAGTAGGTTGCAGATGAATTTGAAGGGCTTGTTTTACAGCAGCATCAACATAGTCTTCAACAGTATTTTTTCCAAAAAATAGTTGGACGGGAAATGTTCGTCCAGGAATAATAAAAACTGGAACATTTCCGAAAAACATGGCAAACTTTGTAGCTGCGAGAAAACAAAAGGGTGTTTAATTAATGCATTTGAATTATGCTACGGATTTCCCCCTTGAGCAGTAATTATTATCCAACTCTTTTAAATGAAATACAATATAATTTTAAATAACGTACCATCCATTGTAGCTGACGTCACAATTAGCTTTAGGTCATGGCGCCGGGCTACAATCTTATTAAATTGACACAAAAATTTGCCATTAGAACATAAGTTTGTATGCATAATATGGTAGATTTTTATAGCAAATCAGCATCGCAAAAAGCATCAGCATCCTGTTTACAAAAATACGAAAAGCACAATGCGTCTCATGACATAGTTGATTAAAAAACGAGAACAACCAGAAACGCTAAAATTAACTTGATTTTGAGGTCGAGATGCTACATCTGCTGCTGTTGAACCGATAGGAAGACATACACATTATAGAAATGCATAGGCAACCCGATTCATATAAGATTTCTTTGTCTACGTTTCCAATTCATTGGTCATGATCATGGTTCAATTCGGGCAAATACGTCACAACTGCGACCTTCACATTACCACCAACGTTGATGACGACAGATAAATGTAATTCGGTTAATGACAAGGCACAACTCGGTAAAATAATTGTATTTCTACAATTAACCACACCATAGAGGAAGATAAAGGTGTTAATTGCACTTTTCATGCAATACAACCCAGCACAATTATTTTAATTGCTTCATAATGTGGCATAGTGGATGGATATGTATATTCGACCTGACATAGAAAATAGACATCTAGCATGAACTTAAGCTTCAATGCGATGGAATAGTTGACAGGAGCAATAAAATCAGGAGACATCCAGGCAGTGAGAGAGATCTTAGCGTTAGTTGGACAATCACACAGAATTACAAAATTATGTGGGACAAGAAAAACAAAATAATCACTTTTATTACCAGCATAATAATGCTTTTATTGTCAGCATTACAGGGATGCTGCGAACCATACCTATTGACCCATTGCTCTCGTATGTGTGCATATGTATACTTAATAATTATTGCCGATATGGTATCAATTATATGTACCTATTTATACATATAAAATTTCCATCACAAACTCTACTAAACATGTATACAAAAACACACGTATGCACGCTATGTTTGTACATAAAAAGGGTGTACATTTCCTCCACGTGTCAATCAGCATTTAGGCATTATTGAAGGCAACTCTTATGGAAATACTATAACTCTGAAACGTGATACATAAATGCATACATACATTCGACTGACTACATCTTTTTATTATCTTCCTGTAAAGAAATGAGACTGAAGATGATCATACACAGACAATGTTCAGAATTTTTTTCATAATTGTGACTATTCGTCACATTTCCTGTCAGCTCAGCGTCAAACGAGCATCGATAAAAGTATTCGGTTTAAATGATACGTCAGAAGACAAACTGGATTTTACTGGAGAATGCATAGTCCTTCCATTTCAGTCCATGTAGCCTTGTGCACTCCGCCAAACTGCAAACTTGCAAGGTAAATGATAGTGCAATGGACGTCACCACTCAAGAACATTATTTCAAAGTGATGCAAGCATGTAATGCAGGGTTGTAAATATGTATGAAGTAAGTCGACCATTTTATTCATTGTGGGTAACAATGCATATCAAACTTTGTTCTATGTAATTCATCCCAGAAGCTATAAATAACTTCTCAGTAGTAGTAACAGCCCTTGTTACTAAAGGCTGTACAACAATTGTGTTATGTTCAACAAGCAGATTCTTTATATGAATGTGAAGAGAATAGCTTATTGCGTGGATCACTTATGTGCGCGCATTTCTTTCCCAGACCACCCTACTTCCCAAAAAATAGTCAGTCTGGAGGGATTTATTCAGTTTTATCCAAGAATCCCTTACAAAAAATGTATTCAGCTCAACAATGAAACTGGACTGAACTGCATCTAAGTGGATTTGGCCATATGTCTTGTCTATACTCTATACATACATTCTTATACATCCTGTGGGCCAAAAACCCCCTATACAAATATACACAGATGCCTTATGCCAAATGGAAGGGGATTTGAAAAGTTGCAGGGAACGAGGATGTTGCTGATAGCATTTTATCAACATAAGTATTTTATATTCTCAATTCATACATGTAATATTACTTCTTACTATTACTTACTATTACTTCTTTATATGCTTTATATGTTAACTGTTTTTGGTTTGTCTCCTTTGTTGTAACAGTTTACAAGAATCATGAAATCATGCATATATGTATGTAACATCCACTACCCCGGTATTTGGTGTATCACCATACTAATCTTACGTACCAATGGTCAACTGCATGTAGCGGTCAAAAGCATGAGCAACCTCCCAGTTCAGTTATATTATTTTCAAGAAGATTGTTCTTCTCACAAGAATATAACAATAGAAAGAAATGCAATAAAGGGGAGGATGGATACCTTTCTGAGATGGTGATGCAGAAGGGTGTGTGGTGGAGAGCGAGGTGAATGCAAAATTAATTATGCAATTCAGATGCGTGTCTTGACATTTCTAATTATAGTCAAAACATTATCCAAATCGAATCAATTTGCCATAAATAATTTTGAGTATACTATGACTAAATTCAATCCTACTATAAAATAATACCAACCAACCAACAACCAATGATACAAATGTAATGCCTTTTACCCCGTCCTGCACAGTCTCAACGACATAGACGGTAATAGTGGCTGGTGGGTGAGAAGTGGTGGTAGTGCATAAATGGTGACGCGATTAAATACATTGAGTTAGGCGAATGTTACACAAAACTGTGCTCCTCGTACTCTTGGTCTCTTTTAATACAAAGTTAGAACTGAAGCCAACACGAGAATAAAACGGCTTGAGGGAAAAGACCCAAAGAACAGTTTCACTTTACCACGCTGACATTCAACAAGTATTTTTCTCCCTACCTGTTAATCTTTTCTAAGGAGCAACTTTTTTTTATCAGGTTGGACCCCACCTCATCATCCTCCCATCCCATCAGTATTCCATCATTACTGCCTTCAAATATCCTCCTCAAAAAAATCATTCTGCAGACAACATTTTTACTTCTTTTTGATCTGAGTAAGAGAGGGTCGACTTCTTCTCCACACACACACAGAGCCCATATTTCAACAAATTTTGTTCAGTTTTCCAACCATAAACTTACCACTTACTCACGAAACACTAGTATTCTATTGCAACACGGTGTGTAAACGCTAACAGAAAGTACCAAGAGAGAGCGAGAGCAAAGACATAGAAGCAAAAAGTCGGCCAAGTCATTTAACCCAGCAGCAGCCAGCCAGCCTCTCATTACAGAGAAAGAGAAGACTGACAACTGACACAAAAATCCGAATTCATTTGGAGTAAGAAATCACCATGAAAGACGAAAAATTGCCCACTTATACGTTCGACAAAGTCTCAGATTGGTTTGACACGGACAGTTTCAAGGTGTTTGTCAAAGTGGTCAATAGCGGAGATGTTCTCGAATTAAGGTCGACGAAATGTTCCCACTGGGGGGTGACCACCAGAATACCACAACCGCCGATTAGCCCAAAGTCAAAGGCAAAACCACGTAAGCAAATTCTTGGAACCATTGTAAATATGCTTTCTGTGAAGGAAGTAGGTAATCAGAAAACTTGTCTATCCTCACCTGTACAATTTATTCATGGTATGAATCGTAGAGCGAGTGAGTCATTAAGTTCTCCTTTGGAACATATATTGTTTCTCACATGAAAACCCAATTTGATTTGTCATTCATTTCGTACTAAGAGTTAGACCCAGAGATGACAACATTTAATGCTCTAAAGTGGCTAAACCCTCACGGTTTACCAAATATAAATCTGAATCGATAAAACTATAAGAGGAAGATATTAAGAGGAAAATGACTTTTTGAGCAGGCTGATTTCCTCATGATGAATATAATAAAGTTCGTTACTTACATATGTGGCTAGACCATCACTACTATGTATATTCTGACTGATTCTGACTATGTAATGAGGATTGCTCCATGCATTATTACACGCATTTATCTGAGTAATCATACTTGACTTCCTTTCCAAAACAAATATTTCGTCTGATTACTCCGTTTGGTAACTATTTCTATTCATATCTATCTACATATATCCATAATATTATATATATTCTACCATCATCCAACTGGCTTAATCAATTGGAATTGTCTGGGTGAACTGCCGTTCACGTGGACAAATGCTGCTAGATTTTAATGATATCTGGCCAGGGGTTTATTAGTAGAAAAATGTATATCTGTATAGTTTATGTATTCTCTCAGGAAGAAGATTTTTGAGTTGAATGCACCACTGCTGAAATGTCATGAAGTGTCTACGTGCAGTAAACGAGATTTCGTAGAATCTCTATTTACGCAGAATGAGATGCACATAAGTGTCACTTTGAGAGAGGATCTGCTGCCGCATCATAGCACAATCCATGGGTTATGCGTAACAACCTCTCTTTGGATGACGCTTAAATAATGCTGCATGCAACTCCCCGTTGTCATTATTTCCTCATTTATGAGTTTGAAATTGATGGATTTTCTTTGATGTAAATTTTTAGCAAAGCCGGTTCCAGACGAGATCATGGTGTTTCATCTCATCCACTCATCAAGTAATCGAGGAATGGTGGGGCAGTTCACCTTGGAGGAATTTTGGGCACCTGATTGCAGAATACGAATCAATAATTCAAACATTTCCAATCTCTACTGTGCAAGTCGTCTAGTCTCCAAGGCTGACGTTTTGCAAAACGCCTTTACGGTACGCACAAACTCAATTATTAATTTGTTTTGTCTGACTGCCAATTTGCAAAAGAAATTGCAAATTTCCCCATTCACAAGCCAAAATCTATCCTAGCACTGGCTTCCAAAAGTGCAATTGCTACAACTTTCAAGGCAGCCAAAGAATATAACCATCCATGCAACTCTATTAAGTAACCTAATGACTGCTGAATATATGCATTGTATTTAATATTGCAACACTTATTCTTAACAAAGCTAACTTCCAATAATAGAAAAGAACTATATATTTCCTTTTGGTTTACAGGCTCACGCTTCAACAACGCTAAAGTGGCAAACCTGCGCGGATTTTATACGATGGTCATCTTGTTTAGAATCAAACGATGATCTCCGAAGCGGAAATAGCACCGCAAACCATTCCAGCTCGAGCATTACCAGCTCAGCCTGTTCAACTGCTAGTCATTGATGATGACAACTTATTATTCTTGTTGAAATTGACAAAAGACTAACCTGATGCAGTTTTCCGAAATCATGCAAAATTATTTTGTGAATCTATATTTTCACACTCCTATAAATAAACATTTTACAATAATTATGTGTCGCCGAATAGTATAAACTTTCCGTTGCTTGCTGTTACTATACAATGCAGACGGAAAGACTTTTTTTGTATCCCAGTGTCGAAATCCGATGAACTACATGAGAATGTTTTGTATGATTACCGAGTAATTTGTTTTAATTAGCTGCTTTCTCATGTTATTTAAATAAAGCATTGAAATTTGAAATTGGCAATAAGTTTACCTACACAGCCGAAAGCTAAATTATTTGCAGCAAGCACTCATCAAAAACAAAAAAACACTAACCTCACGTAACAGACCAAACAAGACATCCGTGTTGAGAGATCTCTCGTGAGCTTCGTCCATAATAACAGCAGCATAGTTGTCTAAATCTGGCTCACGCAGAGATTCACGAAGTAGAATACCGTCTGTCATGTATTTAATGATCGTTTTCTGCAATGAAATGAAATAGTGGAGAGATTAACAAAACCGTTTGCTTTAAATTATCAGTAAAGCAGAAAACCACTTCCTCTTCTTTACAGAACGAAATAGATGTGAAAAGCTCAATTATGTATATGCTTACATCACAAGTACAGTCTTCAAATCGAATTGCGTATCCGATTTCTTGTCCCAGTTCTGTTCCCATTTCATCAGAAACTCGCTTTGCTACAGACATGGCTGCAACTCGTCTCGGTTGTGTACATCCAATCATTCCATTTTTGGAATAACCTATAAAGTTAAAGTTATGTAGGTTCACAAAAGACATACACAAATTAATAAATGATTAATGTCTTTACCTTCTTCATGTAAGTATTGAGTCAGTTGTGTGGTTTTTCCGGATCCCGTTTCTCCAACAATGATAATAACGTTGTTATCCCGTATCACAGTAAGAAGCTTAATAAAATAAAACATGGTGAGGTTTTCATATTCGCTTATGTACTACAAAATAACTGACCTGCTCACGGACAGCAAATGCGGGTAAATATTGGCGCTGCTGAATAAAGGATTTGTTTTTAGCAAAATTACTACTAGCGTGGCCTGTGTTTTTCATGTGTTCTGCAAATTGTTGTCCTTTTTTGTAATCTGATTCTCCTTCTTCGTTTACATTTTCATCCTGAAAATTAAAGCGATTAATTATCAATTACTTACTATAACATAATGTTGATAATGTACCACAACATTAATAAAACTTACTTTCTCTTCCTTTTTCTCAACCCCTAACAAGTTTCCCATTTTCGTTCCAGCAAGCTCCCAATGTTTCTTTTGTGCTTTTTTACGTTCCTTTTGCTCCCGAAATGTTCGTACTAGCATGGAGCCTTTACGAGATATTAGGGCCATGTCAGAAGTTGGGTCCTGCAACCAAAAAATCACATTCACCACATGTATAATGTCCAGACAAATGTCACTAAATTTTGTAGGTCGAAACTAAACCAGCGTAACGTAACGTACCCTAACGGGAACGACGGGTTCAAACTGCTTCGTGAAAACAATACGTCCATCGAGAAAAGGGGGAATTATATGATGAACCAGTAAATGTACTCGAGCCTCCCCTACATCATCGTCTTCATCTTCATCCTCGACACGCACCACTACACCAGAGGTCAACATTCGATTTTTCTCCCACAACTGAAAAAAATCACAATCGTTAGAATAGTAACACGTCCCAGTTTAGAAAAATGCATTTTTCCGTCTTTACATACCTCATTATCACGGTGAATTTGCCTCTGCTGGGCAGACATTCGTTGATTCTTCTTTTGAGCAATTTGGTCTTCTTTCTTTTTCGTATATTCCTCCGAGACTCCAGCAAAAGGATTGTGAACTTCGTCATACCCCTCATCCATGGAGTACCATTCCCGATCCAGCCTTTTTTGCTCATCTTCCCACTCATCTGGATCCACTTTGATTTCCTCTGCCTCTTCAGCTCCGTCCTTAATCTTGACAAACCAGGGCGTTTCCATTAATTTCGAGCTCCCAGGTTGTTTGACCCAAGGATTAAACTTATGAGCTGGAGTTGGTAGCGGTGTTTCATCCTCCTTGCGATGCCTACTGTCTCCTACGAGTGGAGTGGGAAAATCCCATTGTGTAGATCGTCTGCTACCAAGTCCACTGTCATCATCATCTTCCCACGCTTTTCCACGAGGAGTATTTGCTACACTGAAGGCCGGCGTTAATGGTTCGTCACCAAATCTAACGCTATTGTCCCCTTCACGTCGCGAAGAAGGAGGCCTGAAACTTCTTTCGGAGCGTGGTTCATCTCGACGTCGACTACTGCTGTTGTTATTATCGCCACGATGTTCAAGTCTTTCTCGTTCCCTATCATGGTGACGAGGTGGTCTGTCATCGCGTCTCCTTTCATCCCTGTTATCACGATTTCGACTTCTATTATTGTCCCTGTCCCTGTATCTATCTCTATTATCTGGTCTTCCTCCACGTTGTCGATAGTCGTAGTAATTGCCATAATTATTTCTCTCTTGATCCTTGGAGGATACGTCGACACGTCTGGTTTTATGATGCCTATCCTCAATTGCCGTTTTGGCAGAAACATTGACACCGCCACCGTGTGAAGGGGTGTCGCCACTTTGTTCCCTATAACGTTTTGGTTTTCTATCATCAGAGGAAGGTCGTTTTTGAAAATTATGGGCGTCATTTCCACGTTGAGGAGTTAACTGCGCCTTTCTCGAATCTGCCGAATTTAAAGATTCTTCTTCTTGTTCACGGCGTTTGAGCTCTATAGGAAGTAATATTAGTTTCTTAAATTCAGGCTAGTTTTTATTCGAAATACAAGAATTCTCATTTAATTAACCTTTTAAAAACGGATTCCACCAATAAGGTGGAGGGCGATTTTGATCTCTTGGCGACGGACTACACCAATAAGGTGTAGGCCAAATTTTTCGCCTTAGCGACGGACTACACCAATAAGGTGTAGGCCAACTTTTTCTCGTTGGCGACGGATTCCACCAATAAGGTGTATGGTTACAGAATTCCGTTGAGACCGGGCTACATCAATAAGGTGTAGGAAAAAATAAAAATAAAATGACCGAGAAAATTTTCTCAGTTCCATTCTTTCCTCCTTATTTGTCGTTGGTTTTTCTTCAAGCCTGAACTAATTTTTTTAGAGTTTAGAGTTGTAGTTGTAGTGGGGGGAGGAACTCGGAGGAAGTGCATCAGAGGTCACGCCGCGCCCCCGAAAAATTATCCAACATTGGCGCCGCTAATAAATTGGTCGGCGTTGACCTCTGACCTGTATCATGTTGTAAATATGATACAGTTCATATTTTTTTTAAATTATCACAACGTTTTCTTTAGCTAATATATTCGCAATAGTGTCACCACCGATCGGAACAAGTCACAGAACACTGAAGGACAAAATTATAGCTAATAACTTGTTTAAAATATAAAATGCATCCCAAAATCAGTGTCATCAAATTGATGACATGAATGATGACGATTTATTCGTTTAGTTTATTTTTGTAGTACTATCAAAATCAAATCCGATCTTTTTATCAAAATTAATATCGTGTGTTCATTTGGTTCAGTTGCAATTTCATGTTAAAAATGTATTATGTTCTAATTTTTGTTGTCGAATCAGTTCCAGGTCTCTAATAAATCATAACTGCATCAGTAGAATATTCAAAATCGGTTTGCATTAATTCAGTCCCCAACTGATTTTATCACCGCCCCACAAGTCGGTCTCAATGGTATTCTGCCCCCCAGTAAATCCGCCCCCAAATGCAATAGAAACCATTTTTAATTCCGTTTTTAAATGGTATCCAGGTCAAAATTAATTAGTTTTTATAAGGTTAATTAATTAATTGCATAGTTGCGTTGTTACCGGCCAGTCTATCCAATCCAAGAAGTGATTTTTTTGGTAGGTCAGGTCGCTTAAATTCGTGTTCAGCTTGGGCCTTCTTTTTAATAATGAGACCACCTACCTCGGTTCCACTTGTCCCTTCCAGACGATTTATAGAATCGTCATACTCCATGTCCATCTTCAGAATAAACAATTAAATAGCAGATCGTGTAAGTTTGAGTAAATTCTCCTTAGTAAACAGGTAGTTCGTAGTTGGAAGTTCTAAAAACTTCCTCACTGGAGCTCACAACTTGTGCTAATAATCGGCAGCAGGTTTCAAGTCAAATTGATAATACCAAACTGAATACTGAATATTCAGTTTGTTTTATTTGAACCGATGTGTGAATGGATTAATTTGTGTTGTCGTCGTGTTTGGTATTGAACGAAGTGCAGCCCGCTCTAAATTTTCATGTCCACTTGACCCCATACATCTCGACAAAATCTCAGACTCATCTCGGTGGTCGCCAAATGATATGCAATTATGTACTCCTCTCACTGCCTCTCAGAACATTGTTTTATCTATTCTGAGGTTGATAAGTCAAGATAAACCACAAGAATCAGTTTGAACTTGTGTATTTATTGCTTTATCTAATAAATTCTAACAGGGTGAAAAAAAGTTATATGTGTTTGCCGAACCATTTTCTATCATAGGGTGATATCCAATGATGTGACTTGCCCAAATTATTTCTAATTATGTATTCTAATGTGTAAGGATTAATATTATATTTCTCTGAGTTGCTTTCTTTTTGTCTCATCTCTTGTAACATTTGATGACTAACAGGCTTCGCCTTGAATGGTAGTTTTTCAGCAACCTCTCGCAGAATTGGGAATGCTTCTTTAAATTCGCAATTACCTCCAAGTTCTACAATTATTCTTCCATGTTTTACTGGTGTGACGTAGTGATCAATGGCTCCTTTACCACCACCCATTCGTTTTCCTTGACCCTGTATAAATGGTACAAACGCGTTAATATAAGTTAAAGTTGGTAATCTACAAAGCATATGTATGTATGTTTTATATTTAATTTACTTTTCGAGTCACTGGCTGCCAAGGAGGATCAACTCTCCAAATAGCAAACATTCTGCTGGTGTCCAAACGTCTGCCGATGGTCATCCTCATCATTTCAAAGTGACCCGATCTTAATCTTCCTGGTCCTAATGCCTAACGGTGCGTGTGAGGTATGACAAAGTAAAACATTTAGATTTTGAATTGGGACCCTAATTCTAATAATTATTCCATGTGGACTCACCACAATACCATACTGCTGATGAATAAGTGAATGATGAACAGGTTCCGGTCCCCTCATAAATATTAGATTTTTCATCATCTTTGGGGGCCTTAAGCCAGCCGGATACGTTGGAACTTTGTCCATAAATTTTAATTTGTTCCTGTCAGGAAACTCCACGCCTAGGAGAAGAATGAGGATTGGTGAAACATTTAATATTATAGTTTAGTTTACAAACATAAATAAATGCCTCTTCTTTAAAAAAATAAATTCATAAATTCATTACCTTCATAACTGGGTGGTAAAACATAATTTTTCAGCCCACAACTCGGAACTTGTGTGGCACACCCTACAAAGCGAGTGCACATCCCCCCCAGTGGGGCTGCTCTGCAAATTAACATCTTAGTCGATGTTCAACCTAAATGATTCATCAACAATTAATTGCGTGTCTTGTTAAAACTAAAAAAAATAAATACATGCTGTAATCCATCAGAACTTTATTTTCTGAAATCTCAACTTACTTGCAGACTTGCAGTGTTTGTTATCTATTGCGTTAACCAACGCAATGATATGATACTGTAAAATGTGAAACAGTTTTTATTCACTATTCATTCGCCACATTAAATAAATTTCTGTAACTCGACTCAAAATACAAAATAGACAACTTTTGTGAACAAATTAAACCGGATGAAATTGAAGTTGGTAGACGGAGCGGAGCAAAGTGCGAAATCCATTAAAAAAGTGAAAGCACTCCATGCAAGATCTCATGCAAATCATGAAGCGTTGTCAAAATCATGTTATAATATTTCATAATGATTTTAAAATTAATGTTTTATAAAAAAAATAAAGGAACGTATGTTTAAACACATTTTTAAAATTTATTTATTTATTAATTCTTTCCATCATTGCATTTACTTATTATTCTAAACTTCAAACATTTATGTATACGTTTTATGCACTACTTTATATATTTTATGATTATCCTATACTTACGCTTCAAATATTATTCTGAGAACTTATCTTTAATATATCGTCCCTACTGCAAGATTGATTCAACAGCACAGTACAAACACATACGTTCACAAGAAGGAACGGTGTTGTTAGTCGTCACACATAATTTATTTTATTTTGTGATTTATTAGGTGGACAATCCTCCTAATGAGCTTATGCTATTTTTTCTTTTAATAATTTACGAATGTTTTGCCTAGAATATATGTATGTGTTTAAGATACATAGGATTTAAGGATGAGGTGACACCCATCAATGTCTGCTTTGAGACAAAAAATTGGTTTACAATTTAAAACATTTAACACAACATTAGTAATCATCATATATAGATATATTATATGTATGTATATCGTCGTATGTAATACAATATAATATTACAATCGCAGTGGGTTTTACAGTTTCAGACTATATAAAAAACGAATTTGATTAATTTTATATACGATTTAGTCCCTTAAAACATTTGGCCGATTGTAATCAATAAAACTATTATTATTTTATGATACTCATACGTTGGCCGATATTACGTACTAATTAATGTTACAGAGTGCACATTTTTGCTATAATTTTATTGGAGTCTAAGATTATGACATTGAGATTGTTTTATAAAGTAAATGATGGTAGTGCATAGTGGTTTTTCTGTAGAGGTGCGTAAACTAGACTAACTGAAACTGTAAATTTTGTATAAATATACTACGCGTGCTAATTAAATACCACAACAGAGAGCAAATTTTTAGTTTGGTAGCTACAAAATCACATTTTTCAAAATCTTAGTCAATTGTAGTTTTTTAATTATTATTGTAAACATGAGTTGGACACACTGGATCAGTTATCTGGCCTGCAGTATATTTTATGATGTACAAAATCACGACTAGACTTTCTTTCTCAATTCATCTCAAGCTGTAGTCAAACACTTTTTTTGTGATCTCGCTCTCATTCTTTTCTTTCTTCCATCCAACAAAATTAACAAAAATTTAACCAAAAACGTTCTCGTCCTGTGTGACTGTGATGAGATCAACCATTTTTTCATCTTTCAACAAAAAGCTCGATTTCAAAATGTCTCTGTTCTCTCAGGGCAGCGAGTCCAATGTGTCCAGCTCATGCAATGTAAATTAAAATAATAATAGGATTGGGAAATTCAAAGGTACATAAGTTTGATGGGATCTTTCCAAGCAGTACATAGATTAACAACAACGTAACAAAATGCCATAAATTAAAGTTTGTGCAGATAGATAAATCGATGACGAATGTCTTCTAAAATTAAAATCACGGTGCTGAGAACAAAAATCACAACTAAAATCCAACCGGAGCGGTTTTTCATTTTAATTTCCAGGAAACTTCTCTCAAAATCCAAAGCCGTATTTTAACAACCCAACCTCCAAAAGTGCCAACCACCCCCACAACTATTCTTATGCAATACATACCTTCTCAAAACAAAGCAGTTATTAATATCTTGTTGATTTTTTCAGGATTTGAAATTCTTATAAAAATACACAATTTTACACAAAAGTTGGTGACCATAACCTCTGTTCGTTGATACACATACTTTACACACTTATTTTTACTTATTACTCTGAGTTGCTTATTTACACATTTTCCAACTGTCGAATTTATAAAATGGCGTTTCATCATCATATTACTCAGATAATGGAGTAGTAGCATATTTGGAACTGGGGGCTGCTATTTGATAGCTCTAATACATGCTATACTAGGAGTAACACTATTGGATTGCATATCATATAAAAGCACATTAACATAATCTTTACAACCTCTTATTCGACATTTGAATCACTTTTAGCATTTACTTATTTGTAAGGAAGAGACATTTCCTCGTACCCTTTGATATTTTAGTCTAACATATTTTGTAAGTAGGTAATATATTATTTATGTTTGTGAGTTAATCAGTATTCGAGTAACAACTAGAGAGTCTCTTTCACCGAGCATCATTTTCACTCAATAGCTATTAATTTCGCTACTTTCAAAACTGCTACGACTAATATTTGTATAAACATGGACAAACCTCTTTAGCTACATAAATATGTATAATGAATGAATGGGATATTATTCACATCGTGGTATTTAAATGCAGCATCATGTTTCTTCTACGGGCTAGAATAGAACATATTCGTTTACATTAGCTGTACGTTTCGTGTACTGGAATGATCACAAGAATTCTTGTAATATTTTAACTACATATAACGTGTGATTCAGCTCTCCCTCTTGCAGTAAATAACACGGATATTCGAATATTACTATCAATATAGTTATGTATTTATAGAAAAAATGGACAACATTATCTGAATACATTGAGAATATGAAAATCTTTGAGAGTATTACCGGGTTTTCTTTAATAACTAGTTACTCGAATGGAATTATCTTATTAGAATAGGTCAGTTTGTTTTAGAAAATGTACGTTGTTGGAGAATATAATAGTATTTGACGTGATTTAAATCAGTTGATTTAAGAGTTGTGAGCAGGAAGTGGAAATCCGAGAGAGCGAGAGTCCAGTCTGTAAAAAGTTAAAGACAAGATAAATTAGTGTTGCGTATTTTAGGTTCCGCCTATTATTTACATTAATATGTAGGCGAAACTGCTTATGCTTCTTATAACACTTACCTCATCAATGCTTCAGTCAGATCGGGCTGTTGACTGAGGATGGAGTTGAGCTGGTGGTGGGAGTGGTGGTTCAGAGCCGCGTGGGGGTGGTGGAGATGGTGGTGGCTGGAATGAGACAAATTGTTGCCCTGTCCTCCAGTGTCCATTCGATGGTCCATCATGCGGTGTCCATTCACCATTCCTTGATGTCCAGACGACTGAGCAGCAGCATGTTGATGCTGGGAGATCATGCCCCCAAACGTGTCTCCATTGTTGTTACTTGGTCCATTTGTTCCACTGCCGGGGCTCGTTCCATTCGAGTTGTTACCTTTGGAGTTGTTGTTATTGTTCGAGTTATGATTTTCCACAGCCAGTCGAAGTGCTTCCGCTGTGTGGCTCCGTAAAAGATTTTCCGCCTGCATTCGCATGCTCTCAGCAGTCATCATGTCTTGAGCCTGGGCTTGGGCGTGTTGGTGAATTAAGTTGCGAATATCATTTTGACCCCCGTTAGAACCACCTTGACCCAACATTGCTGCAAAAAATAATACAGATAAGTCGGGCAAATAATGCACCAGTATCATATAATCTCGTAATATCTAATTTCTAACTAGGTTTGGAAACTGTTATATGCTACATAGGTTGGATAAACAACAACGCTCAGGTAGCGTCCCCTCGTTATCTATACTTTATTTATGACCAAATCACAATCAACCTAAAAATACCTTCTTTTAACGAAGCATACTCTTTATATTTAGCGTGGCTTGGCTTCTTATCTTTGGTTTGGCAATTCTTGCAAACCAAAAAGTTTGTCAAACTTCGTTTAGTCGTTATGTGCTAGTGGAACATGAATACATACATGAATATCTTATGAATTTTATTTTGTTGGACTGATTTTTATGAATTTTAGAGTTTCTTGCTGTGATATCCGCTTTTGTATTTAATTTTCTAGATTTATGAAATTACATAATTTTTAATCATCCTGCATTCCAGTGTCTCTTATTTTCGTTATTTGACTAACAGGCATAAATATTTATATACTGTACGAATATATTTGCATACCCACCTGCCATTTTCATTGCATCGTGTAACTGCTTATTGTTGGACTGAAGCATTCCATTTTCTCCAGCGAGGATATTGTGATGACCAGAGCCCAGAGGGTGATGTCCCTGGTGCGAGGAAAGGTGAGAGTGGGACGGGTGATGGTGAGACTGTTCATCCCGTCCTCCGAGATTGTTTTCACCCCCAGAACTGTTGTGTGACATCCCCGAGGAGTGGTATTCCTTGTTGCGATTTTCAGGATTGTTGTTATTGTTGCCCCCGTTCGGGTGGCCCCCTCGGGTGAGTTCCAACGGCCCATTGCTGCTGACTGGACTTGACATGGACAATCTAGAGTGTTGGACAAGTCCTGAGTGAGACATTCCCGAATTGGTATCAAGCGGAGAGCTGAGACGGCCGGAGGATTCAGAGCCGGATGGAGATGGTGGCATTGGAAGAAGAGGCCCCAGGCTTCCGTGTTGCATTCCTTGACCCTAGTGCGATAAATCATCCACGAATTAGCCGAAATTTCAAATTATAATGATGACTAATAAATTGTTTGTCTTTGAGACACGCTTACCTGCGAATTTCCACTAAATGGGTTATGTCCTCCCGCTTGTGCCATTGCTGTTAAAACATAATGCGCAAATTAAGGGTTTGTTTATATACATCGAAACATCAATGGGTCCAACAAGAAGACTTTTTCATACCTGAAATAGCAGCCGCAGCGAGAATATTCTCCCTTTCTCGTCGTTCAGCTGCAGCTCGACTAAGCACATATTGTGCAGCAAACTGATGTTTTGGATCCTAAATAAGACATTTAATATTTAGAATAATAATATTGATAACCTGTGGTTAACTTTACATTTCGCTAAAGTATTTACAAGATGGAAATCAACTTACCATTCGCATTTGTTCCATGTGAGTCAGCAACCCTATTTACAGGATACAAAAAAGGTGAATTTCCAGTTCATGGTCAATCGAACAATTATGTAAGGATTTTGCATACCATTCTCATGAGTGAAAACCGCTTGGCAGACGGAGCAGGGCCACATTCTCAGAGATGATGATAACTGAGCCGTTTCAGGATGACAGCCTATAAAACCACACCAGAATCTGATTTTCTGTTTTGGTAATGTAAATTGATTAAAAAATACGACATACTCAAATGTTTCCGCAAACTTCCTTCGTTCACATAATGTTTCCCACAGATAGGGCAAGGATGGTTCGCTGTTCTTCGTTTGGCTGCATTACACAAAGATATTTAAGTCATGAAATAATCCACTAAGACGATTTAATTATTATTAAACTATTGATTTACTTGCTACTCCAGATGCATTTGGATCCTTGTGGGTGTACTTCATGTGCTCCATCAACGCCTCTCCGCCGAGAAACAGCTTATGGCAAACGGGGCACTAAAATAACACAAAAGAATATATACATTTAGATTAGAAATATAGAATTCGATAAGCATGGAATATATAAGCAGAATTGTGTCTCGTTCACTTACGGATAATGCATTCGAGCTTCCAATCAAGGCACCATGTTGCTAGAAACATAAAAAAAACTTGCCATTAGTTTCTGTATTACGTATGCACATATCTAAATAGCCTGCATAAATATTTATGCATACTTTTTCCTGTATTTATGTATAAGCAATTTACAAATGAACGAATAGCCAGCAAAGCAGCAGCTTAAAATCACCCAGCGGTTAGACTTAAACGATTTATTATAGACAATAATAAATAAGCAAGCAAACCCTTGGAATGACTTATTACTGCGCAAAAATGACCCAGGAGTTTCCGTCATTTCATGTAAACGTATCATAAAAAGTTTCCAAGTCTTCTTTCTTTCAAAACAGCTTATGAATGGGGATGCCATTATGGTTTATATTCATTCCTAATGTATTTTCAGATGGTAATGGTTGGATGCTTTTCTGTCATAATCACGGCAGTTGGACTACATGGTTTTCTAAACGAGTCTTCTGATTTCCCCGTATTGCGCCGAGCAGTACTCTTTTTGATGAGGTTGCGTGTTTGGTGAAAATTACAGTTTCTTTCAATCTTTCCTTTTCCTGTGAACGAATCAAAGTGCATACTATTCAATAGCCGTGTGGAATTATAGCAATGCAGCAGCAGGAATTTTAGCAGGTGAGAGTAAAATGCGTATGAAACAATCATAATTCAAGCCATTTCTGCACAAACCCTTGTGGATGGGTTGGGTGGTCACCTATCACATAAAAAAGTGATGATAATGACCAAAAGTCACACACACGCGACAATTATTATTACTGTTCTGTATTTTTCCAGAGTAATTATTATTCATATATGGTCATTCAGTAGTTCCCTAAATTGCATAATAAATTAATTAAACCACCGTACCTAGTTTGAGCAACCAGAAAATTCTCATGAAGCAACTTTGGTTGGGCATATATGTAGATGTACACACACACATACATACATTTTTGACCGAGGCTGGCTTAAATTCATTGTGTTGATAGTACAATGGTAAATGCGTATCTTAATGGTTTAATTATAGGGTTCCCTCACAATCATAATAATAATTATTATTTACTTATGTTTAATTACAGCATTAATTCCCCCTTAATGCTGAGACTAAACCAAGCTCCTATGTAATTTTCACAGTCCGACGTTTATACACATGTGACAGTGGATATTTCCTGCATTCAAAACATTTTTTGCATTTTTTTGTGTATAAAAAAATGTTTGTTCACGGTCCGTGGAATTTCATACATACTTTTCAACCCAACCAATGCTATAGTTGCAAAGAGCTTGTCGTGGACCCAAAATTACCCATCAGGAATACATGCTTCAATAGTAGATACTAGAAGAAAATGACAATGATAACGTATACGACTTAAGCTGAATCGAAATAGTCTTAGGTTTTACAGGCATATTTTTGGTACACTTTTCGACATTTTAATGCGGTGATCGCATCAAAAAATACTTTGTTGAAGAGATGGAGCATAAAAAACTTTTTGTTGCTTCGTTGGTACGCACTCGCGTACACCTTGTACGTAAGCATTTAAGAAGCTGGATTTTGTTCACAGGTTCATTTTTTTTATCCGGAGGCAGAGAGTTAAGAGTGTGACAAAGGAAAACGGCGTTCATGCCACGATTGGGCTTTTTAGAGACCAACCGAGGGGCTGACTCCACCTTTTACCACAAAGACTTTTATTCTTCTCCTATTTTTTTCTCCCTTCCTCCCTAAACCTCCCCAAACTGCCCAAACTATTGCATAATAACGCTCCACTTCCGACGAACGCCATAAAATGTTGCTACAATTTACTAAGGAACCACTACTGCTGCTGTTCCAGTTTCTTTGCATGCTACAAATTTTTATGTTCTCATGTCTCAAATTCTTACGGCAGAATGTAGTTTGGAATACCTAAATGCGGTATGTGTGTCAATATTACTGATCGTGCTCAGCCCAAGCTAATAAAGTGACGTAATTATTAAGAGATAACATTATGGTTACAAATAATCCCTCGTCGTCCGCATAAATATTTGGGGTTACATTGCGTAAACAAATAGTTGGTACAAAAAAAGACACAAGTCGACAACCTTACTTTCCAGACAAGTTTTATCATGCAAAATGTTTACTCCAAATAGTAAATAGATACACTTTTGACTTTTGTGGCCTCTCCCGAGAAGTCGATTAGTCAACAGAGCAAGATGAAACTGGCCCAGACACATTTATGCACGTTTGTGCATACAACATATACTTTGAAAACTATTATAACTGCGATTAAAATGTCTACAAATCCAGACCAGACAGTGCTTCACAGTAGAATTGCCTACATATAGATATATATGCATTAATATTAACTTGTTCTTCATAGTCATGAGAAATATGTGTATACGTAAAACTGCGCGTCTGGACGATGAGGTATAAAAAGATTGTTCCAATTTGCAAAAATTCTTATAAAACTATGTATGCACAATTTTTTTCCATGTGGCGTACGTGATCTGTGCTTTCCTAGTTGGGAACATAGGATCACAAGTAATCCTATATGTTAAATACGTAAGGTCTACCTATTAGATGACATTGTCAAGTCAATCTAATGAAAAATGGCCTTAATTGCATAAAAATTAGCACGTGCGAAACTATGCCGGTGTGCTATAATAAATCGGAGTGTAATAATTCAGCAATTAATTGGTAGCTCTGTGTGGTGGAAGGCGGGGGCTATTGATGGTGGGTAAACGAACTCGTCGAACTAGAACCACACACACACTCGCTAAATATGTACGACAACAAGCTCAAGTTTATATTTGAAACCAGTTTTCTACGAAGAATATTAGTTTTTCAAACGCCCGGCCACGCCATACAAAAAAACTTCCTGTGCTCCTAATACCACAGACTGGCTACAATTTAATTGTTTTCCACTTCCAGTAATGGCCAATTAAATCTGTCGGATAGGGGATTTGAAGGGAGTAAAATTGCAATATTAGTGGAATACGCTGCGATGATTTTATCAGAGTGTACAACCGTGAGAAATCCACTCGTAGAAATGCTAAATATGTGCTCTCTCAATATTTACACGGACACTTCAACAGCAAAAATTGATAATTACTATCACAACCTGTAAAATGTATCATTAAGTAAAACGATGATTTGATGTCACGGCTCATGGACTGTTGGTAGTACAAATTTGACCGGTTTTTTGAGTCGCATTATTACAGACTCTAGTAAAAAAAACTTTACAGTATGTCTCCGCAGACCTCTGTATATTCCCCACACACAAACTCACTTTTCTCTGCAATTTAGCAAGAGCAACAAGGTATATGTAGATAGATATATATTGTTGCAATAATAATGGCTCTTGAGATATAATCGAAACCTAATATTGCATTGGCGAAACAGGATTTGCGCCTCAGATACGATGAAAATACACGCTTTAATCGCAAGGCCTACGAATAACAGAGCCCAGTTCCCGTAGCTGCTTCTTAGAGTTTCGTAAAACAGACAAATGTTGGAATCATTTCCTAACTCACTACTTTTACGTTGAGGGATCTCACACCTGAACTTGAAATTTAGTCAACGTTGAACCACAAACCTGGAAGTAAACCTACGTCTTCTGCGTATTAATTAACGAACTCATGTATGCATGTGTACATATGCAAGTTGCACATATATTATGTATAATTTGTTAAGTGTCTAACGTTCAGCTAATTAATTTTTCTAAAGAAAACAAATATATGCATAATTATCATCATAATAACTGACAGCTTAATGTGGAACAGATAAATCTAACCGAGTTAAGCCTGAAACTCGTAATTAATTAACTTGTAGTTAAGTACATACATAATTCACAACTTTTTTTTACATATATTGCACATGTTTGGACTTGACCCTTTCTGCATACCCACCAACCAATCCAACTCTGCACAATTAATGAAGCAGATGTGAAAGTGGAGCAAGATATCAAAATATTTTATGCTTGCCTTGAGCAAAACTGTCAGGACATGATGAATTCTTTCCTTAAATAAAAATAAATTTTTCATTAACTCGGAACACGTAGTTGAGCAGATAAGAAGACACATCTCACAAGACGTTTGATGAAGAATGTTGTTAGCAGTATGTACCCTACCGAAACAGACTCCACTCACGACGGAGAACCAGTCACACCAAGTAAATGTTGATGCATGCTGGAAGTAGAAGAAGAAAACGCAATTTAAATGAAGAATTAAGTTTTCGATTGAGTTCACATTTTAATTTTGCCATTGCCTCAGGAATCAATTTGGCCAAAAACCAGAAAAAGAGCGAGGAAACACACTCTCTTCTCCAGTCTGGACAAAGATCAAGAGTTGTGAGCTTTCAAGTCGCTCACAGAACAAGAAGAAGGACGCAAGCAAGACATGAAACGGGCAATAAGGTTAGCTCTCCCTGCAAGCAAAAGTGTTTTGATGAGAGAATGATGTTCTTTAGCCACGTCCTCGTCTCATTTTCCTCCCCTCCTTCAGGATTAAAGAATTGGCCACAGGCGTTACTTCAAACTCTAAAGTATACGCGCAAAGGAATGAAAACAAAGGACAGGACATGCGGACGCTAAGATAAATGAGACTGCCAGGCGTCACTTTAAATATATATATATTTATAGTGGTTAACAGGTAATACGTACACTAGGAAAAAACATCTAGGCAATTTGTGTAACAGAGTAAACGAAAAAAAATAAGAGAATTTTTCGTTCCCGGCGATTGAAACGTACAATTTCAAGAAATAAAAAGGGATTGGATATGAACCAAATAAAAGAACGCATTTGTACTTGTAATCGGTCATAATCTCCAAAGCTGGGAGTTGTCGCAGTTTATTTCCACACAGAGCGAGGCAGAGAGTAGTGAAAAAGTGAAAATGCGAAATCAATACTTAATTACCCCGGTTTTTCCCTAATAAAACCGCAGGGTTACTTCCCTGTTGTTTTATCAACGATAATAATGCCCTATCTACTGTTTACTATCGCTCCTATTGTTTTAGTTTCTTTCCAACTAAATCTAACCACCACTAAATCTTTCGTATTATTCCATTCCTTGTTCTCACTAAATCGTTCCCTCGCTCGCTCTTTTCTCCCTGACAAAAAGTGACCTGAACTATTAACACAATCAAATATTAACATCAACAGACTCAGCAGCAGGTTCACAGGGAATGACAAATGTGAGGAAACTTGAGACTTTGATTCTGATTCTCCAATCCACTAAAGTCGATATGATATCGGGAAACCAAAATAACCATGAATCAAGCACATACACATGTGGATGTTAATGCATACGTTACATTTCATATCACTGCTTATTTTCCTATATCACTCTGCTCCCGTCGAGTGAAGAAAAGCAGCAATAATGTGAGTTGTAAATGTGTCGTAGAGAGAGGCTATACGACTTGAGACATGTTCTCTGCCGGAATTTACTGACTTATTCTGAGCAGCAGTGGGACAAAAATTCACTCATGTGGACATTTCGTACGATAAGATATTGAGGGCTGAATACTTTTCTGTCCAGCTTTTTCTACACGATAAAGTCACGCGAATAATAATGTTGAGTGAGTGTTCGAATGAGGTTTTGTATTTTCAGGAGAACTCGTGCTTGGATAAAACGTTGACTGGTTGAGGTGGTCTTTAGCATTTTTTACTTTCGCTAATTGGGTGAGTGATTGCGAGTGCCATAGTTGTAAAATGTCGTATGTATGTTGCTGATTTTGCTCTGCATTGTCCTCCCCACTGCATATCGTGTGATGCAACTTTTTCTATTATTACTACTGTTGTTATCCACCAATATCTTGAACTTGCCTGCTGGTGGACACAAGTTTAACGCCATTGTGGACACTACATGACACCTATTTGCATATATGCTTATACGTATGCACGACGATATAATGCAATTTTTAAGGGTGGACTTTTCCAACCGCTCATTTACGGTCTGAACCTCGTGTTTATGTAAAGAAGCCTTGGAAAAACTCAAAAATTAAGCAAACTAAAATATTCATCGACTCCTTTCACTCCCAGCAAAGTTTCAACTAGTCTCAAATATTCATTACATTTACCTTAACTTTTCTCTTTTTCCGTTTACTTTTCCCACAAACCAACTATGGATGGATGGCCAGCCAGCTACTTTGCTTCCCTGAATTTTTATCACTCTCTCTCGCTCTCTCGACGGCGACTACCCGCAAAGACTGAGTTCACAACCTTTACTCTTTACTTTTTAAGTAATCTAGCCCATTTTATTGAACCGAGAGGGTTATGCCGATTAAATTTTAATTTAATTCTGGAAAACAGATTCAAAACTGTGGTGACTTGGCTATTGCAATGTTTACTTTTCATTTTACGCCACCGAACCTACAAACTTTCTAGTCTTGATTTAAAAATGAGCAGCGTAAAGTAGCTTCATACATTCAACCTCACATCCCGCCCAGTTATTCGGATAAAAAAAACTTCGTATTATTACAAGATAATATCCTCCTTGGGTCAAACTGTGGCTGAAAAAGTCGAGCTGTTGATTATCATCACAGACAAATCGACATGTGGGATGGAAAGGGTTCGATATTCAATGTACGCAATTTAGGAATGGACAATTCAATTATCTATTCTATGGGTTCGTTCGTATAAGAAGGAATTATTTCTCAAAACGCTACACGGTTGACGCAGCCAGGTTTGGTGAAGCATGCAACACACTTGTACATACATAGAAAAGTCAAGTGCAGGAACGTGAAGCTGCACGCAGGTCGCATGAGAATCCCTTATTGTATAATGGCTGGTATTGAATAACATAATTGCAGCCACTCATTATTTTTCTACTCTACTTTTCTATTTGTTGATTGATTGAACAAGAGCAATCAGGTGTACAGCCCGTCAATAAGTGGCCTGCTTTTCCTATGCAGACGTATGTCCTTAATGTGTATTTGATATGTGTGGTCTTTTTTCGACGTTGGCGAGATGATCGACATCGGGAAAAAGTCTTATTATTTTCTGTGGGTTGATTATTCAAATCACTCATTGCGTGCAGTTCCCATCACATGGCATTGTGTTCCCATCACGAAATACTGGAATTGGTACTTTTCGGTAAAAAAGTTAAAGTTCAGTGTTTCCATCATGTTCAATCTTGAGCTTGATATAAATTTCCTCTATTTACTCGCATGCAAATTGCTCACCCGTTCCTTGCAACGCCCACTTTTCTTGCAAATCTAATACCGTTTACAACTTACAATACAAATTGACTTTAGATACGCAGGGCACAGTGCACAATATTCCTTATCAAAAGATTTTACGTGATTTTGCTGATTCTCAAAGAGTGGCAGATTATACTTTTATTAGATTTATTGCGGCAAGAGGTTGCACGACGGCTTAAAAATGAAATATTGCGGAAAATCTTTTTGAGAAGAAAGGTAAGCAAGCAAAGGCCGAAATTTGGGAGAAAGTTTTCGTGCCTCTTCTATAATCTAGGAAAGAAAGATATGTAGCAGGAGCCATCATCGTAATCATATTTCCCAACACTTTTCTTTCTCCAACTCACGACTGCGAGTCTAGTTAAACTAAACCCTGAGCAATTTACGAGAATCAACATATCAGATTATTTTTGATAGATTAATGGGGTTTTCTGTCAAAAGAATGAAAAGTTTTTGTAATATTTTGTGCTGAAGGGCTAACATAAGTAAGTGGGCAGCAACTAACAAGACTTTACACGCATTAACTTATTAGCTTCTTTCGTTTGCGGTTGTTACTCGAGCACGTAGATATGCACATATAGTAAATACGTATAAATGGACCTATGTGTGTATTTGAATGCAATAAAGAATTCTGCTTCCTCGCAATGTGTATACAATTAAAAATATAGAGAACGTGGCAGTCATTTTCTTGCGTCGTTTTCTCATAGCTTCGTCTTCTTCCACTCCTTCTTCCTTCTCGCCCACTACTCCTTGGCCCAGTGCAATAAATCTCTCACTTGATGCTATCGATAAATGTACATGAAGTTGTTGAGCATTCTGTTTTCTCTGATATGATGTATACGATAGGAATATAACCCTGCCACCCCCTCCCCTGCACGCTAGAATTTTTCGGCGAAATTTTGGCCAATCCTAATGTAAACTTTGGGACTCTTGACTAGTGAGACAGCTCAAAAAATGCAGAAAATAATCTAGTTTGCAATGGAAAAAGGTCCAGCTTACTTTCTCCTAGCCGAGAAATTAAAGTTGAAAGTTTTGCATTTTTCTTAAGTGCAGAAAAAAATAGGATTTGAGGAAATTATCCAGCAATTTTTAAATTGCTTTGTAAATACAGCCCACATGAATTTTTCATCAATGAAATATTATATCGGAAATCTGATTTTATCCTGGACCTAAGAAAAGGTACAAAAGCTTTGACCTTTAATTTCTTGACCCGGCGGAACGAACTTTATTGCAAATAGTAATCTAAAGTATTTTCTGGATTTTTTGAACTATCTCAGGAATCCCAAAGTTCGCATTAGAATTGGCCAAAATTTTACCGACAAATTCTACCGTGCACTGCTCCTACGACAAGCCAAAGTAAACAAGACCGCAATTTATGGAGGTGTATATTACGTATGAAATTCCATACCCCGTTTCGCGTTGGAACGCGTTTAAATCAAAAATTAAAATGAAGACGTTAATTTGACAGTGAAAAAGTTCCTCCACGATATAAACAGTAGTAAACACTGTATTCTTTTGCGTTGTGATGAAAGCCTGCTTAGCATACTTAAACATGGGAAAATCCATTAGCGTTGAACAAAGAGCAGTCAGCCAACCAACCAACCACTCGAGGATTTGTCAATGATCTCTGCTCCAACACATTGTTTGAGACTTTGTGTTGAATGCGCATTATACGCAACGGAACGAAGAATGGCTTTGCATTCAGGAGAGAGAAGACGAAAGATGAATGACTTACGCAATTCTTCCCATTGCTCCACCAAGTCCACGGAGCCCTTCGTCAGTGGATCACAACGTAGATTATGTGAATATGCACGTTGATGTTACATACTTTACTCACGCGGTTAAGTAACAGCTACTCATTCAACAACATACATTCCCCTCTGATTTGCATAATAATAATTTTTATAATGACCCACGTACATATTTGTAATTCGCATGCTCATAAATATATTTATATAATCTCAGCCCATGCATCTTCGCTTCCATGAGTAAGGAATGCAACATCATTTGGGGTGTATTTATCTATGTATGTAGGTTGGAGAAACTCTGCTATAAAATGCACTATCTTGTGTATCACTGGTGGCGTAAAATAAAATGCGAGTTACAATTAACGTGAGCGTGGTAGAATGGACATAAAATATTTTATCAGTCAGCCCCATCACATTCATTTGGCTCACTCTTTCACCCTATGAGCATATTAAGCATGTAACCTCGGTAGGTACTGGGCAGTTAGAATTTAGAATGGCAAATTGATATCCATTTATTTTATATTTATTTATGGTGCGATCCACAACAGTAACTATTATGAGCAGAAGCAATTAATTCAGCATTATGTTGTTGTATTTACGCTGTTAAACGTGCATGTACTCCCATACTTACCACTTTTCCACACATGTCATTATTCGAGCCAATGAACTTCCGGCATATATTTGCTGTCTTTATATGCCTATTTTTCGGATGTTATGTACTAAAAGCAAGGCTGGTTTAAGCAATTGACAAATAAATATATGCAACGATCGACTATTACCAAATTCTTAAATTCATTTTTTTTAACTCGTATTAAACTGTTAGCTGGTGCGCATCAGGAGCTATAACCACTTATAGTTAATTAGAGAAAATTGAGGAACGGGTGATACTTACTTCTTTGCATACCTTGCTGGTATGTGTCCTAAGCGAAGACTCGGTGGCAAATCCTTTTCCACAAATGTTGCAATGGAACTATGAGATTACGAAACGATTACGATTATTAACCGGCGGCCAACAAATGAAGTGTATGTATGTATTTATGTATGAAAGTAAGGAATTGGTATTACGGGAGTACTTACGGGACGATTTTTAGATCGTTCCAACTGGGCATCATGATTCCGGAGGTGTTGTTGCAGGTTAGAAAGTTGGATGAAAGCTCTGCCGCAATCCGAAACGTGACATTTGTATGGTCGTTCACCTGTGAGAATGAAAATAAATATATATATATCAGATACATATTGCATAAAAATTAAATATTTTTATCTTAACATTATTTATAATTATAAGTAATGATATGCTTTTGTATGCCGTGTACTGTTATCCAACTTGTGTAATTAGTTGGTGACCTATTTTTATAAAATATTCATAGATCAAATTTCTTCTACATTTTGGTTCCCAACGCTAAATCTCTTCTAGATCATTACCGGCCAACAAACGAGCGTAAAAATCGTCAGAAAGCACAACACTTTCCTTGGTGCACCATCATCACGAGGGCAGACGGAGAGGAGAGCGAGGTGAATTGTGTGCAAGGGGTTCCCACAATCAGCCAGCCAGGAAAAACTGATAAAAAATCGTTCAGTATGCGCACAAGTGTCCTTCGCTCCCTGAATTCATAAGGCTTCTTTGCATAATGCTCAGCGTCATCTTGATTTCCGGCTATCTTGAATATGAAATGACATGCAAATGATCTCACACTATTTCTGGGATTGTACTTTCATCAGTGGACAAAGGGACCTGCTTTGTTCGGAGGATTAAATCCATTCACGCATTTATTAATGCAAAGAAAGAAACTAGAGTCCAAGAGTAAAGAAATCTGAGGTGAGATGAGATCATTTCGGAATATTAATGAGCAATCTCCACAACGGTATGCATTTCATTCATTTTTATACATGTACATTCTCAAATGAGGAAGTTCCCATCCGAAGACCAGGAAATAAAATGCCACGTAATAAGAAATCCGTGAAAACAAAAGCGGAACAAAAGTCCTTAATATTTAAATATATGCAAAGTGTAAATAAAAGCTCCTCAACTGACAAATGGACACTGGATCAGACTACATAATCAGTTGGTCCAACCTGGGAAAATTTCCGGGTTCCTGCAGACATATTTACAACAGATACTGTGTGTGTGTATATGTGCAATTACTGCTTCAGGATGTATACAGAGGATGAATCAAGTACCCCACTCGAGGGCCTTAGCACTGATTTGCATAAGATATGAACATATCCCATTAAGACGAGGGCTTGGTTGCCCTCAGGACTGACCCTACTAGATTTCTCTATGCAAATCCGCCAACCTGAGACAAAAGGTTCGTTCCACCAACTTGCATATTTAATACTTGTGTTACCTTATACATACTTGACTATTTTTCTCGGATTGGGATTGAGTATCAGTGGAAATAAGGCCTTGAGGCTTTTCTACGAAACAAGCATTCAAAGAGAAGATATTCTATTCGAGCTGGATTATCTACCTCCTTTGTCATATCGGATCACTCATGCTGCAAATGCGTTAATGGTTCTCTGTCTAAGCACGTAACAAGTTTTGGATATTATGATTTCTGAAGGAATACTCTATTATTAGGAAGATATTAATTAGCGAATAGTTAATTTTCCCATGACCTCATTGAGCTGAGGTCAAAAGGTTAAGAAACATAGCTCTTTGCAAAATGCGACTGACTGATTGACGTAACAATCCAAGATATTTCAGAAATCTCATCTAAATAAGAATACCCATGACTTCAGTCAAGGCAATCATAAGGTTTGGGCCTAACCGAGATCCTGTGGTTTGTTTATAACCATCAAGCAGACCATCATCACACCCGCACCTGCCACATATTTCCATACCCAAGGATTTACTTAGTAAATGTTCATACACATATTCTTGTGAACAAGTCAGAAACAATTTGTACAGAATAATGCATGCGGAATTGCGGAAGCTCCTTGGTAAGTATTGATGTGAGCTCGTACTATCACCTCACCCACTATTATCGATTCAATTATTCAAACAAGTCATTGTTAGGGACACCCAAGTTCAAAACGAGCCCCAATAACTATGGAGTAGAGCATGTACATACATACATCAAATCAATGCAAGCAATGCATTAGGACTGACTCTTGGTCCGAGGAGGCGAAAGAATAATGGATTGCACACGCTCTGGGAAGCCATCCATCCAGGGCTACCCATCCATCGAATGGATCTTCTTCCGTTGAATTTGATTCCCCAGTGAGTTATTAGAGTGAAAGAAGGAAACCGAAGCAAATGGCAAAATCTCACCCTTTTCGTTCTTTCTTTCCTTCTTTCACTCCTTTTCCTGGCTGGCTTTGGGGTTGGTGGGATTTGGTGCTGAAACCCATCAATTCCAAAAACAAAAGTTGCAACCTCACTTAACTCTTCTCACTTGGACGATTTGACGAGGAGAAAACTGAGACTGATCCTGAGAGGAATGGACGAAGCAACTCAAGTTGAACAACATGGAACATGGGAATGTTTTCCAACTCAGCATGACACATTTCTGCAGATACTTTCTCGGATGTTCATAACTCTTTGGCACTTTACTTGACAGCGTCGTGGAGCGGGGAAATCAATCATCAAACGTCAAAATTTTACTCCATTTTTCACAAACAGGAAAAACAAATCACTATCTGGTCCTACATATAGTTTGTATGTACATACGACATAGATGTATTTATGTAGCTCAACAAATGGCTCAGCAAAAACAGATTTTGTCGTTGTGATGCGAAGTCGAAGATATATACTTATGAAATGGTTACATAAAGCAGAATTCTCAAAAGAAGAAGTAGCCCAACTAAAAATACTAAATCTCCAAATCTCTTTCAAATTGGTCGTCACACAGCTTAAGCTGAATTTGGTCATTAGAGTTCCCTCCTGCCGACTTCCAATTGCATTTGAAATTACCAACTGTAATAAAGTAAAGTTTTTCAACAAGACGCTTTACAGAGAGTAAAATTCTACAAAAATACTTCCAGCTGAGATGCATTAACTTTTAATAAATTGAAAATCAACACTAATTCTGCAAATCTTTCGAATTATTTTTTCCCAATCTAAAAAGTATATGTAATTTTATTATCCATTAATTGAGACGATAACCAATTTAATAGTACACATTTTGTATCCGAATGCTGCGTTTGAAATGTGCATAAATGTATCAGATTCACACGATTTGTCCTGAATACAAAATTTTACTCTAAAAAATAATAAAACAGTTCTTTAAAATGTGTGTGATATGCACACAGATAGAGACTCACACAGAGATAAGAAGTAAAGCAACACAATGACACCACTCACATTTACATTAGTCCGTCATGGATTTGTTTAATATTCCAAAATCATCAGACGTGTTTGCATATGTGTAAGATTAAATAATGGAATGGAAGATTGGAACGTAAATAAATAGCTGAAAAGAGCACCTACTCATATTCTCTTTGATTCAACATTACTTCCGCGTAGTAGAAAGGATTCACATTATGCAGATCTTTTTTTATATTTACGTTGTTGCTTCATTCATCCACCTTGATCATCTCTATTCAATGCAATGCCGTTCCATCCATCCACCATCATCGTCCTCACCTCTTGGAGACGACAACGATGAGAATTTTTCATCCTAGACATTACAGAACATAAATAACAAATGTTATATTTATGTTTGCTTACGTAGATTCGCCCTTCTCATCTTACCCCCAATTATCTCAATCTCACTACAACGGTAACAGAGATGAGTAAAATGTAAAAATTATTATGCCTGTATAAATGCTAACTGTGCAGCATATGATGATCAAAATGAGACGGTACACAGTCAGATGTCCGACCAGCGATGCAGGATATTTTTAATTTAGTCTTTTCATAAAAATCCGAATTTTTTCGAGTTTCCCCTTCTTTTTCTGCTTCCCCTCCTTCCCATTCCACGGTTCCGTTCTATTGTTTGTTCCTATATCGCACAACTACAATGCACAAATACGTCGTCCAACGACACAGACAGTTCGGAGAACAGCTTTATTCACACACCCGAATCCCCAGTCTGTGTCGTCGTCGTATATGCGTGCGTGTTGTGTATTATCTTACGTATCTATGTATGCATGTACATGGATGGATGACCATTCAGCCTGGTCGTATTCTCCTCTTCCTTTGATTATACGCGGTGATATGCACAAAGTTGTAACGGTGCTCATACTACTTTTGCTACTTTATAATAAAATGCTCTCTTTCTTTCCTCTTCGATAAAATGAATCGTGAATGACGAGAGGAGTAGGTGAATGAGTATTCAAATGAGAAACGGACGCTGGCTTCTCCTTCTTCCATTAACTCGGCAGCACCGGAGATGGACAAAAAAATTCAATTACCTTTATTCACCAACTTTTGGTGGCTACAACAAACAAACGATGACTATACCACACCTGGACAGCTGCGATGGCCAGCGTCTCAACTTTTTGTAGGTTTTCACTCTGAACACCTTCTGCTCCAATTATGATACGTAATGAGCAATGTTAATGAATGAATGGTCAATTTGGTCCAACACAACTTTCGACATTTTGACGCTGAATGGTGTGGTCTCTAATTCAAACATTTCATCAGGCTTTATCAAACAAATTCACCGTTTAATCCAACAATCTGATATACTTTTCCTGCCAATTGTCTAGGGTTCATTACGTTACAAATTATGTGGCTACAGGGACCATGGTTTGATTGAATTATGCATCTAGTTGAAAATTTCAAATAATAATAATAATTTTGAGGAGCAACACCGAGATATAAATCCGCATATGCATATGTACCGTCAACCGTAAGCAAACTTTTATATATGCATATAACCATAAAGTTTACGCATAGCATGCATAGTTTTCAACCTTAATAATAATAAGTCATCTCAGAGTGAAAATATTGTCATTATTCATCCGAGCTTACCATCAAAAGTGCTCTTTTGGCCTTTCAGCTTTTTCTGCTAGAAATAAAATGAGCCTTACTGAATGAGGAGGAGTCTGACTGCTCAGTAAATCGGCCACACTAAAAATGCTCAGAGAATGCCATTCGTCAAGATCAACCTGACTCCTGCTTTAAACTGATCTCAGGAGCACACTCAGGAATTCTTTGTCTCCTTCTTGAGTACTTGCTGCTGTCTCGAGCCTTGACATATCATTTGATACGATCCCAAGCTCCGATGCCACGACATGCAGTATAAGCAAA